CGGTTTTACCAACTCTAAGGCCCGAGGCTTGGGGCCCTTTGCCTTAGGCTGGGCCGGAGGAGGGGGGGGGGGCTTGAGGCCTTGTGGGAAAGGGGCCTGTAGAATACCTACCCCGCTGCCACTTCAAAATGACGGTACCCTTAAGCTTGGGCCTCCTCTCTTGCTCCGGAAAGGACGAATTGTAGCCGTCAATTTGTTGACGTTGACAAGATGGACGATGATGACAGCCTGGTCGCTTGTCCCCCAGCCATTTCGAGATTGTGCGTTCCGCCCGGTATAGGCTCCGGAATCCGCGCCCCTCTCTACCTTAACCACCACGCCACCCCTAGCGTCCCCCGGGCGGAACACGTCAGGAGACGAGCCCCTTGGGACACAATGGAGTTGCTACGATCCATGCACGCGGAACGTATTGTCGAATGACTGCTTCTAATCGACTCAATTCGGATGCACTGGCTCGACAATGTCGTCATTGCGGCGTGCGCCAAATCCGTTATTCCGCCTACGTCATCGTGACACTCATCATCATTAGCAGCTTTTGCCACTAATCATCAGGTAAATCCAAATCATAGTAAATGCGATTTATCGTTGGGGCAGTAGGAGACTGTAGGACCGGACTCATGCTCGTCAATTTCCATGAAACTCAAGAAAAAATAATATAGTAAGCCCAGATAATTGTAAGGTAAGCGCACTGTGACGGGTAGGGTTAGTATGGTGGTTAGGGTGGGTACGGGTGCGGAGCGGGTGTTTCACTTCAGGTTAGAGTTTTTAGTGTTAGTCGGAGCTTACTATTATCTTGGCTTACTATTATCTTTCTTATCTTATCTTCTTATTCAATTTCCGGGTTTGAAGTACGGTAGCTCGAGGTATGCATGTAAACGGCGCTGCAAATGGAGTTAAACAATCGATCAAATGGACGGTCATCCGTGAGCATTGGCAAATTAGTGGGGCAGCCGCACTGTCACTAGTGCCGCACATTTGAATCAGGCGCTAAAGTTGAACCATATCGACGGCCGTGGATGTGGCGATTAAGGCAAGCTTATTCAAAGCCACACTAGAGAATCAGAACCAGAAATCGTCATGCATACCATTATGCACGTCCTTCTGGTCGTTGTGATGGAAGAATGACAACATTTTACAACGTTCACAGATACTTGGCTATGACAATCACGTGCCAGTGTAGCCTTGCTTTGCTCTCAGTAAGGAGGCAACTACCGCCATACAACGTCACCCATGAATTGCAGGGCCGGCACGCCCCGAATTTCAAGGTCAAAGAGCGGTGCCTCAATGATGTTCAGATCCTTCAGATCTGCATCAGTGTGTATGAGGTCCAGTGCTCGAGCTTGATCCTGCACGACCGGGCAGAAAGCTGTCAATTCAAGAAACTCACCCCAACAGTACCATACATCTTAGGAAGCATACTCTTTCTACAAATCTTGGAAGGAAGGCTGGCTAAAAGGAGCAGCGGAAGTAAGATTGAAACAACCGAATCCTTTGAATAAAGCTTGCTCTTGCCGCACACGTGCCAAGCCCTCAAGGTGACGGTATCTCTCGCCGTCAGCGTCAAGAGGACCAGCAGGCAAATGGAAGCACCTGACAGCACAATCACCCAAATCACCCAAACCGCACGATCACTCCGACATGATTGTATATGGCCTCCAACAAAGGGTTGAAGCCAGCTCTCAGCTACCGTACTTCTTTGCAGGTTGACAAACCTCCCGATGCACGAGCGTTCCGCAGACACTTGCAACGACGGGACGCAGAATGGAATGAGAAGCTACCCACCTTCCGCTTGATGTTGCAGAATTTGCAGTCGGTGGGCGTTTTCGAGAGGAGCTGGTTGACAATGAGGCGCTTCACGGGCACGCCCTCCTTCACCAGCGACTCTCGCAGCCGCGCACTCTCGCTGATCGCCATTACCTGAAGTATGAAAAGACGGGAGTGTCAGCGGCAGCAACAAAAAACTTCCATCTTGACACTCAGTCAAGGCGAGGTATGGATGCGGATACATGCTGAGCCGTTCTGGACCAATGTAGCCTTCCAGTGGTTCAACATTGTGGGATTCAACGCGGGGATTTTACCTCGACATTTTCTCATTCAAGTCGGATTCTCGGAACCGGAAAATCCAGAGTCAGGTTGGCGCAGCACTAAAACGAGCGCCGGAATATCAGGTCAAACAAGCTGGGCCATGTCTCCGTTGGCTCACGTACAATGAGCGGAGTTGTACACTCAAATCAGCACTTTCCTTCAGAGCTTGACAATCTGACGGGAAAGAAACAAGGAGGATTTCCGGTCGGTGCACTTCAATCGAACCAGAGTTTCGCTGTCGAAACCCCTGCAGCCAAGGGGGTTTCGACGACAACCTTACGTACATCTAGCAAATCGGGAAGGACCATCTAAAAATGCGTTCCCTTTCGACAACCTGAGGTACAACTTCACGAGTCAAAAGATTAAAGATTCAAAATATGCAGTCGATATGATTCAAGCGTTTCGAAACTCGAAGCGAAACGAGCTCCGACAAAGCCTGTATTGCCTTGCATTATGAAGACTTGATAAGGCCATAAGGACTCAACTAGATCGAGTCCCCTCACACAGCAACAAAACCGCATACGAGGACCTCACAACACACCCCCGGCACCGCTTGGCGACGCAGACGGAACGAGCGGAATCGTTGAACAAAGCGGCTCCTTGTGATTCCATGGGCGTAAGATGAAAGGACACCTGGCAGTAGTCAAAGGCGCTCATCGAACTGGTTGCGACGATAAAGTCGGTGGCCTCAAAGTCGCAAAAGATGCCCCATCACAAAACGTGGACCTGAAAGAAAAGTACACGTGGCAAAAGCGAAGGGCCTGCTTACCGTGGGGATGGTCATGATGACGAACTCGGTGGCCTCGGTGTCGCGGCAGATGCTCCCTCAAAAACAGTGAGCGTAAATGGAAGGGGACACGTGGCAGGGACACGTGGCAGTGGTAAAAGTCGCTCTGCTCACCGTGGGGATGGTCACGATAACGAACTCGATGGCCTCGGTGTCGCGGCAGATGCCCCCTCAGAAAATGTGAGCGTAAATGAAAAGGGACACGTGGCATGGACACGTGGCAGTGGTAAAGGGCGCCCTGCTCACCGTGGGGATGGTCACGATGACGAACTCGGTGGCCTCGGTGTCGCTAGAGATGCTCCCTCAGAAAATGTGAGCGTAAAGAAAAGGGACACGTGGCAGGGCCACGTGGCAGTGGTAAAGGGCGCTCTGCTCACTGTGGGAATGGTGACGATGACGAACTCGGTGGCCTCGGTGTCGCGGAAGATGCCCCGCACCTGAAGCATGCGCTCCTTCAGCTGCTCCAGCTTGTCCACCTGCGGACAAAATTTCGGTCTTATTATCCCCTTTGATGTTTTCTGCCCCTTTGATGTTTTCCTCGCGATTTCGAAAGTACCAGGCCCTGCGCTCCGTGAGCTGCTCCAACTTGATCGGAGCTACTGCGTCAGGCGAGCAGCGCTTCGAGGCAGCCGTCAGCAGTCTTCCTTGTGACGTCATCGGCTTATCCTTACGGACTTTCGTGACGTCATCAACCTCCAAAGCTCCACATGTGAATTTGCCTCCTGGCAGGACTGGGGTTTTGGATCTAGCACTACGCTCGTGTTCTCCGTCTTATGTGTGAAGCGAGTCGGAGACACGCCTTTATATCATTCTGCTGGCGGCCAACGTGGTGAAATGGCCCTTTCTCTCATTGCCGACTGTTTCAAACGCACCTTCAACATTTTCCCTCCCGACGACAGAAGGCTGACCAAAAGCCTAAGCTCGACTTTCAAACCCCTGCCAAACATCCATAGACGGACACTTATGCATCAAAGGACTGACTTCACAAGGAACGCTGCGGTCTGCGTGCAACTTTATGTGCAATTCAAATCATTCTTCTGGTCAGATACACGATACAGTGGGCGATCTGCCGCTACGTAAAGCTCTCCGACCGTTCCTCTGATGTCCCTGAAAAGCTTGTGACCGCAGCAGAGCGGCAGAATGGCAAAGCAACAAACCCAAACCGGTACATAACCCAAACCGGTACGTACCGCGTTCTTCCCCTTAGCACTGTCGTCCTGCCCGAAAACCGCCTTGATTGCGGCGGTCGCGCTCGAGAGCTTTTGCCGCAGTCGGATGATCTTTCCGATTGAGGCGTCTAGGAAGTCGGGGAGGGACAGCAGGCGGAGAGTATGCCCGGTAGGTGCGGTGTCAAAAATGATGCGCGTGAATTTCTGGTATTCGGGAGCTTGAATGAACTGGACCACTTTGGAAATGGCTACCGCCTCGTCCAGACCTGTGGAAAAAGTCTTCTATCGTTCAGTAAACATGGCGCACTGAGTTCAGCGGATCTATGAAAACCCAACTTCGCACAAAAATAAGGGGGAAAGCACGTCGAGCGTATGCTGCAAGGGCGGTGTCAAAGATGATGCGCGTGGCTTTTTGGTACTCGGGGGTTTTAATGAACTGGACCACCTTGGAAATGGCTACCGCCTCGTCCAGACCTGTGGGGAAGGTTTTCCGTTCAGTGAGTTTAGGCACTATGATCATCGGCTCTGACCAAAATGCTTTTTTCAATTTAATAAGGGGAGAAAAGCAGGCAGGGCGTGTGGCTGGTAAGGGCGGTGTCGCACATAATGCGCGTAAATTCTGATACTCGGGGGCTTTGGATGAACTGCATGGACCACTTTAGAACTGGCTACCGCCTCGTCGAGACCTGTGGAAGAAGGTTTGTCGTCTAGAAAGATTGGGGCACTGAGTTCAGCGCATCTTCAAAAAAGGATTTTGAGAATTTCACATGGGGAAAAGCAGCGAAGGGTGTGGCAGTTAGGGCCGGTGTCGAAGATGATGCGCATAAACTTCTGGTCTCGGGGGCTTGGATGAACTGGACCACTTTGGAAATAGCAACCGCCTCGTCCAGACCTGTAGGGAAAGGTTTCTCGTTCAGTGAGATTGAGGCATTGAGTTCAGTGTATTCGAGGGTGCTGCTTATAGATTTATGCCCTCGGTTCTGGAACGAGACTTTTTGCAGAGAATACAGGGGGGAGAAGCAGGCGGAGAGTGTTCGCGGTAAGGGCGGTGTCAAAAATGATGCGCGTGGATTTCTGGTACTCGGGGGCTACCACTTTGGAGATTGCAACCGCCTCGTCCAGACCTGGTAAAAGACAGTTCAAGCGGAGAAGATAAGAAAGGCGCTCGGTTTCATAGCGTTCAGACATCCCGATTTTGCAGGAACTGCGCTTCTGAGATAATTACATCAAAAGCAGGCGGATCATGTGCTCCGTTGGAAGCGTTATCGAACATAACTCTGGCTTGATGTAGTGACATACTTCACGATTTGATCCAGAAAATCAACCTTATGAAGAGTTCACGCCGCCGGGTTCAACCATCTGAGGGTTGCGCTTTGAAGGAGAATAGCGCAAGTGGAGCCAATGTCGGGTGAGGACGGGGTGTCAGAACAAAAAGCATCCACCCTTCGAGTTTTGGAAAATGAGACCGGATGCCTTGCACACGGGTACCGCCTCGTCCAGTAACTGGAGGCCGGAACTTTTCTCGCATTCGGTGTCGTTCGGAAGAGGTGTATGTCAAAAACAGTGACCAAAACTACAGTGATGCATCTCGGGGCCCCGAATGGACCACCTTGGCAATCCTACTGCTTTGTGCGAACTTAGTTGAGCAATTTGAACCTGGTGTCAACCATTTGCGCCCTACTGAGCGAGTGAAACATTTCCTAGAGCTTGGTTGAAATGGTTGGTGTTGAGATCCACCATATACTCCTCCATAAGTTTGCAGAAAGTCTGGCCTGAGTGTGCTGACAAAGCTTGGCCGCCTTTAACGTAACCGAGAGGCATGGAATCTTTCGGCGCGACCTTTTGCGAGGATGTGTGATCACAAGCGGATCTAAGCAATGCGGAAACGAAGCGGATGAATAGGAGAAGGGCTATAGGAACCCTGACTCATCAAACGCACTTATTGCCCACACCTGCAGAAACGACAAAGAAGAACAAACCGTGCTTAAATCAGGTTCTTCAATCAAACTTGCCGAGCGTCAGCACAAAACTGATAAAATCGTCATCCCCACAACATCCACGCTCCTCCCGAAAGTGAACCAGCTCGGTAGACTCACCCGGGGGCGGTGTGTCCAGCAACTCCCCCAGCTTGAGCTCCCCCAGTTGCTCCACCCAACCACCGAGCCCCATGCCCTCCATGAAGTCCTTCACGCCCTTGCCGCCGTCTTGGCCCGCCTTGCCTCGGAACTCTTCACGCGCCTGTACAAAAGTTACAAAATCAAAAGCTGCGTAATTTTATGTTACAATAACCAGTCTGGATAGAATGGGGACCCCAAAAGCCCAGCTCCATGCACGCCATGACGTCCTTCACGCCCTTTCCTTCCGTCTTGGCGCACTTTGCCGTGGAACTCTTCATGCGCCTGTACAGATTTTGAGGGCGTGAAAACAAGTTTTGGTCATTCTTTCCGTTAGGTACACCGGCTTTGTAAGAGGGGACAATGACCTTGAAACCGTTGCAGCCGTCTTGGCCCGCCTTGCCCCGGAACAATCCACGCGTCTGTACAGAAGTTGAGGGCATAATTAGCAGTTTCGGTTAATCTCTCCGTTGGGTACACCTGCTTTGCGAGAGGCGACAATATCCTTTACAACCTTGCCAACGTCCTAGCCCGCTTTGCATAAAAACGCTTCATGCTATCGAAAGTCGCATCAATCCTTCTTGCAAAGAAGTTCCAGCCTAAGGGATACTTTGAAGCGCCCTCTTCCCATCTCGAACAGTGTTCCCAGGACTCAAGCGTCATATGGAAGGATGGAACTATGTCTTTACAAAAATCGGCCCCATGACGTCACCCTGAATAGAGGGCGTTCAAACCGCCATCCAGATATAAAATTATGTCGCGTGCGCAGGGATTGAAGACTCGCTTGTGATATGATTGAATCTACCCGCTCTTTGAAAAGGTAACAAACGCCCTTCGTTCCTTAAACCCGGCCGTCGCCGCTGGGGCAAATGGACAGAAGCGACGAGTGTGCTTAGGCATGAATGAGCTCAAACACGCCTGCTTGCATTCTGGCGGCGTTCCTTATTTCATGCTTGACGTTCAAGAAGACGCAGAACAAAAGATTTCCCCCTAAGTCAGAAGGGGAGTGATCCAAAAAGTAAGCACGTAACTTGGCTTTCCTACACAGCCCTTCAAAAAACAACGGGCGCAGTTGTCAACTGTATGGAAGCAGGCACAATCAACAACGTCCTTCTCTGCTACTAGCTCAAAATGTACAGCCTCAACGCCAAGCAGAGATACACCTCAATCACCCTGCAAAAAGTCCCGCGATTCTTGCATCCTTTGCTACTCAAACGGGAACTCGTCAGGTAATGTTACCCACCTGCTCTGGATCAATCTCCATGGCATACAAGGGAAGATCGGTGCCCTCTACTTGCACGGGCGTCCCGCCTCGCACGTCCTGCAAGCAGCAAGTCCATTCGTGACACTTGCAACACGAAACTACTGAACCGTGCATCAAACCTGGCCGCGCTGAGAGGTTGAGGGATTGACGTGATCGACACTCGGAATCTCGACAAATGATGATGCACGATTAAATCGGGATAAACTGGGAGCGCTGCTATGGTTCATCTCCCGCAACAAAAGTGCTCGAGGATACCAACAGATGTCGACCGGGCGACTTCGTGCATCGAGACCGAACTCGAAATTGTAGTCGGGCCCAGCCTTTTGGACTGCCAACCATGGACAAGTACAAGTTTGACGCAGACCCTAGTATCACAGAAAGGATGACAACAATAGGCTGCCTAAACCAAACGCCTGGACTTCCCCTCCATAAAGGTGACGAGAGGTTCGTTCCGGACTTGTTCAACAATTGCTACCGCTCCTCTTCCAAGCAGAATCTTTGACGAGCTCCCGTCAACATAGACCTGACATGGACTGTTATCGCGGCTCAAACTTTGATTCCGGCCGTGGCGGCACCATTCATATTGGATATCAAAGGCATTTCAAAAAGTTCGATTGTGGATAAACACACCGTTCAGTTGAGAAGTTCGTCTCATGGGGTAAGCTAGTGTACGGTAAACCAGACTTGGTCGCAAGATGCGGGCAACCCCGGCCCTGAGCCAAAGTTGGCCCAAAAGCTCACCTGGGCGAAGGAGTCGCTCAGCGAGTGGGCGGGATCGGTGGAGACAACTAGAGTGGGGTGGCCGCTGTTCGCAAACTTGACTGCCAGGGCTGCTGCACAGCTGGTCTTCCCCACCCCGCCTTTGCCTCCCACCATGTAGTAGCGCCGCTTGGGACTGGCAGTCATCGCTTGGAAGCCTTCAGCGGTGTCGCTTTGCGCAGCGGCTGCTGTGACTGCAAATGCCAGACGGAGCTGGTTGGACTTACAAAACCTTTCCGTCCAAAAAACACGTGTTCAGGGGACACGTGTGTTGATGTGTGCGTTAAGAAGGAAAGATATGGTGCTAGAGATGGAATAGAAGCTATGCACTGGGGCACTGAAGCTTGCAGTTATCGTGGTGATGAACAGTCGGAATTGAGTAAGAAAAGTGGATGTTTATCTGAGTAAGAATTTGTTACTTTTGCAGAGAGCTAAGAGCAGTGCACAGAGATCTCACAACCAACACACTTCCAAGAGAACGGGCTAAACAATCTACAGATTCAGAAGATTCTTTATACAACTGAGGCTGACTACAGCTCAACAAGGAAAAGCTCTGATTGAGGGCAATGCGCTCTCTTTCTCTAATGGAGGGGGCTCCAGTCCCCTACGAGGAGAGGCTTTTCGCTCCACCCTACGCCCCTTCCCGACTCAATTCCTTTGCTCCGTTGAATCACTTGAGCCCCAATTCATTTTAAGCTACATCTAAACCCTGTTTGGTGCTCTTTAACACGCCCTGTTTCTTCCAAAGGGCGGCACAAATGAAGTTGCAAAAATCGTAGTGTCCTTGAATGCAGGTGGTGCTTCCTGAGAACTATCTACTCTAGTAGCGTGAAAGAAGTCCAGTCTGATGGCTCTTTTTAGTAAGTCTGCTCCCGTTGGTTCACACCCTAGCCATGCACATCGAACACGAGAGGATTTACCAATTGCCACTTTCAATGATGCACGATGAGTTTTTTGAATTGATCGCGCAACAGATTCAACATGCAATGGGGTGCCCGCACAATGATGGAATAGTGATATCCTGATATCCTAAGCAAGGCAACTATTCAACGCCCCAGCCACAAACCCCTGGCATCAATTGTACCGCCGCTCTTCGAAACGTCCAACTGAACAATACTAAGATGCATGCGAGTTTGAGACCAGACCGTCTTTTAAAACAGCGAACAACACACAGGACGCTGAGAATATTATGCAGGAGTCCCCTACTTTCTAGAAGAACCTTTAGCAAACTTGAAGAATATCAGTGTCTGAGGCCGCGGGAGTCACCTGCTGATGTCCTGCATCCCTTGCACTTTTTACCACCATGAGCCCTTTGGATTGCAGGAAGACTTTCGCCAGCAAACGTTGACGATCGCAATCTGTCCACTTTATACAAGCCTTTCAATTGCCGCCCAGACTGGGCCTTGACCAGGGAGGCTGTGGTTCTGTCGCTTTGTCGCAATTTGGACGGACTAAAGATTGGAGAAGGCAGATATCTGGCTAAGGATTGTTCTGTGCTTCGGTTGGTTGTAAAATGGGTGGAGGGTCCAATAACTTGGACAGAAGCCCCACAAACAGCCGCACGTGCCATGGCGCCTAACAATTGGTCTAGAATGTGACAAAAGCTCAATCAAAGTTGGCTCCTCCAAAATCTGCCTCGGGGTCTGATAGAAAGAGTGGTGCACCTAGCAATCAACCAATGTCTTGAGGACAAGCACTATAAGCTACAACAGCGTTTTCAACTGGTGCCTCCAGATGCTGGATGACTCGCTCAGACGGCAGCTGCGCCGGCGCCGTTCCTGCAGCAATTCGTCTGTAGTCAAAAGCATAAGCCGCAGTCGCTTTGCCAAAGGCTGTTTCAACAACACTCTGCTGGCCAGCCTCCCTCAGCAAAGTTTTCTGCTATAGAGCGCTGCAATTCCAAGAATGACAACCAAACGATGAATCATGAAGTGCTGTTGCAGTGTTGGCTTGGTCCAAAAGCACTTTTCCCTCCGGTGGCAGAAGCAAGGGCCTGATTCTTCAGTCTTTCGAGAGCCTTCGAAAATCCTCCGTCGAACTGTTTGCGCCGAGGAAGAACCCCCAAATGCTTCGACTTCGTTTTTGAGAAGGAACTTCAGTATACGTAGAACAGGCTCCCTGGAAGAAGGCTCTTCTGCTGGCGGTCACGCCACCCCTGCGAACGTGGCATCTTCTGCGGCGTCCAGCAGATGGTTCCTTCCTTTCTAAGACTTCTCTTTCATTCTTTCTGAACAGCTTCCTCCAGCTTCCTTTCGAAATTCTGCTGTCGTTTCCCCAGCGCCCAGCGCCCTTCCAGACAACAGCATTACTTTACTTGGCTTCCTATCTGGTCTTGTTTTCCTGGAGTCCGCTCCTGCAGCTGCGCAGCCGATCGATGCATCCCCCCCTGGCATTGCACAAGCACCCGGCCTGCAAGGCGCAGATCCTGGCCCTGCAAGTGTGCCACTCAGAGCACCCGCTTGCCAAGTTTGTGGGGGTCTGCAATGAGGCCAAGTATGCACTGGACAAATGCTTCAGAGAGGAGGTGCACCGCCACCTTCTTAATTGATCGCCTGTGATTGGATTTTGCAGAAAGATTGGCCAACAACCTTGGGCCTGTTTGTGCGCTCAGTGTTTAAGATGCTTTGGACAGAACCACAGAAGGGCAAGGAAAGTAATGTCGGTGGTGGTAGAAACCAAACTTTCAGAATGAGAGGAACATAAGCTTAACTACTTTGGACAGAACAACAGAAGGGCAAGGAAAGTAATGAAGGTGGTGGTAGAAACCAAATTTTCGGATGAGAGGAACATAAGATTAGGAACATCCGTTTTGCGGGTGAACCAATACTGTTGTTGCCTTTTATAACAGTCTCTTCGAGCAATGCTGTATACAGGTTTTCTTTAGCTGGTGAAGGGGACATCTATGATGTGATCAGGTTAATTACACATACAGATGCTAGAAGTAGACTAGTTTCTTAGCATTGGCTAGATTTCCCTGTTCCCGGTCCACTACTCGAGCTCTGTGACGTCGAACTTGTAAACAAGATCTCAAATTCTGGTTCCTGCAGGGTGAGATCTGTACATCTTCCTAGCTCACTTCCGATTGTGTGCCTTGCAGAAGCGAGTGAACAGTGCTAAGAACAGGGAAGAAAGCAAGCGCTTTCAAGAGCGACTTCAGAAGCGACGGGAAGAAGCAAGGCTAGAGAAGAATAGCGTCACTGCCAGTGGCTGACCATTGGCCCTTTAGGGCCACGGGAACCTGAGCCTCCCGCTATCGAACGCCGCAGCGTCTCTTCTAAAACTCGTTCGCGACAAAGCTTCTGACAGCGACTGACAGCGACTGCTTAACAAGAAGCAACTAGGAAACCTTGCGACGTCGCTTGAAGAACAAGCGACGTTGGTTCTGGTTGGGGAAGCGGTGTCTGTGTTTGAACAGAGTGTCGTTGAACAGTGATTCAATCTTAGCCTGCGGGTGTAGCACCAACGGTAAGGCTTCGGCTTTCAAATGAACGCAAGCGTACTCTGAGCATGGCTACGGAACCAAAGGAGAGGGTGGGGCGGCCGCGCATTTTGCTGGGGGCAAGCGGAAGTGTTGCAGCAATCAAGGTGAGTGGGTATCCCTGCATTTGCAAAGGAGCAGATGTCTTTTTGGTTTACAAGGGGGGTGGGTTAGAGTGCCCTCACTAGGTGGCGTTCAAACAGTTTCGGGATGTACATCAAAGGTACATCCGAACCTGAAGACCATGCCCTTTCGTAAGCCCTTCCAGAGTGGACACTGATTTGGCACGAGCTGATGCAATTATTCACCACTAGCCTTGACATACAAGTGGTTGCTACAATGTTGAAAGTTGCCATCTCCGACGCGCAAAGCCAAAATGTCATTATGGAACCTACAAAGCAATCTAGGGCGCTCTTCAAAGCAATCTACGGAGAGCGCCGATACTTACACCGGTTTGCATTCCAGGTCGTTGAAGCGGGATCTAGACGCTGTGTGTCAATCTTCTGAGCTAGCCAGGCCCCAACTTAGCGCGGCAGTAATCACAAATACTGGAGTTGAGGGCGACTATTCCTAACACGAATCGTTTGCCTCAAACGTCACAGAGCTTCTGAGTTACGTGGGAGAGTTGCGGGGCGATTTTTGGGGATTGGTTGAGTCTAGAGTCTGTTACGAGTACTTCAAGCCCCCTTGGAAACGATCATCGTATTGACGGTTCAGATCCTTGTTCCGACCATTATGAACTGTCAATATCAAGATTGCACCCAACAAGACTCGGCAATCCTCATTTCCTGAGATTTACCGCGATTTGTTCGTGGCTTTGTTTCATTAAAAGGATGCTCGGTTGATTCACGGGCAAGCGGTAAAGTCGAAGCTCGATTATCGCGATCCTTTGAAATGCACAGCAATCAGACTCGACGTTTCTTTAGAGGTGAACACTAAAGCGGTATTCTGATCGAACCTCCTGTCTCCGGTTTTGGGTGGTTTCGACCTTTTTGGAGTAGAGGGCACCCGGGGTCTTCGAAGGCAGGACACAAGTATAATGCTCACTCGGTTTATCAGCAAAACGATTGATCAGGCACATCTCAGCTCAGCACTTCCCTCCATTCTCTACAGTTGCACATTATTACAGCGGAGCTGGTCGAGAAGGCTGACGTCAGGATCGTGCTCACAAAGGCTGCACTTCACTTCGTGAAGAGAGAGGATCTGCCGTCGGGGGTGCCTATTTACACCGACGAGGACGAGTGGGCGACGTGGAGTAAAATTGGAGACGAGTAAGTCCCTTCATTGTGTATACTCTCAATTGATATCTGCTTCGTTTTGGGAAGTATGGCTTGCGGCCAACTACATTTCGAAGACACGTCATTGTTCTTCTTGGGTCGCCTCCTCGCTTCCATGGAACCGTTCCTTTTTAAGATGAGTAAATTTGAGAGCGTCAGCCACTGGCGAATGAATGAGAAGCTTTGGGGGGGCGTAGAGACTAGCCGCAAAAATCATCATTTTACATTGAGCAGACTCGTCGAGGTGTTTTGTGTCTTGTTTGTATGCACTCGGCTCATTGCCTCCGTGTTTCTGAGTTGTGAGTCGCTTGCTCAATCAGCACTCCTAACATCTAGTAGCGAAACGCAACTCTCAGCGCAGAAGCAGTACAAAAACAAATGAACTCGTTACTTGGGTTTTAAGGGTCGGGCCCAGCACTCCAGCTGTTTTTGCTTCTCCTCTGAGATCTGCGCCAGTTGATGTCTTGTACGCATCGGTTCACGTCGGCAATATCTCAGCAGAGTAGAAGTTAATTTGCTTACAAGCAAGAATGGAAGAACGAAGGAATCAATGAGAAGACGCCGCTTCGTTACCGTCTGCATTTCGTTTCGACCTCCAGGTCGTCTGGAATGCGGCTATTGAAGAGTAGTGGAGAGTATGCGAAAGTTGCTGTAAAGTTGCGGCTTCCAATCAAATACCTGTTTTCGCAGCGTCCTCCATATCGAGCTCCGCAAGTGGGCGGACGTTCTTCTGATTGCGCCCCTGTCAGCAAACACGCTCGCCAAGATTGCCGGCGGCCTGTGTGACAACCTGCTGACGTCAGTTGTGCGGGCGTGGGACTTCTCGAAGCCATTCCTAGGTGGGATTCCTTCTTCACGATTTTGCTGTTGGGCTTTCGTTTGGTAGAGGGGTGCCGTCCAAATTATACATTTTGCGCCCGCGGGCCTTTAGTGCATCAGAATATTAAGGACATGCTACCTCTTTTGATTTCGTTACGTTTATATTGGTCGGTTCAGAAGTAATGAGAGTAAGAGTGGAATAGCAGCCTGGTATTCTCCCCAGATTCAGATTGGCACAAATCTGAGAGCTCTTGGTGCAGCAAATGCAGCGAGAGTTTTTTTCTTGCGACTTCTGGCTGTGCGCAAGATTTTTCACTCTGAGGTGTTTTTGCCATTTTGCGGATGCGAGTCGTACTTCTGTATCTTCTGTCTATCGGCGCTCTTTGTTTCCTTATCTGCCCCTGGTTTTTGTAACTCTTTTTGTAACTCTGACGCAAACGGAAGAATCTTTTCATGGGAAGACTGACCAAAGCGTCCGGTGATTGCCTCTTTGCATCTCGAGAACTTCACCGTTGCTTCTTGCAGTTGCTCCCGCGATGAACACGCACATGTGGGACAGCCCCTTCACCGGTCGGCACCTCAAAGAACTAGACACATTAGGCGTCAGGTTGATTGAGCCAGTCTCTAAAAAGTTGGCATGTGGAGATGTTGGTAATGGAGCAATGGCAGAACCGTCAAAAATTGTCGAAGCCGTCTGGTTGGTGTCGTGAGATTGCGCTACTTCTTCCTTGGAAGGGTTTGATGTGACAGCCAGTAAGCCGGTATCAGTGTTGTAAACATACTGCGAACCTCCCTAGTAACTTGAACTCTTCAGGCCATGTGCTTGGTGTATTCTTCTTCCCACTCCTAGCTGGCAATTGTCACTTACAAGTAACTACGGAGCCAAAGGCTTTCAGTATCGCAAATTAAAGTTTGCGAATATGGTCAAGCATGAAATTTCACACTGATCGAGCCAACCTAGCAACATAGCCACCTTCTGTATACCGTTTACAAGCAATTGGTTGTCCGCCTGGGCCCTCTGCGTTCCACGTGTATGATTAGTGTTTCAAATTTACTAAGTTAGCCGAGCTAGTTCTTCACGCCGCGCGCACATCATGATTTTGTAGGTGCGCGTGGGGACTTGATTATAGGCATATACATAATTAGTTCAATTACGTTGGAGAATTGTTGCGTACTGCACGTAACCAATTATATCCGATCATCACATGCAACTCATGCCTGTATACGCAAGGAATCCTCTTCAGACTCAGGCGCGGGAGACGGTGCGGCTCATCATGCACGCATAAACCGAATGAAGTTCTTGCCTGCATGCGTACGCGGTCTTCATTCCATTTTACTTGACATCATGCGCCTCACAATCATTGAATGCCGATGTCACACTACTTCATGCAACCTTGTAGTGACTAGCCGGCCGCGGCGGCTGTAGGCGGCCAACAACCAAATCTTGTATTGATAAGTTCAAGCTTGCCAGGCCAAAGACTAGGCCAAGCAGGTATACATCATAATGTTATTGTTAAAGCAGTTGACTTGTGTCTCGTAACGACAACCCCCCAAACTGCGTGTGATTCTTATAGTAGCACTGGTCTAACTTATGGTGACATACATCGATGATTTACACGCAGATGTGTATGAAGCAGCTAAAGTGGTGCGTGTATGCAGAGCAATGCACAATGAGAACTCAAAGGTATCCGACATTGAAAACGTACTCGTAGAGCTAGTCTTACTTGCAACTCGCAATGACAGTCGTTCAGAACTCCCGCAACCGCTAGTAGCATCCAGATAGGTGTCAACCAGTGACTTCTCAAGTTATGCAAATTCTTGTCTTCAAGGCTGTTCTTGGTTACCAAAGATCCTAGGGTCTTTGACGGGTTGCATCTGATCAATCATGCAAAGACTGATCATTCTCACGGCTTCTAGCTGCACGAGCCCGAGCAGCCCAACAATCTCGACAAGTATGCTTCAGACCGTCTAAGCTTGCTCTAGCAGCGTAAAATTCCGATGCTGGTTTTCGTGTGCGGCAAGTGCGACAAACCTTGCTTTGCACATGAAGCACATCCTGTGCCGTTCTCCTGGCCATATACTCCTTATTCCACTTTGAATGACATGACTTGCATCGGCTTCGCCGCCCGGTCCGGTTCCGAGTGCAGATGTCAAAGCTGCTTGCCGGTTTGACCTCACCGCAAGAGATGCACCCCTTGGGGGTGTCGGTGGGTGGGAATGCCGGCTTCTTGCTACATTCCAAGCTGTCGCAACTGCGGCAGATTCCACGAGGTTTCTTTACACGCCATGCAAAGTCTCGCAGCTCCTTCACGAGGCCACACCTATAGCACTTCTTTGCATGCTGCTGCGCTTGCTCTGGGCTCATTGCCAGATGGTGAAGGGCACCCCCCCTCTTCTTAGCGCGGAGTGCCGCCAGGCATGCCCGACACGCATCTGTGCTCAGACCTGGAAGCCTGCGGATGCTCTCAAAGTCGACGAGCAGCTTGGATTGTTCACACAGTATGCAGGCTTTTGTGGCAGAGGAGGTTTGTTGGAGCGATGTTTGGGGTAACAAGATCTCCCCTGCCTCCGCCGCTTCCTCTGCTCTGCACATCAAGCGCTGCTCGCTCTCTTTGCATCAAAATGCTGCTTTGTTGTTTGAAGGGCAGATACACTGTGTTTAAGAGACCCATTGGAAAAGCTCGTATCCTGCTGGAAGAACAACTGGTGGTGGGCGCTGGGTAAATGAGTGGCTCGACTGGCAGTTCTCGTCTGGGCGCCCCCAAACTCTGCATCCTTGCTTGTGAAACCTCTGACAGCAAGACGCGCAAAATCTGCATAAGCTCCTCTGACAAAGACATTCCCATCTGCACCGTACTTGGCAGTTTGTGGCGCCACGAAAGCGGAGGCCCTACATTGTGACCTGCTGCTGAGTGCCATGGATTGACGGTGCCAGTAACAAGCTGGTAATTAGCTGCCAAAAAATGGTAAGCCTCTTCAGCTTGGCAGGATTCCCTCCTCAAGCTTCCGTCACCGCCACGGAAGACCTGTAAAGACAAGCTGTTGCAACATTGTCATGAGGAATGTTCAATGATGTTCAAGGAGGAAACTTTCCTTGAAGGCCCCGGGCCGGGGATCCCCATACTAAACTACGCGCACTGATCATGTTCGTTCCGCGCGCCAATTTCACTACAAACCCGCTAACCTTGTCTGCCCCTTGTTACAAACCACGGAACTCTTATACAGTTTTTGAACTTCCGCCAGCGAAGGTCACCGGAACCGCGGATGTTGATGCCCCACACTTTCTGAGCAGAATTCATGCAATGCTGGCCGATTGCAGGCTGTCCAGATTATCTTGAACAGTTCAGTAGGCGCTAGCAAAGCACGAGGTCCTGAGCATTTTCGAGTGAATGCTCATTTTGCGTTGCAGTTCGTTTGGAGAAGCCCTCCAGCCTCTAGTTGACAGTGCGACGAGCAGGGTTGTGAAAGATGGGGGGCAGAGCATTCCGGTTCTTGCCCAGTGAGGTGCGGCCGATCTTATCTCTGATTGGTGGTGCATTCTGATCCGGTGCCTAAGCGTTTGCAAGACAGAAAATATATGTTTGCTCGCTTGCAACCTGTTGCCTTCATCAGTCAGGTTCATTTAAATTGTTCTGGTGGGCCTCGGCGTTCAATGAAAGTCAGCGGTGCATTTGTCTGCCTTGCTCGCTAACCGCTAACCGCTAACCGCTAACCACTAATTGAAAGCTGTCAGAAGCATTCCAGATTCTCTATGGCATGTTGTCGGCCAAGCGGCTTGCTAACTTGTTCTCAATCTGTTCTTGGCAAACTACTTCTTGCTTCGTTGCTTACAAGAGGCTTCTGTTGTTTTCTTGAAATGTACCTTGAAAGATCTCCTGCACACTCCAATCGTAGTGCAAAAAATGTGAACTGCTTGGCGAGTAACAAAGATTGCTGACTGGCAGGTGGATTTCTTGCTGGGGGAACTAGAGAAGCATGGCAAGACCCCACCCCAGCACATCTTGGAAGAGTACACAGTCCAGCTAAAGTAAGCTACTCTTTGATGTGCTCTGTGGTTGCAAGTCAGACACAGGGTGTAGAGAACAGTTGTGGATCTTTCGTGTATGCACATCGCTGATTAACTTGAGGGCGCGTATACTGAGCATCTGTCCTTTAAGCCCCTTCGGAACCTGAAGTGCCCATATCAGCGGTGACCCTTCTGAACCAGAAGGACAAACGACGTTGCCTCCTTTCCACCTTACATAACTCCCCGCTATCATCTTTGCTTGCAACCTTCATCACAACTCGAAGCCTAACACACTCAATTGGAGAAAAGACGACTGATGTCTGTGGTAATGAAATGCCTCGTATCATGTTGGATAGTTAGCAGACGTTTCCTTGCCTGCTCACATTGATCAAGGCCAGCAAGCAATGCCACTTTCAGGCAGTGGGCCTGAGATCTGTAGCGTTGGAAAAGTATCTTGTTTTGAATGTCCACGTTTCAACCATCTTACACCCATCCAAGCTCTGAGGGCACACATTCCACGACGATGACTCTGGCCTGTGGGTCTTGAGTTTGTTAGAATTGACTGCAGTTGTCTCCTTTGGCTATCTCTCTTTCTCTTCAAAGTGTTGGCCGACCTGGGTTGCTCCTTCATCCAAACACTTTTCAGATTCAAGCATTTACTTCTTTACTTCAGCGGTTCTCAAATGGGGGGTCTGTCTCTGAAGTGTCCTCTCTTTTGTCCTCCGCTATGTATTCAGTACAATCACAAAAGTGCCTTTCTTAGGCTCGCAACACGCCCCTCACCACTCTAGTTCTCCCGCCCGCAGTGCTGACCCCCAACGCCAGGCGGAGCCCATTGTCTCGAAGCAATTATGGAACTGGTTCCAAAATCGTCGCCACCACTTCCGAAAAGTTGCTGGCACGGTTAGCCCCCACAAGTTAACCAAACCTGCTGCAAACCGCGATTCTCCAGCGCCGGAACCAGCCAGGCAAACAGCGCCGCAGCCGCCGCAGCCAAGCCCCCTTGGTAAGCTCCAAGAACGGGTTAAGGATTTCTAGAACCTGTTTTGATTGAGTTAATATGGAGGTTCACCAACAAGGGGTTTGCTTTCTGATTGCGAGAGGCGCCGCGAGCGGCCCCACCCAAGCCCCCTTGGTTAGCTCCAAGAACGACTTAAGGGTTTCTCAAACCATATTTAGTTGGGTTACAATGGACGTTCACCGACCAGAGGTTTGCTAACCCAAATCTGCAGCCGCCTCAGCCAAGCCCCCTTGGTAAGCTCTAAGAACGGGTTACGGAATCTTAGAACCCCGTTTTAGCCGGGTTGTTATGGAGGTTCAACGACCAGGGGTTTCTTAACCCGATTCCAATTGCCTCAGCCAAGCCCCCTTGGTAAGCTCTAAGAACGAGTTAAAGGTTTTCTAGAACCTTCTTTTCGTTTGGTTATCATGGTAGTTCAGCGACCAGGGGTTTGCTGACCCGATCCCGTGCTGAGCCGCAGCCGCCGCAGCCAAGCCTTCTTGTAGCTCTGAGAACGGGTTAAGGGGTTCCTGAGCCTTGTTTTAGTTGGGTTAACACGGAGGTTCACCGATCAGGGTTTCTTAACCCGATTCTGAGCAGCGCCGCAGCCGCCGGAGTCAAGCCCCCTGGATAAGATCCAAGAACGACCCAGGGTTTTTTGAACTTTTGTTTGAGTCCGGTTATTATGGAGGTTTACCGACCAGGGGTTTGCTAACCTGACCAGCGCCGCAACGGCCTCACTCAAGCCCCCTTGGTAAGCATTGAAGACGGTTTGAGGGTTTCTTGAACTTTGTTTATCCGGGTTGATATGGAGGTTCATCAACCAGGGTCTCTTAATCCGACTTTGAGCAGCGCCGTAACGGCCTCACCCAAGCCCCCTTGGTAAGTATAAGTCGGTTTAAGGATTTCTTGTTTTTCATTTCAATTGGCTCGTAAAGGAAGTTCCACGACTAGGGGTTTGTTAACCAGGTTTTGAAAGATGAACTGAAACAAAAAGCTAATAAACGTATAAATGCTAGGGCCAGGTTTTGTTTCGCTGTACGTTGTTGCGTAGGCAAAGCCCGTCTAGAGCTTTCCCGTCGGGGTTTGCTTGGCTACATTTTCATCTGAAAAATGAGCGGGTTTTGTACTGAAGAAGCTGTATTAATTATGGTTTATGGACCTCAAAGCGATGGGGTTCAGAATTAGTTGTCTGGTTACTTGCTCTTTCCTCGCTTGAATTGCTCAAAACACTCCAATCATACGGTTTTGTTGCATTAGATCCCTGTTAATGAATTCTGGTTGCGACTCTTGACTACCTGCTAAGACTTAAGCCATACCACTTCCGGTACCTGCCATCAAGTGGGAAAAGATACAGCCCTCATGCGTTCTGATGAACGCAGTCGGGTATTCAATAATTGCCGGACCCAAATCTGGGTTCGTTCCTGCTTGTCTGCGTGCGAATCTGCTATGCCTGCTTCGAAGCCTGCCCTTCTGGTCTCTTGATTGGTTACCTGTTAAAGCTGCCAAAGCTCAGAAAGCTGCCCTTCTTGTGATAGCAATCACCTCTACAGCGATTCACGTTTTAATTCTATGCTTAAAAAAGTGGCATCCGAAGACCTCTTTCAACCCCTCCGGAAAAGCTCGCTGAGCCCCTGCCCCCCTCCAGGTGCCATCCCGATTCAGGGGCCTTCAAGAGGCAGAGGCCGGCCCCCCCGAGAAAAGTCGGGCAGCCCACTTCTGCATGCAACCAGCTCTCTTTCCAAAGCTTCTTCGCCGGCGCACTCGAGCCCGGGGGTGAACGTTACGTACGACGAGAAAGACTGCGCAGCAAATCTGGACTACGAAAGTTTGTCGACGCGGGATCATGCCTGGTATGACGTAGACAAGTTCGTGGGGCGGAGGGTCAACGACCAGGGCCAGATGGTGAGCGTAACGCGTGCCACGTGTCAGACTTGCCTTGCCTTAAATCGCATGGGGCGTCCGGCTCTCTGTTGTAAATGATCGTCAAGAGCATGTGCACGATCCGCCGCTCAATACTCTGGTCTAGCATCCCAGAGCCTCATCGCTTTTTGCAAGGTCTTCTTCGGTAAAGCGAACGCTGTAGTGTGTGCATAAGAGGATGACACGCGCTCGGAACAAAAAGTTTTTCCACAGTGTTTGTTGGATGTCTGGAACATCAGTTCTTACCGTTTATCCGTTCAATGGAGAGCTTCGCGTTGACCAGATCCGATCCTTGTCATTGTCTCCCTCTACGTCATTGGAAGTCTCTCTTTGAAAGGTGGAAAGGGTTTGCAAACGCAAACGAAATCCCAATGTCAGGTGGACCCCTGTCTTCTTGCATCTCAGCTCGTGTGAGTCACTTCTCTTTCGTTTAGAAAATATGAAAGTCTCGAGCCACCAAGTAACTCGAGCGGTCGATGAGCGGACGCTTCGTGAGACTTGCTCCGTTTCCGGCGCGTCGATCTGTCTGATATTTGAAAGTCGCCAACCCTTTCTTCATGCAGTTACAAGGAGTGCAAGCCAGCTTTCTGCTCGTTTGTCTGGCCAACTTTTCAGTAACTTCAAGCTGGAGACGATCTTCGCGCAGGGCTTGTTTGTCGACCAGAAGTGGATAATTGCCCCTTCGATAGAAAAGGAGATAACAGAAGAAAGGCGTTCCTAAGCATTGGGCAGAGACAGAGACGCGCTTCGGCGGCTTCCGTACTACGTTCTCCGTCTTTCCAACGTTTTTGCGTCTTTCCATCCACTGTGTTCCAAATCGCCCAAACAATCGCCTCCTTTCTGGTTGTGCGCAGGAAATGAAGATGTCCTTTCCCTAGAATCAAAAGCTACTGTACCGGCAAAGGAATCCACCTTTAGATAATTATTTTGAAGAAAAACGAAAAGCTGGAAACTAAACTGGGCCCCCGGGGCGAAAAGAGAAACTAACAAAATAAAAGAAAATAGCTCGATTCTGCTAAAATAAAGGGTAAAAATTCAAAAAAAAAACGCTTGCCGCGAAATGTAAAACAATTTCCCAGACCCCTTGGCAGAACCTTAAAACTTTCACTTGAATTATTCGCGGCCGATGGGGGTGAATTCCTATGCCGGGCTACTATGGGTAGAAACCGGGAAAGTACAGAGAGTTCGAATTCGCATTTTCGTGTGCAGGAGATGAAGGTGCGTTTCGGCGGCTTCAACGTTGACGAGGATGAGTGGGTGGACGTCAAGACGGGCATCCGGCAGCGCTCGCTTCCCTGCGAAGCCTCCGAATGCGTGGGCGTCCTCCCAGGGGATCTCGTGCTTTGCTTTCAGGTTGGTATTCACGCCGATCTTGACTTTGCTCTTGATGAGATGACCCGACTTCTGTTCATCAATGCTTCGGGTGTGTGGGAGTTTTCCCTGGAGATTTCGTGGTTTGCTTTCAGGTTGGTATTCACTCCGATCTTGACTTTGCTTTCGATAAGATGACCCGACTTCTGTTCGTCATTGGTTCGGGTGTGTGGGAGTCCTCCAGGGATCTCGTGCTTTGCTTTCAGGTTGCTATTTACTCCAATCTTGACTTGCTCTTGATGAGATGACCCGACTTCTGTTCATCATTGGTTCCGGTGTGTCGGGGTTCTCCCCGGAGATCTCGTGCTTTGCTTTCAGGTTGGTATTCACTCCGATCTTGACTTTGCTTTTGATAAGATGACCCGACTTCTGTTCATCATTTGTTCGGGTGTGTGGGTGTCCTCCCAGGAGACCTCGTGCTTTGCGTTCAGGTTGGGGTCTACTCCAATATTAACTTCTGCTAGCGACAGAACCTAAGAAAGCTCTATATTTCCGTTTTATTTATTGGTTTGACGAGGTTTGAGTGCGAGGGACTTTTGCCTTACACCTCGTGCTTCGCTTTCAGGTTGGTGTTTGAGCCGGGACCTTGATTTGGCATGAAACCCGAGGAAGGTGGCCATTCCCTTTGATCACGAAACGGCTCACGAGTATGTTTCAACTACAGTTCAATCGACCAGCCAATCTGGCGGAGTCTTCGAAAACTTTCAGACAATTCGTCGAAGTCGCATTCCTCTACTAGCAAACGGTCATTACGAGCCTTTACCGCGCGACTACAACATACAAGCTTTTCGTCATTGAAGAAGATCATTTTCCAGAACGTTGGCAGCCCAAATAATCATGATTCTTTTCGAAAACGAAGTTACCGCCGGTACAAGATTTCGCCTCCCCCTGCCGCTCCGCAGGAGGGCAGAGAGCAAGCGCTGTACTTCGACGCTGACGTGTACGAGGTGCAGCGGGGGCGGCATGACGTCAGGGGCTGCCGGTGTCGGTTCAAGGTCAGGTACCGGGTGGACGGGAACGAGGTGAGCCGCCTGACGTCAGCTTTTGTGTGACGTCAGCGAAGGCCCGATACTCAAGAGCAGACGTTGCTTTTTGACTCGCACGGGTGCACCCGAGGGCTTTTCCAGATGCAATGATTCCGCGTCGACACGTGTGTACTGCCCAATAACGTCCCATGAGAAAGTGGAAGTTCGGGAAGCCGTTTCGGAACACCATAAGAAACGGACGATTGTTAGATGCAAGAATAGAGCGGCCAACTTTTTTCCTGTGACGTGTCGTCTGCTCGCTGGATTTTTTCGTGGTAAAGCGTTCAATAACGATGCGCCAAAATGAGGGAAGGTGATGAGGTTCAAAAGAGCTGTGTCCACGGAGTGCGCACTTGAAATTTTCATCTGTCGATGTTTTTTAGGAACTCCGATTCAAGCGAACGTGTCATTGTGCTTCGTTAAGCAGTTAGAAGTGGGTCACAGCGCTTTTGTAGATCGCGGTCGGGTTTCAAAGCCTCCGTCTTCCTTGGTCTCGCAGGCCGTAAAAACGTTTGTCAAGAGGACTCTCTCACGCCTTTGCAGGAGGTTGTGCCACTCCGAAAGATCTGCCGGCGGCCAGAAACGGAGTACCGCTTCCAACTGGCTGCCGCCGCGTCTGCGCAGGTCGCCGCCACAGTACCCCCACTCGCGGAAGGCGCTACACTCCCTTAGCAACTAGCATAGGGTGAACTCGGAAGGAACCGTTGTGTCTGAAAGTTCGTGCGTTGCTTTAAGCAGCTTCTGCGTAGTGATTCTCTCGACACATTTTCACATGGAAGCTCTTGCCCATGATGGCGTTATTCAAAGCTACTTAGATACGTTGATGAAGCTGGGTTGTGCTACAGAAGTTCAGACATGGATTCTTGCGCAGGGCCAAGATCGAGAATGGGCGACAGAGATCATTTTGGATGAAAATCCGTCTCCTGTGGGAAATGGATCCCTTCAACTTGTGGCAGAAACTGGTATATCCTCGTTCAGGCGCCCCTAACCAAGCACCGTCTTATAGTATGGCAAGCGTAATCAATCACAACTTCAACGGAGACACGCGCTTTCAAGATGGTCGGGTTGCAACGCAAACCTGGCCCAGCAGTGGCTATTGACCCGGCCTAGCTGGCATAACGCGGCCGGTTTACGTTCATTGCTATCATCGCAGGGACTCTAGCCTAACGTACCGCGTACGTTATATACTCAGTGTGGGCCACTAAATTGCCTACGGCGCGAACTTATGAGTATAATGATTGATTGATTGATTGGTTATAGTCCTTTTGCATGGGCCACAACAGGCCTAGTGGAGTGTCTTATCAAAAGTTTTCAGCTAGCCTATGTTCTTTTTTCTCCTCCTCATGCTCAAATAAATGTACTTAGCAACGGAGTTGAACTGGTCTCCGAGATCACAAAAGTCTCCTATATATCCTTGCTAGGGACAGCTGCTAGAAGATGCTAAAACTGAGCTCTTAATTCTCGATATGCCTGGCAATCAAACAAGAAGTGAGCTTCGTCTTCGACTTGATTGCTACGTCCTGCAGATTGCACTACTGCCTAGATTGCTACTGTATATGTACTACCGCTGACAGGCTACCGTGACGGTGCTGCACCATGCATTTGATTGTTCATACCGGTATTAGTACAGATTGCATGTAAGTCACCTCAGTCACAAGTGCACAGGCTGAGTCCATGGCCTGGCAGTTGCGCGGCCGCACATGAATCGCACCGCCACGGCACTTTGTGCCAGCTCAGTCAGTGCCGCGCCATCATTGCCAGCTCATGCAAGCCCGCAAGCACTCTAGCTATACTATCTCGCAATATCGATATCGACCGCCACCTTGGCGCCGCAACTGGGTTGCATTGCACGCGGCGCTCAGCAGTCTCATGCTGGATCGAGTTAGTGTACGCGCCCGGGGTATAGTGTAGATTGCATATACTGCATATCCAGCTCCCAAGCCGCCCCAGTCCGGGCCTTCACAAAGGGCCGGGGCCATATATCCACGAATATGCAGCAAATCCCGACTTCGATCCGCGGAAGAACTTATAAGTCCTGCATGCCCCGGGAAAGTCATTCATTGACTAAGCCGGGCATGCGAATGCTATCAATTGAACATTGCCAGAAACTGACAGTGAGTTGATTAGCTAGAATGACCGGCAAAAGCATGCATCGATGCACGAAGCGCCTAGTCGGACTCGATCATTCAATTTTAGTACGAGTCAAGCATGCATGTATGTTAATTGTTCGCGGGCCCAGCTGCATCCTCAGACCGTCCGACACTTTTAAGTGCACCGATTCGAAGGCTGTGATGTACGGTAAGGAACGTCAGTCTATACACTGCATGATGGATATCATATGACCACGCCGCGTACCATGTCAGTGTCTGCATCACCTACAGCCAGGCTGGTCCATCCGGCCAACGTACAACGTTTCGATCTGACTGGTCGAACGAGTATTGCAGCAACTTAGCTCCAACATGCCAAGTAAAGGACCCCGTACAGGCAAGGTGTCATGATCCGACCGTCTGAAGTCCTGGGTATAGATGGGAACAAAACCTCAAGGAGTCGATGCACACTACTGCGCATCGTCTGTACCCATTTTAGCTAACTAGCAACATGCTCCTAGCAGCTGCCGGCCGTCTGTAAAATCACGCTGCCATATTATCACTGTCACCCTAGATACAGGTCACACAGTGGACAACTTGGTCATTATCATCGGGCGTGCCAAAAACTGCAAACCCTGAAGCCTTGCTCTCGGACATAGATATCAGAGCTAGTACGGCTCCACGGGTGCCCTGAAGCTCTTTCCTGCATACACGGCCTTGTCTCCCAACTCCTCCTCAATGCGCAAAAGCTGCACAGCGGACAGGACGGGTCAACCAAAGGCAACATCTGCCGACAAGGGATATTGTCGATGCACAGAAGTAGTGGGCTCAGCTGTCAATCTTACGGTCACAAGTAGTACGGCAAAGCAAAGATGGATTGCCGTTTCAGGAAGAGATGGATTATTTTACACAAGCACAAACTCATTGGGCAGCAAGTTTGAATACTTGACTTCGTTCGACGAGAGTGACGAGCCAGCAGATGTTGCAGACAGGCTGACCACTCTCGGCGCTTCAAGCCGAAGGGAGCTTCTGGAGTTTGGAATTGGAGCATTTAGCGATATGACAGCCACTGCTAACTTTGTCGCTTGACACAAGACAGGCTGCGATGATCGATGGAAGAGTCTCTTGATACGACAGTGTCAAAAAGGACAGATTGCAATTGTACCTGGTTGTACTTTGACAGGCGCTCAGACCGGCAAGGGGCCCCGGTCTTGATCTGGCCCTGCAAGAAGAACGACGAGCACGCGCTTTCAGGAGGAGCAATCCTTATGACAATGGTTCTATGGTTTGGGATAGAAACGCAAACGACCAATTGGAGAGTCTACCTCACGAAGTTACCATGCTTTCGAGTTCGTAAGATTCTCTCTGTTCCACCACAACAAAACGCAAAAGCACGAACTATCTGCAGACAAAGAGATTCAGTTCGGCTTGTGCTCGTCAGCAGAACCGTCAGCGTTAAGCACCCTTCAGCAAGAGTAATATTGCTCGACGAGCTCTACCCTTTTCCTCTTTTAGGGCACTACAGAAAAAAAACGACCTCCGCAACAGCAAAGGTGGGCACTTTAGGGGCATGTCCACCAAACGAGTCCCGTGTGCCCTTTTTGGTATGTTGAACCCCGACTGGACGTTTATGAGATCCATTCGACCAACAGCCGGAATGCAAGAAGCCGCATCTTGCGGCCGCACCAGGAACAAGTAACGATAGCATTTATACGTTACCCAGACTAGAGCGCAACGGATGGGAACGACCGCAGACTGCAAACCCTACAGAACTTGACCGTCTGCTCTGTCACTTTTGGAGTTCAGCAACTCGAGTCGCTGCATCTCACTACCAAAGCTGCAATCGACCTGAATATGTCATATAGGCGGCCAAAGTCGACCATAAGTTCCATTTCTAAGCAAGCCACAGCGCCGGGTGACTTCCGGTGGCGAGACCGACAGCGAGCTCCTTAACGTGGCGTGCACGAATCCACAATTTATGCCGTGCCTTGATCACAGCTGCCAGAGGTGCAATTGGCTAACAACGGAAGTCCAAGCGGTGGACCTCCGGCGCCCAAACTCTCAGTACTCTACTTGCAGAGCGCTGGGTGACTTACGGTGGCGAGACCGACGGCGAGGTCCGCGATGAACGAGTCCTCGGTCTCTCCGCTGCGGTGGCTGGTCATGACGCCCCAGCCGGCCTTCTTGGACATCTTGACGGCCTCGATGCTCTCCGTGACCGTGCCGATCTGGTTCACCTTGAGCAGCAGCGCGTTGCACATCTTCTCGTCGATGCCCTTGGCCACGCGCTGGAGGGATGACGATGACAATGACGTCAGCAACGAACCATATGATAACATATCAGAGTTGACCTGGCCAACATGCACGGACTAGAGAGACGTTGACCGGCGTGCTGTCTGTCAACGGAGTGGACTCGGCAGGACTGCTACGGCTGTTGGCTTCTTCCGAAAGGTCGTGACGCAGCCATTATAGAGGCCGCAATGGGCTTTCGGCTGTTGACGCCACAGGCGATTAATTCTTGCTGACGCTGAAGGTTACAAAGCCCTCTTTTCTCGACCTTTTTCAGTCCGCGCATGTACGAAACGGGGGGCGTCGTTAACCCACCTTGGGGTTAGTGACCAGGAGGTCATCACCCACAATCTGGACCTTCTCCCCGATGGCTGCCGTGAACTTGGTGTAGTGCGCAAAGTCGTCCTGGTCGAAGGGGTCCTCGATGGAGCAGATGGGGTACTCATCCACGAACGACTTGTACAGATCGATCAGCGCGTCGCCCGACAGCTTCTTGCTGCCGTCGTTGTTCTGCAGAAAAGGGGAAAGGGTCGGAAACGGAAGGACACGGAAAAAGATGGGGACTGAGGGGTACCGGAATAGACGGGGTAAGATGGTACAATATTGCCTTCTTTTGTGCAGACGAGAGCTTGGTGCAAGGTAAAACAATGGCGAAAGTGGGCGCTCTCTGGATACGTGGAAGTTTTTGCGCGCCGGCGATTTGCCACCATCGCCTTTTTCAGAAAGAGGAGCAAGAGAGCGGGTGAGCTTCTGAGATTGAGAACCTCAGCTTGGCAAACCAGCTCCTGCTAAAAAGCAGGTCTTTCTTGAGGAGTATGCGCGCTCAAACATTCGGAAATCAGGGAAAGTGCACTCCGAGAGTTTGCCTCTGGTAAAAGAAACAGCAGATGATGCGGGCGGGTGAACTCGCCTAACGCGACGCCATAGCTTGCCTCAAGGGCAGAATGCCTCTTTTTCGTTGAACACAAGAAGACGATGCCTTCTGCCCAGTGGTCCCGCCAAAAAAAAACTAGAGACCTTTCGACAAAAGACGCTGGCCTCAGAAGTTCTCAACTCGTAGCTGATACGACATAAAACATTGCAAGCCGTTCGCACCTCCTCCTTGAAGTTGAGGTCGTACTGCTTGGTCTTGTCGTCGTAGAACTCGGAGGCGGCGACATCCATGCCGATCTCGACCAGGCCCGTGTAGCCGGCCTTGGCGATGGCCGTCTTGAGCAGCTCCAGGCCCTCCTTGTTGTCCTGGATATTGGGCGCGAAGCCGCCCTCGTCGCCCACGTTGGTCGCGTCCTGCCCGTACGCCTTCTTGATCACAGACTGCGGTGTAAAATGGGGAAAGGTCAGAGGGGATTTAAAAACGGGGGGTTTTCAGGCGAGTTTGGAAGATTGGGGGTCTCTAGGGACAAGGAGTGAAACGAGAGGTGGGGTAACGGACTGCGGCACTCACAGGTCAGCAACAATGGTGATTCAGGGGGTGCAGCAGGGCTTGACGGCAGCCATTTAGTGACATCCTGCCCGTACGGCTTTTTGATCACGGACTGCGGGGCAAAGGGTGGTAGAATCGAGAGGGTGGGGAAGGGGAAAAGGTCGGAGAGGTGGCGAGAAGGGGCGGCTTCGAAGGGCTCGAAAGAGCGAAGAAGGCTTCTAGAGATTCAAGACGGTCCCACGGGTTCTCAGTTTGACCAGGAGAAAGTCGATCGGGTGTCGAACACGAGTTGCTCTGACGGAACTTGGATAGAAGGCATGGTCCAGCAGGGGAAGAGTCTTTGCGAGTAGTGTGTGTGCAACCAAAGCAACAGATACACTCCAAACGACTGTAGAATGATAAAAACGCTTGCAAATGGGATAATGATTGGCACGATCAGCCGATCGACCAGGGGAGATAAAGCCCACCTTCAGGTTGTGGTAGATCTCGGACCCGATCTTCATGGCTTCCTTGAAGGAGGAAGCGCCGATAGGCAGGATCATGAACTCCTGCACAGGTTCAGCACAGGTATCATAAAATTCTCTAGTCAGCGAGCAGTCCACTCATCATGAACGACGCCGTTTGCCAGCTTGCTTATTCAATTCTTTAACTAATGCCTGAATAATCATGGGATGATCAAAAGTGGCCCACTCCACCTTCAGATACTGTAGAGACATCTAAAGCCTTTCCAGCAGCGTCTGGAGTCATCGGACCATCTGCGCATGAGTACGATTCGCTTCACTTCTACGTGTACGTTCGATGTTGATATTGCTTCTATATGTACATTACCTAATGTATGTATGATTCTGATCATACATACAGAATGGTGACCTGAGGGCGAAGAGCAACAGCCAGCGCACCTGCATTGCCAGCTTGTTTCCTGCATGGGAGCCTCCGTTGATGACGTTGAAAGCGGGCACCGGGAGGACGAGCTGCTTGTTGCCCGCCAGGTCGGCCAGGTGCTGCAGAGACACGAGATTGGATATTTGCGCACTGGCAAACTTGTGGTGGTACAAGGGAGCGGATGTGGCAATCAAATGAACAGATACCGCCACATGTCAAAGACATTCTGTAGTGCTTCGCCAGACCTTGCAAAATCCTGAGGACAATGAGATCTGCCATGATCTCATAACTTCTTACCTCCTCGCAGTCTGTCGTCGTGACCTGCCAGACCAAGGTCTGCGGCTACTAACAAACACCAACACGTGATGATTATCAGAAGCATAGCAACAAACTCGCCCCTGACAACTGCACTCCCTCAGACGGGTATAAGACGACAGTCACATACAAAGTCGCGTTGGACATACCTGGTACAGTGGCACCTTCTTCACTCCAGCGCCGGCCTTAGCAATAGCCAAAGACACAGCTAGGATGGCATTAGCACCCAACTGCGCAAAGAACGAACAGGGTCAGCCAGTCAAGGTCTCAGTTGTGCTTGGGACAAATGACAAAGCTGTCTCAAAACGCATTTGAATCTCGAATCCTGGAGACGCACATTCGCTTGGGCTAAAGGGCAATCTGGAGATAAGAACGCAGACAGCTGGTTAGAGAGAAAGCCATGAGCAGGATGTCACAATGGGCGAGAAAGCTATGGGAAGGAGGACTCTACTATCTAGGTCATTCCACCACTTCTGTGGTAATAAAGCGAACCGAAACTAGAAGCTGGTCTGAAGCCCAGCACTGAGCACCTCTGTTTCCTGGAAGTTTTGAGAGGGCTCTTTTATCAAGCGAGTTTGATAGAGCACAATGAGCGAAGAGAAAGATGTTACCAAACTTGCAACCAGTGAAATACAGAACCTGCATGCACCAAACTGACACGAACAAAAAGGTTTGATTGAGGCTTTGGCTTGCTCCAACTAGATGAAACAGACCAAGTGAGAGCACCAAAAAGCAGCGAAGACTGGTTCCAGGGGGCCACACCTTCTGCTTGCACCAGCCCCACTCGTTGGTGGTTCCGTCCAGCTCCTGCACCATGAAGTCATCAATCTCCTGCTGCTTGACAGGGTCCTTGCCAACCAGGGCGGGGGCGATGATGTCATTCACGTTGGAGACCGCCTTAGTCACGCCCTTCCCCATCCAGTCAGAGCCGCCATCGCGCAGCTCAAGCGCCTCATACACGCCTGTTCGACATTCAGAAAATTGTTCAGTGGTCGATAAGGACTTGACAGTAAGGGTAAAGAGAAGGACTTGATAATCCATGTGAACCCAGAGACTCGATAGATTTACAGCATGCCTAAGGCGACTTTGACTTCGATGGATGAGACGGAGAGACGAAGTGGAAAGAACTTTGAAGGTGCCTTACAAGCTCACAAGCACCTTCAAGCTTCTAACTGACCATGCATAAAAGAGCGAAATAAGGTTGATGGAAGGACAACAAATGGCCGCATCTGACCTGTGGATGCACCACTTGGCACAGCGGCTCTGTAGAAGGCGCCATCCGAAAGGTGGACATCAGCCTGCACAACAAGCTTGGACTATTGCTCATCATTGCATGTGACAGGATGTGATGGAACAAATCTAATACCTTTTCTGATGTCAGGGCGCTCTGATTGCCAATTGAGACAACTCTGACAAAACTCGTCCAGCAGCCAGCCTTTGTTTTCAGAGCAATGACAGCCAGCATACTGAACAACCATATTCATCATGATGAGAGCAATTAATCAGTGCCGGACGAGCAGGCAATCAGATTTGAAGACTGATCATGCACCACCGACTGATCACGAGGATCAAGCCTTCCAGCAAAAATGCACCCATGTCTGGCTTGGATTGCATCAATGCTTCAAAGACGGAACATTGCCTTGAGCCTCGAGTGACTGTTTGGTTCGTTGCCGCGGTCCAAGGACAAGATCAAATGTTCCGGGAAGTGTCCGAACGGTAAACTCACCTCAACAGTGGGGTTGCCCCTGGAATCATAGATCTGGCGAGCCTTGATAGCCTTGATGGTTGCCATGTCTGATGAGACCAGCAATCAAATGTTCAGGTCAGGCTATTTGGAAGCAAGGTATAGGATGCTGAGAGGATGCCGAAGCAACTTTATAGCAGAGAGCCAGTGCAATAAGCTTGCAAGAAAGCATTGGTGGTTACCAGGGATCTGTGTAGGTTTAATCAAATCAAGTCAATGCATAAAGAGACTACGGCATTTGAGCAGGACCAGGTGACTTGGTAGGACCAAGAGGACTTGAAAACATCCTTTCAAAAGGTGGCGATGCAAAGCGGCAATTCAAAGCAATCCAGGCGTCTGGTTTGCAGACTGCAAAACAAATTGTTTACGAAGCTTCTGAATGCTGTGAGATCAAAGGTATGCCTAACGATCACCACCTTTCCCAAGGTGCATCCTATAAAAGCAATGAGTACATTAGGTGAGGCATTTCAATTCACCGCCACAAAATGCGCCCCATACCGTAAGGTTTAGCAATGTGACGTCAACAAGAGATCCACCAATGAGGCAAGCAATGTTCATGGACTTCACCTGAAGAAAGAAGACCAGTCTTCAAAAGAGCCGCGCTGACAGTGAAAGTATGGAGGCAACGTTCTTTCTTTGAAACTTGAAAGCCCGGATGATGGATCAACAAGACTCAAGAGTCAAGACTGTTGTCAGTGTTGACAAGAGAACAGCAGGCCGGGGATGCATGGAAGTTGGGCAATTTGCAACATTTTTAGGCTGGTTTTATTGCATAAATGCAAGATTCATATGCCGTCTCTGGGACCGGCACCCTTGCTAGTAGATCGGTCGAAAGAAGTGCATCATCTTTCGTCATCATCATGCTTCGACTTCTAGGCAATGCTTCCGAAGTCTGATAAACGCCATGCCGTCGGCATCGGGTGTGACATGGTAGTACTAGTAGATTCAAGGGAAAAGTTATGAAATCGAAAAGCTGCGAGTCTGTGAGAGTCTGTGACCAACTTTTGCATGCTTAATCCAGGAGGGAAGCAGCAATGCTGTTCCAAGCCAGTGGTGATGGTGAAACTTGTCAGAAATTGAAGAACACCAAGCGGCCCGAAGAAGTTGATGAATGCAAGGCTGGGTAGATCCGCCATGCTTGAGGAGCTGATGCCATTCTTTATGATACAAGCTTCTTTGTCGGTGCAATAATCCCGTTTCACTGTGGACCTTGATGAATGCGGCTGTTGTTTCAAGATTCTACACCACCATCGTCCGGGCAGCGCATCACTCTGGCAGATCTAGATTACAAATCTACAGGGCCTCTTCCTTGTCTTCAAGGAGCGATCCAGCAGCCAGGCGAGCTGGGCCGTTTCGCAGTAAGCTGCATCTCAGCTTCTGCAAGGACTTTTCGATGCATGCCCATCTTATCTTTCTAGTGAAGGCAGAAGACATCGTTCTGGTCTTCCTCTTGATGAACAGCCAGACCGTCACCTTTTCTTACTCTCATCCTTTGTGCCCATCAAAGAAGTGGTGTGTCAAACCCGGTTGATCACCCTAGAAGTACTGTGCAAGTGTCGTCAAATTCAGTCGCCTAGCCCAGAGATAATTGTACCATGAACCCTTGCTAGGCAACGCTGCTATATTTGCAGACTTCAGAAGGCGCTCTGGGCTTTTCAGTAATATTTCCTCCAGTTGATTCCATCAACAGAAATCATGTCAAGAATGGGAAGGCCAGCTAAGGAAACATGTGATGCGTTTACACAGAGAAACACCGCTTCTGCCCTGTTGAACCGCAGCGTTTTCAACGTCATCACATCCTTAGTACCTCACCTGCATACCAGCACTGTCCAGTACTTCTCCGTGGAAGTCATTCTCATACAACGGATAGCAAACGCATGTAACCACCCTGCAGGCATGGTGACTGAAACCATGAGGTCAGTTCCATCAACATCTCCAGGCCCCTCCCTCCAGCCAACATCTGCCTCCTCTCAGTCGCAAGCGCAGCCTGCCATTGAGCCTCAAGAGCTGGCGACCGCTGAGGCGATTCAAAGTATGCTGGCCAGTGTTGATGACATCATCTTTGATTGCGACGGTGTGTTGTGGCATGGTGAGCGTCCAAACTCAGTTCCTGAATCACTCACAGGGTTTGTTGATTCTTTGCAAGGTTCATGAGCACTGTCTGTTTGCTTCCACCAATATCCATGGCGACAAAAGTAGTACTTTGATATACTCCACACTGATCTTTGAAGAACTGAAGATGTTGCAACAATGAAAGATCTTACCTTTCTGAGCAACTGATCATCGGAAGACTTTGAACACTTAACCCTGTCATTGAAAGTGTCAGTATGTACAGACCCGTTTTTCAATCATCAAAGGCAGTGCGCACGAGTAAAGAAGTTGCACGAGCTTCGTAGAAATCGACAGTGGCAATCTGTGAAATCCTCATCTTGGCAACCGCTGCGTTTCCCACAGGCGACAACCTGCTACCAGGGGTCCAAGACACGCTGGCTGCGCTGCAGCGGGCCGGAAAACGACTGTTTTATGTTCGTAAGCGAAGCCCGCCCCCAATTTGTCGTGCACTGTGCCTTTTACTGCCAAAAATCTGACGGACCAGAATCTAGGTTTGATATGTCAGGAGTACCAGTGAGTTTTGTACCAGTCCAAAGGGTTTGCTGCCACCTGTTCTTCTGATTATGACATGGACTGGTGTCAGTTTGTGAGAGCCCAATGGGGCCCTTTTCTGGTTGGATGCCTCATGCAAGAGTTGATCAAAGATTGATTTTACTGGAGTGACTTAGAAAGAAGAAGTGAACATTTGCCATCGTTTGCAGGTCACCAACAACGCTAGTAAGAGTCGGCGCCAGTACTCTGAAAAGGTGAGGACAACAAGGACGAGATGACATCCTGTTGTTCAAATCAGTATGGGCTTTGTTTGATGCTAATCACCTTGATACGAGATTACAACTCTGAAGCGGGCAGAGGCCGCATGGTTGTATCAGGTTTTGCGTATATCTCATTTACCTTCTAGCTTTCATCTTTGCATTTCCTGCCAATTCATAGAAAAGCAGCGAAGACTTGTTTCACCTCCCCTGTGAATCCCACTGTACCACCATGAAGCTTATTTTCTCGTTGTATGTGACGTTGCTCTTTTCTCAGATCCTCGGCTTTGATAGAAGACGTTAGAACGCCACGACAGGCGGTCGCAATGACCCGTTCGTTGACAAAATCAACGTCTCTCGTCCATACAGATAAGGCGGCTTGGGATCGAAAACAACCCCCGCCACGTGTACGGCTCTGCCTATGCTGCTGCGAGCTACCTCAAACGGCTGGGTTTCGAGAAGAAGGTCTTTGTCGTCGGTATGGTAAGGTTCTAAATCACAATCGTTGGCAGATTGAATTTTTTGCTTGTGGGCTCCGAGACTTTTGTGAAAGAGCTTACAGGCGTCATGAACACTTGTACGCCGGAATATTCATCGGCTGAGAGACTGGGTTCCCTTCAGACTGTCTGTGTGTATAAAGGAAACTAAATATGGAGCGACCCATGTCGAAAGCGTCGCATTGGGAAGTTAGGCAGTGCATTCACAAGCTAAAGAGAGTCCACCCGTCTCTTTAGCATCAGTCCTTTCGATTGTGGTTGAGAATTCATACCCGTCGTCACCACCTCTCTCCATTGTTCCTCGATCACCAACCAAGATCTGTTTATAGATTGCGCCGTTACTGCCAGGCTGCAACTTTCGCTAATCTCAGAATGCATATATTAGGAGAATTGACGTATCGTTTTCCTTGCAGGAAGGCATTGAAAACGAGTTGGATGAGGTGAGCCTGTGTATCCAAAAAGCCCTCCCTTTCCTTCCTTCCCGTGCTCAAACAATTCATGAATCTTTTGGCCTGTCCTGAAATTTCCAAGCTGTCCGTGTATTCCGCGAGAACCAGGCATCGAAGCTTGGAGCGTTTGCAAGTTTGACGGTATCAACTTGCGAAATTCAATCTCTGCATGGATCAAGAAAGCATGATGCGCTTGCGCATCGGTTGAGTTCTTGATATCTATTCTAAGACTCGTCGTCTGCCTTTCGCCACATGAACACCTCCCAAAATTTGTAGCCACACAATAGGCTTACGCAAGTACGTCGTGCCTATGTTTCGTGTTTGCAATCCTGCCTTAGGGACCGCACTTGATTCATCATCATTTCTTTATAAGGCTCCAGCGCTTTTGTTCTGCAGGCCGAGATTGCCCACATTGCCGGGAGTGGTTACGTGGCACCCGGATGGACCGTCGATGACGCAGCCGGCATCGAGCTGGACCCGGAGGTGAGCGGGAACAGGACACGTGTTGGCTTGTCGTTGCGCGGATATACTGAAGTGCGTTTTGTTTCCTGTTCGGAAAGTCCCTTCTGTCGAAAGAAAGTTATGCGAAATCGGACTAACGGAGCACGACTTTCCCGCGCAATGGCCAAAATGCTCTCGAAACATTGGATAAGAATTTGCGGATCTGGTTTTGCAGGTGGGGGCTGTTGTGGTGGGATTTGACAGCCGGGCCAACTATTGCAAGGTGGGAGTGTCAAGCGCAGGTCTTTTGTTCCTGATGCGTTTCTTTTGAATCTGGCCGTGTTGAGCGAACCTGCTTTGAGTCTGGTTGCTTAAACGGACTTGGTCGTTCACTATCGTATCTTTGTCAGAAAGTTGTTGAGTTGCAAATCGTCGTCTCCGCGTTGTCTGCTGGTGTTTGTGTGTGTGCACCACTTATTATTGGCTTCTTTTGATCATACCAATCAGCATTATGGAAAGGAGACACTGGCGTTCAATTCTGGTAAGGAGCCAGATTAGTCAAGTTTTGGGAGCAAAGCAGGTTTGCCAGACGGTTCCCAGAATTTGGCTGTTGTTCACTCCTGGCTCAATCTAAATCCGGGCACTCCGGTTGTTATGCAAGCGGTGTGCATCATGGTTCTCGACCTGAAAGCAGAGAAATGGAGGTGGCGCGCCACGTTCGTGTATGATTCAAAAGAGACCAGCGACCGACGCATCTCGTCATCTCAGCAGTTCTTCTATTGTAGATATCAACGTGCTGTCCCCAGGAGGTTACGCCTTGGCGCCTACGCGCAGCAGCTGTAGCCCCTCGTAGTTCTACTCTCTTTGAGGAAACATTGTCTACCTTTCCCTAGGATGTCCTGATTCCTCGCAGATTTGTGTCATGACTTCTTGCGCCACCGACTGAGTTCGCAGTCCGGCACTTTATACCTTGCCTACTCGATCTGCAGCTAGCCGCGGCTGCGCAATACATACGATACAATCCCGGGTGCTTATTTATCGCAACGAACGCCGACGCATCAGCAAATGCCAGCAACGGTGAGTATCATGGAGCAGAGTTCTTTCTGAAGTGACAACCGGTCGGTACCACCTTCTGCCTTACTTTGATGGTCTTATGCTCAACTGCTTACGCCAATCGAGGGAGCCCAATTTGCCCCTTGCCCCCCTGGAATTTCGTTCGCTTCCGTTCAGAAGAATTTGCGTCTGCTTGGCCATTCTCCGGGTTCTTGTGAGTTCAGATCTTCACATGTCAGAGAGCTGCTTCTCAAGACACGCTAACGTTGGGCCCGAGCTCCGGCTCTTCCCCCTGCCTTCAACCGCTGTCTTCCGCCATACTTTGAAACCTATCTCGTCAATTCAGCAACAGTAAGCTCCAGCAAAAGTAAGTCCCTGCAATGACTCTGAAAACCTGACCCAGATAAACACCTGCTCCGCACCCGTACCCACTCTAAACCCCCAAGCTAACCCGACCCGTCCCAGGCTGGTTAACTTACTTTTGCTGAAGCCTACCTTTGCTAAATCGAGTAATTGTCTTGGAGACACTGCACTCCTGTTCGCAGGCAGAATCATCCCGGGGGCAGGGACGCTAGTTCGCGCCATCCAGCTCGCGACCGGACGTGAAGTAAGTGCACCGAGTCGCACTGCCCGCTAAAAATCTTTTCATGATCTCTTCATGTTGAACGGTTTGCTTCCGACTTGCACAATTCCATATCGTGTTCCTCAACTTCTGATTAAACGCTCAGCTCTTCTGAGCAGGATAGCCGAAACCTATCAAATATCGTTGCCTTAGCTTTCTTTGAACCGAGTGCTCGTTTGAATCCAAGCTTTGGTTGTATTGCGCGCGTGAAGAACGTGCTTTAGACTGCCGTCGCTTATCCTGTAAGGATTAGTGAGGTACTAAGAAAGCCCGTTCGGACGACGCCGTCATTTCGACCTATGATGATCACGACAAAGCTTGTACCCAAGGTCAAATTCCGTCAACGCTTTGCTTTTGCGGGTACTGCGCAGAACGTACAATACAATAGCCAAGCCTTTCACAGTCGTCCAAAACCAGAATGCTCAAGCGAAAGCGATGGAACGCATTCTGTTACATACACCCTCTTATTGCACGTTCAACAAAATTTCGGGCATGTCTGGTGTTCTTCAAAGATCGTACGGCGTTTGGCCTCAAATACCAGCCACCCCACCTCTCACACAACATTGCATAATCCTGAGCCGTCGTGTGCCCTGCCGTCTCGGGCCAATTGTCCAAGATCAGAAACCATGCTCCGCGACAATCTCGAAACCCAACGGCAACTCGACATGGACAGCTGTAACTCTGCGCCGATGGCCGTGCAGCCGTTGGTAATGGGCAAGCCGGAGCCGTTCCTGTTGGATGCTATCGCGGAAGAGCACGGTATTGCCAAAAATCGGACGCTCATGGTTGGGGACCGGCTGGATACCGGTGAGTGCCGCGTCCAATGAAAGGCTTCCGTTGGGTGACTTTGGATTCGGAAAGAGAAGGGGGAAAGCGCTCTATCAAGACATGGAAGACAGCGGTTTGAAGTTATGTGCTGTTGTGATGGTCGCGCGATTTTTGAGCAGGAACCAAAGTCGACCTTCTTGGTGTAGCGGGGGGCCGACTGGAAAGGCGACTGTAGGTTGACGAATTCTGCCAGGAAGAGAATGGAGGGGGTTGGTTTTTCGCATGTGTGGTGTTGCTCACGGGCCCCTCTTGCTCACTGCTATATCAGTGTGCGAGCTTAAAGGAAATCAGCGAATGCAGTACAAATCTCGTGTCCTGCCAGTGAATCTAGGCTGCTTCGCATCACTCATTAAGATCAAACGCGTTCGCTCAAAATCAACTTAAGAGCAGCGACGTGAGCCAAGCAGTGGCTGTTGCTGATATCAGAGTCCGACTTGCTCGGACATTTGGTGCACAGAATGCTCAGTCCAAAGTCCTTCTTGCGATTTCCGTCTCGATCTTCCAACTATCCCCTGTCGCAGACATCGAGCCTGGGTTCACTTTTGGCATCCGAAGGTGCTTGAACTTTGATGTACAGAACGCTTGATATGTAGTACCTCTTCCGGGTTTCCGGGTCTTCCGTCAGACCCATTGCTTCTGCTGCTGCTTTTCATTCCAGTCACTGACTTCGGATTCATCTATAGCATCCGAACTTGCTCGAACTTTGGTGTGCGGAATGGTGAATCCGACTCGTTCCGCCTTGCGACTCCCGTTTCCGGTCTCCTGTCTGACTGATGGTTCCCTTGCTCTTCTCTCTTACAGACATCGAGTTTGGGTTCAACTACGGCATCCGCACGCTGCTCGTTTACACAGGCGTGACCACCCCCGAATTGTTGCATGAACACAGGCGAGTCCGCTTTTGTTCGCTCCACTCGCTAAAGCCTTCCAGGCTGCCCTTTGGTGATTTAAATCTGCGCCGTCAGAAAAGACGTTCGTTCTCTTCACCTCTGTGACGGTATTTTCCGATTTTGGGTTTTTAGGCTTTCACTGTCCCGTCGTCTCCGTGCCGCTTTCCAGGGCTATGAACAGCATTGTCCTGGTCAGTTCTCGAATACCGAAAACCTGTGATTGGCTCTTCAGCCGCTTGTCACAAACCAGGCTTTGCAAGCAAAGCATCCTGTTCGAACGAATGCCTTCCAGATGATTTGCAAAGGTCAAAGCAGCGGCGCTTCGATGCTCTCGACCAACTTTTCAGCCGTCTCCGTCGTAGTTCCAAGTCTGAAAGCAAACCAGCTACTAACGTGCACTTTAACGTCGATTTTGATCTGCAGGACGAAGAAGCAGATTGTGCCCGACCTATGTTTGTCCCGGTGTTTCCAGTTTGCTCTCAGGCTGTCAAACTGGTCGTGGCGGAAAAGCAGGCAGGTAGCCGAAGTCGGGTGCCGGTGAAGCACGTCTAAAAGAGCCATCGACATTTCGAATATAGAATCAAAGGCTTGATAAGTATCAAGCAGCGAACTTAGTCCAGCAAAACATTACGGTTCTTGAGCGGGTGGCTTCAGTATGTTTCGGAGTGCAAAACGGTCGTATGTTGTCAACAACATCCAATATCTGCACCTTACAAGGAGTTAGAAAGTCGCACATGTCCCACGACTTCCTAAATATCATACAGAACGTTGTTAATCACCTGATTCTCATAAGTAAAGTGCATGTGAGGAGCCTCGAGACCGGGCTGAGACTCACTGAGCCTAGGCACGGGTGAAATGCTCAGTCCCGCTGCCTACCGCACTGATCGACCATGAGGAATACAGCAACTGGCCCGAGCCGCTCTGCGCTGCTACTAAAGGTTTCATTGTGCTAAGCAACCGTCCGGAGCTCTATCGAGCGGCCCCACGGGCGCCCCACGCTCAACCATCAGTGTAAGACGGTCCGATCGGCGGCCTCGGCCAAATGATTGAATAGAACCGCACGCCATGGCGCAAAAATCTGCTGCATTGGTATGGAGTCGGCCCCATGGCCGGGCATGATCATTTGCAAGCATGCATGAGAGCTTATATTTAGTTGATTAGTAAATTGCGCATATATACTATAGTCACACGGTTGCTAGGTAGTACTCAGCCTCTAGGCTACTGAAGTGCAGGCGGCGGGCCAAAATTGAATTTTGTCAGGAAATGCCCTTACCGTACGTTGGAAGGGAGAACACGGGAGACCTATGGTGGGTTTATGGTTGCGCAACCATAAACCAATTTGCCTGCGCAGGCAAATTGCTGCACATCGCCGGCAAAGGCGGTAGGTCAAACCTGAGAAATACCTGCGATGGCCGACCTCCGGTTGTCGGATTTCCGTACGGCGAGCGTACATATCGTTTAGCTCGAAACCCTGGGATCTAGGCAGTATTCTTCGACTTCGATACTCGTTCGGTCCACAGACCGCTCGGTACCTCATCCTAGTAGGCGGGGGACCATACTTCCCACACAGTAACTTTATCATGGTCGTAGCTTGGCCTTTCTGCATATGTGGTGTTAGTTCAGAGAGCCGGTGGTTCGGGCAGCTTCTGGAGTCCGGGCTTTCGGTGTAGTACGGTCAGCCTGCTCTTGCAGGCGCCCCTTGATTATTTTCTGCAGTCTCGTGATGTCGCCGGAGTTTATTCGGGTCGTACGGTACAATCGCTCTCGAAATAGCCAAGTGTCATCACGTGAACACGTGTCATTTGCTAAACTCAAGACCGTACGGTCGGTGTCAGACCGGCCACTTAAGTAGGTTTTAATACTACACAGCTTTGACACTGGACTAGTTTGGTACTTCTAACAATGTTTGTTCATCAGCGGAGTGTCATGATATAGTACGTACCGGTGTTCGGAGAGGTCTGCACTCTGTATTGCGCACAGTGCACACTGCACACTACCGTACACACTGCACACTGCACACTGCCCCAGGGGCCCGAGCTCGGGGGTCGGGAGTCGGGACCCGGACCGAGAACAAAAGCAAAGTTCTGAAAAGGGGAGGACTTCGAAAAGGGCAGATCATGGCTGCCCTTATTAGCGACCTTCCTCCTCAAACGACCTAACAAGGCCACCTTCCGGACCACTTCAGCTTAAATCCAGCTTTGGGCGCCACAGCCAAGGCACTCGGCAAGGCCTGGAAAAAGCCGCGATGATGTGCCCTTCAAAATGGCGGGTTTATGAGTCTGTATAGTGGCAGCACTTTTAGGGGCAAATTGCGGCAATCTGTAGGAAATAGGGAGGAAAATGAAAAAATTGCAGCCCGGGGCGTGGATATTCGCAGGTCGGAACCTACCGATTACCTTCACTCGAACCTACCAAGACTCCCTACGACGGTCGGTAAACCGTACGGACTTTGCCGCAATATTCGAAAATTTGCAGGCACCCAAACCCGCACCATAGGTCTCCCGTGTGCGTGACTTGAATGTAGTATTGCTCAATATTGTGGCATGCACATGGTTGGAACTGGGCAAGTCACTAAGCCATGTTGCATGTGCACACTCTAGCTGTCAAAGCTCTATTCGACGTACATGCCACACTGGCAAAACCTGTGCAGCCTAATAAAGCGGCCAGCGCGACAACATTGTCACATCAGTATGATACGATATCATGCTTCCAGACATTTGCAATCGCATTCCGCACTCCGATGCACGCATCCACCTCTTTTCCGAGATCACTCACCTAGCATGCATGGTTTACCAAATTACCAACCAGATCCAACTAAACCGATTCAGACAGTGGACACGGGATCGAACTCAATGGACCATCTTCAAATCCGTGACTCAAGGCGGTGTCGGAACATCGATTCTCAACATCCGGACAACTCAATAGTATATGGCTAATGTCCGCAAGACAGAAGTCTACTTAGAGCTTGAATGATCTCATACATTCCAAGCTTTAAGAAAGCTCTGGGAAAGCAAGATATTTACACCGTTTCACAAAACCTACTCTACTACCCACTCATACCACCGACTACCCAACTGCATTTACACCAGCTCCGGACTACCCACTCACGTTATCCAGGACATTTGCAAATGCACACCCTAGCTCAAAAGGATTCCGGTCCTATTCTTACTCTTTATAATGATCGGTGAATTGTAGGCGATTGCTTATTCAATTTGTGGTCTAAGATATCATCGTGATTCAAAGTCGATCAGCCCACTTGACGCCCAGCTTTCCTATCGGACTCCAATTTGACTGGTTCCCGACCGCAATGCCCTGATCCTGTTTCTCTCCTGCGACCTCGGCCGACTGAATGCAACGTCTCTCTTACGAGAGACCCCTCACTGTCCTCCACTTCGTGCCACAAACTTCCGTCGATTGAACCACTACTAACGAGAAGACGGTATAAGCATAACAAAAGCAAAAACCCCGAGGGCGCAATCGAATACAAGTCGGTCTAAGATGAGCCTTTCTCTCCTGGAGCGCCGTACGCGTCCCCGCTATTTACAGACCCCCCCTGAAAGTAGTCCGGCCAGTCGGGGTGCTCCTGCGCAAAGCTGCTGAGCTGGTCGTCAAACCCCCCGCCCAGGTTCGCGTCCCCCAACTGTGAACCCAATCCGCTCGGCTGTGAGTGCAAAAAGTCCTGGTACAGGTCGAGCGGTTCGCGGGATAGGGAAAGGGTGCGCAGCAGGGGCGGGGAAGATACAAAGTCGGCCGACGAACGCCCGGGGCCGGTGCTGTCAGGCCGGTCGCCGCTCAGGTTCAGCAGCGAAGGTTTCGGACCCATGCCCAATCCGATTCCGTTTCCGGCGGAATCCGGCCTGCCAGAGTTAGACGAGCCCACCCCATACCGCTGCGGACTCGAGCGCGCACCCAGCGTCACGGGCAGACAATTTGGCTGCCCCGCCCGGAAGCCCGCCAGTCCGTACCGCTCAACAGTACCGAGCCCGGGCCGGATGGCAGTCGCCATGACGCCACGTGTCACCAGGGGGTGCGCGACGCGGGCCACGTTCCCGGCCAACCGGGGGCGTTCCTGAGGTCCAAGAGATTGGAGTTTTTGGGTCGGGCCGAACTCGCCGACTCTGAAACCCCGGGGCCCCGACTTGGGAGCCGTGGGCTGGCCGTACTCGAACGGTTCGGGGGGGTCGTTTTGCCGGGCAGGGCCGCCCCCCGGGAAACCGAAGTTGTCGCTGGAGGGCCCGAGCGACAAGTCAGGGGACGTTGTGGCGCCGACCGGTTTCAGAGCGTATAAGCCCTTGTCTATACCCTGAACCCCCTCCACTTGGAACACCTGTTGCTGACCCCTAGCCGTGTCGATCCAAACCGGCATCACGGCGGGCGGCAGGTTTTGTGGGCCCCCCCTCCCGGACTTTTCTTCCTGGTCTGGTTTCACCCGTGCATCCAACGGCTCGGAGCCGACATTGGACGGCCCAGGTGTGGCGCGTCCCTGCATTGTTTCTCCAGGAGGGCCCCTTCCAGAATCTGCGCCGAGGGGGGGTTGCTCGAACGCCTCCTGGAGCGCCACGTCATTCCCCCCGCCGCGGGAACCGGCGCCCATACCCTGCCAACCGAGCGCCATCATCGCGTCCGGGACGAGCAGGCCCGCACGTGCGAGCGCCACTAACCCCGCGCCAAACCCTGCCTCGAACCCCGCCTCGTATTGCGTGATCGGAGAAGTGTTGCCCTGCTGGGGGGGTCCTCCGGCCCCGAGAAAATCGGGTTTGGTTCCAGGGAGCAGGAGGGCTGCGGCGGGCATGGGGGCGACTGAGGGGTTGGACGTGACGCTCAGGGGGATACCGTAGGAGGTTTCTGTCAGGTTCAGGGGGGTGCTGGGGCTGCGGATCGAAGTCCCATGGAGCTTGGGGGTCTGTTGCTGGCTGCAAGGAGCGAAGAAGTCGGTTAGGATCCTCGAGTCGAACAGCGAGGGTGTGTGGTTCTAAGAAAGTACAGGTGCGTTCCTCCTTAACCTTTTATAAAATCTTGCTTGGCCAGTTTCATTCTCGCAAGTAGCGCCGTTTCTAACCCCAATTCGAAAGTATTGGTAAATTGACTGTGCCTTGGCTTCAGATTTGCAACCTTGACACAGGAGACTTTTAGTATGTGGTTCGAGGTTGCAGACAGCCCTGAGACAACGTTTGTTCCTTAGAATAATTCAACATCTCTTGTGAAAGAGAACTAAGAGGACTCAATCCTACCAGCACTGGCAGTCAGGACAAAATCGAATCACTGAGAACTTGAGATGAAAGACAGCAAACCGTTTCTGTTGATGGCGTGCTACCTAAGCTAGACAAACCAGAAGCAGACAGCGGTCCTTTTTCAAAATTCATTTTCCCTCTTAATTATGGAACATCTGTATAAAACTAGGGACCAGCAAATCTGCTCGAGAAAACACTATTGAACAGGGCCACCATAAGCTCCCAACCATGCATGTCGCTTCTTATCGGAACCGAATGATAGCAAGGCCAATCTCAACTCCTCTTCACCAGTTTTCGCGAAGCAAAATCCCTTTGTTTTGGGCCTTCAACAATGGCGACACATAGGAGCGTTTCCAGAATCTGAAGATGGACAAAAGGAAGGCACAAGGGATGGGGCGGGCCAAACTACACCGCCATGTATTTCTTCCAACCGCTCGGATCCAACTCTGCAAAGCTTCGTTCGATGACAGACGCCTGTCATCCCAACAGATTGCGTTCACAGGTGACGAAGTCAAACGTAGGGCTGCTGGGTTACCTTTCATAGAAAGCCGCAGCCTCACGCGCCGCCTTCGCCTGGACCTTTGCCTTCTCATTCTCCCGCTCTGCAAGAACACGCACCACCGATTCTCTCAAGGAGAGGTCCAGCAAAAGCAGTTGGTTTATGCAGAGTCCCAAAAGTTGAAAGCAAGTCAGCAGTTTTCAACTGCTTACATCGTGCGCTCTTTCTGCATAGACAGCACCAAGGCATAGAGAAAAGTCTTCTCATGATAACAGGGTCTTTTCGAGGCAGGCAAATTTACGGGACCATCAGACAATCAGAACTCGCATGCTTCATGGGGCAAATCGTGAGAAAGCGAGCGTACACAATCGATTGGGAATGTGAGGAAGGACACAATACTTAAGCATGGCACGAGATCATCGCTTTGTGGTCTAGTCAAGATCGACGTGCAACACTGTAATCTGGACACACTTCGCCATCAAATAGCAGTACGTCTACGGCCAGGGGCCCATATTTAAGAATGAAATGGGCTCCTGAAAGGTCCCTCCGTGATCCCGGATATCTCCTTAACCAACAAAGAAATCAATTCTTACTCAAAGCGTACTCTGTGCATCCAACAAGCTACGACTCTCCCGAATTACTGTATTTGTAGAAGCTTCAGCTCCCAAAACTCTAACTGAAAAGTTGTAGCATCCAAAGACATCGTCTATGCAACTCTGACTTCTGGCCAGAACAGAGGCTGTGTTAACCGTCCATCGACGGGGGAAGCACTCACCTCTTGCAGTATCCTGACACATAAAAGCTTTGCCCGAGATCCCCCTGCAATCCTACTCAAGACCCTTCAGCGTCCAAAGACATGGTCTATACAACTCTAAAACTGACCAGAACAGAAGCTCTAAAATTTGGAGTAACAAAACGGAGGCACTCACCGGCTCTGTGCCGGTTCATGTGGCCACCCAGCGCCTGCGAGACCAGGAAGCGCTTCCCACAGAAGCGGCACTCGTAGACGGTCTGGTGACCGTCCGCTATCGTTTTCCAGCCGCCCAGATGGTGGTCCTCTTTGCCGTCTCTCGCACCTCCGCGCAAGTTCCCCGTGGGTTTCTCCTCCCCTGCGGAAGAAAATGCTCGAGAGGTCAGGACTTGTTGAAACGTGGATTAGGTGTACTCATTCGAGTGTTAGAGTCGGTTTGAGAAGATGCTTGGAGGAAACCCAGGCAGTCAAAGATGGAGAATCCACGAAATGGATATTTTCAAAAGGTATGTAAGAGACGGTATTGCTCGAGTGCATTGACCTGCAACAGGCACAGTACCGAGAACCGATGAGGCTTGGACCCACATGAAGCATCACATCTTGACCCTGTTGAGAGCCAACAGCCCAACTCGACTTCTGAAGAGTCCTCACGATTAGGCAAGAGCTTGAATCGAGGATCGAAGCCCCAAATCTGTCTGCAAACAGAGCGAGAGGCCCCTCTTCCCCTATAAGGAGAGAGCAAAATCTGCAACTAGTAGGTACCAAGAATTGACACAGCCATCAGAAACACTATCTTTTGTGAGTCCTCAACACGTTACTGGACTCTATATGCAGACGACCTCTACACAATGTTTCTTCAAAAGTACTCCCCATATCAAGTGCAGAGTTCACATGCCGTTGCTTCCAGACTTGCTTGTGGCACCCGCACAAATCCTGGGACTGCTGGTTTATGCAACCACAAGGAAATTGCTCTCATTAAGGCCGAAACGGTTGAAACTTCTATGCAACCAAATGACGCACGCTCTTTACCTGAACTCTTCTTCTCGTTTCTCGGCCTCTCTGCCTCGCTCGCCCTCGCCTCCCCCTTCCGCACTGACTCGCTGCTGTCGCTCCCCGTGTGCTTCCGCTTCTGTCCAGACTGCACCGTACTCTCGTTGCTCCCCTTTCCCCCGTCATCATCCGCCCCCAAGTACCCCCCCTTATTCCTCTGAGGGACGCCAACGCTGGCCTTATCAGGGCTGCCAGGGGTAAAGCCGTCCAGAACCCCGCCGTTCGTCTTCCTGGCGCGCTTTCTGGAACTACCCTCGCTGCTGCGATCGCTGACGTCACTGTCAGTCTCGCTGACGCCAGCGCCGCCGCCCCCCCCCCGCACCTCATCGAGTCCGCGTGCTCTTTGCAGTGCTCGCCCCCACTCTTGGAACCGGACCTCCTCGCTCCGTCCGATTCTGACCCAGATCCGGACGGGGTGCGCTTTTTCTCTGTCCTCTCGCTGTCCTCCAGGTGGAAACTAGCAAAGCCCTCGAGCGCGCGCTTGTCTTCTTTCCCGCCGACAGACAGGCCCCCGCTCTTTGCTTGCCAGTCCTCGGAGGTGCCCCAATGTGGGGAGCTGCTGTCTTTCGTATCCCAGTCGCTCCCTGACCCGTTGGTCGGCACATGCAACCTGTAGCAAAGGGCGTCCCCAGCAGCCTTCTCTTGGCGCTTTGGCACTTCTCCCAGGTCCGACGTCTTCTCCTCTGCAGAGACATTTCTATCAGGGGGAGCCTCTTTCAGCTGATGTTGCTCTTCGATCCCGTCCTCTTTCCCAAACTTTTGACGCTGTGATTCCCCTCTCCCTCTAATGTCTATCTGCGTAGAGAGAGGCGTTGCTAAACCCTGAGAAACCCCAAAGCCACGCATGGCTTCTGAGGGATCTGCTCCACTCCCACGAACTGCGACGTATGGAAAGAACCGGTTTGTTCTCCCCGGCACCTCAGGCTCTTGTGAAACACTCTCAAAGTAGAACTGCTTTGAGGGACCTTTTTCTGCCAGTCTCGACCCTGCATGAGACTGTGGCTGTGGCTGCAGGTCCCGGAGGACGGGCACAGTAGGCCCTGTGCCTCCATGTTGGCCACCAAACATAAGGCTGCCGCTGTCTCTCTGAAGCTTCAACAGGGCCTCCTCAAACAGGCTCATCGTCTCCTGGACAGACTCGAGCGAGCTCTTTGAGGGTTGGTAAGGTTGTTCAGTCCCAGGCACTGAAAGTGCCCCAGAGACTAAGGCTTGCGGATGCTGCAACATCTCTTGCTTAACGTCCTTGCAGGCTTGACCGCTCGACGTGTGTCCTCCCTCGAAACCTGGGACAAGCAAGGTTGAAAATAGTCGTCAATCTGCATGCTAGCAACACACTATGAATCATGATCCTGTGAATGCCTGGTCGTGGAACTTTGAGTTATGATTACCACCCTTGGTTTCTGATGGGAGAGTGCATCACAGTGCTGACGTTTGAACAGTGCTAGACAGAAGAGCAAAGCATGAGGCTGGCGATAAAGTATGCTTCGCAATCTTATTGTCCAGTTTCGATAGGAACAATGTTATGACAGGTACATTTACAATGCTTCGAAGGCTAGCTTGGCTTCTTGCTTGCTTCTTTAAGGGACAGCCTGCTCAGCGCAGCGCTCAAGTAGGGCTTTGATCAAATCCAGGACAACATGCAGATTCATGGTTTTCCTGATGAACCTTACAGACCAGATTGACTTGAGATCCTCTGAAGTTTGCTCTGGAGACGTCCAAATGTTTCTTGCAAATTACTTGGAGGAATCTTAAAGTTGCAGGATGTAACAGCATCCCTTGTTGATCAACGCACTGAGAAGTCTTTGGGTAAGAAGAATGAGCAGAACCATTTTCAATCGATAATCTGCAAGCTGGAAAGTCTTCTGATGTGACAGCCTTCATGTGAAAGTGTGCGGCGATTGCAAGCATGCGGGTTCAACTTTCCAACAATCGGAAACAAAGCAACCTGTGCAAACTGGACATTTCGGAGCTTGCATGCAGAAATTATCTTAAGACCTGGCGTGAGAATGTGCACCAGGTGTTACGTTCTCTGTGCTCACTTGCTTACATCTACGCACAATGTGCAGAAAGGAGAGGAGGAAAAATTGAGGGCAGAAACACAGTAATATTGATGAGGAAAAGCTCACCTCTGTTCTTAGGTCTCTCTTCCACCTGTGGGGTTGAACCTGCCAGGGTTCTCACAGGGGTTTCTCGTTACCCTACTGTACAGCTTCTGTGTTTGTCCTTGACCTGCAGAGCAATCCGGGTCAAGGGTAAATGTGGGGCCTCACTTCAAGGGCCACAAGGATAACCTGAAAGGAGTAGAAACCAAAGAATTCACCACTTTCTACAAAATATGCAACTAGCTCTTGCTGGAGTGTGCCATGCCAAGCTTCTCTACCAAGTTGAACACGCCTCATTTGCAGTCATTGTGCATCTGTTGGGGCAATGTAGCAAAGTGTGACCAGTGGCATCCTTGTATTGCAGATCCTCCAGGGGTCTGCTTCAACGTCAACAAATGCAAAATGCAACACATTTGAAGACCAGCCAAATCTGAAGCTGAACTTCTAGTGAGGAAGATATGATTCTTATCACAGTTTCTTCTATCCCAAAAGCTTGCTAACGTATCTAGCCGACTTAGATACAGAGCTCACAACCTTGCTCCTCGCATCCTTGATCTACAATCCATCTCATCTGCTTTTTCTTCAAAGCTACAGCCAGGAACATCCTTGGTACACAAACCACCTTGACCAGCTCTTCCACATTCCAAAATGGAAAAGTTCTGTTGCATATTCCAAGGAGTATATATGCTTGCATGCCCGCTGGATCATCATTGACGAAGCAGGCACAGGCGGTGCCAACTCTCTCTGCGCAGAAACTACAACAAGCTCCTCTGGTCAACCCCGTGCATGCAGTCATTTGTTTACCTGCAACACCATTTGTAATCAAAGCTGAGGGCTCAATCGTTTTGCAAAACGTCACTGCCTAGAATAGATTTGTGTTCCCCTCCTTACCTCCAATGATAGTTTGAACTTGAAACTTGCCCTCATGCACCACTTTCAATACTTTTCATTCCTCCCCCTGCTTGCTGGTGCGGCTTATTGGCTGTTCACTTCTTCGAGATGGTCGTATAATCAAACCACCTTCACATAGACTGTCTAGTTTTGACCCCCCTGCGCCGCCAATGTCATGCTAGAAACCAGTTTGTTCATGCCAATGCTGGAGGGACAATGTCAACAGTGCTTAACTTTCCTAGTATAGGCATACAGAGGCAGTCACTTTCCTTTGAAACTCCCGACAGCTCCTTGCGCAAGCAGCCTTCTCTCTAAGGAAAAGCGTCTCCCGCCCCCGGCATACCGCCATTGTTGACAGTTTTGCTCAGCCTTCGAGGAGGAACAGGGAACACTACGTCGTAAGGTTGGCCCCAACCTGCTGTCAAAAGTATCTGACTCTGTAAAAGTGCACCTCTGCGTGAGCTGCATGAGCGGTCCAGCTGCTTGAGAAAACAGTGAAAATTTTTCTCCACACGGAAAATTGCGCCAAGTCAGCCCATGCTGGTTCCCCGATCCCCAGCACCGGCCATGTGCGCCGCTTTCAAATTTGCAGAATTTAATGGGCGACATTCATGACGCATGCAGGAAGCCGCAGAGGAATCAAAACATGGTTTTTGTGCCTGACGTTACACGTATCTGAAAATCTGTGGAAACGGCGGAGAGCCCTCACTTTGTCCACCGTGGCAGCTTGGGCGAATCAACTTTACAAATTGAGATTCCTGCACCGGCGGCTTTTGCGGAAAGGGCCCCAACGAGATCCTCCGATGCGTATTTGCACGCCACTTGGCGTGGGCAATTTTGAAAAGGTACAAGCGGTCAAGTGGCCCCTCCGGCCCCGCGTGGGATATGACCTCGCGCTACCAGCAAACTTGCCCGGCTGAGATTTCTATACCGGTACAGCTCTCAACCGGGCTAGAAGAAAATCTTCCGGATCTGTAGTAGACTGTCAATGTGCAATGCATGCGGCCGCATATCACCGGTACGCAGCGGCCGGTTGAGAAAGCCCTGTCAATCTGCAATGAGTATTCATGTTGGTATTGTGGACACGTGAAAGACGCAAAGCCTCCGTACACCGTTTCGTGAGCTGTCAGCGCCTCCATCAATCATTGAGATGATGCTGGCTGGCAGTTGGGCCCTGGGGCCGCGGCCCCGCGGGCCGCAGACGCCGACTCGCCGGGGCCCGGGTACGTCACGGTATGGTAGGCATGCACTGCGATTCCGGCCTACTGACTCCTGAGGCTACTCAGTGCTCACTCCCGACCTGCAGGCTGGGGAGTGGGAACTGTAATTGAATTTGCAGAGATCGTGGCGCAACTTAATTGATTGCGCCAATTGGGGTTGCGTCGGATTTCGCCAATATTCCGCCCAGAGCCCCTATTTCGCCAACCCGGCGCAATTCTCAAAAGATTTTGCTTATATGCACATAAGATACCAGTTTTGAGACCAGAGTTGGTCAAAATCAGATTGAGAGCAGTCGAAATCGCGGTTTTGGCTCAGAGAATTGACTTCGCAGATTCTGCATATTGCGTTTTCACGGATTTGTATACGGTGAACGGAGTTTGCAGCATAAGCGGCAAGCGGAAGGCCCTTGTATTTCGCCAATTTCGCCGAATTGCGCCAATTAGTGTTAGTGCATAGCGGGTTTGCATTTTGAATTAGGGTTAGTGCATAGCGGGTTTGCATTTCGCCACGATCTCTGTGAATTTGCCATCGACTCCAGCAGGAAAGGATCATTGATACTGAGATACAGTATACATTAGGTAATAGGTATGTTTGTGCCGCCGTGCCAGCTGCGCGCGTGCGGGGCGTGTGCCATGCCAGAATATACCGGTGTACCGGCATGCCAGCATGACCATTGAAAACTTCCCGGCCATAATCCATGCAGTTACTAATCGTCAATTGTCACTCAATGACATGACAGTACAGATTGTTGAATTGAATAATTGTCATGCAATTCTGATTTTATTTTTGCTTACCATACAAGCATTGCTTGCATGAAACTTCTACAGCACCGCCTGCCTGTGGCACTCGAAAATGGATGTACATCAGGTTGATATCAGATTGGACCGTGCAGCCTGAGGCAGCTAGAGCGCTAGCCTACGATCAGCATGTCATCCACCAGGCCCTTTGAGGCATGTTGCCTGCGAAACTTGAACTCACGCATGCAGATTTTCATGGATCGGTCATTTATAAGTACGATCATCTACTTGAATCATTCACTACCGAAAATTTTAAAGAATCAACACTAGTACAATCATCCGATATTGTTCGCACTAGGACCGTGACGGTCGATATCACAATCAGTAAATGGTTTCGTGACGGTCGATATCTTAATCAGTAAATGGTTTCTTCAATGTGTCTACAAAGACAGGATGGTAACCTACGCGTGAGGGATTGGCTTGCTTCGGCTTCGAATGTTGATTCGATATGGATAATTCTTACAATCAAACTTGATCAAGCCTCGATTTGATTGGCTTTACAGGCCGTCAAGATGCAGTAGACGCATTTCTCACAGAATCTGCGACGAAGTCGTTAGGTGATTGCAAGGCTACTGTACTCATCAATACAGTTGCGAGTGATTCAGTTCTGCAGGGATACTAGTACGTCACAATTGGGTAAGGGACTGTGCTCCTAGAAAAGGTGAGTCGAAGCACTGAACCAGCATGAGGCAAGTGTAAGCATCCCGCATTTCAATGAAACGTTGTTGCTCACGGCTTGTGCATTGTGTATCGAACTTCGAAGCTCCAATGGTTTCTCGACTCGTCAATATCTGACTTTGAGCCCAACATCGAGCGGTGCCATCTTTAGACACAGCTCAACTCAGCGCCTTTGCCAATCTTTTTAGGGACCTGCGAGCAATGAGGACGTTTTCCGATTAACGGATTTGTGTCATCAAATGCATGAGGGCAGAAGGAAGTAGGAGATTGAACCATGTAAAAGAGGCGCAGAACGTAAATTACTGAAGCCTCGAATCCATGCAGCATATTTGAAAGCTACAAATTGACTTCCAGAACGTCGGCAAAATCGTTTACTGAAGGTTCAGCATCATTCCAAGCAAAAGCATAGAGAATCCCAGGACAGCGCCCACCTCTTTGGTCGCACTCTTTCTTCCTCCACGTATTCCATGGCACTTGGGTCACCGAAGTCGTGCGCTGGTTGCTCCGTTTCAGACTGCCAGCCAACAAGAAGCCTCAAATTCAGCGACTCATTCCTTGGTCATGCGGTTGCATACATTAAGCTTACGACCACCACAGTTGTCATTCGAGCGGCTCTTTGCAAGAACCGGGCAGTAGAGCGGCTCTTTATAAGAGACGGGCGGCCAAGTTTGTTGGGAACTGATATAGAAAATGCAGTAAAGGCGACAACAATGAACACATTTCTTAGATAACTTTGAAAGCCGAGAAGAAAATATATCGCCGCTTATCACGTCTAATGTCTCTTTTGAATTGCCTCTTGACATGATCTTAGAGTAGACAGAAGGAGCATCTTCCAGCGTCAGTTGCGCCATGCTTCACTCTTAATGAAATATAACAATGAACTCAAGCTACAAAAGACTTCGGCGTGTGTCAATCATGTGCATTGCTCGTCACAATCTATCGTATTTGAACGATCGAGCAGACCTGCCTTCAGCCGAGTTCTTCGATCCGCCCAAGCCAAACATTTGCTTCAAGCCGGTCCTTCCAAAAGCTGACCCTTCGTCCACAAACTTGCCAACCGTCCGCTGATCCGTCGGACTCTGAAAATGCAAACCGTAATCTGTTTGAGACAGCTTACGTTGGTAACGACAATCGATGCGGACCGTCAAGGTAAGCACCAAAAACTAATCCATCAAAAGCTCGAACCAGTCCCTCAACTCTGTGAATCGTTGTATGATCCAATCCACGTCCATTATACCCCATGAACCACATCATTCCGCCAGAATCCGGGTTGAAAAACGGAGGGAATCGGATGGATGAGTAGTGATGCGAGTCACTTACCTTCAGGCTCTTGGTCGCCTCGTCTTTCCGTGCGTCCACTTCTGCCTTGTGCTTCCGATGCTCCTCACTCAGCCGCTCTGCGTACGTGACTTTCTCTTGGATTGTTTGGAGGAGCTCTTCTGACGTCTTCAACCTGGAAAAGCGAGGCGGCACGTGAGAGGGTTGCTTAATATCGTCTCTGGCAGACGTTCTCCATCCTATCTAAACCCCATTTCGGTTTCCGCTTTCACCACAAGAAAGTCGGTGGCGACTCACCGTTTGTTGCGGCTCTAGTCGGTTTCTTTGCTTGGAAAGTAAAGACCGGGCAACATGACTAGAGAGTTTTCCTGCTGACCTTGAAACGGAGATTGGTGTACGCCCTGCAGCCTTGTATACTTGACTTGATCACGGAAAAGCCCAGCGGCTCTTCAGGCTTACTTCGTGTATACCGTCTTTACCCATTCAAAACAATGACAGAGTCCCGGAATCAAGAGTCTCGTTCTGACCTGATGTCACACCTAAACTTCCGTAACCTTGTAGGACACCGTCGAAATCACCAAGGCAGCGTAGGCAACACGAGATACTCTAGAGTTCTGGCTCGAACCTCGGCTCGCCAGTGCCTTCGACGACACTATATCTGAGCTAGGTCGAGGCAACAACTTGCATACCAGTACCAACGCCTTTGTAGAAAACGAGCCAGATTCATCGTTTAGGCATAAGCATCACGGTGCCACGGCAACAACATTCTAGGTAAGATGGATGACGCTTCCTGAAAGCCTGTAGGAGACGTCACATGAGACTGTGCCTGACGAGATAAAAGTTGAGCTAGAATATCCAATCCTCTGGAACCACAAGAAGGTGAAGCCGTGCTCGATGTGCTCAATCGCTTCCATCACCTACCATCCTCATCCAGACATTCCCCAGAGACTGCTCTTACGTCAACCTTGAGAAAGTCAGCCAGACTCCCGCAGGCAGAATCAGTCAAATTACAACATAAAGGCAGAAGCGGAGAGCCGTTGCGATTGGAAGGGACGGGCACAAAGGAGCATACCAGTCCTCCAGAGCTCCGGCCATGATCTGCAACTGGCCTGGCCTAATATCACGTCCGGCGGAAGCTTGCACCTGCGCAGGAGAGAAGGAAGCGCTCAGAGCGGGGAGACAGATATCTCACACTTACGCATGCAATCAACACAGGCCATACTCGTCCCAATGAACTAACACCAGCTTCTTAGTTTTCAAGAAACGGGTTGAGGATGAGAGTACGTTTGATTGCGAGTTGCTTTGAGTCTGCGGACCCATGATCGAGACCGCCAGCTTGTTTGAGAGGACCTGACAACACTGATGGTAATAGTTCTTCTGCATAAAGAGGAACTTTTCTTGTGGATTAAGATGTCGCAATGTCCTGGAGTAACGATGGTCACTGGATGCCTCACCACGTTTGGATTATAACACAGCATGCCGAACACTCTTGTTACAAGCAACTGGAATGGGTGAATACTGATCAGAATGAAACTTTTTCAAGCGGGTAACAATTTGGCACAATTCGATGGCACTCACCTCTACACGTCGCTGCCTCTGGTCCAACTTTGCGTCCAAAATGCCCTGCAATGAAGCAGGAAGCCTCGCGCTCTGTGAAAACAAAAGCTGCTTTGGCAGACCCCCTCTCAAGTTTTTGGTCGAAAGGCACTAAACGAACCATGCCACAGGATGTGTCACATGAAAAACGACTGAGCTAAGCAAGAATGGCGGCCCTTCCAAATAGTGCTCATTCTAGTAACATGCTTTTCAGTGTTGCCAACAAACGACAGCAGGATCATGTTGAGTACTTACCGTGTACATGCAGTCATTGATGACAAAATCCTCTAGTTCCCGGGTGTTTGAGATATCCAGCTCGTTCGAAAGAAGGTCGTAAGGAAGGGTCTGCAGGAATGTTGACAAGGAGCTTCAGGGGAATTCGATCCTCCTTAGCATTTTATTAATAGGCAGTTCAGAACAGCGCTGTGCTTCTAGAGAGAGTCCATGGAGTCGAAGAAATGTGGGGAGACAAGTCCCACTCTCTGTCCACGTGGAACTTCACTAACAAGCTCGATATCCAACATACGGCCACTTTGGCTATGATACAAACGACCACTCGCAAGCAGGCAGGACTTAGAGGAACAAAGGCCAACAAATAGTAGCTGGTGCACACAAGAAAATCGGTGAAAGCAGTAGAAAAGAACGGATGAATTGTAAGATTCATACCTTTGAATTCTCCGCCAAGGACATGACTGTCAGTTGCTTGAGCTTTAGAATTTGGGGAGGGGTCAATGGGGGCAGCGAGCTTGCATGATCTGCGATCAAGACTGAGCATAATCAGGGCAAAGGTTCATTCTACTCCGTGCAGCATCTGGCCGCTTTCTAGGTGACAAACCAGCAGACACTGCTCCACAGATGAAACTTTAGTGCCAAATGACATGAAGCCTCGTGCGTCCACTCAAAGATTTGACAATTGATGGTCTGTTCTCAAGAAGAAAAAATGAGTTGCAATGTCTGCCTTTGCAAACAGATTAAGTTTGAGCAGAACTGACACTGACTGACACTTTCTCCATTCCCCTGTGGAAACTTTGCCAACGCTGATTCTTTTCTAAACAAACATTCTAAAGCATGTTCGAGACAGAACAAAGCATCAGCAGAGATGCTACGCTGCAAGGCGTGATTTGCTTACTTTTGTAATCTGTCCAAGTACCATGTGCAAAGAGTCTTAGTAGATCCAGAGCTGCTGCATGCTCTGAACCTTGCAACTGCAGCAAAGAGGCTCCGTTTATCAGAGTTGATCATTTAGTCCCTCCCTCATTGATAAGCGGAGAAGCTGAAATGTCTGTGAATGATCAACATGAGGCAGTTCAAGATTGCTTGTATTTGTCGGATTTTCGTGAGAAAGAGATTAGAAAGGATGTGTAGTTGTGTAGAGTATTAACATCAGTCTGCTCTTCTGCAATCCACTCGTACCACCACTCTCCAAACTTCTGTCTTGCGGCCCTGGTGATTTAGCATGAGACTTTCTATGCATTACTATCAAACAAACTGAGTATGGGGCAAGGCATCTTGCTAGGTAAGATATCAGGCGCTCGATCCCCAATGATGCAGGTTAAGCACTCAGCATGCACCTGTAGCCTTCAAAGCAACAATCATCTAGCAACATCATCAAACTAAAAAACTTGTGGTTCTAGGTGGTTCCTAGCTTGATCTCGTCAATCACAGCTGCTAGGAACATTCCAGGCAGATATGGGTACGATGTGACCACCTTCACAATCAAACTCAAAAGTGGTTTTCGAGATGCAAGCGTCTGACTTTCTTAGTGTTAAGTACAAGAATTAAAAACATGGAGAGGATGGACCCTTTTTGATTACAGTGCAGAAACAGTCGGTGGATCAGGCAGACAACACCTTCATCCAAATTGAAGTTGCTATGACAATCTGCAGTTGCTCACCTCCTGTATGGAGGGGGTGTCCAGCAGTTCTCCAAATGCAAAAAGTCCTGGCTCGCATGTAGCCTGCTTCACAATTTCAGCCGCTCCTCGACCGCGGACATTCTTCGCCAAGAGAACAAACTGTTCCACCAGCGCCACCTGCCTGCCTTCCACCTCCATTGCGCCTTACGCAGAGCAGAGACGCTTTGAAGTTTAGTCACCAGGACAACGAAGGCGAGCTCAGTTTGGGAGCAAAGGACGTTTTCAGGACTGCTTTGCAACATTCACAAACGTTGACGCCTCGTTGACGTGCTGGCGGCAGGCTCAGACTCGGAGTCAAATGACAATACACAAGATTCTCAGGAACTGGAAATTGGAAAGCGAGTGCAGATTTTGGCGTTCTGCTCAAGATTTAGCCATTTCCCGTCTGCTTTGGAGCCGTGCCGGTAATGCCCCTTCGACGGTTCTTTTTTGTGGCTTTGGTGTGTCAATTTGTTACAGATCTTGTGGATCCACCAATTTGACACCAGATCCTGGCAAACCCTCGAAAACTCGCCTAAGAATCAACCGGCTACACAATATTAGGGCGAAAGATCCAGATTTTGCAGGGAAGAACCTTGAAATGTCTTCAGATCGAAAGCTGCATTTTGTCGAGAGAGCAAGCGCTTGATCGAAGCAGGAGCTTTCATACGAAGGCTGCATGGCGGGCCTTCAAGTTTCCTGCTTCAGGAAAAGCATGCTGGGGCCTGCCATCCAAGACAGCGGTTAGAATCCAAACATAACAAATGCACCACGTTTGCACCACCGCGGTGTCTCTGTTGTCCTTCTTTGGAGAGGATACTCCATGACAGTTGCTAGCTGAAATGAAGACTGTGCGATGAAGATGCAATAAGGGCTTGTTGCTTGCTGTATACCTCCAACCGCAGTACAATCGAAGAAGTGAAAAATGGAGGAATTGACAACATTTCGTAATCAACGGCAGAGCCTGAGAGGTCGAATCGAGAGCCGACGGAAACAGGGGCTTGCTTTGGTTGGAGAAGTTGAGCAGTTTGAATGGAGCCCTTGGCCGATCAGAGGTAAGTCACACTGCTTCTCTGAGCAGGTTCAGTGGTCAGTCTCTGGTCAGAGACACATCAAACTAGAGGACATTGCATAAAATGCCTACACTCTCAAAGGACAGCCCTGGCTTCAGCCCCTCATTTTCAATGCCATGGATGTTTTCAATGTTGGTAGCTTCAAAGCGTTGAGTTTTTATTGTGATCATCTCATCATTTTAAAGAACTTTACTGCAACTATGTGAAAGACTGAGAGGAAGCCTGTTACAAATCTTTGACCCCGCACCACCACTACACTACCCGAAAATTGGAATATCCTCCGGCCTGTTTTTTAGTCAGCACAAGTGCGAACAGGTGACACAAGTATGTATTTTGAAGTGATCCTTGCCCTGTAGGCGGTATCACAGACGTATCAGTCCAGATCTGAATCCGGAGAATTGCAACTTTGTTAGTTTTCTCAAACAGGATATCAGCAGCAGACAAGGTAAGGCGTCAATTTTCCAGAGCCAGTAATACTCTCTGATATTATTTCTGCCTGACAATTCCTGTCAATTTCTGAAGCTGAGACATGAGAGTGTAAGAAGATACAGGTAAAAGAATGGAATTCAACACACTGCCGCTGGGCAACCACTCTGCAGGTTCGTCTAACCAGGCCAACGGCCACCTTGAGCCAGGACACATTGAGAATGGAAGGGGGGAGAGCAAACGTGCAAGGGTGGAAACAGGCCAGGCGGAGGGGGGGCCTGACAGGATTGTACGGGGAATGATTGCTGCCTGCTTGCTTGCACCGGGGGTCACGGCTCCGAAGGACTCTGCATGGATGAACAGAACGTGAGGCTTCGCTCAGACTTACAATCAGCTTGAACTTAGAAATTCCGAGTATTACAAACAGCTTGAATCTAGAAAATCTGAGTACCTGCGTCTGAGGCTGGCCAAGTTCTTTCAGATGAAGAGCAGGTGGTGGCCCAAGAGGATTGGTGACCAGATGACGCGGTTTTGGATCGCCGAATAATCATAGAAGAGCGTTAAGGAAATACTTGAAAGTACAGGAGAGTCATTAAGCAAGCAGGAAGCAGAACTTGTCTTTGCCAACGCCTCTCCTTGAGTTGATTGAATCGAATGCTCTTGTGTGGGGTAAGACAAACATCAAGACAGATTCTCACTTCCTGTTCCCAGTTGTACATGCTCTTGGTAGGATATTCAGCCATCAAAAGTTTTGGCTTGGCATTGGGCTGATCAAGCCCCTGCATGACTCCAAAATCCGCAAGTGAAAGCCTGCAGAATGAAGGTGAGATTCGCCTTCTCAGTTGCTTTCCAAAGAAAGTCGTAAGGGAGTGCGAAGGAGGCTCAAAGCCCTGAGCACCTGTTCTTGCTTGGCCCGAGCAATATCCTTCCAGCTACGGAAAGGTTCCCAAGAGTTTGTGGTCTTGTAGCCACACCCGGCATATCTCAACTATATACCTAAGAGCTATGACATAATCCAAGTTCAAATACAATTTGTGCACAAATATGAGCTCCGCCCTAACAACCTGCACTTCCTCTCTCCCAGTCTCCAGAAGGAAGCCACCCCCGAGGAGCGCCAGGCGCTCTCCGACGCCGGCGGCAAAGATGGGCCCCTCGCCGCCGTCGAATCCTCCCTCCGTTTCCTCGCCGGGGGGTCCGACCCCGCCCTCGAGATCGAAGACTTCGCAGTGAGTGAGCAGAATCGCATCCTGGTTCTCGACTACGACCGTGCGCGCCTCGCCACTTTCCTCCCCCCCGGAATGCGACTGGTCTCGCGGACGGTGAACGCAGCGGGGGGGCCGGAGAGGGAGGTGCGAACGCCAGGTCGGGGGGTCCCTCCGCCAGCTAGATTTGGGGGGGGTTGGGAGGACGGCCCAGGTGGGGGGATGGTTCGGCCGCCGCCGTTTCTGGGGGGCCCGCCGTTCATGCCCCGGCCGCACTTTGGCGGACCCCCGGGGCCAGGGAGGCCGCCGTTCCGACCCCCCCTGCCTGCAGGGCCGCCGACTGTGGAGGCGGGCGACAAAGTAAGGCCGTTTTGCCACCAAAGCGCATGCGCATGTGAATGTGCACGTGAATTCTTGAAGGAAACCGTTGTCCCATGTTCTCGTTTGCTTCCGTCGGTTCGGCTCGATTGTCTTTGAGTTCGTTGTGTTTTCTTCTGCCAAGCGCTATGGACTTACAAAGAAAGGAACGGTATAGATTTAAAAACGAGCTCGTCGGCTTCTCTTGAGGTTTTTTTGTGGGGCAGCTCGATGTTCCTTTGTTTTGGCGTGAAAGCGACGACAATGCCCCACTACTCTTGAAGACGGTCTTCAACGAAGTTTTGCACTAGATGTCCTCAAAGCTTAATCTGATCGACCCGGCACTCGAAATGAAAATCCTACACCACCCGCCTCTTTGCTTCGGATCATTTATCTGCTTAAAGGAAGGTCAAGCATCCAGGAACGACGAGATGACGCAGTGGCGCCTCACGGATTTGATACTGCTTTCCAGCCTTCTTCCCCAGCGGCGTGATCGCTTCAGAGCGTCGCCTTGAAGTCTGACGCTCTGACCGCGGTCTATTTCCAAGGAGAAGTTCCAACTGAAACTTTCAACAAAAGAACCCCGGCTAGCAAAGTCTTGCCAAGGGTCCGTATGCCTTTCCTTCTTTTCGATGCTTTCCTGTTGCTTTCATCCACTGCAATTCCACTTCCTGTCATAAAAGCTCCTTGTTCCCTTCCATCTGCATCGTACGGTGACGCCATCATGCTGTTGTGATGCCATCGTGCTGACGTGTGCAGGACCTGGACGCGCTGCTCAACAAGAAGTCGGTGAAGGAGGTGCAGAAGAGCAAGGAGGGCGAGGAGTTGCTCGAGCTGCTCTACAAGCCCACTGCAAAGGCCAGCGCAGTTGCCTCCAAGGTGAACAATTGTTTCACCCCGGTCAACTTTCTAGGTTTGGGACATGTCGACCAGGCAAGGGGTCAATCTCAACGGAAAATGTTACCACTAGAATCATTGTTTTCCTTTCTTTCTTTCGTTCTCTGTCTTTCGTGTCAAGTTTTGTAGCTTGGACGAATGATCTGGGACAGGGGTTTACAAACGATAGAAGAAGGATCTTAGAGAGGCAGGCTCAACATCCAAGGTGGAACTAGACTGGAGAGAAGCAACTCGAGCTGACCCACAAGCCCACTGCCAAGGCCTGCGCCATCGTATTCGAGTTGAGTGGTTATTCGTGCCTTTGTTGTGTCGAAAAGAAATCTGATGGTTTTTGGGGAAGCACGAGACTGGCTTCAAACGCCCAGTGCATATGTGGGCCGTCGACAGAAGAGAGGGACTTCGTTCGGGGTAGCTCTTTTGCGCTTCGTCCGAAGGCATCAAGAGCATTGTTGCAAAGGATTTGCGAATCAGGGGAAGCATATTCTTATGGCGTTCCTTATGATGTTGATGCTTGCACCTTCGGAGGCCCCGAAGGGAGACCGCCCTTTTCCGCATATTGGTTTTGACCTGAATCAATTTCCAGAAAGATAGCAGAGCCTGTCCAGAGGCGATTGCCGCCGAAATGGCTCTTGTCCTTCAAGTGCGGAAGGCGCGACAAAGTTTCACTTTATGACGCAAACGCTCAGGAAATGCACTGAAAAAGTCGTTGTTTCCCGTTCACACTTCGAAATCCAAGGTCGGTTCCGCCCTTGAAAGAACTCTGCAAGTTCCTTACTAAAGAAAACCGACGGTGGAACCGGCAGTCACTTTCGCGCGCAAACGCTCAGCTTGCTCAGGCACCGAAAGCTGTCGTCCTCCTTTCGCAGTTCAAAAGTAAAGGCGGCTCCGCTCTGAAGGAGTACTGCGAGTTCCTGACCAAGGAAGATTGCCGCCGGAACCGGCAGTCGTTCTTCGCATGCGAGAAGGTCCACTTTCGGCGCATCATCATGCCGCACACTGACGTCAACCTCGGCGACTGCTCCTTCCTGGACACGTGTCGCCACATGAAGGTGCGATGCTTTTACCGAATCTCGCCGCTCCTTCCTGGTCACGTGTTCCCACAAGAAAGCGTGCTGCCTTTAGCGCTAAGGTCGCCTCTTCTCATCACCTATTTCACACCAAGGTGCGCTGCTTTAATCTCAGTCGCTTCTTCCTGGTTACCGTGTTTCCACATGGAGATGTGTTGCTTGAGTTGTCACATCCTGTACCCCTCGTCCTTAAAGCCTTTCTGCGTTGTCATTGCGGTGCGTGACACCCGTTGCTGTCTCCAAACGGCACGAGGTGCGCACAGTGGGCAAGATTGATAGATGTCGCGTCTGTTAAACTAACAGAGCTCCCGATCAGTCGGAGGACGTGCGTTTTGAAGGATACAGCGACTAGACTGAAAACCTTCCGACGTCTCTCTGTTCAGAGGAGTAGCATTCAGCCCGTGTTTATCCTGCTCCTCAAGATTATTGGCAGTGAAAGTCTTGCCCATCCTACAATTTCTCCACCGTCGAGACTGGGCGTTTTGATCTTTGCGTCCAATGCGTTTGACATTTTCGTATCAGCAGAACTTGGATCTTTTCATAACAGCAGAACTTGGGCACAACCAAGGGATTGAATGTCGACGTGAAAGAAGCATCAAAGATAATGATAACACTTGACATTCGGCAGCTTTCTCAACTTTCCCCTCAAACGCTGGATGTAACCCTTTCTTATTCGCTGAAATAAATTCCCTCTGGTTACGCGGCATCTGACTTCCGCTACTCATTGCAGACCTGTAAATACGTCCACTACGAGTTGGACCCCACCCCCGACGTCCCCCCCCACCCCAGCGTTGTTCCCCCCTCCTTGGGCGCCCCCCCGAAAAAGGGCGCCGAGTACTGCAGCCCCGAGGAGCTCGGCGAGCCGCAGTGGATCAACTGCGACATCCGGACGTTCAACTACCCGATCCTCGGAAAGGTCGGTATTCGGGCCACCAGATTTCAATAGGAGGAAGTTTTTGTATCCGTGATTCAGTCCCCGTATGTGTAATCCTAAGAGGCGGATTGGCAACGGCGTTCTCGGCAAGAGTCTCTGGCACAATCTAATTTGAAGGAACTTCTGTGCGAATTTTTTGGCGGGGTGTTTCTGCAGACTTCTAGGTCGACTGTCGACCGTTCACAGCCCTTTTTCTGCTCTGCAGTTCGGTGTCACCATGGCAGTCCTTCCGGGGACCATTTGCGTGGATCTGTCGTTCCGATCAGGCTCAGACCATTACGTGTCGATTGTTCGACACTTCAAGTTCTTACCCAGCTAGACCCCCTCTTGCTTTGCAATCTGGTGTCACATGGCGGACCTCCCCTTGGACTTCCAGGTGGAGCTGCCATACCGATCAGGCTCACGTCTCAAATCTTTGACACTCCGGTTCGTAACCCGATCAGATCTAGTCTTGCTCTGCAGTTTGGTGTCATCATGGCGGATCCCCCCCCGAAACATCCACACGGAACCGCCATACCAATGAGGCTTAGACCAGCTTGCGTCAGATAATTGACACTTAGGATTGTCAAAAGCCTAGAGCCCCTCTTGTTTTGCAGTTTGGTGTCATCATGGCGGACCCTCCGTGGGACATCCACATGGAGCTGCCGTACGGAACGATGGCCGACGACGAGATGCGCAACCTGAACGTGCCCGTACTGCAAGACGATGGCCTCATCTTTTTGTGGGTTACCGGACGGGCCATGGAGCTCGGTCGTGAATGGTAGGTTACCGCGCGGTTTGTATTTTCGATTTTGGGTTTGGTGCGTTTTGGAGCAAGTTTTGAGGCTGGCGAGTGGCAGGTGACCGCGACGTTTGGGTTTAGAACTAGGATTTATGAGACGCTCTTTCCGACATCCTCTCGTGGGGCAGTCAGCTGACCGGAAATGAGGTGTTGGCAATTTCACTAATGCGCAGTGAGATCAGGATCTGGAGCGTATAAGCAAGCGTTTGATCCAGGTTAATGGAGGACCCTGCGGATTCTGGTGCACTTGTGTGTTTGGCTGCCTTAGCCATAGAATTAGTCTAGAAAGCCCCAATCGGTGTGGTGGTTGTTGAAAATGATCTGCCGGCGCAAGCCCACGGCATCTGCTTCTAACGATGATTGTATTGACCACATCGAACGAGGTGGTTTTCTGGTTATTTGTTATCCATTGTCGGCTAACCTGATTCTCTTTGCCTTAGTCTTTCGGCCTGAAGCTGTGGGGATTTAAGTGGGTTGAGGAGCTGACCCCCGGGTTAAGACAAAGCAGCTGCAGCGGATCATCCAAAACCATGTCGGCTAACCAGAATCTGATTGAATTGATTAAATTGAAAACTTTGTCTTTTCAGCCTGGAGCTGTGGGGATAGAAGCCGGTTGAGGAGCTGATCTGGATTATAACTAACCAGCAGTAACGGATCACTCGAAACCATCTCGGCTGACCAGAATCCTTTGGGTTTTCTGTCCAGCCTGGAGCTGTGGGGATACAAGCGGGTTGAGGAGCTGATCTGGGTTAAGACCAACCAGCTGCAGCGGATCATTCGAACGGGACGAACGGGACACTGGCTCAACCACAGCAAAGAGCACTGCCTAGTGAGCTGCTTTCCTTCTTTAGTTGCGAAATTTCGGGATAGATTACGAAGATATCGACCCTGGAAACGGTTCACCTGCCTCAAAACTTTCCTTGTCGGCATCCATGCTCCCCGCTCCCTCTTTCGCTCCCCTTCCAGTCAACCCAGGTTCCCTTCTCCTGATCTTCGATTACCGTCCTTGGTGGTTTGAAAATCCGATGTCGACTCTTGAAGCCGTCGTCGGCGTCTCTTTGGATCATATGCGACGTACCTTTCCGATTCCATTTGCTTAAGGGTCCGGTCTTCATGAAGCATTTGATCTGCTGCTTCGTTCGCAAGTACGTTCTTGCCGCGTCTTCTGCCCCTAAAAGCACCGTCCAAAGGCGTACATTCTACTGTACCTGGCTACTTACTGAGACTTGTCGGCTGAGCATCTCCGTGCACTTGCCAGCTTCTGACGTCACAGAGCGATTCGTCTCTTACTTTCAAATCCCAAGTACGATTCCTCAGCAAAAGCCAGGGCGTCGGAACACTGCACATTCAGATCTGCGGAAGCGAAAGCAATTGGTCCTTTCTGATTAAAACGACTATGAAACCGCTTGCAGGTCGGCATAAAGGGTAACCCGGTCCTAAACCGGAATATCGACTGCGACGTTTTGGTTGCGGAGGTCCGCGAGACGAGCCGAAAGCCGGACGAAATGTATCCTCTTTTGGAAAGGCTAAGCCCACGGACGCGAAAGATAGAGTTGTTCGCCCGTCCGCATAATGCCCACGCCGGGTGGATGTCGCTCGGGAACCAGTTAGACGGGGTTAGGATCGTAGACGAGGGGTTGAGGCAGCGGTTTAGGGCGAGTTATCCGGGGGTAGAGATCCAACCGGCGGACAAGGAAACAAGCGACCCGGTTTCGCCGTTGCTAAGTGATCAGAAGGAACGCCCAGGGACGCCCGCAGATGGGGTATCTGGGTCCATCGGAAGTAGCGCAGGGCTGACAGCAAAGGGTGTTGTGACCGAAGAGAGGTCCATGCAAAGCACTTGATATTGTATTCAATCGATCCTGAGTATCTTTTGAAGAGTGTCAAGCCCTTCCTCGTCTGAGCTCGGCCGGGCATGTCGTTCCCCGATCATTTCATCACTGTTACACTAGCTCCGAGTCTGTCATGTGATTTTTGTGCGGACAGTAGATGCCTGTCGGAAGAAGCCGCGTGGTGTTCCAACTGGTGTCAATCCATCGAGCTATGACAGTGACCTCCGGGGAACTTTTCGTCATGGCCCAATGGCGGGGTGTAACGTACTAACAATTGCACACCGTTGAAGAAGCTACTGTGACCTCTTCGAATCGTTTACTGCATGAGTCAATTAGTCACTGCACGATCCGTTATACCCGATAGCTACCGTCAGCCTGCCGCGGCTAGGTTCAAACCAGACAGCTGTATTGAATGATTGAAAAGCTATAAGAAGAGTGCAATCAATTGGTTATATTGTATACGCACGTCGCGGTCGGAGCCCGCCGGGCTGGCCCAAACCGGGCATATGTAGTGACATACGCATGGCGGCAATATGCCAGCGTGCTTACGCGGAGGCCCAATGCCATGCAGCAATCCGAAGGTAATTGGATATCTCAACATGCTTGACAATGATCTTTATATAGTAGCCTTGTTCCGGCAATCCGGGGGCGTTGCATTTCTCTACTAGTACGACCTCGCCGTATATCAGGACGTATATGGGGCTGCCAACTACGGCCTGGTAGGTGCGAAGTTGACTCACGCATCGTGTCAAAAACATGTGTCCGGGGGCGTCCGGAATTCCAGCAATACAACCGGCCACCAGCCCCCTCTCCTCTAAATGCACGAAAATTTACCTAGAGGAAAAATTGCCCGGCTGGTCAAAACGATGCATGATTTCGACCAATCTGAGAAGCTCCAAATCAGCACGCCACGGTTTGATGCATGAATACCATTTGTTCCTTTTCCTGGCCCGGCAGTGACACCGACGTGTTGAAAGTAATCTGCGTCATGATGTGGTGCATGACACTGGCGGGATAGAAAAACAGCTCAGGACGAGTCGGCGATGGGCTTGGTTGGAAGACATGGCTGGTCCCTAATTGCAGGCATTCCCAAATTTACGAATCAACTCATATTAAGCAACTTCGAGTTCAATAAAGTTTGACGCCGCCAGCTCGCGTGGCTTTGAACACTTATGCCTAGCTAGATGCCTGGTTACGCCTAGCCTTGCACGCAGCTTTGTTGACTTACTGAACAATCCGCTTGCGAGCGTTCTATGAAGCCTTGATATTCAGTAACTGACTCACGGTCTAAGCGTTCCAACACGTGATCCACTATGCTGAGTATCTTTTGCCCTCAATATATATTTCTTCTTGCTGCGAAGAAGCTCTTCCCCACCTCTTCATGTCGAGGTCTGGATCGAAGGAAATTTATGAATGTAAACAAACACCCGGTCCTTGGCAGCTCATCGAAGGAATTGGATATCACCAGGGTGTGTACGTCCTCTCTAGTGCGATGGGAACCACGTCCTCATGCGTTAGCGTTCCAATGACTGTACGTCTGACGACTTAATGTTGAACATGGAGCTGCTTCTGTTGCGATCCGCTTAGAGCAGACAACGACCTTATCCGATACGCCACCTCGATTATCTTATCTGTTCCGCAACTTTCGTGATATATTTATATCAGTCCGACGACAGAACTTACCCGGTGTGGCATGCACTGGTAACCTCTTCAAAGCAGTGTCAAAGGGTTTTGACAAACTATTTGGACTCGGTTGAACCTGAGCTACCTGGCTCATCGGACTCGTTCAGTTGTCTTTCGAAGTTCGACCTGCGCAAATTTGACACCATGCCAGCTCGGACCGTTACTTCATCCGTTCCACATCTTCGTTGAACAAACCTCAGTACTCGTCTTCTCAAACAAGGTCAACGAGCAACGGAAGAGCGGGACTACACTGGTCCACTTGTGACGACCAGAGCTCAGCTCCAACCATCCCAGGATCTTACTCACCGGCGGTGTCAACCCTGTTACTACACAGCGCTCATTCTTCAAGAGTAAGGGTGTTTGTTCAGAAACATTGGCCAGACGAGGCAGTATGAGGATTGATGAAGAAGAGCAAGAGGGGGCCGGTCAGGATTCAGGAAATCCATTTGATCGCCTGCCTGTCGATCTTGTCAACAGAGTTCTTGGCTTGGACGACCGCCAAGGCTTCTCTCTTAGTGACTCTACTGTATATACAGTTTTGACACTTGAGCTGTCAAGGCACCTAATGAGTACTTGCAAGCTGTTTCACACTCTCGATTTGGAGGAGCGGATCCTGAGATGGGACTTCGAGGGAGCAGAAGATGCAACACGCTTCGTCAGGTTCATCTCCAGCAACCACAAGTTCTGTTGGAAGAAGATCTGGCTGAACGAATGCAACAAGAGTCTGCCAGATCTGAAGGTGGTTCTGTCAGCGCTATCGCCCTTTTTGGACTGCTTTGAGTCGATCGACATAGTCTCAGACACCTACTACTTCAGAGAACCTACAAGGGACCCAGTCAGCTGGGACGACGTCCTTGCAATGCTTCCCCAGTGCAGAAAGCTCAAAGAGGCGTCCCTTGTAGGTTACCGTAAAGCCGGGGTTTCCCCATACGCCTTTGACCCGGCCAAGCCCCTACACGCCCTGACTACACTGAGCCTGGCCCACATAGTAATCTCCTCAGCTAACCTTCGTAACATCCCAAACTTACAAGAGCTGAGTCTCAGCTTTACAGAGCTTGACAAACAGGAGATTTCTGTTCTGGAATCGACGACTCTCAAGAAACTGGCTTGGTACCATTTCAAGGACTTCTTAATGTGGTCCCAACCAGCAGCCAGTAGCAACAGATTTATCATCAACTCTCTCTCTCTGAAAACGTTGCACTTGCACAGTGATCGGCTGATCACTCTGAGCACTCCGTCGCTGGAAGAGCTCTCATTCCGTGGCGAAGTGCGTCTGGACACTGCCCTCCCGATGCCACTCCTCAAAGACTTCAGTACCAACAAAGCTCCCGCTTGGACCAGAACGTTGAATATCCTGAAGGCTGCTCCAAATGTGGAAAGTTTGTATATTGGACAGTGGAAGGAAGATCGGCATCCATCGTTCCAGAGCATCGGCAAACTGTTCAAGAATGTTCGTCGGCTGCACCTAGGTTCCGTTGACGCTTGGTTTCCTCTGTGCTTAGCGAGCCGGGGCACCGCCCTAAAGCCGGAAGCCGAAACCCTAGTATGCTTCCCGGCACTCGAGAAGCTTCAGATTGATCTGGGATCGTTGAGACCAAGCACGACGCAAGGGCTGCTGGAAAAGCTGAGGATCGGCGTCGCCGCGTGCGGAGAGGGCATTCAGCAAATCACGCTCAGTCTTTCCAACGAGGACGAACCGACAGAGAAAGTTTTGGCGATGATTCGAGCGCTTGGCAAGGAGCATCCTGGCATCTGGTTTGTTGTGGATAATTACTCAGGATACTATGAAAAGAGACGGAGGCTTTTTGCAGTCATGTAGAACAGGGTGATAAGGTATCAGAACTTCTTGAAAGGTTTGATTGCGAGGGTCAAGCAGTTGTTCGGGAATTGAATGCACAGATCCCATAATACGGGTAATCCCGCGCCTTTATACATCGCTCGAGTTTGAGAGTGGTTGTCGTACAACGGGAAGACGTCAAGCATGGAAGCTTGCCATAAAGTAGTAGAGCCTTCTTAACAACTTGCTCACAGGCCCGGAGATATGGATTGACGTCTCGCCAATATAACGATATATCGATCTAAACCATTCTATACGGCCGGGCGGGCGGCTTAATTAGCCTGCGCACGTTGCTGCTGGACTGCACGTTAAACCTAAAACTAGAATCATTTGCTCAGCTTTTCGGACACATATATGCAAAAGTATTGAAAAGAGCTAGATCACATTGTCCGGGCACTTGTGAGCGGAGCCTGCGGCAAATTAAGTTCGTATGATAGATGCATGAATGATGAGCGCTATCCTGGCATTGATGTGGTGGTGTAAGGCTGTGCTCGGAGGTATCATATCAGGCGAGTGTCTAGGTTGATCTGGCATTATGGCGGGCGGCCATCATGGCAGTGCATGCTGACGGCTATAATGAAAGCCATGAAGCGGCCTATCCTGTCAGGTAGCGGTCCCTGAAAAGTTTATCATGTGCATTTTACATTCTACTGCTCAATGGTCATTTCGGTGGTCGAGTCGGAGGGGACAAGCTGATTAATCGTACTGTATGTTTTGTTTGTCAATATTCTTGAGCCGACTCGGACACGGTTTTGCAAACGGACCTCGTCGCGCTATCACTAAGCTGCTGGACTGGAACGGCTCAATTTCGACACGCTACCCGCTAGCAAGGGTTGCGATCAAGGCAGCCGCGCACGAGCACTGCGGCTGAACATCTTTTCGTCGAAAGGTGCACCCGCGCAACATGTCTATATATACAAGATGATGCACAGATTCATCCATTGACGGCCTTTGGTGGTTGCGAGGTGATTTATTTACGTCTCCAGCCCGCTCCTACGTTTGAAGCCCGGACCGACCTGCGCTTTCTGGGGCAACCAAAGCCCGTCCGACTATCGTATCTACTTGGTCATGTGACCGAACAACATGAGTGCCAGGCATAGCCCCTCTCTAGTTATTGTCACTGCTCGACTCCCGCCCTAGCGGCTGCCGCGGCATCGCTTGCGGCGGCTGCCGCGTGGCCTTCCGCAATATGGGGGGCAGCGACTCCTGCCGGCCGGGCGGTGGACCGCTTCACCCAGCCTTGCAAAGATCGAACCGCCGACATATCCTGCGGAAGACGTAGGTGGAGAAAGATGTTCATTCGCAAGCTAGCGGGGACTCGCCAAGACTCGCAAGGTGACGGAACTCAATCAATGAAAAGAACCCGTCAAAACCAAAAGCTTTGACCTGACGTCCATTATGTTGGAACCTCACAAGCCTAGACGAGACACAGAGAGGCAGCGTTCTTCTGGAACGGTGCGCATGCCGCTCTCAAAGATCCAGCCTTTGCTCGGGATATCTGGGTGTGCGGATTGGCTTCGGAGAGCGAAAGAAACCAGTTCCGAATTGAATCTGGAACCAGAGTGCGATCGAAAACGTTTCACCAGTTCTTGCAAAGTTCGACGCATCAGAAAGCGAGTTTGGTGTTTGTCAGTTGTCTCGTCATGCCTGTTTCTGAAAGCCTCTAGAGTGCGGCTCGCAGTTAGGTCCTAAGCAAGCTCAAGATTGCGTTTCAAGTACGACAGGCCTGTTTCCGACGGACCACCAAATCTACTTCCGATGACCAATTTGAGATACTTCCGCGCCGCTCCTCGGAACCTACCGCCAACTCTGAACTTTGGCATCCTCCGCGAAAAGCGCTCCAGAAAGCCTCAATTTCCGAGAGAAAGCTTCATCCTGAGACATCTGTTGAATCCAGCATGAACCGGGAAACAAAAGCGTCGGAGGGCGTACAAAGCCCCAGCCTTTCCAGGAGAACCTCGTTCCTGGCAGATATTTGCGTCCAGAAAGTTGGTACTGTGGAAGCATCGGAGGGCGTTGACTCACCTGGACCAGCCGCCGAGCGTTGGCCACTGCTTCCCGCGTGCTCGCGGCCGCCTGAGCCACAACTGGCTGGACCCCCGCCCGGTTGATGGTGGCACGATCCTGGAGCAAAGCTGCACGAGAGGAACGGACGAATAGAGACTGGGGGTTCCGAGACGACTTGGATCCCCTGCAAAGCTCCTTAAAAACCCCGTGGGAAACAATTGAAGGCATTCTCAGGTCTAAAGCCGCCTGATCTACAACCTGGCTGGACCCTCGCCCGGTTAATCCTGGCACGAGTTTGGAGCAAATTTGCGCCGAAGGAACAGAACGACGTCTAGTTTGGAAGGGGTGAAAGAACTTTGGCTCCCCGGAAAAACGTTGGAAGGAGGGAAAGTGAAAGGCGTCCTTAGACAAGGCTTCCCTCGAGTCAAGTACGGCACGCTCCTAAGAATAACGCTGTACCGAGAGCTAGAAGTCTTTCAATCCGGGGGGCTGCAAAGTAAGATTTTGTCCCACACAAGCTGTTTTTCTCGAAGAACTCCTTCTAGAAGAAAAGTTTCGAGGGACTGCCGAGTGTCTTTGCAGATGAAACTGAGGTATTAAGCGTGACGCCGGGGTGCTTGTGCAACAATTGAGCGATTCAGGGACAGAGGATGCGATGAGGATGCGATGAAAGGCGTTCTAAGGGGAGGGCAACTACACGGTAGGGTCTTCTGAATCGGAAATATTAGAACGGGTCCTGTAGAAAAGTCGGTACGTGGCTGGTACGTGGGCTGAGATGCGAAGGTACGTGAAACACTGACAAAGCACCTAGTGAGCAACGACAAGGTGTCATCCGTTTGTAGCGTTCAAGAGGCAATCAAATGAAATAACAACTCCCCAACCAGTAACTAACGGCTGTTCGAAAAGTAAGGAAAGGATACCTGGATAAACCTTCGGCGTTTGAAGAAGGATGAGCAGGAGCGACTCACTCAGGGTTTGATTTGCCGCAAAGTTGCCGACTCGCTTCAGACCGTCCTCCGCAGCTCGCATTGCCCGAGTCGAGCTCCGGATGCCATCGCTGATGTCCGAACTACAAAGGCACACACGAAGCGACCGGTCAGAGCGCGCATCAGCACTTCAATGTTTGAGCGCCTAGCTTCATCAACTTTCATAACCGACGGATTGTCAGATGCATAAAGTCGACCGAGAGAGCGCGCACTTTATCGCGACTACGTAAACTGTGTCCGGAAAAAAGTCGTGGGAAACATACTAAGCTCCTCATTCTTGCGCTGATGTGTCCTGCGAATACACGCAAGGAGCGACCGGTCACGAGCAAGCGAGCAGGACCCTGTTTTTCGCATCCAATGCGTCCAGATGAACGTCCTTTTGTCGTACTGAGCTTCTCCTTCTTGTACCTCGCCCAACGCGGTTGAGTTCTATACCGTTCCTGCCAGACGGCTGATTCGGAAACATCTCCTCGACCACGTTGTCACCAGAAATGGTCGTCTTTTATTCTCAACTAAAGATGGAGCCTCAACCTTTCCAGTTGATGCAGAACCATAATGCTCGTTCACCTGTGATAGGTTAGTAACGACGACTTGATTACTTCTACTTGCTGTATAAAAGTGGAAGAGACAGGACGCCAAAAACAGGACGCTGGCCGTAAGTCGCTCGGTTCCATGTTGGTGAGATCCCCAATCTTGTCGCAGACACGGCAGTCCTGCAACTCTGACTACGGCGATTGTTGCAACCAAACTGGCCTTCGAAAAGCTGTGCTCGTTATAGGACGCTTAAATACGGCCTGGACTCTAGGACGACTCCACGACAATGTCGAGGAGCGAGTCTACGAAACTGTCGAGTCACCAGAGTTTTGAGACGCCCAAGGCTCACCTCAAGTCGCTCAGTTCCATGGTGAGGTCGCTGATCTCCATTCCGGACAAGCGGACGGCGGCCATCGTGGCGGGCAGCTCCTCCCGCGCCGTGTCCGCCAGCCGCTCCGCCGCACGTGCCGCCGCTGACACCGCCTGAAGATAACATCAAAAGTCAGACGTCTCATCTCAGATGTTTCTTTTTGATATGTTCCGAGTTTGTCTAGGACAATGCATTAATTGACGAATTTTGGAAATGAACTACGCATTGCTCGACGGCCGATAATTCTTTGAAAGAACGTTCGAACCGCGTCGTATCAGCTGTCACTGCGCAACGGGCCGCCGCCGCTGCCCCGCCTGCAGACAATGGAGAATTAAAAATCAGATGCGTCACATCTTTTGAAGGCGGATGGTTGTTGAAAGACGTAACCAAGCGAGTCGCTGCCGCGCCTTGATGGGTTGAAGCTCGCCACCATTGACATGCCACGGGGCACAATTCGTTGAAGAACGCTGCTTTGATATGCGAAACCCAAAGCGAGCGTCGCTCTCCCACCAAGGTTGCACGAGCGGCTGTCAGCACTTAGGGCCAAAATCAGTTACTTTTCGAGATACAAAACCACGAACAAGTGGTACTTGATAGCCTTAATAAAAACAGAGGAATGTGGAACTTAGTCAAGCGGTGTTCTTTTGCCACACAAGCGGCCCCCATCCGCGGCAGGCAGATCGACGATCTAATGCTAAGCCATAAAGCATTTATGACTGATCGAGTGGCAATATTCCCCTCAACTGAAATGGGCCCCGTAACATTGCCTCCAACAATCGAGAGACTTAACAAGAAGCAAGCAATTATGGGTCTAGTAATTGAACAGCCTGTTCGGGATGCGCGCTGCGCCAGCGGCACATTCAGTACAGTGGGTCCTCAGGTGCCGGTACTCACCCGGAGAGCTGGAACCGCGTGTGCTAGCAAGGCGACAATCCCGCTGACAACCTGAAACGCCAGAGGTAATTGTGTCAGCCGACGTCGTGTGTGCGTGGCGGCTTGGACTTCGCAAGTGCTGCCTTCTCGTTTCTATTGAAAGCGTGCAGAGGCTTAGAAGATGATAGCCGCGCCAGGACAAAGAAGGATGCAGATCTCGCTTCTTAGCAAACGACCTGGATTCAAGATATACAGGTGCACTCCGCATTGCAGAGCTTCAGAGAGCCAATCAATGAATAAAATTGACCTTAGCTGAGGGTGCCTTTGTTTAAACACGTTGGACAAGTCTATCGATCGATTTCCGGGGACACCATGAGGTCCATCTTGAGAACCCCTGGGAATAACGGGCGGGTAGCAACGCGCAGTTGAGGTGCAAAGAAACTCTTAAACTACACAGGCATATTCACGTCAGCTCAGAGTTGACAGCAAGAGTGGAACTTGAGATTGCTGTGCCATTCTGAGCCCCCAAAGCTTTTGATTGCCGCCAACATCCTCAGGCTCTTCAATAATCAGAATTGATTGAACTCAAGATTCAATTTGTCCAGGAAGAAATAGACAGATATGAAGAAGAGAAAGCCCTGATCAAAGTCCACAACCCCATTTTCTTGCTGAGAGTACTGGCCTCTTACCGCTGCTGCCATGAGCCCCACCAACCACACCACCTGCGTCTCCGCAGGGACCCGCCATGCCGTTCTCCCCGCCGGAACCGCCACCGACGCTTGCATCGCCGCAGGGGGGGGCGCCGCTGCGACAGCAGGGACTGCCGCAACCGCAGGAACTGTTGCGCTAGCAGGAGCAGAGCTTTGGCGAGACGACAAGAGACCCGCTTCTCGGCAGGGGGGGGGTGAGGGGGAGTTTGGGGAAGGAGTGGGAATGTCGGAGACGCATGGGAGGCCGTAAAAGGTTGGGCGGTGCAGATCGGACACGTGATAGTCGGACGCGGTCATGACGGCGTAGCGGACGTTGGTGGCTGGGGCAGCGGTGGAGTCGGTGAGAACTAGGGGCGGCTGGCTTTGCTGAGGGCTGGTGTGCCCTTGAGGGAAAGGCAAGGACGATTGTATGATGCTTCGATTTGCGCCGTGCCTACTTGTTTCCCGGTATACTCGCTGAGGTTTTTGTGGTCGAGGGAAAGGTGTGCCTAGTCCAGGAATGTTGGAGAAAGAAACCGCTTCGGGCCGCTTGCGAGAGCGCCAGGTTCCATATGCAACAGCCCGCACCCCACGTAAGGAGGGATTGGCGGTTGACCGGGAGAGCGAGTCGTGTGCACTTATGCTGATGTCAGCAGCCACCCTCATTGAGGTTGGCATTGCTTGGATCCCAGCAGTCATGACCTGGCAGAGATGGAACAGGTTTGATTTGTACGCTTTACTAGCGTGAATAGCTTCAGATCCTGATAAGACCAGGTAACAGGGGTATCTGTGCCTGATGGTTCTGAGGAAGACTCTGCTTCACGATAAAATTCTTGACACAGCTTTTGCAAGAGAAAAGTGCAAAGAGTGCCCCTATATCCCACAGCAGTTGAGAAAATATCATAAGGTGGTGGCAAACTGTTGAGGCACTGCCGTTGATAGCAAAGAAAGCACCACAGATCTTTCGAGTTTATGCATTCTCTTGAAAAAGTTCTTTCGTCACAACATCTCCATTGGCATCTGCTGCAAAGTATCTAACGGTCTTTGCCCTGAATTCAAAGCAGAAAATGACTTGCAACAAAACGGATGCTGGGGAGCTAATCAAAGCGAACCGATCAGGGCAATAAGGTAAGCGACTCTGCTGAGCACACGACTTCTTTGACAGCATTGGCACTGATCCAGATACACCACCGTTGGATCGCGCAAAATCAAAAGATTTCTTACACACCAATCTCCTTTTCAAGGAAGCCACCTAGTATAATAAAAAAACGAATGCTGAGTGGTCACAATAAAATGCAACAGAAAACAGCTCTCCACCAGGTGAAGACTATCCAAAAACCAGATCTGAAGACCAGTAGGTGCTGCAGCAAAATCCAGGAACCACCTTACCATCTTCTGAGCCAGTAGTAGCTGAATCTAATTTCTTGAAGCAGGCGCTGTTGCCTAGTGAGAGAGAGTAGAGAAGAAGCCAATGCTCAGCATTGCTTTAATATGCTGCCAATTGAAGACCACTGATGTAAATCCGTTGTGAACAATTACTGTTGAGCATCAGAAGGACTTCTTGCAGATTGTTTAGCAGTACAAGTATCGCTGGATGACCAGCTTCCAATTGTTAGGAGGACTTAGCTACTTTGAGAGAATCCCCAGTCAAGTCTGAGATTTGCAGAAGACGTTACATATGTACATATGTAGAGATTGTGAAAGACATTGATGGAAAGAACTTTAAGAAGCGCCCAGATCTGAGAAATTGTGTTGTATACAGCGAGTCGTTCCGGAATCCGGCGGCGGAAGGGAAATGCTCGTGTCTCACTTTGGCTCCTGCTGACATCCGCGTGAATCTTGCCTGCCCAGGACTCTCGTATCGGAATCGATTCTCTTTCAGCTTCCAGCCGATTCCGTATGCTTCGACGATAAAAATCTGCGACTTTTCGCGCCAAAAATTCGAGAACATGATGCAGATAACTTGAATGTTCAATGCCAAACACATGCACAGCAGAGATGCACAGTTTTCACTGTTCAGCTCAATCGGATGAGCTCATCAGTAGTGACGAAAGGAAGGCGCTGTATTTCTGAAGGAGCAAGGAAGCCTGAGCCACTGGCCTCCACAACAGGATCCTTTTGAGTCCAGTAGCTCCTGGTTCACCCGTGTGAAACGCAGTGGTATCAAGCAGACTGTGTAATGCAGCTTGTAATGTTGCCGCGTTGCCTCACGCCCCATCGGCTTCGATTCTGAGGTGTAGAAGCTGCCTCGTCATCCGTCAACCAGGGACACACTTTGTTCGTCTTTCACTTAGGTGCCAACTCAGTACCACGGTCAATTGCCGTAGAGGAGAGAGGAGTTGTAGGAGGTGGTGGTCTTGAAGTCACAGCAAGATGGCTGATGAGCAGGAGCAACCTCCGGGCCTTGCGAGCGGCCATGATGTGATGGACGAAGAGGGGCATTTCTTTGACTTCATTGCATTCTACAAGTGAGCAATGGCACATGCTGATTCTTTGCCCTGGTTCTTCGTCATTAAAACATGCCATCTGCTCTGGTCAATCGTGGTCACCGGCGCCACTTCCCATCGTTGTTTATAAGTATTCTGCCCTTGCACATGATTGATCTAACGCATGGTTGATTTCACCAGGTTGGCGGATGTGTTAGTCTGCTGGTCCTGACGGTGAATGAGTTTGGAGACTCTGTAAGAGGTTACTGGTACTCAACTTATGCGCTGAGATTAAGGCCCCATCAGCTAGCAGGAACCTTCACTTGCTTTCCAGCCTCAGCCCCAAGTAACTCAATCAACAGCTGATCAGAGACTCAGCAGGCTCGCTTACAACATCCTTCACTTGCCAAAACTTAAGGTTGGTCGAATAGAAAGTCTTTCACCACTTTGTGCTTCATTTCTGTTGCAGGAAGGTTGAGTTCTCTGACCGTGCCATCCGTCTTGAGATCCTGGAAGAAAGCAGGAGAGGTGAGCATGGAGTTGCTGGGTCTGTTTCAAGCAGGTTCTCCAGCTTCTTTCCAGCAACGTGCAAGTCAATGACAAAGTTCCATTTGTGTCACAGACCTCGGAGTTTGTAAATTATTGGGACGCCGCAAGAGAAGGCTGATAAGGAGTTGAATTCAGGCGTCTGATTGCTTTAGGACCCGCTTGATTTCTCTGTATCCAATGCTAGTCTGGAACTTCGTGAGTTCCTGAACTGTTTTGCCAGGCTCTCAACAAAATCAACTGTGCGTTTGCTAGGTGGACATGGACCATCTGGTACTTCATACTTGTTCGAAAAGTCTCTCCAGTTCCTCTGGGTGCACTTTTCAACAAACAGCCAATCCTTGCCCCTCTGATGCCATTTGAACCCTGATGTCAAACATCTGGCCCAACTAGAAATGGACTGTGTTCACCGGTGCTCAAGTTCAGCCCTTGGCCTGAGACGCATTGAGCATGTAAAGCAAGAAAATGTCTGGCTCTGCTTTGTACCCTGCAAGCCTCAGTCCCTTTCTTGAAGTATCTATTAATGCCCTTATTGGGAACGTAAAGAAGAAAAGAGGAATTCGTCTCTTCAAGAACAGATGGTGTGTCAGAATGGGAATGGGACGCATAGAGTTTCAGGGTAACTAACATCTGTCAGAGCCCTTGATGGTCAGCGTCAAGGCATACTGCAGGCCATGCGGGGGATGAGAGAAGGGCAACGACATGGGCAACAATACATTTCTGGTTTGAACAATTTATTTCGAGTTACCTCGTTCCTTTATCAAGCCATCTGCAAACAAGTGTTGAAGACGCACCCAGCCTTTTCGCAGACTTGGCGGCAGGCAACGAGCCGTCCACGTCAGCAGCAACCGACGCGCGCCCTTCCTCCGGAGCTGAGGAGATTCCGGTCAACTCGATCGTGATTGCAGCCAAGAGCGCCGTGCTGCGGCAGATGCTCTCCAACGGGATGCGCGAGTCGGACAAGGGCGCGCCCGTCGTTCTGAAAGTCACCACTGAAGGTGAGGATTACTTGCGGGTGCAAGATGTTTGTCAAAGAGGGCGGAATTCCCAAGGTTTACCCGTGCATCTGAGTCCCAGGGGGAAAAACACTATCCGACGGCCCATATTCCATCTGGACGGTTGCCGTCGTCGACCAAGGTAAGCATCGTCAGTCACCATCTGGTCGCCGGAGGAGAAACGATTCCCTAGATGCCCTATCTAATGGAGCAAGGGGGAAAAGAGTTCCTGGAATCTGGAGGTTCGGGGAGGCTTTGAGGTGTCAGAGTTTCGGTGTTCTGGGGGCTTCAGGGTTCCAAGCAGATCACAAGGACGCACCCCACGTTTTTTGGGGTGAAAGAGGGGTATTTTGTGCTCGGCTGTCAAGCTACCCGGTTTGGGCTTGATCTTGAACTGGTTTCGACCCTCGAGGGGGTTTTTGAATGATGCTCGGAAACACCGACACAGGAAGGATTGTCTGCTGACCAGGTTCGATAACCAAACTTTATTCTGGTTCTTCGACCAATAACCGCGTAATAGCCATGTTTAAAATCCGGTTACTAGACATTTAACCAGCTTCGAACCAGCCCATAACCGACTGTGGTTAACCGCCAGAAACCCTAGCGAAGAAGCTGAGCATTTCAGTGGCTAAAAGGGGGTGCTAGAGCCTGCAGTCTGTCAGCGACACTTTGGTTGCAATTACGCACAAACCCCTGCCGCAAATTGGATTGAGATGAACGGCCGAGAATTGTGTTAGCATTGAAATGTGCTTAATACAGTTCAATCCGCACTCCCCGAGGGCACAAAGTTGCAGACGTCCCCTTACAAAGTTTGCCGAGAGCTTCTCAGCATTTTGGAAGAGGCTCGGGAGGGCTAGGAGAATACTTGCGTTGCTCCAATGCTGAGGAACTACAACAGATCCACTGAGTGTCTCGTCTCTTTCTAAGTAGTGGACTGCGGTCAGATCCGACGCCTGTGCAGATGCTTGAAAGGGTCAACTTTCATTTCTCATCACCTAATACTGTTCGCTTATGTCGATACTCGATCAATCGAAGAAAGCAGGCAACTGTGTGAGTCATCGCATCTTATTCCATTTCATCCACAAAAGTCACGGGTTATTGTCGTCTTTGGACAGAGCTCTTTCATGCACTTAAGCATTTTCGGACAGAATATAACATCCGCTTCTCTTTTCGTGCAGAGAAAGAGGCCTTCAAGGAGATGCTCCACTTTCTCTACGCCGGCACGCTGTCCCCGCGCCTCTCCCAACCTGCGACCACCGTGCGCGAACTTTTAAACTGCCTCGTTGTCGGCGACAAGTTCGAGGTCCCTTCCTTCATGGGCGCTCTCGTCAAGTGTCTGAGCGAGCGCAAGCGGACGATCGCTGAGAGTGCGGAGCTCGTCGGGGCGCTGACGGGTCACTTGGGCCAAGCGCCGAAGTTGAAGGCGCTGGCGGACGAGGCGCGCGCGCACATCGTGAGCACGTTCTGTGACGTCAGTGGGACGTGGGCGTCGCCGGAGTTTTACGAAGTGGGTACGGACGTGATAGAGATCCTGCTGCAGTCGGAGGAACTAGAGGCGGACTGCGAAGAGGAGATCTGCCGGAAGGTGCTGAAGTGGGCAATACGGCGCTTTCAAACCGTAGAAGAGAGGACGGGAGCGCTGGCGACGCTGTTGCCTTTGATCAGGTTCAAGTGTATGACCGGGGACTATTTGGTGCGACTTCTGTCCGTGCCAGAACTGCAGTCGGGAGCTTCCAAGGAGCTGATAGATGAGGCGATTGAGTTCCAAGCCTACACGGATGACATGAAGCGGATGGTGGGGGGAGCAGCGGCTTGCGAAAGGAGAGGGGTGCAGGCAGTCCATCTCGAGATCGTCGATTTCTTCGACTTCTCCGACAATCACTTGGAGTCGCGGTACGCCTTCTGGTTCGACAAAAACTGGCACCTGCATGTGACAAAAGGACGAGACCAGGATCCTCCAACAGTCCAGATATTCCTGATTTGCGAGCAACTGCCGGTGGCCGAATCCGAGGGCGGACCGGTTTTGAGGCCGGATGATGTTGAGTTCCGGATTTACGTGAGAACATGGCCTGAAGGCTGGTGGAAATTGCTCCACAGCGATCGTGCAACTTACAAGGTCAATTCTGGGGCCCCACATGGCTATGGGAAAGGGGATGCGTTCGGCCTTCCATGGGACGACGTACGGGACTCGCCCAAGTATTCGGATCATACTGGCCACGTAACTATTAAAGTGGTGGCTCGACGTTACAGAAATAAATAGCGCTTCCTGGCGGGACAGAATTGGACGTTTAAGAAACTTTTTGGTCGGTCGTTGAGTGTTACATAGTGAGTTGACTAAGGCGTGAGTTGGATTCTGCGGCCCGCGATTCGTATGGAGCTGACGGAATGCGCTGGCCGGAGCTAAGTCTAGCCTTGAAATGGGTGCCTGACATTGCCGCACTCAAATAATCGTGGTCTCATAATGCCTCATGTCGACTTGCATGGCCTCACTGGAGGACAGCTCTCTCGAGCTGAGAATATCTGGGCTACATGCGAAGGTAATGCCGAGTTGGATCTGATCTTTTAAGTTGCATGAGCTCAGTGCACTTTTTATCTTTCGTGATGCTCTTGAAACCCCTACAAGCGAAATCACTCTCGAAGGAAACTTGGCAGGGAACGATGTAATGCGTAGCCTGGCAAGATTGGTCGAATTCAAATATCAACGAGCACAAATTTAGTACGAGTATGTCACGGTACTTCATCGGATTACAAGCCTGCATCAAATGCAATCATCGAACCGCGGTGGTACGCGTTTCAATGATCAATTTTGCCCGCCGAACTGCAATGGCTACATAACAATAATGCACGTACGGTGCCAGCACAAAGCATGCACCTTACTGTAAAGTCAACGGGTTGCATGATGTGAACCGCTCGGAATGGCCGCGCAACTTGAACCGTCGTCAATCTGAATGCAGCTCACATGAGAGCCATGGGTGCCAGATCTAGCTCAGGCCCTGATCGACATGTCAAGACTGGCACTGAGCGCGCACGTTCCCAAACGGTGATTGTCAAGCTTGGCTAAATCGCATGCTACTGTCGGGTCAAAAACTTTAGCACGAGGTTAGCTAGCTAGCATAACACCCTACCGATCTGTATCTCGATGTACAGCATGGATACTTCTCCGACTAGAGCATCAGGAATGTCGCGGTTCGGTTCATTTCCTCAATGATTGAATCACTTCATACGCAACCACTTTGATGCAAGATTTAACATTAAGCATGTCCAATTGCATCGCCAAGAGTCAAGAACCGCCCGCGAGGGAGCTCGGCCGCAGGCTTAATTCCTGGATCCTCCCTCTGTACGGTCACGTGCATGCGCGGGCGTGCGGCGGCCGCGACTTGGGCACCAACCGATCGATCTCGGCCGTGCGTTTGTGCCGATTTAGTTGGATCGGACGGTGCGAAGGATGGTACCGAGCTTAGCGCTTGTCCGTCCTCTCCGTAGACACCTTTTCTTGCGCGCCAGGCACTGACAATTTCGTGGCTGCTTCTGAACAAAGCTGAAGGAGACTCGCTGTCGGACCCGGTTTATGACTGCATGCACGTGTCACTCAGCCCGCACAACCCCCGATCCGCGTCAAGCCTAGCACGCGCTTTTTGACGAGTCAGCCTTGGGGTTCAGTCACGCCTTGTCAGACTTGCTGCGAGGAAGACATAATCTGGCATCGGCTTCTCGCAAGACGAGATTCCATTCGACAAACAAGCAAGCAGAGCCACAAATCTAGGGTTACGGAATCGCTGAAAGGTCTCTCGTTTCTTGGGCTTGTAGAAGGGTTCTAGTCAGATGGTCGAGCGCTCCCTACTTCGAAAGTCTTTAAAGTAGAACAGCTAGAATCGAAGCCCCTCGCAATCGCAACTGCTTCTTGCAATCTTCCAGCTCAAAGGCGCCGCACAAGATTCTTGGACACTGCTCAGCTTCTCTCATTCTGCTCTTTTCCTGTGAGAGCGCCATGGCTAAGCTGCTCAGAGGTTGCATAGTTGCGACACCTATGGCGGTGAAACAGGAAGTCCTCAGGAGACCTCTTGTCGCGAAACGAGCGACTCTCCCTGAGCTGCCAGAGAGCTTGCGACGCTTCTGGACCGACACCTTTGAACAACGCTTCCTGCTAGACTACGAGATCTCGGTTCCCAGCAAGCTCATCTCCGAAAACAAACCTTTCCGCGCCATCCTAGTTGCATCTCCTGAGGTTGCTGGTCAAAGGCTGCCCTTTGCAGGCGAGAAGTTCGTCGGCCTTGTGGAGATCGCCGGAGTGCAGTCGCGTCATTCTCACGTCATCAACGTCCTAGGCGCGGGGAACAAACGCGTGGTGCCAGCCTGCGACGGCCTCCAAGATCTGACGGTCGGCATGGCGTGGATTGACGTCAGCAACACGACGATCGACGGCCAGGAAGCGCCAGGGCAGCGGCGCTCTGGCAAGCTGGAATCAGATGCTGTCGCCGAAAGGTTTCGCTTCTTCCAAGGGAAAGGGCCGCTGACGTCACACGTGACGGTCTTCGTTAGCGTGCTGCTGCAACGAACGTATCTTGAGTGTGAGAGAAGTCGCGTCCGAATCCAACGGACGCCAGAATGGAAGCTTCTGAAGGAAGTCGAGCGCTCTGGAGACGCCTTCTTCCGAGGGACGGTAAGTTATTGATGTAGCAGATCTTTCTCGGGGTCCAGAAGCAAACCTCCTATTAAGGTCATGCAAGTATACACTCCTGAAAGAGCAAATCGTAAAGCGCATCTTACGATTTGCCTCATAACTCGTGTCGAATTTTCAAAATGATCCGGGGTCTTGCTCGAAGCATGGTCTTAACTTTAGCAGAAGCAGGCACCTTCAGATTCAGCGTTCTGACATAATGGTTTTATATATTTACGGTCACATGGATATTTTTCAGAAAAAAAGTTTGTCCGATTGTGCTAAGCTTTTCTTTCATCCTAGCACTGGCTGGCGCCCTTGAATGACGCAATCGAGCCTTTTCTGTCTTTCCGAATCTGCTCTCGAATGCTAGCAGGTAGTCAAACTACGAAACATCCGAACAAAATCGTAGCTTATAACTTCGCCGCTCCTTCTAAGTTGTTCTACCGTCTTGCAGTTGGCTCCTTCATTGTTAGCAGTCCGAGGTCTTCAGTTCGCTGCTGCAGAAAGCGATTTGAGGCCATGTATCAACTAATTTCTTCGCCGGTCTCTCTTTGCAACATCCCGGCTTTCTTTGAAGCACAGAATCACGATCAGCGGATGTCAAAAGCACGCATTTACACACGTCTCGAATTCAACTTGACGCCCACTTGGTAGCGTAATACTTTCAAACCAGCGAATTAGAAAAATTCGCGAGTCTACCCAAACCGCTTCTTTTTTCTGCGCAGGACGGCTCCACAATCTTTGCGCACTCCTCGGTGCTCGCGAGCGCTTCTTCCCACTTCCGAGCAGTGCTAGACAAGCGACCAAAACTCATCGGACGCTCCATATTGGGACTCCCGCTGCCAGTTTCTGCCGATGGCGACACGATTCGTGCGTTTCTGAAGTGCCTGTACGGAGTTCCCGTCCTTCTACTCGCGCTCGAGTACAGACGCCCAACGCTTGAGGTGAGTCACACCTAAGCATCATGAGTTAGTACTCTCGCTTCTCACCGAACGTGTATACTACTCAATCAGTTGCCTGCTTTGATGGAGGTTACAATTCAACAAAGGTACTGATCAAAGAAAAGCCTTTTGGAACTGCTTGTACGGATATCCCGTCCCTCTACCCGCGCTCGAGTATCGACGTCCAAAGCTCGAGGTGAGCTTCGAGGTTCTCAGTACATGCAATGATCTAATTTGAACAGCCTTTATCCCTTTTCAAGAAAGCCCTTGACGTAACGGCTTGCAGGGGAATCTCGGTCTATCGAACCAGAACAAAGATCCACAAACTTCGTTTCTTGTAGAGCCCAAATCAGGACTACTGTTCGATACGTAAGTCCTGCTTGTAACCAGCGCAGCTAACTCGACACCATTGAAAGCAAGCTCTGATCAACCCGACATCTCCCGGATGTCTCCATTAATGAACAACAGCATCGTTTCTAGAGTGAAATCATTGCCCTGGACTTTTCTCCTGCAGAGGCTGTATCGACTTGCGGACGCATGCGGCGCGCGGGGACACTGTCTTGAGATCTCGGACTGCCTGGGTGTGTCCGAAAACGACCTTGCGGACCGGTGACGGCTAGAGGCCCGTGCGCGGGCTAGCGAAGGCGTAATTGCGAGCTGAATGGACGGAACCGTCCGGCGGACCGGAACGGAACGGAAGCTAGCCGAACGAAAGGAAGCAGAACAGAACGGTGCTATCTGGTGCTGTCGAGAGGTTAATGCAGCTTGTGCCGAACGATAATAACACGGTTGCAAAGATCCTCTTGGCGACGTGCGCTTGTCCGGCAACAAGCCTAGTGTGATCGATCTAAATTATCAACGAGTCAAATAACGTTGCTGCGATAGTCTAGTGGGGACTCAACCCTGACCCTAGAACAAGTCCGTCAGGTCTGGTGATTTATCTGGTGGGGTAAGGCCGGGTGTGGATTGTTAAGTCAAGCAGAGTTTGCTGGAAACACCTGTATAGCGAACAGGTCTGAACAGCTAGCTAATCGATGCATGGTGGTCTTCAGTCGCTGGCCGTCCAGCTCGGCCCGGCCACAGTGAGGCCACTACGTATCTTGACTCTCGACGATTATGCCGCTGAATTCTGTGCAAGACTTTAGGAAGGCACATGATGCAACATTTCGTAAAGAGTGACAGTGACGACGGCATGGCCTGGCAGCCGGCCGGCGGCCATGATGATGATCAGTTGTCACCGTAAGCGTTTGGAAACCTTCCGGGCCGGCCAGTGATGATTGATCAGCGTATGTAAATCATGAGTTTTAAACCCTCACGAATCCGCGTTGGAATTCGCAAATTTAGTGCGCCGCGCGCGAAAACATGATTTCAGCACTTTCGATTCGACCGGCCGTACTCGAAAGTAAACTTCGTATGTTCCCTTCTGCTGGTGCGCGCGCGGCCGGTTGATCATAGCAGTGCATGCCAGCATTGATTATGATACTAAAAGCACTGCCAGCATGGTTTTTACACAAAAGCACGTAGCGCAAAACTAACACAAAAGCGCGCTCGAAGCTGTATTCAACATATGGCTGTGCCCATGACGGTCTAGCTCCACTGTCTCTGGTCCTAAAAACCGCAGAGACCAGGGCCGCGATGTTTATATATTGTCAGTGTGCCGTGCACGGCATGCCATGGGACGGTAAGCGGATCAACTGAGGTCTATTTGCGTAACGGGATATTGCAAGGATTAATTGAATGATCTATGCCAGACAGTTTTTCCGACCACTTGGCACTACGGTACGTCTGTGTGGCAGGCTACTGTGCATGGCCGATGTCAGCAGATTAGACAGTCCGAACTGTCGTCAAACTGCCTAGGGCACTGATCTAGCGCGCCAGGTACTGAGTCGGATCAGATGGAACCATCATGTTGCCACTCGGCGCTGCAAGCGCTGCATGAGTCTTACATGTGCAGTGACTGTTTCTGCATACAAAGCTTGGCGTTCGCTGGAGGTTCATGGATTGAAGTCAGTCCCGTGTCTTATCTTTGGTCTAATTTCCATAATAACTTGAATTAACCTTGGCGTCGCCTTTGCCGCCGTACGTAGACTTCCCACTGTTCGTGATTTAGGTTGCTAAGATCCTCCAACTCTGCAATTGCTAATAAGTAGTCCGTTAAGTGAAGCAGCTCTCGATCAGATGTTCGGTTAAAGTGGGCCTTTCGAAACGGCCGGATGATGAGCCCGTTCTGCGGATTCATGACGAAGTTGTGCCGAATGTCGTCGAACATGATGGTGTTCTTTTCGCTGTAGTGCTGCACGGAAGATGAACAAGCGTCGTTCGCAAGGATTTGAAGTGACCCTGTTGAGACTGCACTCTTCAACACAGGATAAAATCCTTGCCTCCTTCTCCAGAACTTTTGTAATTGAGGGCAGGCCAATTCAAGTTCATTCTGAAATGTAAGAGATCGAGCCCTGATAATGATTAAGCAGACAAGCAATCCCGTTAGGATAAGTTGACCAAGAATGAGACTTGCCTGTCGACAAAGAGCAAGCATTTGCTCGTCTGTTCCTACTCAGGGAGTCCGGGTAAACCCGAGCCAAATTTCTTTGATGAGGGTAAGAAGAAATGAGAGAAGTACTCTGCTTCCAAAGAAATTCAAGCAATCTCCTTAGGCGGGGATAGGAGAGAAAAAGAAGCTGCAAACAATGAGAACAGAAGAAACAGTGTACTCCTCACCTCCGGGAACTTGCCCCAGATGACACCGAGTGGTTTGCAGTCGAAGACGCGATTGCCGGAGCCGATGGTGATCATTGCGCCGTGGTCCATGAGCGCCGTGATCTTGTAACTAGGGTTGGCGAGAACGCCCAGCTCCTTCATCTTGACCTCCACCCATTTCATCCTGCAAAAGATAAACGTAATTCATTCCCACTTCTTCCGCCTTCTGCTTTCCCTGCTCGTATAGTGTCGATTTTCCCCTCTCGAGATTCCCCCACGACATGCTGGCAGAAAACGAGACGGTTCGATGCGCGCTTTTTTCGTGTTCTGCTTGCAAGGTAACGAATTTTACTTCTCATCATCATCTTTCTCCCCGATCATACCAAGAGAAAGTTTGGCCCAAAATCTCCTGGGAAATATAAGGAACCCTCCGTCTGTCGCTGCTTGTGTCTAACGTACTCCTTTAATGAATGAATCTAGCAAGCACACGCGCAACTGAGCTTCGAAAAGAACGCAAATCTGTTCCTTCAAACAAGGCCGACTACGAACGTCTCAAGCGAAGTTGTTTGTAAGGTCGCCACCTCACCCCGTCGCTGACCAGATGATGATGTCATACTCGCTGTACGCAGCTGCAAGGAACTCGTGCAGAACTGCGGGACGAACAAAGACGACACCCGTCAGAAAGAGCGCTTGGCAACCGAAAAACACGTATGGGAAACTCGTAATACCACGAAGCGCACATGTCGGCGTTTGCAGCGACATCGGAGCTGGTAACAGAGCCTGCATGTCGCCATGAAAGTCACGTGGACTTCTCGTGTCCAGGCCAAGGCAGCCTTTGCGACATCAAAGAGCGACTCGGTGGTGGATGGAATTCGCCCTCTACTTAGAGAAGTGGTTTGAAGCGAAGAATCGTCGAGATTTCGTTGTTCAGTCGCCGGAGGACCACGGGACACTTCGCCTATTTGACCGTTAAAACTAGGGAACTCGTTGGCCAAAAGTCAAGCGATCTCCCCAAGGTAGTTGCTTTACTGGACGGGCGTTCCGCCATTCGGCGGAGCTGAAAAGTGCTCTCTGTCCCCTCTTTTCACAGAAAGTGGAATGTTACAACCCCTCAACTGACGTTCAAGTATATTTTCCCATAATCGGGGTTGCGACTATCTTCGTGATGTCAAGTTCTTAGGACTGTTCCCTTCACGGAGCCCGGCAACAAGAAAAGATCTTGAGCTCACCCAGTACATAGAAGCAATAGTTAATCGATGAAAGACTCTTCATTTGGGAAAGAAGGGGGTTCTGAGTAACAAACCGTCAAATTTGGACGATACAGCACAATTATCGAGGGCGGAAATCAGCGATTCTCAAGAATGCGTTTGATGAACGAACTTTCTTCGACAAACTTACAGGGGCGTTGAAGCTCCAGGGGCGTTTCCGCCACCGATCGATGGTCGAAGAGCGTGTAGTCGATGTCGAGGACTAGGAGCTTCTTTCCGGGCCGGGGCGGGTTCCGTATGACTAGCTGCATAGCGATCGAGAATCAGTGCCTCTTCAGACTCCGGAATGTCCCTTGAAGAGCGTCGAAAGGCTTTTCCTTTCCTTTTCCGAAGCTTAGACGCATACAAAGTGCGACAAACTTCATCGCTGTCTTGTGCCCTCGACACCTCCAGGTCTGCTGACCACATGTCCTAGTGCGGGTTCTCCCCTTGTTGGATCAGGCCCCAGGGTGCGAGCAGACACAACGCTTTGACGACTTTTCAAATCGCAACGACAGTCTTGTGTAGCCGTTGAGGTTGGAACGATTCCTTCAGCTCAAGCAACGGGGCTCTGCTCGACTTCTTGGGGTGTCTGCAAAGCTCCTCCAAGTATGGCTTAGACCTTTTGAAAAGCAAAGCAGTCGCGCTCCCTGAAGAATAAGAGCTTTCAGAAGAAGAAAAAAGAGCAGATTGTCGGCTCACTTTGTACTGTACGATGCGCCGCCGCAGCTTAGCCAGGTTCTCGTCCCTATGCTGGATTGCCTTTTCCTCCTCGGCCGCGATCTCAAAGTCGTCCAAAATCTCTGGCACATCCTCAGGCTCCACCAACATTTCCTGCTCTGCAGTCCTGCAGCAGCGATCGAAGGCTGATAAGAGAAGGCTTCAGAAAAATGCCAAATTGTTGCCGACCATATCTGGCGAGTTTGGATATCAATGGTGAAGATCTAGCATTCCTAACACGCCAGGTCAACAACTCCTTTTACGCAGTCCTGCGACCGCAGTCGAAGGGTGATGAGAGGATGAATTGAACCAAGAGAACAAGCCTAAAGATCAGACCAGGTTTGGCACGTCTGGATCAGTGATGGTGCACTTGTAGGTTCCTTAGTACGCCAGCTCATCAACTCCTTTTCCGCAGTTCTTTCAGCAGCAAGTCGAATGTTGTTTAGAAAGCGACTTAAACTGAAGAACAAGCATAACAATCAGGTCAGACTTGGCGAGTCTGAATACCACATTATGGATCTTCGAATCCTTTCTTCACCAGGTTGGATTCCATGAGCGCTCCCAAAAGTTAGTTAGATATGCTTGATGCCATGAAGCTGAGCTGTTTGCCACGTCAAGCAGTCGCCATAAATGGACTGTGAATCCTCCATGGAAGTAATCCGAGATGCGCCACCTGGAGTTTTCCACAGACTTGCCTGCAGGGCTTGCGCTTTGCCAACCGCTCGGTCACGACTTTTGACGGCACTCACTGTGAACATACGCCATTCGACGGCGCAAAAACATTCGAACAACCTGGAAGAGCAGACCCGTCAATCTTCGGGGTGGTTCTTTAAAACAACACTCCGAGCAAAAAGAAGGTCAGGACTTACCCCATCATCATGATCTTGGCCCCTGGTTTTATGGCCAGGTCTGATATGCGGGTGCCATCGTGTGCAAGCTTGCCGGACGCTGCTTTCAATCCAAGCAGCTTCTGACGCTTGGCGAAGACGCTGGTCTGCAGGTTGATTCTCTCTTTTAGGTCGGCGACAGTTGCTCCACCTTCTATCAGGATCTGCAAAGAAGGAAGCAGTCAGTGAGCACTGTATAGCTGTCAGTCCGGAAACGACCAAGAGTATCAGAATCTTGTCCAAGGTAGTGGAAGAATGTTTCCAAAGCCTTGAGCATGTGTGGTGGCATCAATCAATCTTCAACTCTGTGCTTGTTCTGCAAGCAGGAAGAGGCTGGTCCGTCACAGAACTTCAAACCAACAACTTAAAATGTCAAATTCCATCAGCCAGGGCAAAACATTCATGTGTATACCACCGTGTATCACATGGAATCTGACGTGAGATAGATCGAATGAAGCTTTTGAAGGAGCTCAGATTCCAAGAGCTTCTGCAAGCTAAAACCTCGTCTCACATACGTTCCTCCCCTAAGTTTCCTCTTTGTGGTCAAAGGCATCCGAGGGGAGCTGCAAAATGACAAAGACCTACAACATGCAGCAGTCCTACATTTTCCTCAAGTCAGAAAATGTGCTAAAACAACAATCGCACCGTGTACTCTTTCCCAGACCACTTTATGGTGAAGGCTACTTCGTCTGCGCCGGCAGTGCCACCCTCTAGCACCGCTGCAGCCATCCCTGAGGAACTGCTCGGTCCTGCATCCCCCATGTCTAACGAGGACCGTGCTCGTGTATCCAGAAGTTGCCACCGCCTGGTCCTATTGCAAGTCTGCAGATTGATCACTACAAAATTCAAAGCACTAAATGCAGATCGCACTGTTAGAACGCGCAGATTGAGAGCTGAGCATGGGAAAAACAAATTCGGATATGAGCTGCTGCTTTGAAGAAGTTATTTCTGCTCTGCAGCTCAGCAGGCTACAGTACATATTACCTCCTTGCAGCTGCATTGCATGCAGATTACCTGGAAGGGTATAGGGTTTGAACTTTGAACGTGCTTTTAGGGTTTGAACTTTGAGCTCCCCAACAAGATGCCCCCGGTAATGCTCACCGGCCTAGATGACTTAAAAGATCTCCCGGGGGAAGAACAGAATTTCCCTGAGCGCCCCCGAGCTTTCTGGAACCGGTTGCTAGCTGAATCAGCCGGTTGAGTGCCCGGTTGAAAGAGATACTTCTGAGTTCTCTGGCGCGCCAGCCTGGATGCTCTTCTCGCGCAGTTTGAAATTGCAGCACCAGCTTCCAAGTCAAAACTTGAAGCTTGCTCCCTTGTGAGTTCTCTTCCGAAGCTTCCCACTTCAGCAGAGACGCCGGTCCTTACCGCCCGCCCCACCCTTCCTCCTTTCCTCCCTTCTCCTCCACACGCTCCCACCATGGCTGACCAGGTCGCCCCGGTCGCCGCCAACGGCCCCAAGAAGACCGGCAAGGTCAAGTGGTTCAACTCGAGCAAGGGCTTCGGGTTCATTACCCCCGACGATGAGGGCGAGGATTTGTTCGTGCACCAGACGAGCATCCACGCAGAGGGCTTCCGGTCCCTGCGCGAGGCAGAGCCCGTAGAGTACACGGTCGAGACCTCCGACGACGGCCGGACAAAGGCTTTGGATGTCACCGGCCCCGGGGGGGTTCCAGTGCAGGGGGCTCCCCGCAGGGATGGTTACGGTGGGGGAGGCAGCCGTGGGGGCTTCGGGGGGGCCGCGGCAGGGGGGGTAGACGCGGGGGATTCGGCGGCGCACCCGGGGGGGGTGACCGTGCCTGCTACAATTGCGGGGAGCCAGGGCACATTGCCAGGGATTGCCAGAGCGAGCCCCAGCAGGGGGGCGGCGCTAGGTTCGGAGGAGGTGGCAGGTGAGGGCGTATGCCTGTGCAGCTCAACTGCTCTTTGCTTCTAGTGAATTCTGCTTGCACAACCCTGTCTCGCTGCTAACAGCTTGAGGTAAAGCTTTGTTTCTGGTTGGGGTGGCTGCGCTAAGTGGTATTTACGGGTTTGTTTCTTCTGAATGTACATTCTGTTCTCTGAGTGTATTGCTTGAATTCCATTCGCTGTCCTCATGAGGGGCTTCCTGAAAAGGCAGGTCATTTGGATCTGGTTGTTGCAAGAACAAATTCTCATCCTCTTGGAATGAGAATAGTGTGATAATGGTCTGCTTGGATTGGCCAACCAAGCTGCCTTGAAGTCCTGACAGTTCCTGACATGGTAATTCCCCTTTCTCATTACGGCACATTACCTTGGCATTTCCAAGGCTTCTGAGGCTTACATTCTGCTAATATGGATGCGAAAATGTTCTTACCTGTGCTTTAAGGTTAGGTACGTTGCCAATTCGACACAGTGCCTGTTTGCTGATCTGTCATTAGGATCACAAGCAAGAGCAATTTTGTGTACTGCCTCTTTAGGCTCACCTTTTCCAGTCACTTTTTGGTGGCCTTTACCATTACCAGAGAGCTCAGGGCTTTGAGACTCTTTGGTCAAAATACTGAAGATGCACCGTACATTTGGAGTCCTCATCTAGTTTTGGAACAGGCCGCCAGTTTTTGCTGAGGTCTGCTCAATTCTGCTAATCATGCTGAATTGACATAGACTAGTCATACTTCCAGTTGAATAGGAAGAATCCTTGTCAAACTACTTTGGAAGGGTCCGTTCATTTGTCTAGCGGTTAAGACTCTGGCTGCGTGGTAATGGTCTTTGCCGATGTTGAGCCGCTTGCTCTGAAGAAGCTTCTTAGTTGCTACCATTCTTCGCGTCAACCTTGCCCGCTCCTTTGCCTGCAACAGCCAGTGAGCAGTCTTCAGCTTTATTCAATGGGCGTACCAATGATCAATTTGAACATTGTCTTCAATCCTGACAATTGGTGGTTTGCTTTCAGTGGTCTGCTCTTGTTCACCCCTCATTGTGTAAACCTTCTCCTCACATCCACCGACAGTGCTCATTCTGTTTGCCTGGATTCATCTGTCTCATTTTCCTTGGTCACACTGCCTCTTTTCCTTGGTCAGTCAATTGCAGAATTATGTTGCATCAGTCGTTCGCTTTGAGGTGTTCTTTTGCCCTGAGCTTTTGTGTGCCCTTCCCTACTCCTCTAACTTAGTGGGACAGTAGGTAATCTAGGGTCCCAGCAGATATCAGTGAGTTGTCGAACATGTCCAAACCCGGGTCAAACATATCCAAACCCGGGTCATAGCAAGTCACTAGCTACCGCGACTTGCCTTGGACCTGTCTGTCTTGGAAGGCGCTGCCAAATTTAGCGCAATCAACCTGAGTTGTTCGCTCTTATTGTTGGTTGCAACAAATCGGGTTCGGTCTGGCTGGCTGCTCTTAACAATGCTTATGATGTGACGGACAGTTCAAGCAGAGCTCCCTCTCACGATCGTGGCTCTCGGAGTACCACATTGGCAGTATCTGTCTAGACACTCATTTGAGGATGTGAGCAAACAGGTAGAGCGAAGCTTGTGAGCTTAGAGCCATTTCATTGCTGTACCTTCAATTTGGCCTTTCCAAATCAATCTTGCAGAATAGTCTGTTTTAGCTCGCTGCGGGAGTGCGGGAAAGTGTTTTGTTTGCCCTGTCCTTCTGAAGCCCTTCAATCGACCTTGAAACAACGTGGATTTCACCCGACGACCTATGAACCTCAGCAAATTAGAATCTTTTGCTTTGTATCTTATTGCATCTGAACAAAGACTTTAGGTTAGGTCGGACTCATGGTGGAGTTATGACATGAGAAACTCAGCTGGCTTACGCCGTTTGTCTCTTTGGCGGAGAGAAGAAGGGCTCATTTATGGCTGTGAGACTCAGCAGTTACACTTACTGCAGTTTACACTTTCAGAGGTGCTTCGCAGAGCTGGTGGTTTGCCCAAGGGCTGGTGTGTGTGGTGCTCCTCGTCTCTTGTTTCGTCTTTGATTGGTTATTCCTTGTCTCTTGTTTCGTCTTTGGTTGGTCAAATTTCACCAATTGGGGGACATTGTTCCCTCCTGCTCATATGTTGCATCTCTTTGCGGTTGATCGCTCTTTCATGTTTCCGATTGTTGTTACTCGGCTCTCGAGTAATATGTTTCCATCTTCTTATCAACACTGTTGCAGGCTGATTGCTGATGCTCTCCCTATTCCATGCTCTCCACGCTCTTGACACTTCACTCATCACTCCTTGGTTGAATCTGCCAGCCTCGCTGACATGGTGTCAATCCTTTTCGCAGGTCCGGCGGTTCCCGGGCTTGTTACAACTGCGGACAGGAGGGCCATCTCGCCCGCGACTGCCCCAACCCCACCCAGTAAGGTGGCAATCGGGCCGATACGGAAAGCACCAACAGGAGGTTTGCAGGTTCTACCCGGACATTTCTGCCCGGGGAAAAGTCTTCGCATCAGGGGGAGGTGCACGGAAGGAGTTTGCTTTGCAGAAGGGGGGGTGGTCGCCCCCCTCTTGGTTTAGAAAAAGGGGGGGCAGTCGAGCCCTCCGGTAGCACTCGAAGCTTCACGGAAGGCCTTGTAGGTCGAGGTGGGCTTTGGTAATATGCGTTTGTTGTTGCTTTGCTAGAACTTCATCAGTTGGGCTTGGCCGCACCCCTGCGGCCGCGTAGGCCCCGAGAGCGTCCCAGGCAGCCTATCTCGTATGGGCTGCCGCGCTCTTATTTATCCTTTCTAAGGGGCCCCCGCTCGCAAGAGCAGGGGCAGCCGTGTGCAAGTGCAGACCTTTTATCGGAAGTGGTCGTCTTCGGAAGTGGGGCGCGGCTGCTTTTACCAAGGGCCTGCCATGTCGTCAAGTGATAACGGAGGAGGAGGCTGTAACAAGGACACGTTGAAATCTGATAAGTCGTCTTTTCAAAAAGCTTGGGACGGGTGTGAAGTCAATTTAAGTTCACTAGTTCACAAAGTCGCTTGCATGAATGGGGGCTGACATGCTTTCGGGCCGAGTTAAAGCTGGAAGTTGTTTGCCCGGCGTATTGTATGGCCGCACCAGCGCAAATCATTGAATATCTACCTGTCAATGTCAGTGCTGGCATGATTACGTCTCTGAATTATTCATCGCCGTAGTGTGGCATGCTTGTAGATGGTCATGCGCTTGTCTGTATGCTGCGCACGGTACTAATCGTTCAGCTTACTTATGCTTGCTGGCTGTATGTTCGAAACTTGTATAAGCATTGACACAGAAGATATATGCACTTTTGGCACTGTGGGCCCGCGGCTGAATTATGTGACCACATCATGGCATGTTCACGCAGGCTGTGGGACGCAATTGCAGATCTGTGTAGTATATAACGTGCAAATGATTGCAATGCCAGCTGGGAACGCAAAAAGACAATTCGAGCTGCAGCAGAGTCTACAACTGCCGCCCTAGGCTAATCGCCCGACAATCAGGGACACGTGGTAAGGCAATGGACAGTATTCAATGCAATATATCGATACGAATGGCAGAGCCGGAAGCATCCTCACCACTTGCGGTCCACAAGATAGCAAGAACGATTCTATCTGAAGAACATGTCGGATACTTGTTCCGTCTTCCATGCTTCATAAATTAGCTCTTAGATATCAGGCATGGTGATCATACTATGAGAATCATGATCAGATGATGCAAGTTGAAGCAGTCACTCACTGGCGGCCAACTTACTGCCGCTGCTTCATATCAAAGACGAGCCGCCCCGCTTCCATCAGTCCGACACTAGTAAACTTGAGTGTGCATGGCGTAAATCATTCTGTGCTATACATACTTGCAGCAAAGACAATTGCATGTTGCTTGCCAACACCCATGTGAGTCCGAGGCTATTCTGTGACCACCACATTCCTTTGAAAAAGGATTGTTAGATCCATGAGAACAAGCTATGTGATTAAGCATTGGAAGTTGCAATTCAAAACGTCCAGACTACACGTGCTCAGCAGGACATTGGCATCATTCACACTGTTCGTCAGAGCAGCAGCACAGCCCCCCGGGCTTTGCCAGCCTTGCAGCCCTTCGACAAGTATGTTTTCACATTAAGCACGCGTTGACTATACCGATTGACTACCCACTCACTGAGCTTTGAATTCACTCTTCACACACGGCGACTGCCTAGTTTTCTCTACGAGTGCGGCGCCTGGCAGGTGCCTCATCTTCCTCGACCTCCTTGACAGCCTCCTGCAGCTTCTCCTTGCCCTCAGGAGCGACGGCGGGCGCCACGTCATCGGCGGTAGCCGCGTCTGTCTTCTTCTTCAGACCCTCGGCGGCCTGTATAGAGTGCAAGGGTCAGAGCCAAGTATTTCGCAGCCGGTCAGGTAATGGGGCAAGCTGGGCACAGCAGACAGGCTACTCAGAAGCACGAAAGGTTGCAAGAACTGGCAGTAAGCAGATTTGCTCTGTATCGGTGGCGCGACTTCGAGTCTGCTGATGATCAAACCGTTCCCTGTCTTCCTTTGGGCTCCGCGGGAAAGTGAAGATGACATCTCGTTCTTGGAGGTGCTTCATCACACACCAGCACTCGATGATACGGAAAAGGAGGCAGTGGTACCCAGACTTCGCGTCACTGGTTGTCACACTACGTGCAACATTGGACAGATTCGAATCAACGGTCGGACTAACAAGAAACCTGGACGAAGGTTTGAAGCGAAACCACGCACCTTGGTTGCTTTCTTCTTGCCCCCTACCAAGCAGAACATGAGGAGGAACGGGATGCCAGCCACCAAGGCCAGAGCAGAGACGAGAGCCGCCATCTCGTTCTGCTCGGCGAGATCCAAGGCTTGCTGCAGGGACAGAACATGACATGATTCAGCGTCAAAGTTGGAAAGACAGTACGTGGTGACTCACACAGCCGATTATAACTTCCAGACAGGAGTCCAACAATCCCGAGTTGCCCAATCGTGCAACATTAACCTCCACCAGTCCTGACCCTTGCCCAGAGATGAGACCTCAAACTTTCGGACGCTGCAAAGCCCTACCGATACAGGGTGTCGGGAGAACTCCACAGAGACCCAGGGAAGAGAGCAACAGGAGCGACGACTTAGTTTCGACGCACTTAAAAGAAGGGGAAACATATGTGGCAATCAAACCAGCAGATCCTCAAAGTTTTACTGTCGCACAGTGAACGGAGTCAGAATGGGAGACTGCCTTATCATCTTCGAATCGGCGCAGGAATAATAGCCCGTACTGCCATGGGAAAGGCAACTGCAACACTTCAAGCGACCCCCCCTAAGAACAATCAATCCCGCAGCCTCGTCATCCATCCTCGTCGTTTGTGACCTGGCAGACGCTCCGCAACAACCCAACTTCCTCTCCGGCTGAACAATCTTGCGGATCCAGCCGTGAAAAATGCAGCTTCTGCTTCACCAAAGCGTATCTCTGAGCATATGCTATGGCATATGCTTGGGCGCGACTGCGTCCAAGTTCACCAGCTGGCGCGCATATGCAGCCCTTCTCCTAAGTTTCAAAACACCTCTCACTCCAGAACCTTGGGGGATTAAGACCTTGAAAGGGGAAAAACAAAAATATAGATTGCTCCTGCTCTAAGGTACGGCTTTACTGGCGCGAGCGCCTCCCCATCGGCCAGCTGGCGCGCCGTCTCCAGGATTCTTCTTGCCAGTAAGCGACAAAACCTCATAATCTGAAAGTTTGCCCCAATCTCCTTCGGGGAGCGAAGCACGGGGCAACTAGTCCGAAATCCTAAACAAGAAAAGCAGCATTGATGAGCCTTACTGTGAGGTACGGCTTGACGGACGCAAGCGCCTCCACGTCCGCCAGCTGGCGCGCCGTCTCCAGCACCTTCTGGAGGACCACGTTCTTGACCTTGCCCGACGCCGCCGCCTCGTCCGCTACCTCCTTCTCCTTCTCCTCCTCCGCCTTCTCCTCTGCGAGTTTCGCGCCCGACGTCGCCTCGGCAAAGGCCTTGGCGGCACCCAGGTCGTGGCCCAGGAGAATGTTGTCGAAGAGGAATCCGTCGTTCATGGTCCAGATCTCGATGGCGACGGCGGCGATGGGCTCCAGGGCGACCGACTCGACCTCGTAAAAGGCGGGGTTGGGGATCTGCAGAAAGTGCGAAGGACGTCGGTGTTGAAGTGGAAGCACTCAAGCAGCTGAGAACTTCCTCTCTATCTTCACGAACTATGCTTCGAAGGAGCAATTCACAGCGGACCAACTCAACTTATACTGGCTGCATTGTAATCCACAAAAGGTTGGGAACGTGTGGGTTCAGATACAAGGGCACATTAGACATGCAAGAACAGCTCTTTAGATCTTGCAAATTGTGCACCTTGTATTCAACACGACATTACTAGCCAAGTTGCATACAGTACTACCCGTCCACCCAGCGTGAAAAGTGCATTTCCGGCCGGCTAGTTTCCTCGAACAAAGTCGGCATGAAATGGCTCTCAATGGTGTTTCAGGCTTCGTCCCTGCCGTCTCCGGCCAAATTTTGATTGCCCTATCCAGTTTGCCTACTGAAGCCGCCAATTCTTCAGTCACGTCTCAAAGCTGCAGAATCACTGGCAGCAAATGCTGTGAATCCCCAGAACCGACATCTTGTCAGGGCCGACGGTCGGAGAACCCGCTTTGATTACCCGAATATCAAGGTCCCCCAGCGAGTTCCTCAGTCATCCTCTCGACCAAAAAAAAGCCCGAAGCCTTCTGAACTTTTCCGAGAAAACCCAGAATACGAATTGCCCCAGAATCACCTAAACTGCTCAAGATTTCTTTACTCACCTTGCGAGGGGCCCAGACTCCCTTGTACTCCGGGTTGTCGATCAGCGGCGCGCTCCACTTGCCCTTGTAGTCAGGGTTCCGCTTCGTCGGGCGCTTCCACTCGCCGCACCCGGGGGCCTCTTCACACTTGGGGTTGTCAACCTTTGCGGGCTCCCACTCGCCATCCTCGTCGTCGTCCCAGTCCTCGGGCTTGGAAGCCTCGGGGTCGTCGACCTGGTCGGGCTCGTCGTCGAGCCACCCCTCGGGCTTCTCAGCGTCCTGCAGGTGCAAAAGGAAGAGTCAAAAGATGATTACGAGGTTAGAATCTCTGCGAACTTTCAAAAGAAAGAAATCAGGTCGGATTGGGTCCGCTGGTACAGAGAGATCAGGAGGTGATATCGGATGCGAAACAGCCCCTTTCAATTGCGCCAACCAGATACTGCCCAAACCAGATCGGTGATGCAGTGATTGGGATTGTCATTGTAGGATTCCAGTTCAGGGTCCAAGACGAAAGGGCTTTGAAGATATTCACGGGGTGAGAATCATTACATGAAAGAGAGAGATGCGTGTAGAGTCGAGGACCAGTGCTAAGCCTCCCGTGCTCCGGCTTGTAGCCTTCGACCTGTCAGGCTCAATGGCGGATCACCCCTCATTGACTTTCTGATAATCTGGATGGATTTTGGTGCATCACAATGAACTTTGGAAAGAGTATCACCTCTGTAAGAGCCTGTACAAAATTTAGGCTGAATCCTCTTTTGTCGAGGAAGTCCAAGCTTTAACTTCAAAGATGGTAGCAACCTTTTCTATGCTCCAAGGAAGTGAGTGGTGGTAATATGCTGCCTCGAATTTTTAAGCGACGGGCTTTATTGCAGCTGGAAATCATGGCCAATGCCCACCTTGCCCATAACCGAAGAGGGGAATGAGCGGGAGTGACTATTAGGCCTGAAATAAGGACTCCAAGCTTACCATATGTAGGCCACCCATATTGTAAGGCTTGTCCTTTTAGCGCCCTGCGATAAGCGCGAGGTCGAGAGAGACCACTTGCAGAGTACCCAAACTGGATTTGAACCCGTTCTAAAACCCTGCCGGCGACGTGCCAGGGTATTTGTAACCCGCTACCGTTGCTCGGCTCCAATGTAAAACTTAGTCTAGCCCCATGACCCTTACTTATGACCCATGACCATGACCCGTACACATGACCCATGACTCATGACCCGTACCCATGACCCATAACCCATGACCCATAACCCATGACCCATGACCCATAAACCATGACCCATAAACCATGAACCATAAAGCATAACCTCAAAACTCAGCTTCCAGCGCGTACCTCATCAGGGATCTCCAGAGGTGCGTCCTCGTCCCAGTCCTCCGGCTTCGTGGCCTCAGGGTCCGGGATCTTGGCGACATCGACCCAGTCGGCGGGCTTCGTGTCCTCCGGGTCATCGATCTCCTCCTCTGGTTGGAACGGGGGCGTAAAGTCCTCCTTGAAGCTGGCGGACTTCTTCTCCTCACCATCGATGAGGATGAGGACCTGCAAAAGAGACCTTTCTTATAAATCTCAGAAAGAATATGGTGGTCAGAACATTGAGGAGCCACAAATCCAATCTGCAGCATGTGCTGAACTGGGGCCTGGTGGAAAGAGTAAGACGGGCTGAGAAAGCATGGATAGAAGAAGAGCGAAAGGGGTCCTGCGAAAGTTGCCCTTATGCTTCTGCTTCAATATAGCTGATCACAGCCACCACCCTAAGGTGGTAATCAAAGAAAGAACCTTTCAAGTCTCAAAGGGAGTCCTCTTCTGGTTGAGATAAATGCTATTCAGTGCAGAGAGCAGACTCTGTGTTGGAGAAAAGGCAAAGTTGACTAAAAGCCTTAAAAGCCTTTCCTCGATTCTGCAAACTGCTACTGCCACGGTCCTGGAGGTGCTGCGCTGCAGAAAGTTATTTTTTCCTGACCGCATTTCAAGTCTTCTATTGGAGATAGCGGCCGCCAGACACTTGACCTTTCCACTGGGGACAATCAGCCTGGGGAGCAAAACAAAATGACCTGCACATAGCTTTAAACCGCAGAAACCCTCACTTCAACAATCAAAGTTGTGGCCGTAATGGTGCAAGAGTGCAGCTCAAAGGCCATCCTGTGCACCTGACATGCAGTTTAGCAACTCTCTTTGAATCAATACTTAATCAGGTTCCAATGATCAGCGTTTCAGCAGCTTGAAAAGCGTCTACTGTTGGCATCAATCCGTTTGTTTGAAGAACAAGAGTAACGAGGATACGCTAAATGCATATTCCCACCTTCTCCTCCTTGGGCTTGATGACGGCGGTGTAAACATGCGTGTTCTTGTCATTGATGGGGAAGGGGGGGTTGTTGAGGTGATGCTCCACGTACTCTCCGGACACGGGGTTCTTCACGCGAACAATGAAGTGGACCTTGTTGGTGGACCCGCACTTGTCAGGCCCGAACATGACGGAGTAGCCCGTGTTGTCCTTGAGGTCGGCAGCAGTCCACCCAGCCTCCTGCAAAGGAAGAAAGCGCCACAAGGTAAATGTAAGTCCAACAGAAGAAAGAAGATATTAAGATGCTGAACAAAATAGCACTTCACTTTCCTTATGTTCCCTGGCGTTGCCTGCACGAATCCGCTAACAAACTGATGAGAGTCCAGTTCTCCCTGCAAGTGTCAAAATTCAGGGCGCCTTTTCCTCTTTCTATCACTCACAGCAAGTGAAAGTGATTGATGGAGATCTAGCGCCCTACTTTGGAGAAATGTGACTGGCTTCTGACATGGCAATTGGGAGATTGCAAGAGACTTCACCTCACATACCAGGGTGGCAGGATTGGGGGGATGCAGAAGAGATGCAGCGAGGAAAAGGCCAGATGGTGCAGCATCAGAGCCTTGGCGGACAGGCCAAGGCTCTCTGATAATCATCAACAAAATGTGAAAGGTGGTGGCGCGACAGGCAATTAGTGCACTCAAGCTTTTCAAGCTGGATTGAATGGTTGGAAAGTGATTGAATCGCTGATGCGCAGCAATCAAGGTAGCGCTTTCTGCAGAATGCATTTTCCACGATCAAGCTAAAAGCACTCGATATAACAAAGTGAAGTTCCAAAGAAGATCAGTCCTGAGGGCTTCGGATTTGTTTGGTGGTAATAAGTCTTCCTTTTAGTTTGTGCAAACGAAAGCTCTGTTCAAAGCATGTCAAAGATGTTGCTGTCAAACATTGTGCTTGTTTCTGCAAATTCTGAATAAGCAACAACACGGATCAGCTTCAGTTTGCCATCAACATTTGTGTGAGACAGCATGAAAGGCGTCGGACATGAAACCTTTTACAATTCAGTGCTTACCAAGTGAAACCCTAAAAGGGAAAGGCGCTCTAGATCTATCGTGGCAAACATCGACCAGAAAAATGGCACAGTTTTGCAGTTTGATTGTAGTGTCAACGCTGCGAATCCGGATTATTGTTCTACAACTTATTCGTCGGCACTTCCCCTTCAATTGTGCTGTCATTGCTACAAGTCTTGTTGGGTGGATCACTTGCCAGTAGTGCGAACCATCTTTTTCACAACTTGAAGTCATCTTACCAAGCTCGCAGAAGAAATCGCAAAACCGAACCTGCTGAGCAGAATCATTGTTTGAACAAGACGCCTCACCTGAGGGTGCAAGAACTTGAGGTATGCGCCTCCACATTCGATCCCCTCCTGCAGCCGTACTTCATACTGAATAACGGTGTCCTCGTCATTCAGGTCAACTGTCTCTGGGAGGTCCACCGCGATGCCGTACTTGCGAGCCTTCTCAGTGACCAGAAGACCGTAGTCGTCATGGCCTTTGCTCTTGGAATACTTCCATGGCCCTGCAGTGATGCACTGATTTCATGAGATGCTCATAATGCATTGTCAATTAGAATTGCTTGTTTCAGGAAAATAGAAGAGAGCCTTGGTCTGTGAAGGTAAGATTTCCAACCGCACGTGCCAGTTTACAGCTAAAGTCAGCAAATGTCTGTCTGATATTTGTCAGTCTGATCGCGCAAACTGCTGTGCACAATAGATTTGGAACTCTACGAAGGAGAGCAGCTAAAATTTGGAAAAAGGCATTTCTAAACACGCAAGTTACTTTATTGCAGATCCTCTTTCAGCACCATGCGCAGGGAGACTTTGATAAAATGAAACTGGAAATTCTCTTCGGAGCACCACGGTGGACACAAAAAGTGTATGAAATGACTAGCTTCTTTCGTGCGCTGTTGTCCACTTGGATCCTGGAGGCAATGCAGGTAGAGAACCCAAGTGGTTGGAAAAATGGTCCTAAGCAATCACCAAATCTAGCTGAGATTTGAGATGCAGCACACCGTCACTCAACTAACCGGACAACTTGGACTCTCAATGCATACTTCTCCTAGTGAACTTATGAATCATGATTGCTGTCAAATTATGGTGCTGGTGATCCAAAAATAATCTCACCCTTGTAGTCATCCAAGTTGGATGGTATCCACCGCCCCTCCCAGTCGTCATCAAAGGTTTCGACAAAGACGGATTTGTCCTTGATGTCAGCCTGCAAGCAGATTCATAACATTCTCAGATGCAACAGATCTTTGTCATCGACTTGCGGTGACAGAGCAGATTCCTCTCCCCTGCCTCGGTGACTTTTAAAGGAACACTTGCTGGGTGACAGACACCACTTTCACCATCAAGTACAACGACATGAGCAGCACCTCCCTAACAAGAGTCTCAATTTTAATACACAGCGTGCAGATGCACAAGAACTGCCGCATAAACCTTTGATGAAATTTGTGGACACTCACCACAGCGTCATCAGCTCTGACGAGGCCAGCAAGCAAACAAAGTGACGCAAACAGCATCACCGCCAAGGCGGCTGAGCGCGCCATTCTGGCGGTTGTGAAGACAGTCCTTTTTTTGTCCCACCACGGTCGACCTTCACCTAGCTTCCCCCCTGCGATCGCAGCACTTCAGAGCGCAGATCTATGATTCCTGCAGCCTCGTGACCTGCACTGGTGCACCAGGAGGAAAATCGGAAAGGAATGCAGTCCTCCCCGGCCGGCCCTTCTGCAAATTTGGAGAGTCAGTTGCTCCTGGAAATGTCATGCGAATCTGAGCCGTCCATCTGCCACAAGTTCCAGAGACCTGCACTTTTCACCCGCCGCCTTGGCAAGCGGTGACGTCGTCGCGCTCGTATCGTTCAACTTTTGTCCAGGTGGCATCAAGTCATTTGCTATGGTTTCTTACGAACCCTTCTCATTGGCTAAATGGACGTGTTTGTTGCAAGCCCTCAGCCGCATACTGACGCCGCCGCACTCCCGTAATCTGAGAGGGGCCCGGCTCAGCCCCGCGCTGTTTCTGGTAGCCGTCCGATTGCGGATGCTGAGTGCTGAACGGTTACCATTACAAGAAGCCACGGCTCCTACAAGACATAATTTATCAAGTTAAAAGGAGTTCATGTAAGTAGAATTTCATGTATCCTAGGACTAGTAATAGTTAATACAGTAGGCTAGCTTGCGTGTGAACTTGACAATTTCAGCAAGCCGTGTGAAATTTTGAATTACTGGCACCTGGGTATGCAGAGTGACTTTGGTGACACCATGTCATGAGCATCGTTGTTGCCTCGCCGCAGGAGGATCAAATCAACTTTAGTGGCAATGGTAACTTTAGCTAAGTAAGCTAACCCGAGCCATGCAGGGACATGAGCTGCCGGCCCAAATCCGCTATCATGACTGAGACGGATCATGGGCCATGCACGTGACTGAAAGCAGGGCGTGTGAATGTCACTGCTGGCCCAGCATGGGCCGGTAACATTGGGACTCCGGGAGACCATTGTAGGAGCTTTTTGCACGTAAGAGTGGGGCCATCATTTGTACAAACATGAATGATGCCAAATGGTGAAACTTTCTAACCAGAGGCCGTGAATAAAACCCCGACCTCTACCTTGTGAACTATACCCGCGGCGCAATTTCTCTGGTCGAACCTTGCTCTTGCAAGAATGACCCTGCCCAGTTCCAAATAGGGCTCGACGGTAGCTACTCTTCAGCGCGAGTTGTCGCTGCAGCCATGGCATGGCATGGCATCACATATCCAGATATTTGCGGACACCATCACCGCGTGCATGTTCGCAACTTGGCCATCCTCCCCATATGCGGATCAAGATTAAAAGAGGTTTGCAATTGTTCGTAACAGACTGCAACGTCGGTGTTCATACACTCAAGACAAACCACAATGATAAAGGGCAATTTATCGAAGTTTCTTCGAGGGCACTGTTTCTCAAAACTGTTTCCCAAGTTGTACCTTCTTGATTGCACTAGCTGCTTGGAACAGGATCCCATCAACGATTCCAGCAACCTGCATTGACAAACACCGGCGTCAGTACCATCCAGGGATGTGGACGGATCTTTGAAAGCGGGCATCATGGATGCTGCAAGATTTCGACGCCAGTTTCACTCTGCTCTGTTCGCTTGCGTCACCTCTTCGAAAAACGTGGATCTATAAGCGGACCGCAGAAAACAACGAGCAGGCTGGGCCGCCCATTCCGCCTAACCTCTCTAATAACCATAACCCACTCACCGTAAACACTCCTCCGATGATGGCGCACACGTTCGTGATGAAGTGCGAGAACGACCGGCTGTTTTCCGTGATCACGACTTGCATGGGGGACAGCTCGTAATGGAACTTCGCCACCGGGACCGCCGCCGAGTTGAAAACGTTGCTGTGCGCCGTGTAGTCGTAGCTCTGCACGTACTGGTGCGCCGGCAGCTTGAGCGGCTCCACTGACGTCAGCACTACTTGCAGGTAGTGCTCGTGCTGCAAACGAAAGTGGGCACCGTTAGATTGTTGCTGTGCAAGTGGAAGGAAAACCATCTCGTCCAGAGACGATGCAGAGCGAAAGCTGGTTGTGTGGCTCCATTGCGCTGGAATGGAATATTCACGAGCGCTTACCGTCTGATCGCCGCTGTGCGGTGATAGATGGCCAATAACCGTCCAGACAAGGTGCCAACTGAAAGCTGACTCTAAACTTGATCGCTTACAGCATTGACCAGCAAAGTACGATCGCCTTGTCTTACCGTCAGCTTGTCGCTGTGCAAAAGTAGTTTACTATTCGCGTCAAGTAAAACAGGGAACTAAAGGGGCTTGCACAAGGACGTCCAGCAGCAAAAGCGACTGAAAGCCGCTGTGCCGCATCACCGTAAGGTTGCGATGTGCGAGTGGAACCAGCAACTTACCATTCACACATCTTACAGAACAAGTGCTGCCTCCAGACACGCTTTTCAATCAGGAAGTAGCAAGAAACGACCTCTTCGTCTCACCCTCAAATTTCTGTGCGACTGCCAACAGCAGTTTAGTAATCACTTTGAGCGTGCAAGGAAAGCGAATTAGCTGGCAGACTAGCATCCGGGACAACAATCGAGGATCCTTGTGCCTTACCGTTGTCGCTGTGCGCCCTGTGAGGCGGTCCTCCTCAGCGCGGTAGTTCAAGCAGATTGCAAAGCGGAAGCGAACTCGAAGCTCGATCGCTTCAAACCGAAAAGCAGAGGTGTTAACCACCCTGTCTCACCATGATTCCGATGCTTTGCAAACATGAAGAGCGACTTACCGTCCAGATAAAGTGGTAAAATGAAGCCAACTCAAGTTCTCAATCGCGTTGACTTGAAGCACAAAAACAAACGCTGCTTTGTCTCACCGTAAGGTTGTCGCTGTGCGAGTGGAAGAGCAACCTGCCCGTCCAAACAGACTGCAAACCAGTTGCTGACTCGAGAAGTGACCCCTTTATACCAACCAGCAAAAAACAGCTTTCAAAACAAAATATCAGAAATAACGATGACGTTGTCGCACCGTCAGGTTGTCGCTGTGCGAGTGGAAGTAGCGCCCGGTTAGGCGGTCCTCCCCGGCGCTCGGATGGTGGCTCCAGATGCGGTCGATCTCGTGGTACTGCTTCAGCGTCGGCTTGCGCCCAAACGAGAACGAGTTGACGCTGTGGCTCATGTTCATCGTGGCTGGGTCGAACGAGTGGCCCGCGGAAACGGCCGCGACCTGCAGAGATACGAAATGAAAGTTTCATAACAACTTCAAAAGCGGTCGATCTCGTGGTACTGCTTCAGCGTCGGCTTGCGCCCGAAGGAGAACGAGTTGACGCAGTGGCTCATGTTCATCGTGGCCGGGTCAAATGAGTGACCCGCGGAAACGGCCGCAACCTGCGCAATGAATCGCGACTCTCAAAAACTGTGCTATTTTCAGAAACTCCGAGCGTTTTTCACTTGCTCTAGCACGCCTTCCCTGAAATGAGGATAGATGAAACGAGCCGACTCCGCCACAGTCCTTTTATGCGGAGGAAGCCCTCCATGTGGCACTCGAGAGGAAAGCCCGTCCCTTCTCTAGAACGCATGGATCAATGCAGCCTACCAAAACCCAGAAAAACTTTCCAACCATTACTTGTAGGTTCTCGGAAGATTCATTCACAAGAACGAGGCTCTTAATTCGGCACCCGGAGCTCTGGGGCGCATTCTTTCCATTTTGGAAAAGATATCAACATACCAAGGAAACAATTACAGCCATACCTGCAGGTTCCCACGGAAATAATCACAAGGACAAACCCTCGACCTGAGATTCGAACCGCTGAGGGGCTTTTTTTCCTTTCACGAAACACCAACAAACCGAGGAAGGAAATCAATCATACCTGAAGATTACCAGGGACCTTCTTTACGTGGACGAACCCCTCGATCTGGCACCCGGAGCTCTGAACACTTCCTTCTCAAGTAAACACGCAAAGCAAAGGGAATTCAAGGACAGAAGACAAACGCCGCCGTACCTGCAAATTCACGGGACCCTTCTTCACAAGGACAAACCCCTCAATTGGGCACCCGGCGCTTTGGGCGCTTCTTCACATTCTACAATTTCGCTCGAGTTCAAAACACTGACAAAAGAAAGAAACGTATTGCAACCATACCTGCAGATTCCCAGGGACCTTCTTCACGAGCACGAACCCCTCGATCTGGCACCCGGAGCTCTGGGGCGCTTTCGCGACCACGCGCAGAGCGCGCCCGTCCTTGCCCATCCAGGGGGGAACGACCTGCTGGGCGGTCGCGCCTGGGAGCGCATGCGCGCGCTGCTGGAGGCCGGTGGCCAGGTCGTCGGCGAACTAGAGAGAGGGGAGATGTAGAACAGGTCAGGAGCCGATTAGATATTGTGAAGTTCTAAGGGGGGGACTGCGCGGTCGCGCCTTGTAGCGCATGCGCGCAGGAGGCATTTAGCCAGGTCGTCGGCAAATAGAGAGGGGAGAAAAGGAGCGCGTCAGAAAACGACGGCTTGAGATTAACGATTCAAAGGAGTCAGGAAGACGACCTCCTGCGCGATCGTCCGATCTTGATAGGAAAGTGACGCGCGGCCCACTTGCACCCAGAAGCGCATGCGCGCGCCGCTGGATTCAATGGCCAGGTCGTCGGCGGCCAGAGAGGGGATCAGAAGGGACCCCTAAATAGCATGATGGCAACTCAACAATTGAGTTGTCAATAAGACAACATGCTGTGTGGTTGCGCCCGAGCAACCAGTAGCCAGTTCGTCGGCAGACTGAGGAGAAGGGAAATGGAGCAGATCAAGGACTAGATTTGGCCAGGTCATGAGCGAACTGACAAAGTAAAGGAAGAAACGGATCAGCATACGCTGCTGGAATATGATGGCAAAGTCGTGCACAGCGGTGTCAAATGAAATTGGGTGGGTTTCAAGCCGGTTCAAAATGCCCCACGTAACTCTCGAGCGATGTATCCAAGCTTGGAGGATTCTCAAGTTGATCACAAACCGCAAAGTCGGCTACCGTGATAGCAGTTTCTCCACCCCCAACTTCTTCACTTGAGACCGACCTTCTCCTGACTATGTGAGAGAGGGTGATAAAGGGCAAGGCCTGGCCTGAAACTGCTTCCAGATGATTATGGTCAACCATTTCAAGGGTTCAAGTCTCAGGATGTATTGCCCGCCTGATCATTTTTGCACACCTAGGGGATGGCCGAAGCGATCCCGACACAAGTAGAAACCACCGTCGCACCCAGACGACTGGCATTGACCGTCTCGGCATGTGTCATTAGTAGGCCTTACCTGCGTAATCGCAGCCTCCGTTCGGTCTCCATAGTAGGACTCGTGATCGTGGTGCCCCTGTGCCGCTCGGACGTCCTGGCCGGAGCGGAAGATGCGGATGGACGGGAAACCTTGCACGTGGTGCCTGTGGTCAAAACGTCATCAGAGACAGGTTAAGAAATGGAGACGGGTTATGAGGACGGGTTAAGCATCGCAGGCTATGTTAGTCTTGTCGTCATCCGGAACCTCGAATCTGCAGCGAAGCACAAGCTTTGCACCATCTTGATTGCGAGAGTCACGTTGGATGATGAGCATCGGCTGATGCCTCTGCGTGTAATCAGCGTTCCTATCAAATTCGACACAGGTTTGTGGCACGGGGTAGAAGGCGACGTTCTGGCTCCACTCCGTCTAAGGACTGTGCAAAAGAGATTCGAAATCTGGACCTTCCAGCATGAACAGGTTGACAGAACCTCGCCGTGATGTGCCCCTTATGCAACAAACGCTCTTTTGCCGAGTCTAGCTTCGCTGCTACGAGAGCCTATGTTCATGATAAAGTTGCTAGCAGTAAAGTTTGAAGTACGGAGTACAAAGCCAGCAACACTAAGAAAAGATGGAAGCAGAAACGGTGACCATCCTACTCAAGAGGAATCCTAGCATACAAATGTAGAAAGCAACTATTGTCAGCGAACTGCAAAGGAAGAGAAGAGGCCTTACTTCCGACAAAGGGCGACTTCAACTGTGCAGTCCACCTTGGCAAGCAGGATCTGCGGGTTGACATCAACATCGTACCTGCAACATGACAACACCATCCTCGTCAGACAAAGAAGATGAGATAAGTTGAGCAGAAGAATCACGTAACTTCGACACGCAATTGATGGTTCACAAACACTGAAAGTTTCTTCCAAGGAAGAAGCAGCCCCGGTTTCGTTTGCGCACCATAAGCAAGGAGCAGCTGACGTAGTTTCAACAGAGGAACCAGGATCGAGCGATCACGTCGCGGTTGACAACAACATGTAAAGCACTCCTAACGACAATAAAAGACTTGAATTACGAACCGTAAATAAAGATTGCCATGGAGACTTGAAACGCTGAGACTTCTCTGGACACAGACCAGTGTCAGTGCACTCAAAGCAACGAGCGTATACTCCAAAATCGGGTCGAATTTCTGTTTAACCACAACCTTCTATTGGCACTCCTTCTTGTCGGCGCTTTTTTTCTCAGTCCAAAGTACCCCTGCAGCATACATAACTTCTAAGAGAGGACCCTAACCCGGTAGGAGACCTCTTCAAGACAAATGCGCCATAATTTAGGCAAGTAAGGCGAGGGAAAGGAAGCCATACTTCTTCAACATCGCCTTTGCAGAAGCTTCCCAGACTGGCTCCAGCCTCTGACTCCAGGGGCACCAGGGTGCGAAGAAGTTGACCATCACGATGGGGAAGGACCTGGTTCACGGCAGACGAAGGGTTCACGCAAAAGTTTTTTGACCAATTCTGCTTCTCGGCAATTCTGATCGTCTCACTACCCGTTGGGTCTGGTCTTCGAGGAAGAATGTACAACCACGACTTGACGGCAAATCGTAATGGTATTACAGGATTTGACATTCTTCTTTGAATCCTTGCGGATGATCGAGCCGTGGATTACGTTGACAGGGTCACCTGACAGGTTCCGCATTGAAGATAAGGCCCGAGTCGATGGTTGGAGGATTTGAGATTTATAAAGTTGACGTATCTTCTCGTGCTCAAAGTGAAAGGCTCAAAGGCAACAACTTCGACCTGGTAAACCGCATCTTTCCACCTTAACACGCTAAAGAATGATATGATATGAGATTCACCACAGTAGTTTTTCCTGTATTTGGGCTGGTTCTGAGCACCGATGCACTTTCAGATTGTGATTAAATCCCTGACCGCGTTGATTGCTTTCAGAAACCAAAAGCGACATCTCATGACTGCTTCACATCCGGAGCTCACGCTATCCTACATATCCCCCAGGAGGAGCAGCTAGTAGCCTCACTCTTTGGTGATGGTGTCGAATGTGGCTTCGCTGAGAGGAAGGGCACCCCCGGGGTCCTTGATCGGAGGGGGATCCCCTTCCGGTGGCTGCCCCCCTTCTGCTAGCTGCCGCTCCTTGGCCTCCATCTCGGCGGCACCCTCGTCAATCGGATCAGGGGCCGGGTCGTCGTGCGCTGGCTCCCGGACCGTATGCGCGATGTGATCTGCATGACGGGAAGATACTCGGGCCAGTTTGAATGCGAATTGGAAGGGAGTTGCTGAAGAGTTGCTGAAGAGGATGTTATGGATTGAAAACGGACAGGAGGCGATTATGTTGTAACGCCTGGCGTCAGCAGGGGCTAGCAAAAGCTGCCAACGATGCTGGACTGTTTGCTCGAGTGAAAGATGCCATTCTGGTCCACTGCAGGCTTATCATCCTTACGAGGGCAGGTGCACCGAGTAACACTCAAAGTTAGACGATTCTATGTCGGAAACGACCGTTTCAAAGGTACGGTACGGTACAAACAATGCCCCATTAGGGCTGCTGGATTGCAAATATCGTTCCTTCAAAGTCTGCTGGCTGAAACACATCACCAGTTCACGGTTGGATGGAGCACCAAGTGCCTCAGTTTCTCTGTCCAACCAAAAGGCTAGGGCTGGAACCGAATTAACCACAGGGGAAAGGCACAAATAATGGGTTCAAAAGCACGCCAATGACTTGTCAAACAACTGCAGGCCTCCCACTGTGACGAGGCTACTCTACACGACTCAAAGCCTGGGGTCAGGCTGCGCTCAACCGCAGTATGAATAAATACGAACTTGGTTTAAATACGTCATGGCTGGGGCTCACTTATCTTGTTCTTCAAGTAGGGACTGAGTGAAGAAGGGAAAACTTGCTTCTGAGAGCTCTGGTGCAATCCCTGGAGACAGCTCAAGTTCCTTGCCACTCTTTCAGAAGCATCAGATTTGGAGCACCCTCCTCAATGTTAATTAAATCATTGAAGAATTACCATAGAAGAAATCATCAATATCTAGAGCGCCTGGGGCTTGGCAACCGACGGGGATGTTACTCACGGAACTCAGGCCCAGTGATCCTCCCAGCATGGTCGATTGGGAACTTCCTGACGGTCTTGGACAGGTTTATGCGGTGCTGCAAGAAACAAGAGTAGAAGGCTTCAAACCTTCCGAAGCAATTGAAAAGCCACCCAGACTCTTGATGTTGGAAATTAGAGACTTGGTGGTGTCATTCATTTTCTGGTCTCAAATCTTATCCATGGTGCACAAGCAAACACCCATTGCAACTGTAGGTGCGCCCTGAATTTTCAGGGTGGACCGGTCTCCTGCTTCTCTTGTCCTGAAATCGACGCCACCTTACCACACAGCTTCCCTTTCTAGTGGTGGTCTTAGGAATCTTTCAAACTCAGTCACGCCTGCCTTCAACAGACAAGAGCTCTGACTCACCCACTTGAGCCTGATCTGACAATTCTGACATCCTCTCTGTCACGATATTTGCCTTCTGAAAGACATAACTCACCGTTCCTAGGACGTCGCTGACATCAACCGAGGCAAACTCGCACGAGAGCGCAGGGAAGCTGAAGTTGAAGTTGATGCGCATGACATCCCCGTCCCTACTCCTGTCAATTATGACAGTGGTCGTGGCTGACGTTGTAAGATAAGCCTGGAGCTCCATCCCAAACAGCAGCACCATTGCGATGCTGGCAACAACGGACAGGGTGCCTCCAGCAAGGGTGGCCTCAGTCAAATCCCTAGGGATCCGCCTGCAGAGCAAAGTACCAATTGAATATCCACAGGAGGGGGTAATTGAAAGGGGGAAGTCGATGCATATGGATTAGGTTATGGATTATACTCGACCATCGCCGTATTATAGGGTGCACACTGAATCACAATACCAAGAAAGCATAACAAAGTCCCGACATAAAGAGTGGGTTAAGCAGAAAGGAAATTCAGATACAACTTCGATCTGGTCGCTCATGTACACAGGTTCCGAAACCACACCGTATCAAAAGGAACAGGGATTCGCCTGCAAGTCTAGAATACCAACGTAAGAGAGGGTTGAGCAACAGGTAAGACTAATGCATACACAACCTGCTCACTGATGTACGAGTGTTCTTAGACGACGACGTCATAAGGACACTCTTACAAAGAAAGAATGACAGAACGTATGAAGTAAGAGTGGCAGTCAAGTGGAGTGGTGGTCAATTCTGCATCAAGGAGTTCAGGTCAGGAAACAGGCTGGGTGAATGGGAGGGGCTCTGTTGGCTTCGATTTGAGAAAGGGTTGGGGCAACAGAAGGCAATACTCGGACCAGAGGACAACAAGGTAAGAGAAACACTCAGCGAGGTATATTGATCTTGCGCGTTTGTGAGGAATCATCTGGAATGTAAAATGAGCCCTTCCTTTACTATGCACAGTACAGTGCAGTTGCAATTATCCGGAGGGCTACCTGAAGTATCTAGGGTTGTCCAGTAGTAAACACTTGTTAACTGATTCAACCAGATGCACGAGAGCTGAAGTGACCATACAGAAATGGAGTATACACCTGCCTCAGGAACTTCCACAAAGCAGACCATTCAAGATCACGTCAAAACTGAGCAGCTCAGAGCAGTAACACAATGAGCGAACATGGCGTCGAGCAGATGCATACATTGATCCGAGCGAAGAGGAAAATCACTGGACACTCCTGCCATGACTTGGCTGAGAGTGTGTTCGCTCTCTGGCCAGCAGATACTCCAGCAGCGCCAAAAGCAATGTACCAATCCTTCACAAGCACCATTCAGAATCATACAAGCCATTCCATTCGTACAAAGCCGGGAAACTTTGAGCAATCAGCTGCCTAAATAGCGCCATGATTGGATCCTTTACAGGACCTCCTAAAACCCTGGGCCTAGGGATGTGCTCAGCGCCCAGAAGAAACGATCCCCGTCCAGATCTTACCTGTAGAAGTCTACCGACCTCAATCTCCCCAAAACCCGATTCATGATTGCTACTTGGTTGTGGTACTCTCAGTATCGCTCACTACAGAGATCAGCTAAAGTTTGGCAGCCTCATGAATCTCCACCTAGCTGACCTCAATCCTACTTCCGCAATCTAGACCTATTGAACCTCTGGGAATGCAATCGCAGCCACAAGCGCAGCGCTTCCCACAGGTGAAAGCGCTGTGCGCCCTCAGGCTCGGGCTGAAAGAGAAGCAGCTTTGAGAACCATGAAAGTGAACTGAGTGACGCCTTTGAACACTGAAGTCTGAAGGCTGTTGGGGGAATGGCTAAAGCGAGCAGAAGCGAAGTGGTTAGGTTAACTGTTCTAAGTTTATATGAATTTACCGGCCAGAGTTCGATGACAGCGCTGGTGGATGTTTGCCAGCCCCACCCTTTCTTTTACGCCGTCGAAAGCGCTTTGGTTCGTCAGAATCTGCCAACCCAAGGTTAGCAAATTCCAATTAGGTATTAAATAGCAGTTCGGCGGCAAAAGCTCTAGTCCTATAATACCGGTAGTACACAACCCTAGAATCGGTTTTACAACTTTCAGACGAGGAAGACGAAGGCAAGGCAAGGCAGTTTGCTGGTGACGTCTAGCCCCTTCTGCAGGCGAAGGCGTGGTTCTGACCAACCTGAACTTTTGGCAGGAAGGGCATCTGACCACTCAGTCTGAGGGGCTCCAATGGCGGCAACCGCCCTGTCGCCCTCCCTGCGGCTGTCGGCCCACTCGTTTGCATCGTGCTCTGGACGCGCCGAGAGCCGGCCCAGTTCGCAGCCATGCGGGGCGTTCACACCTGCAAGGTTGTCAAACAGAAGTAGCATATTGTCCGTCTCAGGGCAGCAGGTAATCGCAGGCAGGGGTGTCGTTACCAAGAGACGGGAAAATGGCTCCGGTGTCAGGGCGGCCTTTCCAGGGCTAGGGGATGACTATCTTATCCCAGGGGAGTATGACATCAGCAGCATTCCAAGCGAGTTCCGGAGGGAGAACTTGCCAGAAGAGTGTGAGTGGATGACCTGGGTCATGGCATTTTCGGGGCCCGAATTAGTTGCGGGTGTTTTTGAGCTGAGCAAACGTCTCTGAAGCGAGCTTCCGGGTGTTTTTCCTGCTTTGTGTGGGCATGCAGTCAATATTTAAGAGGGAGAAGATTTCCTGTTCCATAAAGGACAGGGTTTGCACGTTTTCGCAAACCTTGTCGCATGCCTTTCTGGATCAGAAGCGGTCTCCTTGATCAGAACCTCTCTCACTGGACCTTTTGACTCCCTCGTAGACAGCAATTGATCACTTCCCGCATGTCACTGCGCTGCAAGTGTACCACACAAAAATCAGGGCATTGGAGTGGCCTCTCCAATGTTGCTGTTCTCTCTGCAATTTTGGTTTCAGAGTTTGTGGAGATAATGAGAGAGTTGCTGCAATCTGTGATTGAAGAGATGTAGCTAGGACCCCCTCTGTACCGATCAAACACAGTGATTTCACTCCCTCAAAGGTTGCTGTGGGTTTGGCCAACGTGTGCTGTCAGGGTGCAGAGATCGAACCTCTTGCGCTGTTTCACTGCTTTTGGCATCGTCGCTCTTAGATTGGTTGACAAGATGTCCCCATACCGATGTTCAAGGCATCGGGCCTTGAAGTCCAAGTGCGTGCTTCGATTTTCAAGTCAGCATCTGCTAAGCATAAACGGTCTGCTCAAACCTCTCCCTCCGCTGACGTGCCTTTCTGTCTCCTAACATCAGTCGCGCTGGTTGAGATGCTTCTCCTTGCTATCCTTTCCTAGGTAGGATTCCTGTAGCACCGTCTTGAAGTCTTTCATAAGGTTGAGGGACGAAAGAACAGCCGTAACTCTACAAGAACGCTAGTTAGTCACCTTAAAATGCCTTGCAGCTAAGCAGAATTACTCAAATGTCTAGTTCGGTATTTTTGAATTCAGCGACAGAGAAGCTGTAATACCCCGAGAACGCTAATCAAACCACATGTTTTCCTGCTGCAGTGAAGCAGAACTACTCAAACGTGCCTTCCTCCATGTTTGGCTTGACCACCTCCCAGATGGATATGTTCATTGACGAGGACAGTGCAATCTCGCGGACAAAGACTGACCCAGTGAGTTGGAGATGACCAGTTTCATTCTAACTTGTCTCTCTATTTTTGTGTTTTTTTTTTATGATGATTTTGAAAAATCCTTTCATGTAGTTTGATTTCATGTTCAGGTCTCCTGATATTGCTTGCTCTATTGTTGGTATAGCCTGCAAGGGTTTTGGCAGGTCGCGTTAGGGTGTTGGTCATACGACTAGGATTGTGTGTCAAGTACTGTCACGCAATGCGACATGGGATAGTTCACAGTGTACTTCGTGCTCGCATCCCTCGTACGAAGAGAGTTGCAGAGGCTAGTTTGCTCACTCGCCCTGTCTTCAGAGCAGCACATGGTCAAGATTGAACACATTGCCTAGCAACACGCCGTTGCACTCCTCCTTATGCCCCCCTCACCCCCCCTTCAAAATTGCAGAGCAAGCTGAGGGCCAGCGCGTACTACAAAACAGGGGGAGCGTGGAGCCCCGAAATGGCAGCGGGGGGGGTGGTGAGGCCAAAGGCTAACATGGGGCTGTCTACCAACATGTACCGTGGCGGGGGGGGCTACGGAAGGCCCAAGACTGCGCCCCCCGATCTGCCGTCGCTCCTGCTGGGGGCTAGGATTTGCTACTTGGGGATGCCGGTAAGCTGTGCCTTACTTTGGCGGAGCTACTCTTTGGCGGGAACACGATTTTCGGCGGGAACATGATTTTCTACAAGACCTTTCTTGACACCAACAAACTTAGATCGAAGTCACGACTTACCTGCTTACGGTGCCCATTTGCGATCCCCCGGGTTGTGATTGAACCTGGCGGGCTTGCTGTCGTCATTCAACAGGAAAGTGATGCCATATTGAGATATCTGACCCTTCCAGACGTCAAAGACCTGACAAGCTAGTGTTCCGCTCCTTTGAGGTGTCCAGGTTGTGCCAGCTGTGACAGTGCGGACTGAAGGAGCTACAGCATTTTCGGGGCAAGCTGCCCGGTTGCGATCGATAGATAGGGTCTATTTAGATACTAGATATCAGCTAAACTTTAGCTTTGCTGCGATGTCACCTAACATCTCCAGCCGGCGAGGTAGAAGAGGGGTGATCATCGAGCCGTAGAGGCTCTGGGCAGGATCCATCCGACGTGCGAATATCTTCCACGTCTCGAAATTGCGCACCAGGATGACGTCAACGAATCTGTGAACGCACCTAAACTTACACTAGATTTTGCCTAAACCTAGGCTAAATAGACCCTATCTATCGATCGCAACCGGGCAGCTCGCTCCGAAACTGCTGTACAACTTGATACAACTTGACACCCGGATGTTATAACTTACAAGTTAACGACTTTAGAGATCTGTCAAGCTAGTGATTTGCTCCCCTGGCATGTGCAGGTTGTGCCGGTTGTGATTGCGGTGCAGTTGCTGTCTTTCAGCACTCTGTATTGAAATCAAATCTTTGACACTTTTGAGGACTCCAACAAGCCACCCAAGTTCGCGCCCGCAGTGATGGAGCTAACACGATGGAGCCTACTGTTATCCTAATCCTGGCACTTTGACGACTCCAAAGCCTGACAAACTAGTGTTTTGCTTCTGTGGCGTTCAGATCGTGCCTGCTGTGACGGAGCTGATTGTCGCAGAGCTGCTGTGGCTCAACTACGACAGCAAAGACAAGCCGATCTACTTTTACATCAACTCCCCCGGGACGCAGAACGAGCAGAAGGAGAGCATTGGCTTCGAGACCGAGGCATATGCAATCGCCGATACGCTGCTGGTAGGGTTTTAGTTCGTTTGCATTGTTTGAAGCTCAAAGTTGATATGCTGGTGTTTGAGCACGCATGCAAAGAGGCGAGCTGTATCAGAAGCGCAGCCAGCCGTTTCTTTCAGGTTGTACAAAAACGATTCTTGCTCGTTCTCAGAGAGCCATTGTTCTCATATGTCATATGCCGGTGAAGCCCCCACTCTTTCAACCATTTGAAGAAGGCTCTTAAAGCATCTTTTGCTCTTTTCGTCAGCCTCTTTTGCTCTTTTCGTCAGTCGGCACTACCAACAACTGTCAAATCCGAGACACTAGTCCGGAGATTGCATTCTTCGCTTCCAGCACCGTCGCACCCGGAAATGCTGGATTTTGGAAAACGAAAATTGCATGATCTGCTCTGGCAGTGCGAAAAACAAAAGATTCAAACACCTATGATTGGGCGCCGGGCCATGCTGCTCATGAAGGCTGACCCAAACGCAAATGCACGGTTTGGAAACCACTCACCTTCAGGTCCTTCCGCGCAGTGCAAGAAGCCTAAGATCCGCACGCTGCATCCGCTTGGGTGCTGTCGTTGGGCACCAAAAAGCGCGAATCCCAACGGACTTTGAAACCGAAAAAACTGTCTTTGCAATACATGAAGCCGAAGATAGTCACGCTGATCATTGGGCATGTGTTCGGGCAGGCTGCGATGCTGCTTCTGTTGCTCGATAACGTTTCAACTTCCTTCTTTCGAGACCCTAGAATCGTGAGTTAGGAAGTCGTACCTTTGCTTTTGCAGTATGTGAAGCCCACAATAGGCGTTTGCGCAGGGCGGAGTCCATGCTGCTCTACTGGGCACCAAAAGCAAGAAATCAAGAAGCGAGAACCATCAAAACCCTGGTAGACAAAAAAGTCTCTTGCGTTATGTGAAGCCGAAAATCCACATGCTGGTGATCGTTTACGCGTTCGGGCAGGCGGCCATGCTGCTTTCGCTGGGCACCAGAGGAACAAAGCTCCAACCCCCCCCACACTTGGAGATTATTTAAAACTCTGAAAACAACATCTTTCTTTTGCAGTATGTCAAGCCAAAGATGCACACGCTGGTTATCGAGCACGCGTTTGGGCAGGCGGCGATGCTGCTCTCGCTTGGCACCAAAAGCACGATTTCTAGTAGATTTCAACCCTGAGGAAAGGATCAAAAACTTGAAGGATTCAAATTCTGAACAGACGAGACCTTGCTTTGCAGTATGTGAAGCCCAAGATTCACACGCTGGTGATTGGGCACGCGTTTGGGCAGGCGGCCATGCTGCTCTCGCTGGGCACCAAGGGCCACCGCTTCGCGCTGCCCAACTCGCGCATGAAGATCTACTCGCCCAAGGTCAACCGCTCCAGCGGGTCCGCCATTGACATGTGGATCAAGGTAGGGCGCTACATTACCTGGCTGGTTTCTCTACTGCTGAATTCAGATTGCGATTGGGGCTGATTGCTTATTATCATGCTCTTTTGGGTTTTGAATGCTGCTGGGATTGCGCTAGTTGCTTGTAGTTAATTCGGTCGCTTGATGCTGAGAGCTGTCATTTTCACGCTAAATCGACTCGGAAAGCTTTGCTTTCGTGTGTCCTGTTCTCCTCTGCTGGCAGACCTGTAGCTGATCGTTAGCAGCACCGGTTTCTAACAGAGGCTGGTTTGCCATATCCTGCTTACCGCAAGAGGTTTGGTGAGAAAATCCAGAGGATCTTTCTGCAGACGGCTTAGTTGCTAACAATTGGACTAGCGGCGAAAGCCTGAAAGAGCTCCCCATCTGGCTTTCAATGGCAGTGTTAGAGCTTTTGAGAAGGTGCTTAAGGTCACCCTTTCGTGCATGGCTTGTCGCATCAACGAGGTCAAACTACGGATTCGTAACCAGAAGACGACCAGACGACCGTGCATTAAACTGCGGGTTAACCCTGAAGTTCAATTGGGTAACCCTGGTCCGCCCCATCTGATAGCTTGTTAATGATACAGGCCAAAGGGCTGGAAGCCAACACGAAATACGACACGTGGCTGCTGGCGTTTGGCACCAGGAAGAAGCCGGAGGTTCACTAGGCCGATGTTTCTCCTCTGAAAGCCACAGACTATCGAATGTTAGAAATCAGACCCTCTATCAAAAAACTATGTATGCAGGCCAAAGAGCTGGAAGCCAACACGAATACGACGTGGCTGCTGTCGTTTGGCACCGGGGAGAAGCCGGAGGATCTTCCAAAGACACTGCGCCCGAAATCCTCTCCTCTAAATGCCACAGACTTTCGAGTGTCAGAATCTAAACCCTCTATCAAAAAAACTCCGTATGCAGGCCAAAGAGCTGGAGGCTAACACCAAGTACTACATGCGGCCATTGGCGTTTTGGCACTGGGAAGAAGTCTGAGCAGCTTCCAAAGATCAATACGCCGAGATTTCAGTGCCTGAAAGCCACAGACTGTCTGATGTCAGAGCCCAAACCTGAATTTTGAAATTTTTCACTACGCAGGCCAAAGAGCTGGAGGCCAATACTAAGTACTACACGCGTCTGCTCGCGTTCGGCACCGGGAAGAAGCCGGAGGAGGTGCGGGAAGACATCAAGCGCATCAAGTACTTTGACGCCAAAGAGGCCATCGAGTATGGTCTGGTAGACAAGGTGGTGGAAGACAGCAAGCTCCAGGCTGAGAAAAGGGTAAGGGTTCGCTTTCCATTTCATTCCTGTGAGACCCTCGGGTTCGGTTCATTGTCAAGCTTCTGCTTGGACATTGTTTTGAGGTTCATCTCTCTGTTTTGCCGGAGTGTTTTCTGGTAGGCAAGGTGGTAGAAGACAGCAAGCTGCAGGCTGAGGAGAGGGTCAGGATTCGTTGTTGCTTCTGTCTTTTCAATCTGTTAATCACTGGGTTTGGGAAACTTTCAAGCTTTTGCTTAGACGTTATGTCTGGATTCGGAGGTTCATCCTTCATATTCATGAGCTGTTGAGTACGCTCTGGTAGACAAGGTCGTGGAAGACAGCAAGCTGCAGGCGGAAGAGAGGTCGATTGTCGGTGAAACTTCGTTTCGCATCAATTTAAGCTTCGATAAAAGTTCGTGTTGTTTGCGCGGGTTTCGGTTTCGTTTACGGGTGGGTCTGACCTTGAGGCAATCGAGGATTACTTGTGGACAAGATCGTAAAAGAAAGCAATCAGCAGGCCGAGAAGAGGGTGCGCTTGATCCCGCTCTTGGATTCGGTCAGGATCTAGTTTTCTTTTGAATCAATTATGAGGCGATTGAGAACAGTCCTGTGGACAGTTCGTTGAAGATAGCACGCCTCAGGAGGAAGCGGGCGACTCTCGATGGATTCTGGTTTTGGATCGGTTAAGGTTCAGTTGTCTGAGTGGGTCAAGGTTGCAAAATACGCCTCAGGAAAGCACGGCCAGTGAGTACGGTCTGGTGACAAGGTCATGGTAGAAAGCTGCTTGCAGAGAAGAGGTACGTTAAGATTGCCAAGCGTTGCTTTGGGGGTTGGTGTGTGGGTCACACTAAACAGCTTTGGAGAACCTGTGTATTCTGGTCATGTCCCGAAACCCCGGCCCTTGTACTTTCTTCTCTTAATCATATCTCATCAACAGCCCACATGACTCTGTTGAAAACTTCAAATGGGCTGTTGGTGATCGAACAACAGGTGTTGCAGGATAATATAATGTGGAGCTTAAGCAGGATGGTGCTCCTCACTTCCTTGAGTAAGCGTGCATTCCTGCAAAGGGAGGTCTGTCCTCATACCGTTTTGTTACTTTGCAGGATTACGATCAGATGATGCTGGAGGGTAAGAAGATGCGTGGGGAGGTCGTCAAGCCGGGTCAGTCGAGCGGGCTGGTAAAGGCCAAGCCTTCTGGTCCCCGGCCTTCTCCGGCCGTTCGGTAGGAATGCACAGATTGTGCCGTAATTCGATGTTGGATACCAAGATCATGACTGGAAGGTACTGGACAAACGCTCCCAGATCCTAGCCACAGCATAAGCAAGCGGATCTCAGTGGTTGATAGAGAGCTTGCTCGACTTTCTGCTGACAACGCTGTACATTACAATTCTATCGTGCATTCCGATTCTATGCATGGTCCTTTCAAAATAGGTACCTACGATTCATCAGCCTGCCACCTGCTGCATGTATCACCGACAAGACAAGCTTACATAGGCGTTCCATGCCAGCATGTTGCCAGCATGTAATCGCCTGTTGAACACACGGACGCTGTCCATGCATGGATCATTAATTGGCCTTATATAAAGTAGTGTTTTCCGACAAGTAGTAGAGGACTGAGTCCGACAGGATCTAGCTGCCTAGTGGTGCCTGAGTGGGAGCTCAAGTCACGTTTCCACCAGGCTGCTACCCTTTGAAAGGCCGGGCCCGCATGCATGTCATGCATGGCATCATTGGCATTTTTTATCGCGAGTTATAAATTATAAGTTTAATCGATGCTATTTAACATCTGATTCGAACTTAACAATTAGTTGAAAGCCTGGACGGGGCGGGGCCGTGCTTTCAAGTTTCGAGAGACTCAGACGTCCGCGCGTGCATCACGGGCCATGTTGAGTCCGGCATAGCGTTGTAGAAGAACCCCGGGATGTATCCCCTAACGGCGCCCGGTTGCTCGACGCTGGAGTGACCGGGGCGATTTGGTGAATCCTAGATCGAACTGCCTACCCAGATTGAGTTTACGGATAAGATCAAATGGGACACTGCCACGCGTACACATCAGGCCTCAGCCGTAAGCGGATGATGTCGCAGTCTTGGCTCGCGCGACGCCGAGTCGAAAATTTGAAAATGAAGTCTGAGTTTCGGTACTTCTCATCGACGGTCAAGGCCCCAGCCTAGAAGTGTACTCTTGACATCGTACGGTAAATCCAACATAGTTGGTACTCAAAATGGTGTACAACTTACTTCGGTACCGTACCGGTTCCACGATGGCCTGCTCCATTCAGGCCCTAGGTCAGTCGGAAGTACGTGCCTGTTAACCTACACTGAGGCTAGCTATCATCGGACGGTCTACTGGTGCCCTTGTAAACGTTCTACGGTCGCGATAACATAATTCACCGTCGACCGTAACTTTGTCGCATCAAATTTTACATGAAATATTTGCAGTATAATCGCTAGGACAAATTGACTCTATAAGCAGCTTGCACCTCAAGCAGGTGCTCAGCGAACCGTCGATTGAAAATTGAACGATCGCGATTAGTCTTATCCGTAAAGAAAATCCAAATGCGCGATCTGGGTGATGGCCTGTATGGCCTCCATTTCGATCGGCGTTAGGGGCTACATCCTGAGGTACTTCTACAACGCTATGCGGTACTGTAACTGGCGTATATGGGACGCACACGTCCTTAAGTTAGAGTCAATCAATTGCCTTCACTATAAGCCTGCGGCTAGGGATTGAACGCGTGCCATGGCCCAATCAAGGGGCCGGACGCGATCAATTTTTCGTTGTGAAGCACCACGTACGCATATGTTACTTCAACATTGTTATCACAAATAGTTCAGGGCCACAAGCGAATTTTCTGCGTGCACCGTGTGCTGTTGTCGAGCATGCAGTTACTATACTGAACATCAAGTTTGGCAGACGGTTTCATTGCAGAGGTCGGCAGCAAGCTCGACATGGCCCAAATGTGTCACAAGTTGACTATAGTGAAGGCTGCTCGGGCTCAGGTCGAGACTGAACTTAGGGACTGGGCAGTTTGAAGTCATCGCAAGTGCTAGATCGAACTGGATCATGGATCAAGTGACCTAGCAGGATTCCGCACAGATGACAACTTAGCAACGGGCTTGGTAGCTCTATCATCAAAAGCCCCTCAACTCCATGCGTGTAGAACAGTCGGGGACGGAGCCTGCTGCCATGGTCAGAAGAGTAAGTTTCGCAGCATGTTCGCCGCTAGCCACGGTCCTAAGAGTCACCAAGTCTCCGGCTTGATCCCCCCAGTACAAACACTTATCCCCGGCCACAAATCTGCCCCGCAAATCTGCCCCTGTGACTCTCGTGACTCAAGTGAAACGCCCATCGGTTGCGTTCCTTCATCACTTGAATCCGATGACCTAACATAACCCAACCTATGACCTCTACAAAGCATGCGATGATCCATTATGAATCATAGCTGCCACGTGTCATCGCCTGGAGCGCTGCTCCTCTTGATCCCAATCGTCCCAGTTGTCGTCCCAACCCTGCGTCGACTCCTCGTCCGTCATAGTCCGGGGGCTCCGATCGGGGCCGTAACCGGAACTGTAACTGTTCAAGGCCATCCCCGCCCCTACCGGATGCTGCCCAAGAGCGCTCGACAGGTCCCCCTGAACATTCAGTAGTAAGCGCGGGGTTAGGTAGTAGATTAATAGATCATTTTGCGGACTGCGAGAGCTCGGGGGTGGATTATACGGATTTGGAAACGGGTGCATCGTCTTTTCTATTGCGTGAAAGCCTAATAAAATAGTCTTTAGATCTAAGTAAGAAGTTTCGGCCTTTTGGGATTCAGCCTCAAGGGGAAGCGCTTTTCGCCAGGGCTAGGCTCAGCCTATGGTTTAGGTTGATAGTCCAATGTAGGATCTGGTCATGGCCTGGCGAACGGGTGGGGTTATTTTGGTGGTTAGGGTGGGTAAGGGTGCGGAGCGGGTGTATTTGTCCGTTTTGGGTTTAGGTTTTCAGATTTCATGTCCCCGGAGAATGTTACTATCCTACCTAGGAACGATCCTACCTAGATTATAGGAAGATCCTGAACAAGAACTTTCTGATTATACCACTGGAAATTGTAATAAGTAGAATTTAGATTGTTTTGTTCTCACTGATTTGTAAGTTAGGTCCTGTCAGCCAGGAAAAATTAGCAACAACCATAATCGGATACATTGACGTCCGTTTCAGATCCCGTTTGCGACCTCTTCACCACTTACAGCCCGGATACATTCGGGCTTAACCGGGCTTGTCCAAGTGCGGCTGAACGACTGCGCTTGTCCTATTGAGAAATCAGGACCGAAACAGGTCGCATGCACAACGGACCTAAAGGCATACAGAACGGAAGGGGAAGTCCCAAATCCGGGAGACATCGTCCCTGGCACGCACTGAGTGCATCCCGAGAGCCTAAAACAGGTGTCTTTCCCCACGAGATTCTCGAACCCAACCACAAGCCAACCTCGGCCTTGACCGCAATGCTGACCTCAGTCTTAACCACGCACTAACCTGCATCTCCAGCTCCTTGTACTTGAACGTGGGCGATCATAACCAAAAGGCACCCTTGGCCTTAACCGCACGCTGACCTCATATTAACCACGCACTAACCTGCATCTCCAGCTCCTTGTACGTGAAAGTGGGCGATCATAACCAAAAGGCACCCTTGGCCTTAACCGCATGCTGACCTCAATCTTAACCACGCACTAACCTGCATCTCCAGCTCCTTGTACTTGAAACTGGACGCCCCGTGCCGCTGCTGTCGGCGCCGGCAAACATACCACGCCAACGCAGCCAGCCCGACAATCGTGGAACCCACCTGGTGACGTCACGAAAACGTCAGCGTCTGGCAAGGCAGCCGTCATCGAACCGTTAGGATGTCTTGAAGCCGCGAAAGGAGAAAGAAAGAGATGAAAACAAGATTGCGAACGAGCAAGAAAGAAATCCAAGCGAGTGTTCCAACACAGAACCGCCACGAAACAGTTGCACCTGGTGGCGTCACAGAAAAACCGTGATCGTCAGTCAAGGCAGCCGTCACTAAATTCTTTATAGCCGTCAGGGGGATGATTTGAAGTAAAACAACGATTTTCTTTCAACCCCCGAGACAGGACCGTCAGGAGCAGTTAGACCTTCTTATGTCACACACAACGTCAGCGGCTGTCCCGGCAGCCGTCATTGACTCGTCGAAAATCGTCAGGGAGGAAGATAACGGCATGCCGATTGTCGAAGCGGAGCCGTCAGGAAACAACTGTTCGGCCATCCAAAAACAGAGAACGAACGGACCAGGATCGGTGAGTGATGCCACGGGCAAAGTCGCGGTGTTACATTCAGAGAAGCACCGACGTCGCTTTCCCAGCGCACATGTTCATTGCGCCTCCAATCACTCATCTTCACGAGCCCACACTGAGATACACCCCAACGACTATTCGACCTGACCCGCTGTGAAGAGCTACCTACAATCTTAGTGCAATCACAAACTATCTGTCAAGATTGTAATAGAACCTACTTTTTACATTCCGAATCGTTTAAATCCTTACCGCAACCACCGCTGTGCTGCTGAGGCTCGAGCTTGGCAAGTTGTCGGTCCAGTCGGTTTTTCCGAGGGCCGCCCGTGTGATCTCGAAGTACTCGTCCCCTCCATTCGACTTAATTTGGATCCGCTCCGAGGAGCCTTTGAGCCCCTTCGGATCTAGAACCGTGATGCTTATCTGCACGGAGAGAAAGGTTAAGGTCCGACTGTGATATAAGTTAACCCAACAGCCAAAAATCGGGAAATCGGAGAACTCGTCCCCTCCGTTCGACTTGATCTGGATTCGCTCCGAGGAGTCTTTGAGCCCCTTAGGATCCAAAAGCGTGATGGTTATCTGTAGAGGGAAAAAGGTTAAGGTCCGACTGTGATATAAGTCAACCCAACAGCCAAGCGGGAATCCGGAGAACTCGTCCCCTCCGTTCGACTTGATCTGGATTCGCTCCGAGGAGCTTTTGAGCCCTTACGGATCTAGAACCGTAATGGTTATCTGCACGGAGAGAAAGGTTAAAGTCCGACTGTGCAATAAGTTAATCCAACAGCCGAGCGAGGATTCGGAGACCTCGTCCCCTCCATTCGACTTGATCTGGATTCGCTCCGAGGAGCCTTTGAACCCCTTAGGATTCAGAACCGTGATGCTTATCTGCACGGAGAAAGGGTTAACATCTGACAGTGGATTAACCTAGGGGCCATGGGTTTGACTAGAGTGAGACTGAACCTGAAGATTCTCCAAGGGCCCCTTCGATCTTTCCAGGTTCAGAACCCTGATGCTTTTCCGTATGGGCATCGCACTGCAACGGGTGAGGATGCCTCAGAGCTTTTGGGTGTGTTCAAGAGCAAGAGGCGAGAAAATGGTCTCTCGAATGGAGGAGGGCGTATGAGGGAAAGAGGGGATTCAGGAGACGAAAGAGCCCCGGCCTTCTAAGGAGAGATACGAGGAAAGCATGCATGTGAAAGCAAGAAGAGGGAGACATGTGACAAGGTTGCAAGCACAACGCTCGTATATTCTCGTCGTGCAAGCATTGACTGGCACTCCTGAGCGCTGGGTACTGATGCAAACTACTCGGCTTCATCATTCTATGCCTGCTCAAGGACAGTACTTGAAGAAGATGAGAGAGATGTCCTGGGTGTTCATAATCTGCTTCGAAGTATAACAATCTTTGGATCCTTCCTGCCATTCTCTCTCCCAGGAATGTCTTTGTCCAGTGTGCAGGGGAGATTAAATTGCTTCCTACAAATCCTCTTACGGCCACACAATGCAAACCCTCTCGTTTTGATCAACTTCAAGTGGACAGCATCAAGCCTTTGTCGTAGTTAAAGACTTGACTTGGTTTCCCAAAGAACAGAATTGCAAACGTGAAAATGTAACAAAAAGCTTACATTCCGCTCCTCTCCCGCTCCCACCCGAACTGACTCAGGATCCGCTCGTATCCAAGTAGGAGTCGCAATCTTGACCTCCAAGACCCCCCCTCCAGTATTGCTACAGACCACCGTAAGCGTCAGCTTCTTTGACGGGTCCCCAAACCCTTCCCAGCTGCTCGTCCGATGCTCCAACTTTGGGGGGTCGTTTTCGCTAGTGATCGACCCCCCCTCGTCATCATCCCAGTCGCCCCCCCCAGTCGTACTCTCCTCATTCGACCCCCCTGCTGTGCCGTTGGAGCTTCCGCTGTTTGGGCTGGCGTCTGTTCCGAATTCTTCGTCCTCCTTGACACTAGTGTCCGCTTTCCGTGTGTCCGTCAGGGACTTGTTCCATGTAGTGTCAACGCCTTCGTTTTCATCTTCCCCCAAATCCCCCTCCTCTTCTTCCTCCCTCTTCCCAGCCGTTGGTCCGCCAGCGACCGCTAAGCTAGTGTGCCGCTTGACACCAGAATTTGTGACTATTCCAAGTGCAGGCGCCGTTGCACCGGTGTCAACTTTGCTTCGAGTCGGGGCTGCAGCAGCCTGGCTGACGCCTTTGCTTGATTCCAAGAGGGAACCGTCGTCCTCGTCTGACCGTTCAGAATCCTCATCTAAGCTCGTGTCTGGAGTCCTATCTGCCTGCACCTTTTCGGTGCTGAGGGGGGATGAAGCGGCACCCCAGTCGGGCCCCCCAGGAAACTGGCAAAGATAGAAAGGAAATTTAGCCATGAAGAGTCGCTAGCAAACTTGGGGCGGGCTTTGAATGGAACTTTTCATGGAAAAGCACCCTCAGTTGCAAGATTGTCTGTGACATGCTGAAACTGTGTTTGGTCACTGAAATAAGATGTAAAACAATGCCTTCTGCAACATGTTTTGCGCACTGGTAATGAAAGTCAAAGTAGTTCAGCTAGCAACTCTGTATGGAACAACCGCGTCCATTTTTCATGCCAGTAAACAGCAAAGAAAACGCTGTAGATCTGGTCTTGAATGCGCAGCGCGCCTGATGTCTCACAACTTTCAATGTCCAGCAGACAAGCTCGCCGGGCCTCTTTGACATTTCTAGTTTCTCAAACTAACCAGATTCTATAAAGACCTCCTTGTACCACCGGATTTGTGGATTCTCTGAGAAAAGCTATTAAAAATTGAATGCCAATGATAGACGTTGGAGACTGGGGCTAACTTAGATACCAGGGAAAGGAGCGCCTTTCGCAGGAAACCTACTGAAGCAACCTGTCATTTGCAATCTTTGAACACCACCAAATGAAAAGGTGGAGAGAGAACTTTAATCAAAACTGCCACTTTACATTGAAAAACAGAGCACGACAACCCAGGAACCGGGAAGGGTCACAAAAAGACACAAGCATCAAACACAGTATTCAGGCCTAAAAACAATGAGACCACAAGCACCGGAAGGAGAGAAACTTTTTGGAACTTGTTTGGAAAAGTGAAGATCTGGTGAAAGACCAAGATTGATCAAAATGCCCGCTAATTTTGCGGAAGGTGGTGAAGCATCTGTCAATTGAAGACAACAAATTTCAGAGAACGTACCAGGCCTTCTGCTTCTTGTGGCGCTGCAGCTTGTTCTTCACTTAATAGCAATCTGCCTTTCAAGTGAGACCCCCTTGAAACTGCACTGTCAACCCAAGATCCAACTTCACCTTTGAAGCTAGAACCTACCAACCCCAAGAGAAGAAGCGCAACAAACCCCGAAATTGCACTCCGGTGGAACCTTCTGGATATCATTGCTTGGGATCTGCCTACTGCACAGCAGGACTTGGTAACACCAGCTAAAATGCCCCCAGAGCCAGTTCCAACGAGACTCTACTTTTCCAACTTGTTGTCAAGCCCTGGATCTCCCCTTAAATTTCTCAGCTCATCACCAGGCTTGATACTCACGCTCGAGCAAGCCTGCAAAGACTCTTCCTGAAGGAGAGTTTGAAAATCCTCACAAATATTGGAAACTTCGTGTTCTTGCGCATTCACTGAATCAGGCTTTCTTCCTCCGCTTCAGCCTTCATGTTCAACCTTCATGCAGACTCGGTTACTGTTACAGTAGTGTCAGCCTGTTCAGGCTGCCTCGAATCTTGCTAGAGTAGAAGTATAGAAGTTAAAACTTCCTCGTCCTGGTCCTCGTCTTGAAGTTGAAGATGCATTTGAAAGTGATTTTCTTTCCGGTCTGTCTGCGTCACCATGACATTGCCCGGCGCAAATTTGTAAAATCGTAGCCGTTCGTTGTTGCGATCTGCTCTCTCTGAGGCGTTGAATGGACCTCTTCACATTTTCCCGGGTGTCTACAAGACGCCCGCATTACCCGCTAGGAGTTCGCTAGTCTCGCTATCCTCGATTACAGTACAGGGAGCTCTCTGGAGTCTGTACCCTCTGTGAGTCTCTGTTGAGTCTGTACGTACCTACATAGCGCAGCTAGCTCAGGTTCAAGCTCTTCTAAACGTTGCAGGAGGCGCCTGATCTGTGATCAATTCCACACCACGTTTTCCAAATGTTGGTCCAACCCTGTGCTTAAAGGCAGGTCTCCTATATAGAATGGTTGGCGCAGCATTGCTCAGGGCTTTGAACGCTAACAGTGCTGCAAATTTGGGGAGGCTTTCATCATCTGTTTCTATCAAAGGGGCAGGCTTTCAGTGCCACCCCCTCTTCTTCGAAAGAAACCCTCCCTTGGCGTCCAAGAAGCGTCAATTGGGACCACCAAGCATCCGACTTTACACTGTCCAAGCTGCCGCTATGGCTGAGGGAAAGATGGTTGCAGTAACAGGTAAGTTTTGGGGCCAGCAAGCTTGCACCAGAGCCCTAGCAGATTGATGAGGTGCTTGATCACCAAGTCAGGCATTGGGCCCTCTCACTAGGTTTTGGAACTGTAGATGACATGGAAGGGAGATGATGTCAAAAATTGTTGCTGACAAGAGCTGTCAGTGTGAGCGAGAACACCAAAATTAAGAACATCACACCAAATACTTTATGAACAGCCAGACCTTTTTTTAAGTCAATATGTGCTTAGAAAGAGTCACTGCCTGGATTACATTGATCCAGCCCGTCAAAGATACTCTCTTAGAGTCTGACCTTTTTGGCAATATCCAAGTCACATCATCGTTCCAATTGAAGGAGCCCAAGTTTCTCCACCATCTTACTGTGGATTCTTGGATTTGAAGCAGTCCCTAGAGCAGGTCGTCAAAGATCCAGTTGCTCAATCGGTCAGTCCGTTGCTTGATCCGGGACGAGTTAGTCAACTCTCTTCTAACCAGTCACTTGACCCCCACTTAACCCTTTTCTTAACCTGCAGGGGCAAGCGGGTATATTGGAGCCTGGCTAGTGAAGCTCTTGCTTGAGAAGGGTTACACTGTGAGGGCGACCGTTCGCAATCCGAGTAAGTGCAGTCCGCTTGCATGTCAATCAAAAGATCAGGGCTCTACCTGGCAAGAGAGCCTATTCTGATCTTGAACAGTTATACACTTTCCTTCCCGTTGATCAAATGTATGAGAGAATGCATTCTCTTTATATACCTTCTATGAGACAAAAAGCATATGAAAGTCGCGTCTTCCACTACTTTCCTCTTGTGGCGGAAGACAACCTTCAGGACAAGTGATGTTACCTTCAAGAATATCACCATCTTCTGTGAACGTGGATTGGGTCAGACTGCCAAGGCCAGAGTGATCTGGAGTTGAGCCTGTCTCAAAGATTTGCTGTTCAGCTCCACTCTCCCTTCTCTGTTGGTCTGGTCTGCTTTCAAGGTCTCTCCATTGCAGTGTTCAATGTTTGTTACATTTAAGCAATCCCCGCACTGAATCCTCCGAGGGAAAACTACAATTGTCCCATCCAAGACCAGGTTCACATCCTCAGAGTCGTTTTGGTTCAATACTTGCATGGATCAGCTCGCATTGGTCATACTTGACATTGAAACCGCGGCACAGCTACAATTGCGCATGCCACTATCGACTCGAGCTTCAACAGTAGAGCCGACGCTTCGACAGTCATCATTGACGAAGTGTAGTTAACCGCAGCCGTAAACCCTTCCCTGCCTGTAAACCCTTCCCTGACAGACGCCCAAGGATGGTCCACTTGCCAGCGGTTGCGCAATCTTTGAGCTCCATCAGAAGGAGCCCCTGAATCACTCGATTCGCCCTTTTGTACTTTGAGAAACCCACTGCCTAACCCAGCCTTACCCCATCTTCACGCTGTGTACAGATGACGGCTCAGTTGCGGTCACTAGCGCATGCAGACACAAATTTGAGCTTCCAGAGACAGCCCTGTACGGCCATCCTGCACGAGTGAATGACTTGCATATCAACTCACCCTCAAACCCCTTTCCAAATGACGCCCAAAAGACAGTCCCTCTGGAATCAGTCTCCCATGCACACAGGGACCTGAGCGTGCTTAAGGCAGTCCTCTCTGTTGTAACTACCCCCTGCTTAACCCACCCTTGACCACATTCTTGACCGTTCTCAAAGATTCCCAAGGCCGGCGCAAATGTCAACTTCCAGAAAGCAAAGCTTCTTTCAGTACAAGTACTCCCTATGGAACCCACTCTAAACCCTTTCTTGACCCAATCATTGACCCTTCTTCCAGATGACACACAGAAGACGGCTCACCTCCGGTCTCTCCCAAATGCCGAAACGAACCTGAGCTTCCACAAAGCTGAGCTCCTCGATGAAGGCGCATTTGGCGAGGTTTTTGAGGGGGTGGATGGCGTTTTCCACATGGCATCGCCATTCCCGATGGCCGCTCCTGAAGACCCTGAAGCCGATCTGATCGCGCCAGCTGTCAAGGGAGCGGAAAGTGCGATCAAGGCGGCAGCAGGAACAAAGAAGCCGATCAAGCGAGTGGTGCTGACGTCAAGCACTGCGGCCGTGCGAATCAAGCAGGTAAGGGGATGCTGATTCGTATCCGGACTTTCCATTGTTTTGTCGGGTCGAGTTCATTATGGCAGTAATATCCAAAACTAGGAACCAATTTGTTGTATCAGCAACGGACACTCGCGTCGGGAGTTCGAATCTGTTTCCTTTCTTATGAAGGACAATTCTAGGTAGGTTGACATCGACAGGCTCTTTGTCAAATCTAACAAACTGTCGGATTTGCATCTTGTTGTTGCTGAGCCTTTTATGGATGCATTCCGGCTGTCGTTCAACAGCTGCAGGTTAAACATGTCCTTGCAGTGAAGGCTTGTCAATGTGTTCGAAACTCAACCTTTTGAGAGTCGTGAATAAGAACCGGGTTATGAGGTGGTCCAGTCAGACGAAACCCAACCTGCTCAGTCCACGCGCGCTTGTTGATGTCAGCTGACGTCAGCTCGCTCCTTGCTGACGTCTGCCCGCTCCTTGCTTGACGTCAGCCCGCCCCTTGCTGACGTCAGTCGGCGGGTTACCTATGTGCAGATTGCGCCGGGCAAGGCATTTGAGGAAGACGACTGGAGCGACGAAGAGAGGATGCGCAACTTCAAGATCTGGTACCCTGTGAGTACATGCTTCTTGATTGCATGTTGATGAGAAGCATGATAGCTTATCCTTGTTCTTTCGGGGAAACTTAATCCTGAAATTGGCACGTTCGGAACCTGTTCCCATCTAAAACCCCACGTCAACCATACTCGTTGCCAAAAACCTTCTTTAGTGATTACGATATTAAGAGCATTGTAAGTACTCCTTTCTGTAAGTATTCCTTCCTGAGTTAAAAGAAACTTGACTGCGGCAAACATGCTCAGTCTCAAGTGAAGGAGCCACGATTGTTTAACCCTGTAGCGACCCGCATCCCTAGGACTCTACTTGACCATGGCGAACCACTACACATTATCCCCCTTTTCCAGTGACTGTTTTATCAAGCTCTCTTGATAGAAAGCGGTCTTTTTAGTGTGTTCCATTTTCGTTTTACATACCTTTGGCTTGAAAGTTCTATAAGGACCACTTTCCAGTCGAATCTAGTTAGAAAGGCTTTCTTGACGAGGGGGGAGGGTCTTTATTGGACATGCTGATTATCTCCTGAAAGAGCACGATTCTTGTGTAGTAGCGACCCGCATCCTAGGACTCTACTTCGAATCTGCTGGATGACGAACATTTGGGAACATTGCGTCTCTAAGCTCGTCTCTTTCACCATTGGTTCTTTTGGGGTTTTGCCAGGGTCTTGGATCTGACGTCGACTGGATTCTGTCGCAGTTGTCGAAGACGCTAGCCGAGAAGCGTGCGTGGGAGCTCGCAAAGGAGTTGAACGTCGACCTCGTTACGGTTAACCCGAGCATGGTTACCGGGCCCATCATTCAGGTAAGCCCTGGCTTACGTTGGAACTTGATTTCCGTCGCTGTAGGTTCACGTTAGAAAGCACACTGAGACGATGACTGCTTCTTTCCCTTTCCTTTTTGAAGCTGTCAACTGACACGAGGGGCGGTGCTTCGAGCACTTCGACCGCGGCTCATAAGCACGCGCTGAGTGTGGCCAGTGGCTCCAGGATTGCGTCCCTCAAATCACAGCAGCGAATCGAGCGGAGCACCGCCGTCCAGAGTGTCATCCCTGGCTCGTGCGACCGGTTCCGTTTTCGTTACTTCCCGTGTACAACGTTACTTCCCTTGCAACTCCTTCTCGCCGCTACCCCTGGATTTCAATAGTAAGGAGCTCATCAAGTGCCTCGACGACCTGCTTTTAACCTGCTCTCCCATTTTGCAGCCGTCCCTCAACACCAGCAGCAACGAACTTCTCAAGTATCTCGACGGCTCCGTCAAAGCGTACCCCAACTCGTGCATGGTGTGGGTCGACGTCCGCGACGTGGCCCTCGCGCACCTCATAGCGTATGAGCACCCGGACGCCGCCGGGCGCTTATTCGCGGCGCCGCACGAGATCTCGTACAAGGAGCTGACGGACTTTCTGGCTAAGGAATATCCCAACGCGCCCGTCCCGAGAGTGTGAGTCTTGTAGTTTCACCTCCTGACAAAGTATTCGATAATGAAATACGAGGTTTGGTTGGCTATACCAATGAAGAATAAAGACCTAGCTTGTTGCTCAAGGCAATTAGATCTACGAGATCTTGTCGGACTCTGTTTCGCCTTCACAAGCTGGCGAAAGAGAAACGCATTCTCCGTGGGTTTGCAGTGGCAGCGGGTGATTGCATTTTCCGTGGGTGCAACCTGGAAAGTGCAGCTCAACCCACGGAAAGAGCAGTTCTTTATTCTTTCTGCCACTGCCACTGCAATCCTCTCTTACCAAGATATTCTTCGCCCGGTTCAAGATCTATCCTAACGTTTCGGGAACTTGCCTACGAAGGGCTCTCGTGCGCATCAAGAGATGAACCTCTACGCTGAGAGACTGAGGCGTTTCTCTGTGCCCGACTACTCGAAGAGATTTGACTGGCTCCTTTTACGAGGTTATGCTGGTCTTGCTCACATTTTTTGTGGCTACCATCTTCCCGAAATCGTCAAACCAGCCCATCGCTTGTAGTGTCATCCTGGATAACGTAATCTATGGAGGGCACACCAAGGTTGAGTTGCTGTTCCGCGGTACCCTACCTGAAAAAGCGAACTTACCTCCTCTCTCCGCTGAGATGGAAAGTACTTCTCTCAAGCCCCCATAAAACTGCGAATACTTCCCCGTGCAGTTGTGCCGACCCTGAGGGCGAGAAAAACAATCCCCCGCCGCGCAACCCGTGTTCTGTTGTGAAGTTGGAGAAGCTGGGGCTTCAGTTCCGCCCCGTTTGGCAGTCCTTCCACGAGACGCTCGAGAGCCTCAAGGAAAAGGGCCTCTACACTCCGGCTTAAAATACACAATCCTGCTCGGGCGCGAGCTGAGTGTGTGTTCGTTGGATCGTTGTGTGGCAGATTAAGTCGTCCTGTTGTCAAGTACAGTTTGTGACACCGTTAAATTTTTGGAGAGTCAGTCAGTAAACATATCGACTGCCAAGTCGTCATTGTTTGTTCTTAAACGTACTCGCTCTGCGGACCATGGCAAACACACTAGAGCTGAGTCCGTGTTGTAACGGTTGAGAGAAAAGGACGTTTTTGCATACCGCGTAATACTAACGGATTTTAGTGACACGTCTGTGGGTTGGAAACGGCACGGCCGCTTTGCCGGCGGGCATGGGCCGGTTGCTTTGAGCAAGCATGTTGTTTCTTAGCTAAGTTTGATTGAAGACTTACATTGACAATTGTCAAAACCATTCTAAGACCAGTAACTAATGATATACTAATCTCTCTGATTGCCAGCACTCCGACCTCCAAACGCTTAACCGTCCAGCCCGGCCTATGAGTCACCTACCAACCGAGCCTTAATTGTAAATTGGTCAGAAGGGGTCGGATACATTTTAACAATTGCCGCATTGACATGCTAAGATTATGCGGTCCATCACGCGATCTTTTAATCTGGATTGACACTCGTTGGTTACGCAGAGCGGCACTTGAAGCTCATTCGTAAGTTCGTCTTTGCCAAGCAGATACTTGATCGAGTACACGTGATTTCGCGACAGCCCAATTGGGCCTGCATATACAAACGAGTCCGCGGTCGGAAGTTGACATGGACTAAACTGTTCAGCTAAACCGGACTACCGCGCAGCTCGGATTGATTACATACGCTCATCCAACGGCCAATAAGTTCGGTATCCAACTTAGCTCTGAGTCTCACCACCGTAATAGTATTTGCAGTTGCATATTGCATGAACTGCAGTGCGCCGTCGCGGACTTTCAACTTCGATATGGATCTGCATCATGAAATGATCACATGATCGCGATCTTGGCGGCGCTGAATTCAGGATTGTTGTACGTCATGTGGCGGCAGCTTGCCCATGTTCCATATCAAAGTTGTACCTACATAATTTGTACGCTGATCACCTTATACCGGATCCTCGCGCCCGGGCCGCGGCACCTTTAATATAGGCACAGCTGTTCAACAATTAAGCTATAGCTCACAAATCGCTTGAGGTATCTTTCGACGAGACCGCGATATATTGCTTGTATAAGAGGCCGGAGACGGACACTATATCACGACGGTCATGCACTGAGTTGATCAGTTGAAGGCTGCGCGGCTCATGGCCGGGCCGGGCTAAACGTAGATATACATACCCCGGGCCCATGCACCACCGCGTGTGTTGGATGTACGCAAGCGCCTGACTTACGGATGCTGCGTGATCGAGTTCCGCGCGCGCAGTCAGCCTGCTAATGGACTCGAACATCTTCATGTGGCCTAGTAACTTAATAAATTTTTCAAGGATGCGTTTATCCAGCTAGCCTGTCAACTTCAGTGCGTGCCTTAACGAGTGATCAAAAGCGAGCTTTGCACCTAGAGAAATGCATTGAATGTGTCAGTGTGTGGTGCATGATTGACTGGTCGCGGGTCGCTGACCGTCGACAGTGCAGGCTTTGAGTGTAAGAGTTTCAGCTTCAAGCATGTATGGACAAAGAGGTTCTTTGTCAACACATGCGCGGCCTTTCAAAGTGATCATGTTCTATCTCCGACGTTTCAGTCTGTGCTGGCCGCCTTGCAAAGTGAAGCAGTTTCCTACTTATCGCACGACTATGTCTTTCCAATACCTGCCCTAAACTCAAGATACGACCATTGAAAGACCTTTGAGGAATACGAACTGACCGATCGAACCAAAGGTCTTGCTTTCGCAGAGTAAGGGCAACTGAAAAATACCTCACTACAAGGGTTTGAGGTCGTTTCGAGGAAACGTAGCTACTTCTAGCCTCGACAACTCAGTACTCTTTTCAACAACAAAAAGATGTAAACCGTAACGTACCCCCAAAGAGAGGTTGCATCTTATACCTACTTAAGCCGCCCGCCTCGGATTTTGCAGCCTCAACAAATCATGGTCGTTTGGACCATGGGTGAAATTATCTCGTTACCCCCCATAAAAAGGACTTGCGTCTTAAACCTACTTAAGCCGCCCGCCCTGGAGGAAGAAATCTTGCAGAACCAGGGGGGTCACCATGCCGCACATTTGAGACCCCGGCGGGGGGGCGGGGTAGACGCCGGACGCGGGCTTAATGTTGATCACGGTATTCTGCGAAAGGGGCAGAATGAAAGCTGTCAGAACCGCAGCATGACGTAAGGTGACAGCCGTTTCGCTTCAAAGAAGGTGATCTAGTGACGCCCGCAATGCCAGTCAAATGACGTCAGAAGACCTGAGGGGAGCGCATTCTCACCATGCCCATGATGTGCACGTGGGAGATGAGGTGGCGGTAAGGATACCACTCAAACGAGGTCATTTGGTGAAATCAGCAAAGCGGGTCAGATGACGTCAGAAGACCCGAGGGGCGCGCATTCTCACCATGCCCATGTGCATGTGGGAGATGAGGTGGCAGTGGAAGAACCAGGGCCCCGGGTTGCTGGCGACGAATCGAATATACGTCCAGCCATACGCGATGAGCCCGACCGTCGAGCGATACACGGGGTTCACGGTGTTGAGCTTCGCCGTCGAGCCGTTGAAGTTCTCGCCCGCAGCGGAACCCAGGACCCAAAAGTCCTGCCAAGCGGAACCAACATGTTAGCGCTTGCCGAAGAGTTGAAAAGCCACTACAAGAACCTTTATCAGGAGCGTCTGGAGAGACAAGAACGCGTTCGCTATTTAAGCGAACAAGCTAAAGCTGCGCAACAAGAGGAGAAGAGAAACTTTCCTTTTTCTTACGGAATCAGGGTTTCTATCTGCTCCTATACAAGTAGCTGATCATGACAGTGGATGTTCTGAACAGGGCAAAGCACCCATTCACAGCTAGTCGTAGGCTTCGAAAGTAGATATCCAGTCCGAGTAAGCGGGACGATCTGAGAGTGCGAAAAAGGTCAACTAGCAAAGAAAATTTGGCGGGGCGAGGACGAAAGAGAGCGCTTCTGGTGAGAGCAGGGGGTTGCTTTGCTTGCAGAATGTTTCGATGTGCGGACTGTAACTCGACCGGGTCACAAAGCGAAGAAAGGCCGGCGAAGCAATTAGAGACAGAATAATTTTGATCTCTTTAGTAAGAACACGACCGATAGTTGCTTCGTTTGCCAAGATGCTACCAAGCGCGATCGAACCAGCCTCACAGTCTGAGAACATTGTAGCAGGCAGATCTTACGACGGAAGCACCCTTCGAAACGATCTCTGCGTAACTCCATAATGACCCCGACCGTTCGCATCTCTACGTCCCGTCAGCAAAACGCGAGCGTGACGTCAGCGGTTCCTCACCATCCCGTGCAGGTGCCACGGGTGCGGGTCGGACGCGTTCACGAGCGTCACCCCGTTCTGCAGCACGACGTCGATGACGTCACCCTCGTTCACTTCGAAGACGCTCTGACCGGTGGCTAGGGTGTAGTTGTCGGGACTCCCGATCGTTTTGATATAATTGTACGTCAGCGGGGGCTGATCGGAGATCAGCCCGGTTGTGTAGCCCCCGGTCATGTTGAAGAAGAGCGTGTGGGTGATGGGAGTCTGCAAGAAGGCGTTGAAAAGCGGTCCATAATCGAGGTTACTTTCCGCTGTGGTCCTAACAGTCAAAAGTGTTGAAAGATCTCGGACCGGTCTGTTTGCTCCACTGATGCTCTCTACACGAGATCTGAACCATGACACATGACCTAGGTACTTTGAGTGTATCTAAGAGTAGGGAGGGTTGCTGGCGGGGCCTAAGCGGACTTCGTTGTGAAAGCCCTTTTGTTTGTCATGGCTTTCAGGCTTCTTAGACGGGGAACCTAAAAAGCATCATCTGGTGAAAACGAAGATGTGCTCGAAACCGCTTACAGTTCCCGAGCTGGCTAACGTCAGCTTACCATGGGGTCGACGTAGGCCACTCCGTTGAGGACGTTCCGCTTCCGGCCGTCCACCCGATTCTGCGAGTTGACCAGGACTATCTGGCGGGTCGGGTTCTGGGCCACCGGGTCCGTCAGATTGGAACCGCCGAGTGACGTGTACAGGTTTTGCTGCAGGGAAAGCATGACGTCAGCAAAGTGGTTCCAGAGGGAAACGGTGTCAGGAATCGTTAGGGGTCGGGTCCTGGGGCATCGGCTCGTCAGGTTGAGCCGCTCAATGAAGTATACAAATTTTACTGCAAGGAAAAAGGAAGCATACTCTGCCAAGTCACCGACATTTCCTCACCTGGGCAAGAGTGAAATTGATTGCATGCCTCACGCCGGTTGCTGCGCCACGAGTGCCGACTCGTTTCCGGTCGGGAATCCGCTGCGTCTCTACGCTGTGACCAGACTTTGCTGGTCAATATAACTCCACTGACGCGTCAAATGTGAACCTAAATTTTTGGAAAGGCTAAGCATATAAGTCGCAATTGTGCGAGGGTAAATTTTTGGTTGTCCCACGCCGGTTGCTGCGCCGCGAGTGCTGACGCGTTTCTGGTCGAGAGACCGCCGAACTTCTGCCTTGAGCAAAACTACTGCTTTCTCAACTCTTCGTTCATGAACTAAAATGGACAAACATTTTCAGATGCATAAACTCTCACATGTGCGAGGGTAAAGTTTTGGTTATCTCACGCCGGCTGTTGCGCCGCGAGTGCTGACGCGTTTGTGGTCGGGAATCCGCTTTTCGTGACTGCATTTTCTGGTTAAAAATTATCCACCAACGCGTAAAACGTGACATATAGTGAGTACATGTTTGGTAAGTAGAAGACTATAAGCGTACCTGTGCGAGGGTGAAGTTTTGGTTGTCCCAAGCTGGTTGCTGCGCCGCGAGAGCTGACGCGTTTGTGGTCGGGAGACCCGCCGGCGCGCCCGCGTATTGCAGCGCCCATCTGCCGGGGGGAGTGTTCGGTCTACGGCCCCGGACGGTCACCGTGATCCAGTAATTGGCCACCGGCTGGTCCGCGGTGATGAGGACGTCATAACGCTGGCCTGGCGTCAGCAGAATGTGACATCAGTACAGAGTTCAAAGTCAGGAGGCGTTGGGCAAGTGGTTGGCTAACGTCTTCGAGCAATCAAAGTGGCTCAGAGGTCAATACCGGCTGGTCCGTGGTAATGAGCACGCCATAACGTTGGTCTGACATCAAGGGAAATACAGAATCAAGTATCGCTATGTGGTCAACTGGAACGGCTGGTCTTGATCTCCTTTCCTTTCGAGGACTCCAAGAGAGGGCGTCAGCTGATGAGTGACTGGTTAAACCGGTCACCCTTGGTGGAACTTCTGAGTAGACCTCGAGCGCTGACATTTTCGTAGGGCGTCCGCAGTAGACGTGACCATGACATCAACTGCGCGCCACATTGCCCGCCGAGGGTCCAAGTATAAAAGCGACGTTTAAAGATTGGGACCTCTACACTTAGATGAAGAAAATCGGGGATACGCATGGAATTGCTGAGCATATTCAAAACACTATAAAAGATTCTGGTACTTTGTAATTGAGTACGACACCACCTGCAGCTCAAAGCTTGGAACCTCACCTGCCCACACGTCGAGGTACTTGACGGAGACGGGCGTGACGTAGTTCGCGTCGGCGGCGACGACCGTCATGTTGTGGCCTTCGATGGCGATGTTGAGGAAGCTCAGAGAGCCAGTGTTGACGATGCGCAGCCTGTCGAAAATATACCAAAGGGGATTTGGCTCTTAACCAGGGATGCTTATGGGCTGGCTATGGGCTGGTTTGAAACTGGTTGACTGTCGAATAACCAGGATTGGGCGGAAACCAACTTTTGAACGAGGTTAAGGGGCCGGTTGTTCGTCCGATAACCCGAGGACGCAGTGTCAGCCTAGTTAGCAGCCAAAACCTCCTGTGGACGGAGTTCGATATGGGCACCGATCAATCAATCAGAACTGCCTGGTCCGGTAGGACGATTCATATCTTTGATAGCATTTCACACTCTTCCGCGCGCCAGAGGCTTTTGAGTTCGCGAAGGAAGGAGCTTTGACTTTGGCGTTTCGTGCAATACTGAGAGTATTTTTAAGGTTTTTGAAGAGGACCAAAACACAGTTGTGTCCTGAAAGTTTCGAAGAGGACCAAACCATAGATGGAAGCAAACAGAGGGCGAAAATAACCACAAGCGTCTTCCGGCGGTTGGTCTCAAGGGTGTCCAAGTCAATCCCTCGTGCTTTCTTGATTGACCAATCGGACAAACGATGAGAAGTACGTTGAAATTGGCAAACATCGCTCCTACTTTTTGAGGGCTATCTTTTTTAAGTGCTTAGGAAGCAAAACGCATGTCTGAAGATTGACGTTGGGTTACCACGTACACCAAAAGACGTTCCAGCCGGGCGCGTACCTGTGGGTGCTGTTCGGGGTAATCGGTCCGATGACGGTGTTGGGCGAGCATTGGGGTGACGTGGTGCTGCAATTGAGGGCGTCACCGGCAGAGTACGCCGCAGGAACGGAGGCAAGCAGGCTGCAGTTGTACTGGCCACGGCCTGGACGAGACCATATGGGTTGGGTTAAAACTTCGCTTCAATTTTAAGCTTCGAGTTGTAGTGTTCCAGTTTAGCGCGTCTCCAGTAATTAGGCTGCGGGAATGATTGGCACGCAAGCTGCACTTGCACTAACCACGCCACCCAATATACATTCGCTTATAGATTTCGAACGCGAACCCGAGTCTTGCAGAAGATGACCCTCGAGATGTTTAGGTCAACCGCGTCTCTTGCAACTAGGCTGCGGAAAACTGACGAGCCGGCTGTACTTGTACTAGGGCACGCCGACCCAAAACTTTGTTTCCTGGCTTCGAACACGAAATGCAGTCTTCCAAAAGCGGAGCGGACTTCCAAAATGGAGTTACTCATACATAATTCTTCAAAATAACCTGGCACAAGTCTGCCGCGCTGATGTAGCTGAAGCATTCCGCGACTCACCGTTCAGAAGGAGCGACTGTGGCTCTCCGACGAACCTGCAGTACGAACGAGACGTACCTTGTCAGCAGTTTCTCTCGGATGCAATTTGATTGTCCGGGGAAAACTGCGCCCTATGCTGTTCAGAAATAGGAGCCGGTGAGCGGATCCGATGCCTTCGCAAGGTTTGACGCCACCTGAAGACTCATTCCGCGATTAAAGGACGCCCTCCATCGGCCTCATGAGGACCGCTTCTGAATGCACTGGGAGTCTGACGTGGGTTTCTCAAGGGCACCCAGCTGAGTCGAGCTAATGCGAGCGGTGCAACCAGTTGCTTAGCCGTCCGACTCGGATAGTTGATTTTTCGAACTTGGTCCAGAAGTTTTTCATTGTTCAAATAGAACGATCTTACAACAGTTGGACGCCACAGACTCACCTTGAATCGGACGCCGTGCTGCCACGAGTCTTAAACAGCAGGATGCTTTCATTGTCCGAATGGAACAACCTTATTGCCATTCGGACGCCTCAGACTCTCCTGAAATCGGATGTTGAGTTCAGAGGAATGTCCAGCCCAATGAACTGGTCCTGGTGCGAGCGATGCCACCAGTCGTTCATCAGTAGCATGCTTTCGCTGTCCGTAAAAATTGTCCGAACGCATCCAGACTCACCTGAAGTCGGACGTCGGGTTCTGCGGAATGTCCAATCCGATGAACTGGTCCTGATGCGAGCGATGCCACCAGTCGTTCATTAATAGCATGCTTTCGCCGTCCGCTTGGAACGGCTCTGTGTCGCCAAAGGCGGGGTTTGGGCGCACGACGAAGGAGCCGTAGAAGCCCTCCGAGGAGTGGCCCGCGTTGTGGCCGTGCCACCAGAACGTGCCGACCTGCAAGGGAAGGGGAGATTTAGCCTCTAGCTTACAGGCGCGGGATGTCTGAAGGAATCCCAGCTTCTTTCATCTGATGAACCCAAGAACAAGGGGCCGTGACAGATTCGAGCTCCTTACAGCTACCAGAAGCTATGGTAGAGTAATGTAACCGGTGTCAAGACGTACAGACCTCTAGAGAGAGAGACGTTTCGGGGTGGGGCAGAGTGTTTACCATGGGGAAAGGGAGCAGATGAAGGCGAGTTTCGGGGGACTATATTGCCAATGCTGCAGACTGTGCCCCTTTCTGGAAAGGTGATTTCGTTTGTAAGGATACGTTGGGACTCAGTCCCCAGATCACCCTACAGAGGAATGGACCTCGAAGTCGATTGAAATCTAGCCCAATGTGGAAAAGGGGTGTGTCAGAAAAGTGCTCCGAGTGGATCGGACTTGAGGTTAGGATTACCTGGAAACGCTAGCTCGGTATCCAAAACGTTGAGGGGCAGCCTTTGGTGCTTGGCAAGAGAACGTAAAGAAGGATGGAGTGACAGAGGGACCGGGTATTCGTTCTGTTAACCCTCAACCTGTTGAGGCCTGTTCCCTAAGCAGCCTTCTTGACATCCTCAAGGCCTTTCTGTCAAGCAAGCAGCAATTCGTCTCCTCCAGAACTCCACAAACATGGTTTTCTAGTGCATCGAAATTGGACACTGATAATCTCCCTGAAAGCCTTCTTGTCATACAAGCAACACAGAGCAGCTTTTCGAAAGATAATGGGAGCAAAAACACGTCTCCAATGCGCTGAAGATTGGGTCTTGCTTCTCCAGGCAAACTTGTCAAATGAGCAACACAGGTGTATACACAGGAAGGTTTGGCTGCTAACCAGGTTCGATAACCAGATTTCAGTCTGGTTCTTTTAGTAATAACCGCGTTCTAGCCATGTTTAAAACCTGGTAACTGCTCGGGTCTGGTCATGGGACATTTAACCAGCTTCGAATCAGCCCGTAACCGACCGTGATTAACCGGTAAAAAGCCCTGTGACGTAGGCTTCCCTGCAATTCAAAAGGAGCACAACTTCTCTTCAACGTTTATGTAACAGCTGACCTGATCCGGAACCGTGAAGTTGTAGACAAAAGTCTCGTGGGGCAGGATGGGGCAGTGGCTGACATAAGCGGACCCGTCCATGTAGGCCGATCCTCCTGTCTGGAGGATGCCATGCCAATGGATGCTGCAACAACAGGGAAAACGCGCGGTGTCAAGATACATCCTGTTCATAAACATAAGCTACTGGTTCCTAAGAGCCTCTTTTCAACCTCCCGGCTTTTACAGATTCTGCTCCCTGATGTAGAGAAAAGGAAGCGAAGTCCTTCTGGTCATTTGACCAGATCCAGACCGACCTCTGCGAGGCAGATGCAGAGCACCGAGAAACATTGATGCTTGATCTCAATTCTTTGTTGACACCACAGCAAACCTTCTGCTTCTCGTGCTTCTAATCACCGTTCAGCGAGTCAGATGGAGATGCTTGATCAGGATACATAACTTCTCCCCATTTCTACAAGGAATCTTATGTAAGACGAGCACTTCCAGAATCTGAGTGTGCTCAAGCACCACAGAAGCGAGTAGAAATGGAGACCTGGAGGCATAAGCCCGCCCTTGAAGAAGCCCTCCCTCTGGCAAAAATGCAAGTGTGTGAGCCCTGCCCCTGATCCCAGGAACCAGCTCAGAAGAACAGAAACCTTGGCATTGCTCATGGAGATCCAAATCTGACATCAGGTGTAGCTCAAAGATGTCTACAACGTGAAGCTAGCCAGACCCATCGGTTCCAGAACATCTCCTCTCAATCAGAGCCCTCAGCTTGTGCTGGAACAAGGTAGATTATGATGTCTTATAACCTGACATTGCCCAAAGGGTTCCCATGTGAAAGACCTTCTGGTGCCTAGTCCGTTAATCATTGACAGTTATTGCTGAGAAGATACTACAAGACGGGCTGTTGTTTGTGTTTTGTCCTGCTTCACGTTGATTAGCATCCACCATCCCTCCTCCCTACACATGTCCCAGCAATGCTTGACCTCCACCCCCCACGATAGCAAAGGCCTGGTCTGACCTTAGTATGGACTACCTAGAAGCTCACAAGACCATGTCCTATTCCAGATGTGTGTCAAGGACCTGAAAGAGGGGGGTAACCTGTCTTGACCATGTCCTACTCCTGCTTGTTCTGAGGAGCTTACAAGGGGCTTACCTGATTCCTTCTGAGTACAATAGTTAGCGACTCTGCCGCTGACACGCTCCCCCTCGCATGAGATCAAGAGCTGATCCGCAGAACCATGTCCCTCGATGGTCTATGAAGCTTGCTCTATGAAGTTGACTTTCATGTGATCGAAGACTTACCTAATTTTCTCTGCGTACAGGTTTTTTTTGTACTTTTACAGTGACATAGTCCCCTCGCATAAGATGAAAAGATGGTCCACAGAACCATGTTCTCAATTAACTTGTTGAAGACAGCTGACTCTGATGACTGAAGGCTTACCTGAAACCCTCTGCGAACAGCTGGTTTGTGACCCTTACAGTGACATAGTCCCCTCGCATAAGTTCAAAAGCTGGTCCGCATAACCATGTTCCGTAATCAGCTTACTTATGAAGTTCACTGTGATGACTGAAGGCTTACCTGATTCCCTCTGCGTACAGCTGGTTGGTGACTCTGACAATGACGCGGTCCCCCCTCTGAACATCGATGGCTGGGCCAGGGTACTGGCCGTTAACGACAATGATGGACCTCTCCACGCAGTCAGGGGCCCAGAATGCATAAGAGACCTGCATAATGGAGACATTAGTGCGAGTAAGGCTGTGTTAGAACGATTCTGCCCCAGGCTGCTGAGCTCGGAGTTATTTCTTTCTTGGGAACCGGGAGAAAGGTTGTTGGAGTGATCCATCATACACCTGGGACAATGCAAGGATAGTAAGAAGGGCAGAGCATGATGGGTGAGTGGTCAGTTTGAAGGCAGGGGACTTTCAACTGTCAGCTCTCGGCTCAAAGACATGGTGCATCTTTCAACCGATTGTCCGACTAGGGAATGTGGAAAGAGTCCATGGGCGCAAAAGACTTCAGCAGCTTATTGGCCCTCGTACCTAGCATTTGCGCGTCCAAAAGTCAGAATTGGCAGTGACTATTGTATGATGCTCTGTCGTCTCAAATATATGATTGTGCGCCTCTTTGCAAAGAAGTTAGACAAAACTGGTAGAGAAGACAGGAACGACGTCATAATCAAAACAGAGTCATTATGCATTTCCATGCACCCCAGCACGGGGTTCTAAAGCAAGCACAGCGCATTTGCCCAGTTTAACACGTAAATGTAGCTCAATATGCATAAAAGAAAAAGATGTGCCTACGCCGCTGACCCAGCTGCAATTGATATTGGAACCTTCTCTTAAAAAGGCACTTCAGTATTCTACTCTATACACACTCTATAAGGCCAATTGCAGCCGTTGTCATTTGGCCACAGCAAAATGTGCTTTCCTCAAAGTTGCTTGGTTGAATTTCGAAGGGTCTGACTATAGAGACAGGTCCTTTCCTGCTTAACTGTTTAACACGTTCTACCCCTTCAGAGAAATTGGGAGAGGCAAGCAGTGTTGCAGGGTTCTGTCCGTTCTATGTCCATCTCCATTCTCCATTCGTTCTATTTCCATCTTCCTTCTGCAAGGTTTGCAGAGACAAGTTCTGGTGACTCCTTCCGGGGGATCCCTGCATTATGCTGAGGAAGCTCTAGTTGAAAGAAAGGTGGTGGTCGCAAAGCTCACCGTGAAATTGTATTCCTTTGTGTTGCCCGAGACTTGTGGGGGGTAGCTGGCGGTAGCCTGCTGCGCTGCAAGCAGCAAAGCCAGCGTTCCGAGCAGAAGGGCTGCTGCAGGTAACACGCTGCATGCCATGAGAGCGGACGGCGCTTCAGCAGCAAAACTTCAGGAAGGACGCTGTGATAGAGTACCAGCGAGCTCCTTCGGAGCGCAAGTGGTGGTTGATAATGCAGAAGCGACGCCCTGTGAAACGCATTTGAAACGCTTTCAACCAGCTGCATGCTCTGTCAACAATACCATTTTCAACTTCAAGCTCAGGTGCTCGAGCTGGTACTACCTTATACCGGTATTGAAAATATGCAGGCAGGCTGCAGCGAAGTTGCTGAACTCCAGAGTCCAGACTCCAGTCGCGAAGAAGACGCGACTCAGCTGAGTCCGACCTTCCTGAGACTGACCAGTGACGTCATGTCGTCGTGACGTCTGTACCTATTTGACGATCCCTGCAGCGAAGGTCGTCGCCAATGATGAACATTAATACACGTTGACGACTCATCATTGTGACTTGAGTACGTTATTGTACGTGCCATGTGGCAACTCCTTTGTTTCCTAAGGGGCTTGTCTCCCGTAGGTATGTAACTTCACTAGTTTCAACTGCGACGTCATCTAGTTAAGGACCTGCCAAACCTAAAACCCTAAGGTCAAACTGAGAGCAGTAACCGGGTTTGGACGATACCCTAAGGCGTTCCGCCATAGCCCGCCGGTGCCCACCCTAACCCCCCAACTAACCCCACCATCAGTCGGTTGCCCTCCAGTAACCCTAACATCCCCCGAGTACTCCGTCTCCCTGGAATCAAGTGCCCGGTTGAACACTGTACGGTACCAACCATTTTCGACACGGTAGCGTACCGCCGCAGTGTTCACCATAGGTACCCGTGATGTCATGCCTACGTTGCAGTTGAAACTGTGAAATTACATACTCTACTGGATTCTTGGGCCAAAATTACTACCCAAATCGCGGATGTTGGATTTTTGGGTCAGTTTTTGTGCAAAATGCGAAGAGATGTCCAATATCAGCCCAAAACTTTATTTATTATTTTCTGCCGACCGACCGACCAACCCCAGAAGGGGGTGGACCGGAAACAACATATTGACTTCGTGTGGCATTAACGCAACTTGCAAGCTAGTAGTACTAGGAGGTGGACGGACCCCTGGACAGACCACCAGAAAGTTCCAATTAATTAGAGCTCCATTACATTAGGCCGGTTCGGTTGGAAATGCTGACGTTGTCCAACGGAACCGGCCTTTACATGGCAAAGTTGCGGGCCCTCGCGGTTCGGGGCCCGATCGGCGGTCATTGCCCCCCGAAAGTTCGAACTATCTCCCAGAATCGAGGAACCGCGAGCAGCGTTGACCAAAGGACCTCGGGTAGGTCCTTTGGTCAACGCTGTTTCCGGTTCCTCGATTCCCGGAGCTTGTTGTGGTTTGATGTGGTCCGGCAGTGCAGACCGGAATACTTGCACCGCAAGACTCAGACGACGTCACCGTTCTCCGGTAAGACTTCTTTTCGCAAGAGGGGGGTCGGCACTGCTCCGGACCGAGCCAGCCCAGGCTTTGGAAGGCCCAACCGGCGCCGTTGGCTTGATGACGTTTTTCCAACCGAACCGGTCCAATGTAATGGTGCTCTTTAGAGAAACGCGGAGAAGTAAAAAGCCCCTTCCCCACATTGCCAGCAGCTGTTCTTTGTGTGTTTCCTACGAAGAACGGTTTCAAAGGTGATGCGCAGGAATCCGGTTCTGGAAGGACTAATATCAGCCTCTTAGCTAGCCATGGCGGGTCAGGAGGGTGCACCCAGTTCAGGGCATTCTGATGGAGGCCTTTTCGGAAAATTGATGCATACCGTCATTGACAATGTGGGCCCAAAACTGCAGGAGGCAATTGCACACGTTGAGAAGCCGTCTGCTGATGTCACAGGTAAGGAGCTATCCAAACACTGATCCGCGCCATTCAGCATTGCCTATGTGTGATCTAAGTCCGCAAACCCCCAGCCCAACTGTGCAATGAGGCGTCAATGCATGCGCTGCACAATAGGTGCCGTTTTCGTCAGGTTATGAGTTGACTTAAAATTCCGGCTGGGTTCCGATTAAACATAGCAACAGAATCCCAAATGCATCAATGGTGAAGTTACAGGAACGTGGAGTAAATTGGAGCGACTGTCGCCCGGGATGTCACATTAATCACACTAAACGCAGCACTGTGGAAGCGACCGCAATGTTGACACAAAACCTACCTTTTCTTGTTGCTTGTTGGGCCAATTTCTGTCAGCAAGCTCGCGAGGGGCTAGTTTGCTCAGCTGGCACTTATTTACAAATTGTTCAGTGAAGAGCAGGACTTTCTCAAAGCACTTGCACCATCGCCTATGCTCGTCATGCAGATTGAGTTTGCGGCGCAAGTCGCATTGGGTACTCTTTGAGAGATCATTGTGTGTATATCAAGAATCTCCTGGTCTGTGGTCCTGCCGTCGCACTTTTAAGCCAGCAACGTGTGCACTCTTAATCGGTAATGAGCTCGCCTTCCAAAGAGTGTGTTTGTTGCCCAAGCTACAGCGTGCGTCAGGATCACACGCTGCCCTTGATACTATAGAAGTTTATGAGGAATGTTTTGTGCATCTCTTATGTGTTACCCAAGGAGTCGTTCATCAACTCGCGAATCGCAAAACGGAACTGTTTTCCAAAGGTGTTTAAGGGTTCCCGTTTGATTGTTGCTGGCAGTCCGTGACCAATTTTCCTCCTGCATAGTTGGAGGGCTTTGTTTCTTTCTCAGTCACACCTTTTGGTGGTCTGAGAGTGGAAGCTGTGTACTGTGAGATCTTAAAGGACAGAAGTGAAACGGCCATGTCCAGTCATTTGGCATTGACACGCGTTGCCTGTCCCAGGTGTTTCGCTGAAGGGCCTGACGCTAGACGCTGCGACGCTCGCTTTTGACGTCGGGGTCAAGAACCCATACCCGGTCGCACTTCCCCTGCTTGATCTCAATTACAAGGTGGGCTGTTCAAGATTGCTGTAAGTCACTGACTGCCGTACTGATTGCTGAAGTACGTACTGCAACTAAACTTACGCTTTCAAGACAGCCCCGACGTGCAAGTGGGCCCCCCTTTTCTCGCTGATGTCACCTGGTTATCTTTAACCTGACGTCCGACTTATCAGCTCCCTGCTGCGAATCCAGAGCAATGGCGCCTAGCTGAGCCGAATCGTTTTCGCAGCAACAGGGTCTGGCTGGTTCTGTCCATCAACTTCTCTGTCCCCTTAAGGATACACGTAGCTCCTCTCTCAGCGTCAAGCTTTGTGAAAGTAAGCAACAGACAAAACCCTTGAGCTGACGTCAGCGTTTCTACCACTCCTTTGATACAGATCCACAGCAACGGTGCCCAGCTGATGGCGGGCACGCTTCCTTCCTCCGGAAGCAGCATCGAACGCGTGTCCGGGTCTGGCTGACGTCATCTCCCACATTGTCTAACCTCCAGTCAACTACTCGGTCCAAATCCTCCGCTAATGTCATCACTTCTCTCTTTGTCGCGCAGATCCACAGCAACGGCGCGCAACTGATGGCTGGGACACTCCCTTCCTCTAGGAGCAGCATCAAACAGTGTTCGGGTCTGGCTGACGTAATCCTCCTCTTTGCCTAGCCTCCTCTTGACCATTCGGTCCAAAGCTTCAGCTGATGTCATCAAACTCTTTTTCTCACGCAGATCCATAGCAACGGCGCGCAGCTGATGGCCAGCACGTTGCCTTCTGCCGGAAACAGCATCGAACCGTGTTCGAGTCTTGCTGACGTCATCCTCCAGACTGCTCAGCCTCCAATTAAGTAGTCGGTCCGAAGCTTCAGCTGATATTATTACTCTCCTTTTCTCGCGCAGATCCACAGCAACGGCGCGCAGCTGATGGCCGGAACGTTGCCTTCCTCCGAGAGCCGCATCGAACAGTGATCGGGTCTGGCTGACGTCATCCTCCCCGTTACCCAGCCTCCAATTGACCATTTGGTCCCAATCTTCAGCTGATGTCATCACTCTCGTTTCTTGCGCAGATTCACAGCAACGGCGCGCAGCTGATGGCTGGCACATTGCCTTCCGCTGGGAGCATCGACCCGCTTTCCACACGCAGCCTCCAGATCCCGGCCGCCTTCACGTTCGCCACACTCTACAAACTCGTGCAGGTAAGATAGGACTCTCCCGCTTTACGGTATTCAAGTCTGCCTTTTGGAGGGAAGCCAACTAGTCATTGTAACTGCTTGAGGCTGTGCCGAGGCGTTTGCCACGCTTTCAAGCTCGTGCAGGGTCAATGTCTTCGGGCTCTGTGATTTAGATTCGTGGGTAAGCTCTGAGGAAGCAGCAACCCAAGCGAATTCGTGCTTCGAGGGGCAGTCTAGTAATTGATGATTGCTTCCGAAAGGCAACATACTTTCGCCGGGTGACGTTTGCTCTTGAGAGTTTCCCACCTCGCCTGCGAAAGACACCGTTCCTAATTGCTCTTTGAACCACGCCCAGTTATTGCTACTCCATTCTCATTCCGCCAAGCTTTGCCGTCTTCCGGGCAGTGGACCATTCCTCGCAGATCATGTGACCCGAACCGTTCAAACCCTGCTCTTCAAGTAGGATAAACACCACCTGCTTTCAAATAAGCTATCTCTTTCCCCAAACTCAAGCAGATTCTTGTTTCCAGAGGTCTTCTTGACTTAGCTACAGCAAGCATTGGGACTGATGACCCTCTAATTAGCACCAATAACCCAACCCTTTTGAACATGCGCTGACCCGCACCCACTGTAAACCCCAAAGTAATCTCACCCGTCCAGGCGCACGCGCTTAGGCTTTCGGTACTGTGGCACTCCGGAACGATTTTGTCGGCTTGGCTGACGCTCTGCTTCCACTATCGTCGATATTGTTTTGTATTTGTTTTTATTCCTTCTCTTATTCTCAAAAAGACGTTTATTATCCTCAGGGTATCCGACCGGGAGCGCTAATTCCGTACGTCCTAGAAGCCAGTCTGGGAATCCACGCCCCAGTGATCGGACGGTTCGACATCCCGTTCTCGAAGCAGGGCCAGCTGCCAATCCCGGCGGTTCCGGAAGTTGACGTCGAAAGCATTGCGTGGAAGGACCTGTCCTTGGATAACGCAACTGCAAACATGCGGGTGAGTTTTGGTTCCCAAACTGAATCGTAAGTAAAAGCGGAACTCAATCTGTCTACTTGCAACCGGTTTGCAAAACCCGTGAATCCTTCTGATGATGACGTTGGGGGGATTGCGCGGAAAGACTGGTCGAAGAATTTTGAAACCGCGAACATGAGGGCAAGCGTCCGGTCTTCAATCGTCGCTTTTCGTCCGTCTCTTTCCGACGAGTGCTGTTCGTGAAAATGGTCCTTAAAAGTCAAGCGCTCCGCATGGCAGGACGTGTGTATGGAAAAGCGACGGCAAGGATGCGGGTGAGCTTTCCTTTCCAAGATCTGTCGTCCTTTATCCCTCTGTTTGCAACACCTTCAGAGCTGTTCTTAAACAAAGGCGCGCAAAGTGGCCGATGCTGCGACAGATCACTTGCATGTTTGCGGACGGTATAGAAGCTCCTGACGCCACAGTTGAAAGCTTGTGATCAGAGCTCACTTCCAGCCCTTGCATGGGATGCGTGACCGCACGCGCTTTCTGCAAAGCGTTCAATCGCTGACGTCTTCGAGAGCCTCAATAAAATGTTTTAACGCCAAGGCAGTAGTGAACATGTCGCTACGCGTCGGCACTCTGTTACACTAACCACGACCTTAACTAGCAGCATCCCATAAGAATTTGAACCTTTGTAGCAGAACTGTTTCGGACAAACTGAACGAGTTCGAACTCGCCTTCAAAAAGCTGGAATGCAACCTCTCGTAAGACCGTCCGTGCGTCTGAAAGTCTCTGCTCTCCCGCAGATTTCCATTCCTGTCGGTCTCCCACCAACCGATTCTCCCTCTGCTGACCGACGTTTCTCCCTTCATTCGCAGCTGAAATTCGGCTCGAGAAGCAACTTCGACCTCGGGTTGAAACAGCTGGCATTCGACCTGTGCTTCGGCAGTACGTCCTACCCTTACAGCCCTCAGCAGAGCTATCAGAGTCGACCAACCAGCAACTTGATTTCGCTCTCCGGATTGACCAATTTCCCTGACTTTTGCAGTTAAACATCGGCAACAAGAACGACTTCGACTTAGGCCTTAAACAGCTGGCTTACGACCTCTCCTTAGGCGGCCACCCAGTCGTCAAAACTTCCATTTCAAAACCCACGACGCTCGCGAAGGGCCAAAAGGGCGTGCTCGACATCCCGTTATCCTTTAACCCAATGGACCTCGGGATGGCGGTCTTCAACATGATTAGCGGTCACGGGGCCGGGTACGGGCTCGCGGGGTCGATGGATGTCGACACGCCGTTTGGGCCGTTACACTTGCCGTTCAATAAGATTGGGGAGACGTTATTTGGGGGTTCCGGGAAGAAAGAGTTGGATCCGAGCACGTTAGCGCAGGGGAATGCCGTTGGAGCGACGGAAGGTACGGTGCAAGTTGACCCGAATGCGAGGGGAATGCAAGTGGATGAGTCCGAGACGAATGTAACGTTGGGCAATAGCGGCGTCATCTCGACGGGTTGACAGCCCGATTTTCTAATTGCAAGTCAATTAGTAACCCACTGACGGTATAGCTTAAGGTGTTAGGCCTTCACCGTGTCTCACAGACTTGCTTCCCAAATCGTCTCGTCAAAGTACAGATTCTGATAGTGTATAACCCGTTGCTTTTGACCCTTGCTTGATATATCAAGAAGTTGATCTGTGGTTATAACTTCATAGGCTTGATAACTGAATAAGACCTTTTAATGCGAGCTTCAATACCGTCCGGCCCTACCTGATTCTTGTTGGGACAGTTTTATTGGCCGCGCTAGTAGCCTAGTAGCCTAGTAGCCTGAGGTTGTTCCAGAATTCCATTTTTATTTGGAATTTGTACCAGGGTGGCCGCGCATGCTAGTGAGATTATGGATCAGTTGAATTCTGATTGTCGAGTTAGCTGAGCTCCACAGTGTTTCTCATCATCCCGGAACTTTGCAGGCGTATGTTTACGCCGGGACCTGGCTCTCGTGCAATCTGTCTGCCCGCGCACGGTTCAATGTAGCTGCTGGCAGCCTGGGCAGCCCGGCGGCCAGGCATGAGATTTCTGCCCGGGTGCCAGTTGTTAGGTGACGACGTGAACCATTGAAATCCACACATGATGGCTCTTCACGATATATGCTGCAATTCATTGACCATCTAGCTAGCTCGTACCAGGCCGCCAGCCAAGAGCGCCTTGATCAAGATGGTCTGCGCCACTGCCAGACGGTATATGGTTTGATCGATTGCAAACGGCCAGCCAGCTATATTGATTGATAGCTTGAAGTGCATGCAATTCACTGAGTATCTTATGATGTTAAGTGGAGCCTGATCCGAGTCAGCCTGCACCGAGCGCGGCGCGGCGCCATCGATCTGGCAAAAGCTAGCCTAGTATAGAGCAGCTAGGTGAGCTGACCTAGCTTCGCCCGCGGCGCGGCTGGGCCCACAACCATGGCCGGCCAGGATCGGTCAACCCTGTTAGATCGATATTATTGCATGCATTGAGTAATTAGTATATTTAGTTGAGTATGATCATAAAAGGCGCAACATAAACATGATGCATGATGCATGTCAGTGCAGGCGGCATAGTGTGCAGTCACCAACTTATTGTCCGTCAAATGTACGCGCGGGACGGTGGCTTATGAAACATCACAATGAATCGATGCGATACAGGATCCGCATCTTTAAGTTTGCAAGCGACCAGATAACGGACATGTCCAGTGGCACATATGAGGCGGCTTGACGGAAATGGCTGAAGCGGCACGTATTGCAGCTGCTAGAAACATCCGACAATGCAAGCTGCTTGATCGAAGGCCATCGATCATGCATGCTAGGAGGGTTGATCATGGTATGTTCTACTTCATCGAAATACAACCGCACAAGAACCTGGAACCATAAACATGCTCACAATCGCATCTGTACCGTCCAATGACTCAAGCTCTTGGGCGCGTGTTGTTCGCTCCTTCATTTACTTGGGCGGCGCTGTGGTCAGTCGCGTCAGCTGAACGCATACGAAGAGGTGAACCGAACAGCTTGAGAAGAGCAACAAGAGTGCGCAGCAGGCCCGACAGCCTTCTGCTTGAAGCTTTCCAGACAAGAAAAGGGTCTTGTCGACTTTCGTACACCCGAAATATTCTCGTTGGCGATGAAACTTGACCTTGTCAATCCAAAAGACTCACGTTTTAAAATTGTTCTTGACATGTTACTGTCAAAGTAGCAAGGAAGAAGCCCTCCTCGCGTTTGTGCTGGAATCTCCCCATCGTATACTGCAAGAAGAGCAGCTCACTTTCAGGATGATGGGTGCAAAGCTGAATTCAGGCACGTCAACTTTTGCATCTTCCACTACAACTGTCCTACCTAGAAACAGTTTGAAATGAGGAGAAGGTTTGCAGTGGGAGACACAAGACTGTCTCAAGGGTTTCAAGGCCATCTCCTGCAGGTTTGGAAGGATCAAAGGTTGACAATTTGACGATAATGTGTTCGCCTGATGCAGCCCACCTCGCTGATTGCTACCGGAACCCTCATGTACGGTTCTGCCAAACTGCGTGCATCGTCCAATTTTGTTTCCTCACCAAGCTATGACGTTCCCACGATGATGTTGTTGATTGGGATGAAGATCAGCTTCACAAAGAAGCCGATGAAACCCATGACAGTCATCCCCAACGCCGTCTGAATGGCAATCTTCGAAAACTCTGCATGGCAAGCACATCGCAATCAGCAACCTCCGGGCTGACTGCAATCTAGTGGTGAGTACCGATGCATGAAAGAAGAAAAGCAGCGCGAGACGCAGCCAGATCACCTTTCCTGTAAGACTGAGAAACATCAGCAGGGCGTTTGGAAGCTAGGATACTTAGCATAGAAAAGCTCGTGCGAATTGCTCAAAACAAGATTGTTTATCATGTGAATCCCGCTCCCTCCTACAGTCTACTTTGACAAACAAGATAGGTGCCCTTTCAATAAAAGGGCCAAATGAATCAGTGCAAGGACGGGAAGTGTGTGTGCACATTCCAATACTCCGAATGCAATTGCGAGACTACTCATTGAAGGCACGCAATCTGGTGGAGGAGTATTTGAGGATTTGGTGACTTCTTCAGCTTGCTTAGTAATATAGCTGATAACTTGACCAACCACTGCTGTTTAGCAAGGGGAAATGAAAGAGTGGCGGTTAAAAAGAAAGAAAGTGAGGCAAAATAGAGTACCTGGTCCACTTCAATAATTGTCTCAAATAATTGTGGCACTCGGATAAACAGACCTCCAATCAAGGTTCAAAAGCGTGTCGACTCGAGAACGCGTGGGCATGCAACTTTAGTCAAAGTCTAACACAGTCCCCGACCACAAAGTCAGAGCCCCAGCAGACTCAAACTAAATTCCTCTGAAATACATTCATTCTACTTTAGGTCTGTGGTGGTAGCATCTCATCCTCTTTGCCCGGTATTCTCCTAATCTTCCAAATCAGACACTTCGCTCATAATCAAAGCATCGACAATGCGCTATCATCAGGAGCACTGCTCAACCCATTCAGGAACCCTAAAGTCCAAACCCTAGAAGCAACACCCTCAGTGCCAATCCGTGCAAAGCAGATGCATCGCGACTGGTAGATTTTGGTAAAGCGACTGGTAGATTCGGTCATATAGGTCTTGCAATTGAGCCAAGTAATGAAAGGCCACAACTCTTCCCGCAGTCTGACCGTTGATCCACAAGATGATTTCACTGAGTTGTAATGTATGAAGGTGCCAATCCCTACTTGAAGGCACATTCCCAAAAAGGCCTCATGAATCTAATGCGCTTATGACAGTTCCTGCAGATCTGTGCTGATATCTGCAGTCCAACAGATCAGTAGCTGCTGCTAGATTAGTTTTTCTTAAACGGATGCGAAGAAGTTCAATGGAGCTGAATTATGAAGCAATAAAAGCAATTCAGAGCTGCAATCTCTGCTCACCTTTCCGGTCCGGCTTTTGACACCTGTTGATCAACCTGATGCTATCCTTCGCAAAATTCTTGATCGGCTTTGTCACAAACTCCGCAGAATCCATAGCGCTGTCTTTATAGACTGCTAGCTCGCACAGTCTACTTCCTCCCTCCTCCCGTCTTTCTCTACCCTTCTGACAACTGTCAACCAAAAGGTAAACGCCGCCGATCGCTTCAAATTGCACAGTCTCTGACGCAGAGCTCACGACGCAGCGGGCAGAGTGCTCAGGGATCTTATATTTTGCTCAAAGAAGGAGCTGGTGAGCTCGTTGACTGAACAGACGGAGGAAGAGGTTTGAGCTCAGCGCGAGCGCCGCCTGATTCAGAGAGTCGGCTGCAGCTAGAAATCAGGACAGAGGGCCAGCAAGACTGGGACTGCAGAAGTCAAACCTCTACAGAGTATACTTGGTCATCACTAACCATTCAGTTTGACTGTTAGCACGTCTCTGTCAACCTTGCCCTTCCACAAAAACCGCTTGAAGAAAGCTCACCCAGAGAAGCCCTAAAAAGGTATCCAAGTCTTGGCAAAACAAAAATGGTGTCAAAGAGAACAAATGACCAGGTTAAGGGCCTAACCTGGCCTAACCCAGAAAGCGGTTGTTGCAAGAAGAGACGAATGCAGCAAATGCAACCGTAGCTGAAGGGAGAGAGAGGCGTAAAGACGCGGCCATTGATTCTTGTTAGGCCCTTATGGTCCTTGAAAGAGCTTGGAATGGAGCATTGGCATTTTTTGTAAACAACGTAAAGGAAAGAAGCAGACGGGAGCTCGTTGCATACGCTCGTTGCTCGAGCGTTCAATCAGGTTGAACATAGAGCTTTGAGAGTAGGAGAGGTCTGGAGCGATGGGGACGGATCGACGAGCAAAGAACCCTGTGCAGGCGTTTGTGTGGTGGGTGAAAAAGCAGCCCCCCAAAGTGAAGGCGCTCCTAGGGACCCTTGCGGGGATTGTTGCTCTGATCTTTCTGAGGTTGGTTGTGGATGACCATGACAACCTGTTTGTGGCGGCGGAGGCTATTCATGCGGTGGGAATCGCTGTCCTGATCTACAAGCTCATGAAGGAAAAGACATGCGCAGGTGAGTATATTAGCCAGCTCCTCCAAGCTCTCCTTCATATCCATTTCTTTTCTCATATATATAAGATCTCTCTGTTTTTTAGCTTGTAAAACAAAAAGCACCCGTATTTTTGTTGGACCGCTCTCAGCTCTTTTGGCACCTTCTGGTTTTCTACAGGCCACAGTCCTGCGGTTCTCTTGTCATTTTGCTCTTCTTTTTAGTGTGTATCCCTATCTGCGTCCATTGGCTGATGAGATGTGCATTTGGCTGCCTTTGCAAGCACTCCTGGTTCATTTCTCATCTGAGTGAAGTCAGCTGCCAGTGGTCTAAGAAACTGGCTTCTTGCGCTCTCAATTCTTTTGAACTGCTGCGCATACCTTTCTTGTGATTGCATGCATAAGTACTGTCCCTATGTGAAGTCTCTGCAGACATGGTTGTCATGAGCTGTTTTCCTCAAGATTTCAGATCCCTCGGCAGTCTACTCATTCGCTTAGTTGAGCAAATTCTTCCCAGACCACCTGGTTTGATTGCAAGTGTTGCAATCTAGGGTTTTATGTGCAAAACTGCTGGAAACCCAGCCTCATTGGGGATGGCATCCTGGGTGCATTGTGATTGGGAGGTCTCTAGTCCATCTGTCATTGATAAGGTCAAGGAGGAGGGTGGGGTTAGCTTGGTGATGAGGGTGGGTTCAGGTTCGAATGCTTGGGTTCGAATTTTACTTTGTCCTTGCACTAAACATAAGAATTTTTCCATAGTATCACTTCTTATGGTAAGTGGTCCTGTTCAAGAGAAAAGCTCCGTAGCAGCATGGCTTGGTTGCGTTTCCTCCCGTTTCTTCTTGTGTCGCCTTGTCTTACATGGTCATAGGTTGAAAGCAGCGCAATCCTGGTGTATCGTCAACAAAAGCATCACTTGAATGTCCTTGTTCGGCTGCAGTGCCCTAGCTTGGCTGCCGGCTTTGAGCATGCTATGTGTGGTCTCAGGTATCACACTTTTGGTGATTTTTTTTCTGAGATGTTTCTGATAATCGGACATGGTGGTGTTCTTTCAATCAGGGACGTTTTGGAATACTCTCTCTTTTATATGAGCCTGGCCAATTCGCGCCACTCTTTGGCGGTCTCATTTGCTGATATATGCACTATCCTGACCTTTGTGGACAAAGACGTGTGCACAAACCACCATTGCTGTGGTGGAACGCTTCTCTTTGACTTGTCTTCATTTCACGCACTTCGTGGGAGTTCCTTTTAAGTTCGCAGTGTTCTGAGCAGACGACCCTTCTGCGTGAGGCAAGCATAAACCAGGACCACTGACTTTCCTTCATATGGGCGCTTCTTTGGCACACAGAATCAAAATATTGTTTGAGCCGAGGCGGAAGACACTATTCGCACTTCAACGATGCCATTTCTTAAGTCCAAGTAAGTTTTCGTTTGGAATGCATTGTTGTACTGGCGATCTATTTGGCGACGCGGCTCTAGTGCAGCCATGGTGACTGGAGAACCGGCCTCTATTAAACTCACACTCTAGGCTCTTGCAAGTGATTGTGCATTATTCCAAAACCACGGATCTTCCCACCTCCATGTCCTTCTCCGCAGGCCTGTCTCAGATTTGCCGAGAGCTCATAACAATCTTGTAGCCACACCGGCTCTACTTCATCGTAGTCATGGAGCACCAGCCTTAGTGACACTAGAGATCAAACCCCCAGAAACCATGACTGCCTTCGTTCCTCAGAACAAAGACTTTCCCCGTGCAGGCTCCTCTTTGTGAAGAGCTAGGATCTGACGGCAACCTTCTTAGCCGCATGGCTGTACTGCGGCGCAGTGATGGAGAAGCAAATCTCATGACAGCTCCCGGAAATCCTCAATTGGTTCATTCCTCAAAACGAAGACTCCTATTGTGCGGGCCTCTCCCTGAAGAGTTAGGAGCTGACGGTGACCTTCCTAGCCACGCGGCTGGCAGCATGGTCACGAAAGATCGACTTTTACCAAGATTCAAATCCTAGGTTTCCAAAGTGTCGAAGCATCATTTCAAGAGCAACAATCTATCTTCGCAGGCCTGTCTCTGAAGTGCAAGGAGCTGACTGCGATCTTCTTGGCGACGCGGTTCTACTCCAGCGTGGTGATAAGTGTACTGGTTATCTTCGAGAATTTTGTGCTATTTTGTAGGAACTAACGACTTTCTCCCTGCAGGCCTGTCTCTGAAGAGCCAGGAGCTGACGGCGATCTTCCTAGTCACGCGACTTTACCGCAGCGCGGTCTTGAAGCACGGCATCTACCAGAGTCAAACTTTAAGGATTGAAGAAAGTATTAAAGCATCTTTTGACAACAGCAAATCCTGTCTGCAGGCCTCTCGTTGAAGAGCCAGGAGCTGACGGCGATTTTCCTGGCGACGCGGCTCTACTGCAGCGTGGTCGCGAAATAGCGACATCTTACCAGAATATAGATCCTAGGCTTCCAGCTTCTTTCAAAGAACTGCAAAATTCTCTCCGCAGGCCTGTCTCTGAAGAGCCAGGAGCTGACAGCGATCTTCTTGGCGACGCGGCTGTACTGAGCCTCTTCATTCCCTCATTGACTTCTTAAGAACCAGGAAGTATAGGCTCCCAGAAAGTCAAATCTTTTCGGTATTGAATTTGAAGACATCTGCTGTGCAGGCCTGTCTCTGAAGAGCCAGGAGCTGACGGCGATCTTCTTGGCGACGCGGCTCTACTGCAGCGTGGTCATGGAGTACGACATCCACACGATCCTGGACTTGTGCACTTTCGCGACCACCGGATGGGTCATCTACATGATGCGCTTCAAGCTCAGGGCCACGCTCATGAACGACCTCGACAACCTCAAGCTCTACTATGTTGTGAGTGTCGCACCAGCACCCGTGCTGCCCAACCGAGTCTAGACTGAGGTTGTGTATTACTAGGTGTTGCTGAGGACTTGCTTCACACTTTATTGACCCTTACACAATACCGGGTGTTTGATGTTTGACTGGTCGGCTGCCTAAAACCCTGCACAGCGGTTGTGTGGTGCTTCGCTCGCATTCGCAACATACTCGCATGCTTTCCTCGCTACCCTTTTCCTTTCTTATCACATGATGATCAACTGAAGTAGGACACTTCAAAGCCCTTATGACTCTCAGGTGCCAGCTCCGACCTTGATGAGCAAAACGCCGCGCTACTTCGTGCTCTTTCTAGCCTTTCAAGCCTCACCTCTCGGACTTTGGCCCTTCAGATGGTGACGCCAGCGCTTCTGGCGGTGGCGCTCTTGGTGCATTGCGGCAGAAACCACAACCGGCAAAAGGACTTTTAGAACCCGAACACGAAGAATCTTGTAACTTCGCGAAAGTCATGCGGACTGCGAGCTCGAGGTTGACAAAGACATTTTATATTCGTAGCTGCTCCCGTGCCTTGCGCTGGCCGCGCTGGTGCATCCAAGCTCGAATGACAACCTAAACCAACTCTCCTTCTAAATCCGAAAGAAGACGTCAAAAAAGGGAAAACCGACATTGCCTGACATTACTCGAACGTCGGCTCCGCAGCTACTTCCGTGCCTGGCGCTGGCGGCTCTGGTGCATCCAAGCACGAGCCACAACCTGGTGAACCGGATACTGTGGGCCTTCTGCGTCTACCTCGAGGCGGTCAGCGTGCTGCCACAGCTGCGGGTGATGCAAAATACCAAGGTGAGCTGTTGCAGCATTCCTCATTTCCTTCTTTCTTTCCTTGGACCAAAGTTGTGTCCAGTTCTCATCAATCGAAAATGCTTTCAATGGCGCTCCTTGTAAGGATTAAGGGTTTCAGCAAGGATTCCACCCTGTCTCTTGCTTTTAGTTCTCTGTGCATCTTTCTACGGGTCTTCATTTCGGTCTACACCTCCGTGCTTCGTCTCAGAGACGTTGCTTCCGCCTCCTCTCCCTATCTCTCTCGGTTCCTTAGCCGTTTCCGGTCCTGTCGTTTGTTCGACGAAGCTTCCGGTTGTCCCGTTAGGCAACTTGAGGATTGGAAGCAGGAAAGTGCTCTTCACCTAGACACCTTCAGAAGTAGGTTTTAACGGGTCTCGTCGTTTAGACTTTGCTACTGAACCCACGGGGCAATGCTAGGGCTACCATAGTCCGGTTCCGGCCGGATGTATTCCAGGTTGCCTGTCACCTTGAGTCACTTGGGTAGCTCGCCTGTTCGATACATCCGCCCGCCCGTTGATCGAGCGACGAAGTGCTCCAAAGATAGGCTCGCGCTTCCACGTGCTTCTGCATCACAGCGTGAAGACTTTGCTCAGCAGTCACTGCAGCAGCCAACTGTGACACCAATTCCAGGTCCTCGAGCTCCGATGAGAACGGCGTCAGAGACCTCGGTGTACACGGTTCTGTAAAAGGAGGGGGCCAAGTTGAAACCACTAGGCAGAACCGTTGGAAGGAAATTTTTGAACCCAACTGGAAACGGCCTGCCCAGAACGGCATGATTAAGGAAATAACGCTTTTCATTTGGTTCCGCAGGTGGTAGAGCCTTTCACCGCGCACTACGTCTTTGCGCTCGGCATCGCAAGGTTCCTCAGTTGCGCGCACTGGGTGCTGCAGGTGGGTCCGCCTTCGAACAGTTCTCCACGATTTCCTCACTTGTCGTCCTCAGTGTTGTTGGTTTGCCGCGATTCCCTTGCCGTACTCTGAAAGCAGTTGCCCCCTCTATCGAAACTTGATGTGATTCGTATGCTGACGGCTTATAGCATTGGCCCTCCATGCTTGGCCGGTAGTGAGCGGGCGGAGCCTCGTGGCCCCCCTCCATCTCTTTGCATCAGAGTGCATCAAATTGAACGATTCACTGGAGAGTGGTTGAAGACGCGGATCGTGAGACGGTCGTTCAGCACGTTATCGCTCTGACTTCAGGAGCTGACGTCAGCCGAGCTTCCTTGTGCAGGTGATTGACGGGAACAGCTTCCTGCTGACGGTGCTGGGCACGGGGCTTTGGCCGGTCGCGGTGCTGCTAAGCGAGATCGTGCAGACCTTCATTCTGGCGGACTTCTGCTACTACTACGTCAAGAGGTGAGCAGAGCGGATACCCACATGTTTCTTTCAGTTCGCCACTTTTGCCCTGTGCCGGGATTTGCGTTTTGATTCCGGAAAGCAGGACTGCAGAGCCAACGCGTGCAGAGCTTCATCCGCGAGGACTTTTGCTACTGCTACGTCAAGAGGTGAACACAGCATATTTGGTCTCATTTTTCTTCACTTGGCCTCTTTGCGTGGTGTCACGGTTTGTGTTCTTACCTTTCAGAAACTTGAGGATTGCGGGATGTACTTCGTGCTGCCGAGCATGCTTGTGCAGATTTCGATCTCAAAGCTAGCAGAGATTGCAGAGCAAATCCTATTGTAGGCTTTGTTCTTACGTTCCCTGCTGAATTTCGATTGCAAGTGGGTCTGGGGGGTTGCCCTGACCCTGATGAGTGGGTGCCTCCGTTCCTTTCATCGCCATGCGGCTATGCAGTTGCACTTGGGTTTTCTTCGTAGTCAAGTGGAAACGTTTAAGACGGAAGCTTGTTGCGGACTGTATCCTTGATCTCCATATAAAGCAGTGAATAATAAGACGCCAAGCTGGCGGCATCTTAAGAAGCGATCTGGATCGTTAATGGGCTCGATCTCGAGATAACTGGATTCCTGGTGGACTCAGCTTGACTTCAAAAGCCTTTCTCTTCTGGATCTGACCGTTGTCAATGCTGAACCGCGTTATCTGCTCTGTTGCAGTCTCGTGGAGGGTCAAATGATGGTCCGGCTACCATCAGGCATTGTCTAAAGGGTTTGGAAAGACGAGAGAAACAGAATTTTGGGGCGACATTGAGGAAAAGCAGAACTTTGTAGGGGTTCGCCGTCTGCCTGTGCTGAAATGTTGAGAAACTTGGTCTTGAACGTGGATCGACTTTCGAAGACATATCCGAGCTACTTTTGCGGAATCCATCACAAAGTCGGGAACTCATACATTTGCCACCTGTCAACTTTGCAGCACAATTGAAGGCCAAATGCTTGTCCGGCTACCCACATAGGCGAAAGTCGGGATATGGTAGATCGGGCTAGCTTTCCCATCACGAGGTACGTAGGACGAGATTGCCTGCCTAAAAAAGTTTGAAACTACTACGGACGAGAGAATGAAATGCTAGTCTGGCTTCAGTTAACGTCACTTGAAACCATCGACACGGGTGCCTACCGAATCACACGATTCTTGAATCATGCGAACATTTATTGAGGGTCACGATCACAGCGGCTTTCAAGTCTGATGCATGTGGCTCGCGGCGGGGAAATATTATTGTCAGCGAGTGAGTCGATACTGCTATTATCCCGAGCGTCGAATACTACATGCATCATGTGACTTGTGACTCGGACATTGGTGGATTTTGCGCCGCTAGCACTGCGCGCGCCGGCGACTTGGAAGGTATCATTTGTTACATTATGCATCCGATCTGGCATCATAACTTAGTAAGAAGCATCCGTGCATGATTCGAATTTCGTGCGGTCGCGCACAAGCAACCTGAACCTGCGAGTCTAGAGGCAAAAAGTTGAAAAATCCGTGCGCAATAGGGAGTTTCGCGCCGAGTCGCGTATGCGTGTACTCACGGCGATTTTTACCCGCAGAATTGCCATTTTTTGATGTTTAAGATCATATTTGACATGGTCGGTATCATATGTGGGTCAAATTGGACGATGTAAAATGTTGGAGTTCATGGGGAGGGCGTATACAAGAGATTGACCGGAGGGTTTGGTCCAAATAATTTTTTCGACCGACTTATGGCAGCTTTTCGGCCAGATTTTGACTTTTGCCCCGTGTACGGGCGATTTTGACCTCCGAAAACGGCTAAGTCCCGAATTTTTACACTGAATCGAAAACCGCCGTACGACTCGCCGGCGGTAATTCGAAAATTCACCGCCGCGCTCGACTCAAACAAATAACGAAGAATCTACCGCGAACAAAAAAGAATTCCCAGGTTGCTTGTGGCGCAGTGAGCATGCGCGGCATACGTCCACATGCACTCGGAACATGTGCTCACTAGGTACGGCCTCAGGCTGCCGCGGCAGGACTGAGCGCTGTGCCAGGCCTCGGATGCATGGCCGGCTAAATATAGAGGGCCACGCGCGTGTGAAATATGCATGAAAATAACATATGCCATCGAGAATGAAGGTTTTATGGCCACGGTCGGACACTGATCAGTGCATGCGCCACGATCCGACATGGTCACTATATCACAATCGGGTGACTGTCATGCATGAGCCCGTCGAGTCCCTGCACCGGCTTCACCATGATACCGTCATGCAGTGGCCCATGCGCACATCGCCTGTCGTGAGTGACGTCATGCGTCAATGTACGTACTAACATCAGGCTTGCATGTCCTGCAATTCGCAGATTTCTAATTCAGTCCATGCATTGTTACGACGACGCCCGCTGTATCTTTTGAATCCAGACAGTTGAACCAAAGCTAAGACAGATTGATCCGATCTGCAACCTATTTCCTTAGGAACACCCGACCTGTATGGGATGAACACCCGACTTGAAACGTGCCCGCTAGTTGGAGACTCGCTCAAAGACAGGCGAATGGCCCGTGGTCAGGTCATCCTGCAGGGACAGAAATCCGAACCTCATCACTGATTCTCAACAGAGGATGTCACAGCTACGTGGATCGGCTCCGGCAATTATAGGCTCTCGTCTCCTACTAACGAATCAAGGAACAACCCAGGCAAGTCCGAAGTCTGCAATGGCGTCCCGATTACCAGCACCTTCCAACAGGGACTCCTGAATCCTAAATGTCTGAGACCCTATAAGTATGCAACATCCCTAAACCACTAAACCCCAGAATAGTAAAACCTGGGAGACACTGCCCGGATTACCTGTTGAATGAAGTCGATAACGGCAAATGGCCATCCCTTTGACATGGTGGCGCATCTTTTGAATGGAAAACCACATGACGAGTGACAGCCCAAGTTTCACGAGCTACATCCCTGGCAACATTCAGCGGGTACTGCAATCAGCATCTCATTGTCGTCCTACTGTCTTGCGTAAGTAGGCCGAAGTGCGCCAGACTAGATTGACTTTCAATTCTGCTCGATTTCGGGATTAGGACGAGGTTCGAACCTGTCCTCGGGCATTCCGCCGTGCGTGACTTCGAGTTTTTTTTGTCTTCAAGACCGTTCAGAAGGCATTCTGGACTGCCTTACCTCGCTCCTTTGGGCTTATGGCTTCTCCCGCCCAGCTCGCGCAGCTATTCTGCCGCGCCTGGTTGCGAGTCGCCTGCGCGATCGTGGCTACCTGCAAGGAGAACGACAAAGACGAGTCAGACAGGCCTTTTGGAACACATTTGCCCTCTGCGAAGACGATTATGCCGCCTCCTTATCGCTTCGAAAGGCCCTGTGGCCGCTTCTCGCGAAGCGTGCAGGCTCATTGCCGCCTGTGAGAATAAGAGCGGCCAGGAATCAGGCAATGCCTTCAAGTATAGACCGCTCCTTCCGCAGACACCTTTCTCGATCGGATTGCCCCGAAGCTGGTCCGGAAATTCGCCGGCGCGATCGTGGCTACCTGCGCAAGAAAAGACGGAGAGGAATTGACAGGGCCTTCCAGGATAAACTGGCCTTTTGCAAAGACAGATTTGCTGGAATCTATTACAAGGCCCTGTAACCGAATGGTATTGGCCCTCGTGATCGTGGCTACCTGCGAGAGAAATGACGGAGAGGGACGGAGATCTAGGGCCTTCCACTTTTTACAAGAAGGTGTGCAGTTAATGCACAAACTGGAAAAAGGTGGATATCCGACCCTCTGCATCTGATCCTCCTGTAACGTCCTCAACTTTCCCACGCAAAACTCCGGCTCCTAATCCAGACCTTCTTGAAAGGGAGCGAGGAATTGATTGGTTCTCGCAGAACTTAAGTCACCCGGCGGCGCAGCAGGATCACCTGATTCTTGTACACTGTTTTCCTAAGCGCGAGCAGATTTCGGTTACCTCGATAAAACAGAGACCAGCTTGTCTCAGCGAGATCCGGTCACCTGTTGGTGTAGCAGCGCCGTCTTTTCCCCGTAAAAAGCCACGTCGGCCTCGGACGGCGCCACCCGCCAGACCGCTCACGTCAGGCGGCGCCGAGAGGGACACGTGTCACGGGACGACGACGGTGTTCCACTAGAGCGGGGATGCTAACGTGGCACGAGGGGTGCCCTTCTTCCGGGCCCTCCGCTCCATGCGCAGCCGGACGTCGAGCGGAAAAAGCTTTGTTTTATCGCGAGCAGCCGCGCTCCGTGTTTCGGCTTTCTGTTTTCCGCTTACCGCTTCCCGCTTCCGGCTTCTCGCTTTCCGCTTTCCGCTTTCCGCTTTCCGTTTTTCGTTTTCCGATGTTCCATTTTCCCCAACCTAGGCGCGTGCGCTCGCCAGGGTTGGTCCTCTCCCGGCTGCAATGCGTTGCTCGCTGCGAGAGCGGAATAGAAGGGGCCTTAGAGAATGAAAAGCGAATAGCACACAGAAGCGTCAAGGGTGGACAAAACGCTGGACGGAAGGTGAACGGACCGGTGTTCGAGAAGGGGCGGGAGTAGAGCGCCTGAACTTTGGAAACGAAATCAATTGATGGTTTGAAGTCCGGGATAATCGAACAGTTCGCAAATTCGTGTTTTGTAAGTGATAGCGAAAACGGAAAGCAGAAGGGAACAGTACGCAGGACGCAGCAGGTATCAGAAGGGCTTGAAAACGGACAGAACATGGAATGCAAGGGCTTTCAACTAGGATGAGCTGCTCGTCCTACGCAGGGCGGCTTTTGTCCTGTAGAAGCGCCTGTACCGCTCACGACGCTCATCGTCTTGACAATAGCCCTTTCGCGAAAGGCTTCGATTCGTCGTCTCTCACCTCACCGCGTATGCCCGCTCTAGTTGCTCCAACCGCTCCCTCCCCGGTCCTGAACGCCCGAGTTTCCCACCCCTAGATTCAGCTGCGGCTCCCTCTCGACCAGTTCGACTTTCTGCCGATTGATCTCAGACGTGCGCGCTCGCGCTCGAGATGCGCTCGACGTTCTTGACGTGCTCGAGCTCGCGTGCGCTGCTGAGGGCACGTCTGGTGTGGGCGGAGCTCGTGCTTGAGACACGTGGCGGCCTGAGATTGGGCACTGAGGTCGGCGGTGGTCCTGATGAACTTGGGGGACAAGGTCGCGGCTTTCTGGCCGTCGATCTGCGCGGGAAGAGAAGGAAGTTGGGAGGAACGAATCCTGGCGGTTGGATGGTCAATGGTACCGTGAGCGGATTGGTAGAGTCATTTCGAGCCTTGCCCACAAATGAGCCTCTTCATACTGTGTGAAACCCTGCCAATTTGTTCGACCCGATTGGTCCAAACAACCGACCTGGAATATCAGAAGCCATACAATGGCGATCGAAAGATTCGTCGCTGTCCCCTGCCAATACTGGTCAGTGCCTTCCGTGCGAAAAGCAACTAAAGCGTTCCTTCCGTTTGCGCACCTGTGGGAGCGCGCGAGCGGATTTTTCCTCGTGCAGCTTCGCAGCCTCCGTCCTCCCGTGCTCAAACCTCGCGCATCTCTGCGCGCAGTTGGTTGAAGTCGGCCGCGCTCGGCCGCGGCCGCCTGGTAACCGCCCTCGCGGCCGGCTTGTCGCTGCTCGCGCGCCACTTTCGGACCTGCGAAGCGACGTAAGAGGAGCGGTTGCAAAATACCTTCCGTTTTCATTGCAGGCGCTCGAATACGCAGAGCGTCGGGAGAGCGGGTGACGACTATTCCTGAGCTCATTCCCCGCACTCAGCAACCGCTGAAAGTATCCAAAAGGAGAGGGGTTGGCTTTCGGGCGATTTATAAGCTCTGGCTCATGAGCTTCGCCCGTCTACTAAGCCCAGTCGACAAGCTTCGAAAACAAAGAAGTGGTTCTAGACGGTACAGCTACGTAAATAGCTGGTCGGTTGGACGTCACCAAGGCACCGAATGGACTCGTTTCACTCGTGATTTTGCCCCACTACTATCCAGCGAGGCATTGCCAACGCTGCGGCCGTACAATTAGCTAAGATGACTTAGCTTCACGCATCGAGGCACTGAAGACATATATGCACCATTCACGAAAGCGGCGTTAGGTTCCAAGAAGAACCGGCGGTGGTTGCCTGCAGATATTGTGTAGGTTCTTTCATCAATGAAATGGTCTTCCGTTTCCGCTCCAAGGTTGCTCCGTTGCTACTCACCTCTGCCTCCAGCTCGCCCACTCTAGTCCGGAATCCGGTTTCAGTTCCGCTGGTGCAGCTCGAAAAGCGGCGGCCGCAGTCGCGGCTCGAAGGCGCTTGGCTCTCCCCATACGCCACTTGGAGCTGCTTCGCAAGGGCGGCGACCTGGACAGCAGGGGTTAACGGACAGGTTAAGGAATGTTTATAACGGGTCCAAAAGAGGTTTATAACCTTTTCATGAAGGGCCTTCTTCCGGATTCAAGGAAAGACTGATTTAAAATCACTCGTCCCAGAGGCGTGCTCCATGGGACGAACGATACTCGAATGACGTTGGAATGATAGGGCGGTGCAAAATGAAAATTGACTCTTAGACCTTAACAGAAGCGACGAGAGCGCTCAGTCAGAACTTGCTTCAAAGCAGGACTCATGATGAACACGCTGGTGAAAGTAATCTCCAGCGACTTTGACAAACCCAGGCCGCAAGCATCACAGGATAGCACGTTTTGGCGTTGACTGACAAGCTTACGGCAAGACAGGACACCTTATTCGGAGATTCGGAATCTTAATTTCAAGGGACCTGACCAACTTGCAAGATCGAGACGTTTCATTGAAGCAGACTCCATCTTGATTAAGAACTGCTGCTTGCACAGACAACTGAGACAGGGCGACCAAGTTGAAACAAGGACAAAGCGAGTGCCGGAGTCAAAAGATCGGGAAAGGAGGCAGCCAGCGGCCCGCAAGGATCACTACAACGAAAAGTCGGGGGACGTGGAAACGACCTTACCTGCGGCACGGGGAGCCCCTTCGCGTTGCCAACCAGCTGCTGTCTGACGTCACCCTACGTTGCTACCCAGCTGCTGTCTGACGTTGCGGTACGTGCTGACCGTCTGCAGGTTGACGTCACCTCGTCGGGCCCCCGCGGTGTCGCGGCCGCCTCTCTCCCCGTCCCGCCTTGCCGCACGTGCGCCACCTCAGCGCGCGCTTCGTGCAGCTCTTTCTCCGTGCGCGCGCGCGCGCGCGCTCGCCCACGCTTTCCTCGGCCCGCGTTTCTTGCTTCCTTCTCGAACGCCTCCGTTGTAGGGGCCGGGGCGTAGGCGTTCGGACGACAACGGAACGATGCGCGCGCGGGCGGCTTCCTACAACGAGGCAGGACATGCGTCAGCGCCACGTTTGGAACGAGCAAGGAGCCAAAAAGGGAGAAAGGGAGCCGGTTCGCGGAGAATGAGAGCCAGCGTCTGCTTCACCTTCTAAACTGCTCTAGATGCGAGGAGGGAATGGGGAAATGATTACAATCGAGCGAGGTCAACAACGAGAGGCGTCTTCGATATGCATCGAACGGATTTCCTACCAGAAGATCAGCCGCATGAGATCAATCTCCAGTAAGGGACCACGCGCCAAATTCTTCCATGTGTTGGACGGACCTTCCCTCCTCACACAACGCGTCAATCAAACAAAGGTCACTACGGACGGCTCTTTGACCAGAAGCCTTCCCTCGAGGCAATCGACAAACGACTCAAACGAAGAGTTTCAGTCAAACAGCAAAGATATCGGACATGCATAACCTTCTCCTCCTGGACTTTCGCTGGTTGACGTTAATGCCAGATGTCAAACGGAGGGTTTTGTCCTGGGTACGGTTAAACCCCTCTTTACCCACCTGGGTTGGACGTCCGTAAGGAGAGCTTGCCCCTGCCAGCCCGTACCACCGGGTAACCGGATGCCTTGTGCGGGAGTGTCACCGAGCTTGCTGACGTCACTCCTCACGTCAGCAGCGCGGCCTCGCAGGAACTCCTTCCGATTTGGGGGCCGCAGGAGTAGAGGCGGCCGCGCGATTCGGGGTGGGTCCGTTCTGCACGACGGATGGAAGGAGGGGTTTCGCATTTGTTCTGAAGAGGGCGTCAGGTCGCCACGAACTGCACCGACACAACAGTGAGCCAGGTCTCCTTTGCCATCGCCGCAGATATAATCCGCTGACGTAGTTTGTCGGCGACGGCAGGCTTGAATATTCGCATGTGATGTTGCCTTCTGACGTCAGGCGTTACGGCCGGGGTCACAGGACGCCCACTTGACGAGCAGCGACTTGCAGTCGCGGATCGGGAATTTCAAAGTGGCTTGCAAGAGGATCGAGGTGCCTTTCCGGATCGAACGAGTGATCGTTCTCTGAGCGAGAGGGATCTCAGAGAGGGCGGATTCAGTTTCTTGAGAGCCAACGCAGCGTTATAGAAAACAAGCTCCTTGACCAACAAGGAGTCCAAATTGCGTGAATCAGCAGTCGACCGACTGTCCGACTTGCGATTGTAGATTATTTTTCATGTAATTGATTCAGGCCGAATTCTGCATTCCATTTGTAAGAGCGCAAGCTACCTACCTGTGGCTGGTCGAAGGGCTGTCCTCGGCCAAACCAAGCGTCAAGCTGGCAAGATGGCCGGATGAGGGGGCTACCCGAGGAAACGGGCACGCCACGGCCAAGGATGAATGGATTCGAAGAAGAGAGCCTTGATATGAGCGCGACCGGACCTGCAAGAATTTGAAGGTCGCCGGTTAGCAAAACGCATCCTAGAGGATCTTTCATCCTCTAGCGGATCATCCACACGTGGAAGGCGTTTTGTGTTAGATGGCTATGAAAAGAGTGACGCAAGCTGGCTAGCCTAATCACTTGGGCTCTAAAGCCAAAGATTGATTTAGACCGGTAACGCATTATGGCTTTCCTAGGCGAGAATGGAAGCGGGTGCCTGTACTGCATGGCAACAGCAGAAAGGAACAAAACGACACGAAAACGGGGTGGTGCAAGGCACACCAAGCAGTTGAAGCCGAGCAATAGGGGGCAAGATAATTTCCCCCTGGCTGTCTGCGCGCAAGACACACTAAGCTGGGGGGCACAACCGACACGTTTCCTTGCCTCAGCGCCCCAGCAAAGGTGCAGACTACCATGCGGCGCGCATGATGGGGTGCGCCGCATCGCAGCTTGCTCATCAACCTCTCATCACCCTCCCATCACCCTCCCACCCCCCCCCTCTCATCACCCTTGCTGAGAGGGAGCTGAGGACGAGGAATGTGTGCAGGGGGTGAGAAAACGACTTCCTTGCGTCCAGTGACTTCATGAAAGGTCGTACCTGCCGACGGCCCCTTGACCAGGGCACCACTCCGCCGCCCGTCAGCTGCCGCCGTCTGCCGACCTTCCCGTTTTTGAATCCTTATCCGCATCCCCGCCGGCCCGTCGAATGGGCCTTCCCGGATCTGCTGATGCGCCTGCATCATCACAGAGCCAGACGACCATAATCTCGTCGACACTTCGAATTCCAAATATGTGAATTTCTGCCAATGGCAAAAATTCCACAATGGTACTTGTCCGTACAAGACGGCCGTTTTTCCATTTGAACGATTTGCGCAACAAAGACTTTCTTTTAGGCCGGAAATTTGAAAAGGTGTCATTGAACATCGAAGCTCAAAATGGCATGATGGGGTGGCCCTTCACGTCAAAGCATTCAAGGCTTGGGCATCCCGTAAGAGCACGAAGGTGCTTCTCTGATTGACGTACCGGCCTTAGTCGTCGGCTTTCTCGTTCTCTTTGTACTTGACGACGTCTTGGTTGATTTAGCGATTGTGCGTTGAGCTGGCTTAGACGCTGATCTAACCGCAGTTGGTGGCTTCGGAGTAGGGGCGCTGGGGAAAATGGTTGCAAAAGATCAGCCAAGCTTGACATTGGTCTAGCACCAAGTAGTTGCAATGAACAGCCTGAGGTGGTTGGACAATTGGGCGTGGGTCCCGGTTGGAGGCCCTTGTGGCAGAAGACTTTCAGCTCAAACAACCGCCCTGGCTGTCATGGGTCGGTGGCCGCTTTCAGGCAGACCATCGAATGTCGTCGATTGGTGTTTCAAGTGTAAGATCTTCGAGTAACAGATAACCTAATTACAGAACGATGAAAGGTGCGTCAACATCTTCAGGAAGCATCTTCAAGAAGCATCGCCCCGGATCTTGCTTCTCTAGCACGATATTGTTGACAAGAGGTTTGCAGATCTTTACCTTAAAATGGTTTTAGGTTTTAGCGAGGGACTTTGAACGTTTTCAGTCCTGGGCGCTATTCCACAATGGACAAGCCCTCATTCTCTTCTCCTCACCCTATTTCTCAATTGCAACCCCATTGTTAACCTGGCAAACACCCGCTTAACAGAGATTTTCACCAACTCTCACCCTTCATAGAATGGCATGCAGCTTCCAAATGCAGACAAAAAAATGGTCGACGTACTGTTTTGGGCACTCCCGATGGAGGATGCTGAGCGCCTGCAGCGACCTCAAGGCACTGCCCGCCGACCCATAGAAGTGGTGGTGGTTGCCCGAGTGGACGACTTCAACATGAGAGTGGGTGGTGGCTGCATTGTAGTTTTTGTTGTCCATGAAAAGATCCGTGACCACCAGGAATACGTGCTCTAGTGGGAGCGGCCACCTTGTCGTATTTGTCACGACCTTCTCGTACTCAATGGCCACTTCGCCGGCTTTCATCCTCTTCCTTCCAAGGTACTTCGAGCTTTTGCTTTGTAGATAGAGGATAAAAGGGCGTCCGGCGGTTGTCTCAAGCAAAACCCACCCGTCAGGTCCATGTTCCTGACCAGCCCCACGGAACGCCCACACACCCCCTCGGGGGAGATCCTTTATCCACCTGCCAAAACTTGAGACTCTCAATTCCGAGAAGCATTTGTGAAAAGAGAGAGAGAGACTAGCTGTACGACTCCTATTAATAATTTTGTCGCTAGTGCCCGCCTGGAAGACTCTGAAATAGGACGTGCATCATTCTTGATTCAGAACCTGTTTCATTTTTTGCGGACCGAAGAGGACCAGTCTGAAATCAGATGTCAGGAAAGGCAAGGGGCCAGATGATCAAGCAAGACGTCTTTCAGGACTAGCAAGCTGAACTTGGTGAGTGACAGGCAAAGATGTGAGAGTCAAGTACCTGACAGGCACCGTAAACGTCTGAACATGTAATCACGCCCGACAGTGAGGGTTGCTAAAAGGAGCGGAGTGTCGGGCATGAGACTCATAGAAGCTCGCATATTTTGTCCAAATCTCAGTGAGCAACGCCGACTTGGGGACAAGAGACAAACGCGGACTTTTCGTGAGTCCTTAATCCAAGTGACTGAAAGGACAGATGCTTGACTAAACTAGCTTGTGCAAGGAAATCAGTTTCCCAATGGTGGAAGTTGGGAGTATTGAAAACGATGATCCGCTTCGAATCTCCCTAGCGCCCCCTACTTTTCAAATATAGACCTACCTTTTGAGTCAAGAACCTGTCACACTAGATAAACTAGCAACTACCACAATCGGCAGTGACAGTCTCAAGCTGTGATGATGATCACTCAAAAGACGATGTTACTTTCTTGAAGATCTTGAAAAACAGTGAAAGTCATTATCCGTCGGAAGCTCGAGCGGTCGACCTCCCGCATAATGACTATGTCAAGTTCTTGATCTTCGGTTGATCAAGTTCTGCTGGAGTGGGTTGGCTCGAGCAGGACGTGCAATCCTTTGTCACCTATAGCAATCTCTTCGACTTTGACCACTACAAGCATTGCACCAAAATCTTACATTGGAGGCAGAACAGTCTTACGCACCCACGTTAAAAGTACTCACTTGTCAAAATCTCCAGGCACAACGTGCTGCCGTAAGGGGCGAACCCGAAACCCTTTAGATGGTACCACCAACTCGAGGTCTTTCAACGGAGATGACCGGCTGAGAGGCCCGATCAGCTGGTCGAGGGTACAAACCGAGTCCCCCAAATACTTCAAGCATCGGAGTCTCTCCACCACCATCCCAACGTCCCCTTCTTCCTTATCTTGGAAGTCCGGCTGCCACTGACTAGTGTAGACTTTGCTCGACAAGAGCCCGCTTGTCTCCTGCAACAAAGTGCTTGAAGAGACTCAATCTTTCGTACCTCAAATTTAGTATTGGCAGTTGGGCCGCTTGTCTCGCCTCAAAGCCATAAAGGAGCCGACTACCCGCGATTCAACTCAGATATTCTCCTGATCATTTATTCCGCAAACTTGTGTTCATGTCGTTTGAGAGGGTACTCCCAAGCAGGCTGACAATTGACGCTCTCAATGAAGAGAACCTTGGTGAAAACTAACCAATCTGAGTACGCAAGGTCTTTCAATGGTCCATTTCAGCTTTAGTGCAGCGCTCTTGAAACCCACTTGACACTGCTTATACATCAACTGCAACATACATTTGACAGCTAACTAATATTGTTCGATTAGCATTGTTATGTTCCCGGTCAAGGTCCTCTAAAGCTGTCTGAATTAACCTTGGGCCTTTTAGTAAGTACGAGACTTTTCCAAACGAATTAACCTTGGGCCTTTTAGTTAGTACGAGACTTTTCCAAACGAGAGACAGAGCAATTGAACCGTTTCTTTGAAAACTGACCAAGCAGTCAGAATTCTGGAATGTCCAGAACCTGAAGGACGCGGTGTATCATTGTACCCGCCTGATTATGGGCCCGGTCCTCTCATCAGTCCGATCCTCCCAAATGAAGCAGAATTGCATAGCTCTGATGGCGTTGTCTTCGCATCCCAGTTCGGCATATTGCTATGAATGAACACAACTCGACGCACGAGTGTAAACCAGCCTTCACAGAATTCCTTCAACTGAACCCGTGTCTCCCGTCCAACATCTCCCATTTTGTCTGACCTTATTATTTTTACATGTCGTAGAAAACACAACCAGCAATACTTCAAGACCTCCAGCAACCGCCAAATACAGATCCGTCCACAACTTGTTTCTTCGAGATCTTACCTGGAGAGCATGTATTACGATAGGCGCGACACGCACGACAACCTGGTATACGTAGGGGTCTACTTGCGCAATGCTCATGCTGGCCGACGGTTTCCCAGTGCGCGCCAACCCCGCATCCAGGAGGGTAATCATGCCCGTCATTTCCAAGTGCTCCCAAGTGACTTCGTCAAGCATTTCTCCAGGTAAGGGGTCCCGCCGGGAAACAGCGCGGTCAAGGACACTATGCGCGTGCACAAGTTGGAGGAGATCCCCTGCTCGACGCTTGACATCAACCCACCCCTCAGCTTTATCCGTTACTCTTTGCCTCTTCCGATTTGTCCCCAACAGCCGGTGCCCCCCTCCAGTTGTCTGATCGCGCAACTGAGCCCACGGATTGGGATCCTCGAGAAACTTCGAAAAGCCCATCTTTGCATAATCGCGCACGAAACCCACAACGTCAGCGAGCGCTTCGCCCCTCGACTTCCAATACTCGATCAGTCCGTCCCCTGCAAGAGCAAAGGGAGATGCTGAACCCACGGGGCACCCAAAAATCGGGCGAAATTGGAGATGGAGGTAGTTTCGAACGTCTTGCCGGGCACTTTTCAGTGAAATGCAGAACCTTCCCAATTGGAGTTAGAGGAGAACTGAAGAAGTCTGAAGGACGATCAGCGCATTTGTGTTGCTGCGGATACAAGCGGTGCATCACCGTCCAGCAAGTCGCCTATCATAAACAGCCCCAAACCAAAGGTAAGACGCTCAATGAGAAAGGGTTTGCAGAGCAGAATCCGTTCAACTCGGGCCATCAGGTCCGCAAACATTTTCAAGCATAGGGCATCTTCTTTCGACTGCGGAACTTTCTACAGATTTAGACAGGTAATCAGAATCGGCCCACTATTGTGAAAGTTTCAACGCATTGACGTTTCGTACCTATTACCACCTCTTCTGATGCTCCCCCACTCATGCAAACAAGCGCCTTCTCCACAAGACGATGGTTGCCTTCTACCAGGTTTAAGATGAGCTGTACATGGATTGGGGGGTCGCCCGCAACAAAACCCCCGAGCCGTTGAACAAAGTCTTTGACGATGAAGACAACATCGCCCTGCAAAGAACAGTTGTAACAAACATTTGCAAGAGGTAAACAAGAAACGAGGCAGCGCAGATAAAGTTGACTTTCGTGATAATCAGCTTCTAGGCGTTCGAATTCGAGAAGAGCTTCTTGGGTGGGGGTAACAAAGACATCACCAACCCAGGCTGAAGTGGGACAAGATCCCCTTAAATGAGGTTTCATAAACGGGTATCTCACTGGGTCATAAATCCGTTTGCCGCAACACCCCAGAATAAACCAAAACCTTCAAAGGTGTCGACCTGCTTGACAAGCATTTTGTGATGTTACTTGTGATATCATTCATTCCTAAAGTCTTAGTCTTGCACCGTCTCATGAGTATACTTGTGGACACATGCGCTGCAGACCCCATAAGAGATGCCCCATGATTCCACCTGCATTTGGGGGTTCTATCAACCAGAACTTGGCAAAGATCACTTGCTGCCTCCCTGAACATTGACGCGATGGAAAGGTAATGCTTGTACCTGATTCAGCAAGGTGAAGGGCAGGGGTTTTGACTTGGCTCTGCCGGAAGAAGTGGCCTGCATGTCGGCCACCTCAACCCTGCACATTATCAAACGCAAACGACTAAGCGCTCGGATCTATCAAGTCGGTTTCTTGGTGGGGCGACCCCTTCTATAAAGGGACCCATCACCATGTCGGACGCAAGACATAGCAGCCAAAGACGGAACCTCATTCTAGTGTGTTGATCAGATCCGTAGATTTTGAGATAATCAACTCTGATTTCTCCAATTTTGACAAATCCAAAGACAGAGGAAAGACATCTCACAATTCCGTTCATTGAGACCACGTGCTATGAGAAGCAACTAACAAGAAGCGTCTTTTGAATAGGACAGGAAGCATGCTCACAATTCCCCGTGATGCAAGCCTCATTCCTACTGCCTTTGAGATATCGTCTGCAACAATACCTTCTAAAGAATCCGCAAGGAGACAGAAGTTCAAAAACCTCTGGTTTTGGCCTTCAAAAGAAAGCATCGTCACAATGCTGTCTTCATAGCCCCTCGGTTTTTTTGTCATTCTTGAAACTGTAAGATCCTCCTTTTGCAAGAGCGCATACCGTGTGGATGCAAGTACCATCGCCACAAAGTATGGATCGGGTGCTCCAGGCAGTCGGCTGCGACCTGGCAGGAGCACCTCCTCCAAATATGCCGACATAAGCGGTTGTACAAATCCCTCTGCAGCACTTGCTTCGTCCCACGAGAACAGCGCCAGCCCAGCCGTCCGAGGTTCAAGGCCAGCACACCGCCAAACGAACCGCAACACGTGATCGGGAAGAAGACGCTTGAAGAAGTCCTTGTCCAGTCTGTAGCAGGCCTCAACAAAGCGATAGTAGTAGGGCCATTCGCCTGATCCTGTGTGCGACGAGAAAGTTGAAACTTGTGAATTCCGCTTTCAATAGAAACCTGGAAATCATGAATGTTTGCAATAGCTGAAACGGGTTGTCGTTGCGCTGTAACATGTAACACCTTCGGATCTGGCTTTCGAAGTATTAAGATCCGTCCAAAATCCGGGAAAACCCTATTACCAGACAGGCGCGCAGCATATTCCTGGTTGCAAGCCCTTTGAGGTCAAATGAGTCCTGATATCAGGTCAAAGAAGATGTGAACCAGGATATGCAATGATTCACAGGGGTAGGCCCAAGACTCCCCTCTGAAACCTTTGCGGAACGCCTATGTCCAGAAGGTGCACAAAACGAGGGAGATCAGACTCGGAAAGCATTGCACTTTTTGAAAAAGCTATCAATCTCATTGGTAGAAAGTTGCAATCGGACTACCAACGCCATATATGTGCAATCTGACAACAACCCAAAATTAGTACAATTGAGATCCGAGTAACTCTTTCTGCACCAAGATAGGCATTGGTTGAAAGCCTTGCCTTGAGATTCGTCATTCTCTAGCTCTTGGATCATCAAGACATTCATGATAAGCGCCAATGCAGTTCAAAGTTCGGTTGTAGACAAGGACAAAAGGACCATTCTACTGTAACCTTGCCTCCGTTAATCTAACTGGTGGCAGTAACCGGACCCCTAGATGCAGCAACGATTTGACTGGTGCACGGAGAAAACGTAACATGCCCTTACCTTCAAGCGTGGCATAGAGCATTCTGGAAGCCAACTTCGTCCGGGAGTTTGGGCATAGATGATTCTCCAGCGTGTCTGGCCCATCCTTGCTAAAGTCGTGACGAAACAGCAGCCGCTTCTCATAGTAAACTCGCAGCCGCTCGGCAAATGCAGGGGCAACCGACGAGAAATGCCTCTCCTCGAGCCACGTCGGGTGCTCCATCAGGAAAGTGGTCTTTCCCAAACCAGGAGTAGCTACAGCATACTGGAAAAGAAAGCGCCTGCAAAAGAGCGTATAGCTTGCATAAGGGGAACCCCGGAAAGGAAGGTTGGACAGTGAGCCCATTTGCAATGAAACACGCAGTAAAATGTAATTAACGGTGTTGTGAGACCACGAGACATCCCGCATACCTGCCCCACAATCTTAGACAGTCCCTTTCTTCCCACAAAGATGGGTTCGCCATTTGCATGTGGCAGACCAGATTGATCAAAGAGATCGCTGGTATTGTATCTACATCTCCTACGTGAGCTGCCAGGTGAGTCTTGGAAAAACTTGTGTATTTTCTCATCTTCAGGGCTTGCGCAGTATCATGGATTAGCCTATTCGGGGAAAACGGTTGAGACGTGGATTAGCAGAAGAACGAGCAACACAAAAGCCATAAATTCTGCAAGCAAGAACCTAAGACGCTATTGATGTTCGCCTCAGGTTGTAGTTAGCAGGGATAGCGGTTGATCCCTTCTGTCTAACACTCAAATCACGGAAATAATGAGAAACATAATCAACGCAAGAGCATATTTTCTGGCACATTATACCTCTCAGGCACTAGACACCACCGTCAGAAACCCTGTCCGAACAAGCATCGCTTCCACTTATTCTTGGCCAACTTCGGCACTGCCGGCAGATCGTTCCATCAAACGTGGCGTTTTATAGTCAAACAACGTCAACAAGATAAGGACTGTGAACAAATTGTTTGATGACCAGATTGGGAAAGTAGGTCCCGAAATGAAGCTTACCGCCGGAGCTGATCGCGATCGAGAGGGTCGGCTTGGCCCCGTTGATAGGTTTTGAAGATGCTTTCAAGGTTCTGGACGAGGGCATCAACCGTCTCCTCACGACCCCGGATAGCCAACCAGTTCCCGGGGTCCTCCAGCACCCGCCCATCACCAAGCGGGGTGATCGGACCTTTTCGCCGCACACTGTACTTGGATAGGTTCGCTGTGCGAAAGTGGGGGCCGAAGAACTGGTGCAGTCGCTCGTCCCACTCATCGTCAGAAAGCTGCAAGGCTGCAAAAGGTACAAGAAGTTGGTAAAATGAAGTTGCTTTCACTTGAGAAGCCATCACCATAAAGCGTCTCCTCCAACAACTATCAAAATCGCAACGAACGCCTTGTCGATGACGGAGCTTCAAAGAAACTGAGAGCAGACCTTTTGTTTTCCTCAACAAGCCAAACTGCCAACTGCAAGAGTCTCATCCTTACATACAAAAAGTACTCCAACGTTCTTGAATGGGCCGCAGTCAACTTTTTCGATTCCCTTCCAGGCAACCAAACGTATCCTTAGCGTCTCCTCAGAAATGCGCAGCTGGCCAGGGTTTGGAAGAGTTTTGAAGGTCGGTCCACGAATAGGCAACGAGAATATTTGACAAAGCAGACTGAGGGGTAACACACACACAAGGAACGCAGTACTTGCGCACAGAATATCTTCGGTATTAGCTGTCAATGCCCCTCCGGTTCCGGCCTCTCTGTGCCCTTCCTTTTCTTGTTCTTTTCGACCGGTTACACCGAAGCATTTTACGCGAGCCTGAAAAGTTGCGAAAAATGATTCCAAAAACACCGGCAATTCACAGGACCCAGACTAATTGCCAAATAAGAGGTGCATAAGCAGAGCCGGTACACCGCAACTATGCTTTGCCACTGTGCTCCGTTTGACCTGACTACTGCCAGGTTTCGAATGCCAGGCCCTTATCTAACAAGCCTGCAACCTGACATTAGTCCAGTCCTCTCTCAAGTTCAGCATTGAGAACCACCCAGCTATCAAATCTGCCCTGGAAAATGAGAGTATTTTACCTGACAGAGGGACAGGTGTTGATGAGGGAGTCTTGTTGACAGGCAAAGCAGAAAACTCAGTTTTCTCAGATTCCTCAGGTTGCTCGGTTGCAGGTGAAGATTCCTGCAGTAGTTTCGACACGCGTTCATTGCCACTTCCCTGTCTTTCCCCAACGCACAACGTTCTACACATGTAGCGAGCTGAACGAGGGCCAAAACATCAGGGAGTTGTGCAAAAACATCTACATACTTTCTACAGTGTGTGGTGAGGCTGCCTAAAAACGACTTTCGGCACTGCACCTCAAGTTATCACTGGCACCATGGGCCCTGTGACAACAGTACTCCTCAAAAGAAGGGGTTGCGAGGCACAACAGGACAAAGCCCTTACAATCCGTGCTTGATTGTCAACAACAAAACACAGGCTGCTCAGCAAGCTTTTTGATATCATCGACACGACTTGGCAACTAGGCACTCTCCTACACTCTTCTCCAGAAACTCTGTCTTGAGACCCCCAGAAAGTATTGTCTAAGTCGCAAGTCAAGGCAGCTTCCCTGAGATGATCATGTGCTGCTGGAAGATCACAAAATCTCATCGACCGAAATAGCAACAGCCCCACCTCATAGTCGGAAGCATTGTGGCCCTTGTTCACCTGGTTGGCAAGTTTCTTCATGGGGTCAGTCTGCATGCGCAACCAACTTAGAGGGTATCAGCTTGCTTGACTTATCCAATAAGCCGTGATTTCCGCGACAAGCTCCCCTAGACCCTCTGCAACCCCTTGTGAGGCAGAGCCTTGCCAGGTGGAGGAGAAACGTCCAATGAAGCTGAGTGTTAATGTTACAAGCATCCACTATTCCTGCACTCCATGCCATCTAAAGGAGGGCATCCTGTCAAGATTATTCTACAGCTTCATTGTGACATGTGCTGCTCGGATAGATCTCCTTACGTGTGCCTGGCCACCATTTCCCAGATTGCCCCCACTGCTCCGTTCACCAAGCGGGAAGGCCTCCTGCATCGAAAGGAGATCAGAGGACTTTAATCAAAGACCGAAATCCTTCACTTTGCTATTCAGAGATGGATGATGCCCTGTTCTAGGTAGACATGGGCAGAAAATCTGCTAGAAAGACCTTTCCCCTCTTTCATAATTGCGGTCCCTTCCTTTTAAACTTGAGGCATGACAAGATCCACTAGAGGTAACAATTTGTCAGAGTAACTTCTCTGCTCTAGCAGACCTGTCAGATCTACCACAAACTCTGACAACCAATGACCACTATTAATAGAATAGAGAACTGACAAGCGGTGATCATTGTATGTTTGGTTGCATCCAATTGCATGGGCATAAGGCACTGACGTCTCCAAAAGGAAGCAAAAAAGTTCCGGCCTAACTAGCTTCTACTTCGATTGTTCCTTTTCTCCCTCTTGCTCATGGCTTTTCAATGACACAGGTGGTTACTTAGTGGACAGAAAACTTACGCTGTGATCGGGGAGCACCCTCAATCCGCCTGCGCTCGTTCTGCCTCCGCTGAACATGGAGACCCCCACTAGCGATGTCACAGTTGTCAGCCCTAGCAGGAAAATAAGGAGCGGCGCTCCGCTCCCTTCCTTGCATCGCATCTTTCCTCTCCGGTCGTTCACAGATGCGGCCGATGCAGCAGAAGACTTCTTGCATACGCGAGCGCAAGAACCTCCTTGACCGCTGCTACATGTAACCCCGGACGCACCGTTCTGAGGAAGTTCTGAGGAGAAGGGGGAGAACTGAGAAGCAGGCTCCCAAGAGACTGAGTCTGCACCGAACTTGGAACATTGGGCTGTATGCATTCCTGCTCTCATGCTGTCAGCCTTCGGCAGGGCGTCCCTGTCCACGGTTGCAGGCTTGAGACCTGGCACACCTATGTGAGGGCCACGCAAGCTAGGGGCCAACACAGCTGCTTCTCTATGTTGAACAGGTAATGGGGGTGATTGATGTGAGACTGGCGACTTGCTCGGACGCAGATTCCTTGTCCCTGCGAGAGCAGAGAAGGGGGGAGCCGTCGAAAATACTGTGCTCGACTTCATATTTTACCAATGCCGTGGTGGAAGCCGCAAGCTCGCAGCCTACTGGTCCTTCAGACCTTCTTCACAGAATACCGGTGACCTCAGAAGCCCAGAGCTTAGCTAAACAAGCTGGCGAGTCAACATCTACAAGGCGAATGTTTCTACACTTGTATAGTAATATCGTTCTGCTGCTGAGTTGCTGAACAGTGAAAGAAACCAGCTGATGTGAACAGTGAAAGCTGGTATCCTGTTTTTGAGCTAGGCAAGTCTGAGTACCGGTAGGTACCGACAAAGCGGCCGTCTCTTCGCGCCTCCAAGCTCCGGTTACTGCAGCATGGATACGCCTGGCCGGCGTACAACAAGTTAAGCCAGTTATGTACGGTTAGTTACATTGTTCGAGTTACCCTGCATTCACAACTAGCACGTACATAGCAGTTCTGCTTTAACCTTTGGGTTATGTCAGTCAGGATACCCCCGTGAATCGATCGATCGATCGATCATGCAATCAATGAAGTCACCAGCCCGTCAATTCTGGAAGAACCGCCACTCAAATCGTTACCAATCCGAATATGTACTGACAACGGTGCATCAGGCGGGGCGGCGCCGTGGGCAATCAAGATCGGACGGGTCGGACTCGTGCCGGTGACGTTTCCCGGCTCCGGCACCGTCGATGACCTTTTGTGCGCGTGTCCAAGTTGGTTACTCGGCTCGGTTGCATGTAATAAGAAGATATTTTCAAATTGAGTAAGCCAAACTGATTATCTGATTATAAGATACTACCAGAGAGGGTAAGCTCATATTAGCTTTCAGTGACTAATGTCACTAGAAATCTAAAAATCGGGGTTACCTTCGCGCTTCCTTCGCGTCTGCGGCCGGGCTGTTGTCAGTATTGGGACTACCTACTCTATTACCAAGAGCGTACCCGCTCTTCTCATGAAAATAAACTTGAATACCTATAAGGCATTGTGACCTATAAGGTACTGTTTCCTGTAAGAGGACTGTACACTTGGATGGTGGGCGGAGGTTGCGCGGTCGTACCCAGCGCTGCGCGGTGCGTACCCGAGAAGCAACCGGGCCTGCCCTGGGACATTAGGGTCTCGCAAGCAACCGGGTGACAAGCAGGCACTTCCCAGTGACATTAGGGTCGGTCGGTCACATTACCCTAGGTTTTTAGTGTTGCCCGGGGCCTAACGTGTACAAAATTCCTCTACGGCTGAAGAGTTTCCTTATAAGGAACAGTACCTTATAGGTATTAAACTTTATGGTTATCTCTTCTCCTCTTCCATGTGCAGAACCTGTGCAGAATTGAACGTCGCTCCAGCGGCTCGTACGGCCGGAGTCGTTGTAGCACCTAGTAGCCAATGTGAAGTAGGAGTACCACGGGGTAGACATGAATGCGAGCCGGATTCGCGCGGCTTGCATCAGTAACCATACACCACCTGAAGCCCCCTGACTCGTTCCAGTGGCCCGTGGAGCTAGGCCCGCCAGATTGCATGGGGCCACTGGGGCGCAACATTGAACAACCTACCTGGGTGGTAGCTTGTACCAAAGCCTTCCTCCTTCAATGCCCTTGGACTCATGCCGTGGGCCGCCACAGCTAGAACTTTAGGAGGAGAGGAGGAGGAGAGGCAAGCTAGATTTCAATGAGTTTTGTTTCCGTAAGGAGTATTGTACGTGGCACTCCCGTGGCACTGTGGGGCACTGTCTAGTAGCTTCTTGCTCACTGCACCCGAAATCATGACAGTGCACAGTTCCGCCTAGTCTTGGATTGAACATCTTTCCACCTTAGCAGTAACCAGGCAATTATGTGCGCCACAATGGTTGGCTGCTCCCATGATGGCCAGGCTGCCCACTCGTTTCCCCGCCGGCAGCGAAAGTCCCCTCGCCAATTCATCACTCGGAGACATTAAGGTCACTATGCTCCAACCTAGTGACCGTCCCTGCGGGACATATCTTAGCACAACGAGACAGCCCAGTGCAAGGGCGTCGGTGGGTGGGGTGTTCTACGATTGCTTGTGTACGTTACCTAAACCTTTCGGTGCATTCAATTGAGCGGGACGAGATAGAAAATATGCGCTTCAACATACCATGTTTCCGAAGTTCACAAGCCATGGTTAAAGGTCGACTAAGTTGCTGAAATATGGAACAAGGATCTGCTTCGATTTCTACCTAAATGGATCATAGCAAGATAAACATTCGAATCGTCAAGTTGTCCGGTCTCATCAATTTTCTGTAAGCCTTTAGTGTCCTCAAGCCATGCACACAGCCGCCTGCACAATCATGTGTGGCGCTCCTACTAGTAGGTAGTCAAGCTTCTAGGCCCGCTGATGCGGTTACGGGCGGTCTTACACACAGGCTGGCAGGACCGTAGCGGAACGCAGTAACCACTCAACTTTATGCATGCCTAGTCAAGGCTATATTGCAAGCAATAAATACTGATTTCGAAAACCCAAGGTGAAACATCTTCAGATCGCAAGACCACCGAAGTCTCCTCCAAGACTGGACCCCAACAAACGCTTCTTCAACTCCAGATTCAACCCTCCCATTGAGCTAGCTCACCCCTCTCCTGCAAAGCAAATGACGAAACAAGGTCACCGTAAGCTTCGCTAAGTATAGCCAACGGACTGACAAACCTTTGGCAGGGTAGCAAGTTTGCACAACAAGCAGACAAGTCAACGTTGTGTTTTTCTCTCACCGACTATTGTAACAACTCAGTCACGACTCGTTCAGACCACCAGAGCTCTCAAAGGTATGATCTCGAATAGATGCCCATATTACAATGACGCTTCGTCTAGGGATCAGAGCCTGGTCGTCTTAAGAGGGCCTTGTTCAAAGGACAGTTTGCATTCAAATGAGCGAAGTCATGACCTTTCTAAATCATGATCTGAACTTTCGTATCACCAGCCCGCCGCCCAGTTCCGACTAAGACCGACAGTCATGACCAGATTGTCCAAAGATTGGACGTGCGTGTGATCCCGCAACTCACCATCTCGAGTTCCGCTGTGAACAACTCCATGAGCTGATCGGCCCGGGCAACGATTGCAGGGAAGGAGTCCTTGCAGAACGTGTGTGCGTTTTGCCGTATCAACTCCATGTCATCCCGCAAAGTCGACACTGTGTAGTCCGAGCCCGCAACCTTGTTGAAGATGGTCGACAGACTCATGGGCCTGAAAGAAGGAAGAAAGATGAAACGGTAGTTTTTCGAGACGGGTCTGACCTCTCCCTATGGGCCTGAAAGAAGAAACAAAGATGAAACGACACTTCTCCGGGACGATTTTGACCTCTCCCTATGGGCCTGGAAGAAGAAAGAAAGATGAAACGGTACTCTCCAGGAAGATTTTGACCTCTCCCTGCGCGGAACTGGCTCAACACCGGAAAGTCGATACCTTTCGAGCAAAGATCCGGACCAACTCGAGATGTAAGCATCAAGTGCTTCGCCCAGGATTCTCATACTTCGAATTTGCTTGAGATTGTGCACCCAGTTTGATTTCGATATGAAGCGAAATCAAACATTCAAGTTTCCATTAGAGCGCTCTCAGTGAAGCGAGTCTCCAGTCATTACGGGCAGTGGAAACTAAGGGCAGATCAAGCAGATCTCCGGGACGAGTATGGCTTCCTAGCTAGGTGCGGCTTTCAAGGACCGACGGATGATGTCTTTTGTCGTCCTTCTGACAAGGTAAGGAGGCGGGACCCCAGAACTTCTGACCAATCCGCTACATGGGCCAGAAGCTCTCACAGCAACGAGTATTGCCAGTCAAGAAGCGAACAAGCTGCAAAACGCGACCAATCTTTGTCTCAAGAAGAGCCATGGCTTGGATGCCATACGCAGTTTTTCATCGACGAAGGCTTGAAGACATGAAGGCCGGTAAAAAACGATGCAATCATCATGTGGAGATTGAGATTGAACATAGAGAAAATGCAGAGATATCGGTCCGCTCAAGAGCCTAGCAAGAAAGTACACAGAACTTCCATAGCGATTGCGTACCTGGAGATAACCTTGCTATACCCCGGCGCCACTTTCTCCGACACCAGGTCCCGGAAGTCTTGAGCGCACTCAGCCTTCTCTAACCTCTCCAGTATCCGCCTGATGATCCTGTTGCGCTCCAGCTGCCTTTGTCTTGACGTGTAAGTGAACGGGGGGTGCGAAACAGGGGATGGGTTGGCACCATGCACGCTTCTGACATGCTTCTTAGACCGCTCCTCTTCAGAGTCCCGCAACCTCTTGGATCCACCCCCCTGAGAGCCTTTGATATCGCTGCTGACCACTATTATGCCAAAGGCGTCATAGATGTGACCCAAAAGGGCCTCCGTGGAGACTTGCTTGCCGCGCACGTCGCTTTTCCCCGTGAGAATGAGAAACAGCAGACGGAGGGTTGGGCCGTGCAACGGCGCGAGCGCAGACCTGTCGACCTGCGACCCCGTTTCGAGAACTTCCCCGCGGAGCTTTTCGGGGCCTCGCTGTTTGATGAGCCCCTCCAAAGCGTAGAGAAGCTGCTTCCCGTTGTCGCCTGCCAGAGAGTGGTCCAACGTCGTCCAGGAGTCGGGATGGTAAAGGAGGTCGTGTAGACTCGTCTCAGCGCGCGCAGAAAGCTGCAAGAATGAACAACCCCGCAAGTTACAAAGAGCTTGCCTTCTTTTACGAAACTTGGCTACTAGATATGTATTCAAACGTCTGAGCTGACCCCAAGCGACTGACACACACGAACGTCTGGACAAGAACCGACGGAAAAGCACGTTCTCCGTCTCAAAAAGGGGACTCGATCAAACTTTTTCTGGGACCAAGTAAAACCCTGCTACATGCGACTAATTCAGGCCCCACATTTTGTTGTCAATGAATTTGAAGGCTGCCCACGCTGCTCTCTTCTTGCATGACATATGGCACACGGGAAGCAAAATAGCTGACCGAAAGTTGAAAGAAACTTGTTTGAAGTTACAACACCAAAATCAGACTCATGCCTTCAACAGTGACCAAACATCCAGTGCCAAACTGGCGAATTGACCCTTATGACATGGGCGAATCGTTTAATTTCCGAACCCATTTCGGTGCCCAATCTGGACAACGTCCAAACCAAGGCGCCTTGCAGTGATGAAGCTGCAAAACAGGAACAAAGGTCCCTCCAGCCCCTTACCTCCCCAGCGCTGGACTGTCCGGTGTTGAAATCCTCTCTGCGCTCATCCGACTCCGCGGACGTATCTTGAGAATCGCCGTCAGCTTCTTCGGTTTGTGTCTCGCTTCCGGTAAGTTCACACGCACCAGCATCGCTCCGACCAACACCGCCCTCCTCCGTTCTCTCGCCCCCCGACCTGCCATCACGTTGAATGTTCCCCTCTGATTTGTGCCCGGTTGAAGGCCCCGAGGTTCTCGCCATAGCCGCTGCCGAAGCGCTAGGGGTGGTGGTTTCGGAAGGGGGAGTGCCCGGCGCCTCTGGAACGTTTCTGTGGAAAGTCAGAGGATCCCGAGCGACGCTCACTGGCTTCCCGGGGGGGGTGTGCACGTCTCCAGCCGGCTGCGCCTGCGGAAAAAACGCCCAATGTTAAGACGGAGTCCCGTCATTGCAGCCTTGTGAGTCGAAAAGTATACGTTAGAATGCAAAACACAGATAGGTGCTTACTTATTACGAAGGGTTAGCTGACACGAGACTGAAGCACTTGCTTCTCCACCTGCTTAACGCAGAACAGAACAAGTTGATGCAAAGCAGAACTTCTGGAAAATATTCTTTGCTGGTCAAAACGATGAAACAATGATTAATGCTGGCTTCCATTGCAGCCTGGTAGAAGATCCCACAAAAGCATGCCTACTCCTAGTTTCGCAAACCAGGCTGGCTCAACGTTTCCAGAAGCCAGCATTCACTTGACCTTGGAAAGTGGGAAGCAGTTACTGCGTGTACCAAAACTTGGACCCCCAGAATACTGAGATGCATGTTATCGAAGCTCTGTCGACCCTATCCCCCTCACCTTTGAACTTTGCACACGCGCGTCCAACCCTGTCGACCCTTCTCCGGGAGGCCTCGTCTGGCCAACTTGAATCGATCTGCGGACTGTCTCCCCATTGCTCGAATCCGGTAACCGGTTTGGAGAGGCCTTCGAGCTAGGCAATAGCAAAGCACATCTTTGCTTATGCTGTGCCAAATCGTTGCTGTTCCCAAGGAATGTGCATCTCTTGCTTGGGCACCGGCGCGCAACCTCTGGGCAACTCTCCTGGCAAGGAAAAGCATAAGTGACAAGACTTACAGTCTGGATATCAGATAGAGAAGCAGTCTGCTTCCGATTTGGAAATCATGTGATCCATGTACAGACCATGCAGATTTATCCGACGGGGGTGATTACCAGCATAATTCCAGGCAGTCCGTTTCGTGAGCTAAGATGTGGGGGAAGTGGCTTGACTAGAAGAAGATGACCGGAAGCATAAAGTTTCTCAGCTGCTTCTGGTCACGTCTGGCTGCAGCCAGTGAACCTATCTCCTCCTTTACAAGGTGGCCGAGAGTCGAACACAAGGATCACAGAACCAACTTTTCCTTTCTGACAAGATGGACGGCGATGATTGATACCAGCTAGCGATTACTCACGAAGTTCTTTGACCTCCTAAGCCAATCTTGATATCTTTTGGGGTTTCATAACCGAGCATAGACGGCCCTATAGCAGGTCTTCGGCAGCCAGTCAGCTTTGAAAGCGCTTCCTTCTTGGCAGATGCAAGGTACTTTCCTGCCAAAAGACGTCCGGCCCCTCGGGTTGTAACTGTTCAATTGTGTTGAAAGTCAAAGACGGCGCACCTGGAGATGGGGCACTAAGTTCGGGTAGAAAATCACTCCGCTGCATAGTTGGCACCGTATCCTGCACCCTTTGGCGTGGCTGCTCCGGTTTCGCTCGGCCAAGATGGTCTTGCAGCGTGTACATGAGGACAGGCGGTATCCACACGTCCTCTGATGCGCTTGCATTTCAGTCCCCTTGCCGACGTACGGGCAGCCCGCTCCATCCTGCCAGCGTAAAGAGTGTCTCAGCCTATGCAACAAGGTAGCAACGTTTGATCGATTTAAAAGACTCCCATCTTGATCACCACAAGCTATCGAGCGACCAGTGTTCTTGTCTCCGAACAACTCAAGAAGTGGGAGTACTGTTTTCAAATACGTTTCAGCCACTAGGTACAAGTCTAACTCAAGCAGAGCAAGGCGAGGATAAAGTGCAAGCTCTTCAGCAAATGGGAGAATAACGAGGACGCAGACTTCTTGCGTTTCACTCCGACCAGCAGTGTAGGAGAAAAGAACAACCTTGGCCCAAACCCTTGAGAGTGTGTCTAACCACAACTCACGATCCCAACTGTGGACTTGATTTCAGATGCCAGACTCCCAAATCCTGGAAGGCCTCAAAAGTTCTCCAAGGAATGTTTCTCAAACAGACTTCTCTGATGCTAAAGAGCGCAGCTTGATTCGAGGTACTTTCAGTATTCTGAGCAGAGCGACTCACTCCTTGGACTTAAAAATACTCTTCCCAATACTGTGTAATAATATTTCCCGATGATCAACCAAACCTGGCAGTATGAAAACCACTCTACACAAGCCCTGTCGCTTGGCCAACTTACCAGTTCCCACCCGTCAGTTGCATGGTTGAAGACCATCGCATGCGGGCAATGTACGCGCAAGCTAAGGACCACCTTGCGCAGGTGTCCATTGCGAACCACCGTCTCGAACACTTGGCCTCCACAACCAGCACTTTCCCCGCAGTGACGTTCCAGACAGCCCTCACAGAAGCTGTCCTCACAGTCCTTGCAGACGACTGGGTCACAAAATACCTTTCTGCAAACAGTACATCTGCAGAAGGAGGGGGGCAAGTCAGAAAGGAATGAATGTGGAACCAAAGGTAGCGCCTTTCTTAAGGGCTGAAGTCCTTGATTTTTGACACAGCTTTCCAAGGGTAATTCAGCCAACAGATCGCTTGAGACTTGATTATCAACTTCAAGTTGCATTCTGACAATCTGTTGAAAAGTGTACTTAAACTATTCGAGGATTATCCACCACTAGACCAGGGAAGATGCTTCCAGCAATGTTCCAACAAAGAGCAGATTGTGGTCCAAGGTCCCTGATCTTGAGATTGCTAAGGGGTCAAGCGTAAGAAGAGGCAAGGAGAAAGTAAATCTCTCTGAGACATCTAGTAAGAACAGAAGCTTTCAGACATTTTAGGAAGGCTCGCTCAAACTGATGTAATCAAGTGGCCGTACAAGGTCCGCACAAACACATCACCTGCACAAAGACGATGGATCCTCCCCAGGTGTTGCCACCATCAACTCATCAACGCTTGGCGCCCTAGGAACTCTTGGTAAAGCTTGGTCCACCGGACTGCTTGCCAGACCTATCTCTGGCGTGCTTAATGCGGCAGCACCGGCAGGTGGACTCCCAGGGTAGTTGTGATACCGAAAGTAGGAAGCCATCTCCAGGCCGCAGACTGGATGAGAAAAGGGGAAGCAAATGACTGCAGGAGGATGAGGCTAGGATAAGCTACAACCCGCTGCGCTTAGAAGGGCTACCGGCGGTAGCCTACCGCGCGCGTTGCAGTGTCTCTACGATGTCTCAAAACCAGTACATACTTCCCGACCTCCCTGCAATCGCAGTCACTGCAGCTTTTTGGGGGTCACGTGCAGCTCAATTGAGAAGCGTTCTTCTACCTGAGCTAAGCTACCCCAATACCCTGCTTCCCTCCTCTGTTGTGCTCTTTTGACCGCTGTGATCAAATGTTCAGCTCATGCATTCATGAGTGCTAGCTCATGCACCTCGTCTTGGAAGTTGGCCAGGACTTATCGAATCGCTTTGGGATCTGGGGGGAAGGGTCCATGTGCAACTCAAATGTGACAGGCAATGTTTTTACCGTCGATTGACAGGGGCAGCCCACTGGCTTGCTCTCTGATCCATCCGATGGCAGCCGCATCAGATGCCCCCTGCCGACCTGCAATGCGCATTGCGGTCGGCATTTGTTTTGACACTGACAGTGGTGTGATGGTTTATCATACAAACTCGTCGTCTATCTGGTGTCAAAGCGTCCAAGCAAGCAAGTTGGTTCCCACTTCAAGTTCAAAGTTCTCTGATGAGTCTGACAGTGAGTATACTGTATAGTCTCTATGCTCATTCTGTACATTTCAGTTTCTGACTGTCCTGAAACAATTGCTCAGGCTTTGCACCGCGCTGCTTTCTCAGGTCCCCTCCTTTGGTTGAGCTCCTTGAGGCTCGCAGAGCCGGCAATCCACCCGCCAGATTCCGAGCAGGATTTCAGAGGCGTACGCATTGCTAACCGTCAACACAATTGCGAAGGCAGCTCATCGTCATTGCTTGTAAGAACGTAATCAAACGAACTTTTGCGTTGTCATCAGGTGTAATATGCAATGAATTTTGACTTGTCCGTTGGATTGCTTGAATGTTTAGGTGGTGGTTGCAGCTAGATGGAAGAATGTCACTTGTCTCGCTTTTGGATAAGGATGATTTATGGCCAAAGCCACATCAGCACCCCTGGGTATGACTAGCATTCCGCAGGTGATTGCGTTTGATGTTTGGACTTGATGCAAGTTTGTGAAGCTTGGGAATGTCACTTTGGTGTATAGAATTGAGCTGTCTTCCAATTGTGTGCATAGGCATGCACGAGAGATATGGGTACGTTACTTCCCTGAGCTTGTTCAACATCTTAGCTTGTCATCACTTTGAGGAATCATCACATGGACACAATCCTTACACGACAGTACCTGGCATGTGCCCAAACATTTTGCCTTGTAAATGAGCAGGGTCTGATCTCTGCATTTCTGCATTTGCCTGAAACTTGCGTTGTAAATGCGAGCTTCTGTTCCTGACGTTTCTTCTGTAGTAGTTTGCAATCAATGGAAACAGGCTTGTTGGGGAAGGGTCTCTATATCGGCAGGCTGAGAGAAAATCACCCCAGGGGCAAAAGCTGTGTCCAATTCTCATATTATTGTTGCTTTCCTTTGGCTCAAAACCCATTGCTACATGATCACAAGACTTCATACCGGAAATTGCAACGCACTTGCAAGAAAAGAAACTGAAATTATCCGCACTTGCAGTTTTGCACATCAGTGTCAATGGAGACTGCCAGTTCCTCAGCATCTGCGGCAAGCGCCAGGAACGTCCAAGGAGAGAAAGAGCGCCAAATTGGGGCGCAGGCTGAACCCCATTCACATGGTGCAACAGGGGGGGTTCCAGAAATAGGAGCTGCGGCAACAGAAGCCCGGCGGATAGAAAAGAATGGCGTGGACACTGGGGCTTCTCAAAAGGCTCCTCACTTCAGCAACATGTCGGCTGCCTCGGTACAAGAGCAGAGCCACTCCAAGGCAGAATCAAGGAGCATTCCCATACCCTCAAAGTCCGTGTCTCAGCCTCAGCCACAGGCCTGCTGTGGAGAGGCGACTTCTCCTTCCACCCCTCCTCTTGGGCCTCAGACAGGGACCCTCCCTCGCGAGGGCATTCTGTCAACAGCAACACGAGCAGCCCTGGAGGAGCGGCAGTCCTCGAGAAGAGACGCTACCTGCCACAGCCCTTCCCCTTCCAGAAGGAGGCCCCCTCTTTCCCCCTCGTCAAGCTCTGGAGGCATGACCCCCCCAAAACCACAAGGGGCTCCGTCTCCAAAACCGCAGAAGACATTCCACAACCCGTATGCTAAGAGTCCCTTCAGAGTGACGGGGTTCAATCCGGGGTCGCCTAGGGCACCAGTCCCTTTGGCACAGCTCTCTGCAGAAACGGAGAATGAGCTGTTGCAGGCAACGCAGAGGGGGCTGTTTTCGGACGACGACGTGGCAGAATCTGAGCGGTCGCCCAAAGACTTTGGGGGAGGGTGTGGGTCAGCGGTCAGGGGTCCGAAGGAGTCAGCAGTGAACGCTGGAGGACTGAGTCAGGGAGTTGACGAAATGGAAGTCTCAGGAAGGAATTCTGGGGGGGGAGTGACGAGTGGGAAGGGCTGTGAAAACGAACAGGCAGAACCGGAAGGGACGAGTCCGGGCATGTCTAGGATGAACATTTCTGGCGGAGATACAGAAGCAGGAGAGAGCGCAGTAACTAGGAATGGAGAGGCGGAGCTGGAGTCAAGGAAAAGGAAGTCGGAAGAGTCTCCTGAGAAGGTGCGCGCGGGCGCAAGTGGATCTATGGAGGTAAGAGGGCATCCCATACCGAAGCAACCCCAAGTGAGCAGTCCAGCAGATGTTGAAATCGAAGGAGGGTGTCATTCTGGACGCATCTCAGGATCGCCGCGCCGGCAACCAGACAGTGCTTCCTCGCAAAGCCCCAGTATATCGGCATCAGGCCGTGCGGCCGGCGGACTAAGCGAGCAGTCTGAATATCACGACCCCCCAGAGCAGGAGCTAGAAGAAGCTGAGGCTAGTGTAGCGCAACCATCCTCTTCCCTTCCTCCCAGACCTGAGCTAAGTGCAGCGTCTCGTGTCCGCAGCTCTGACGGTGGCAACAAGCGCTCAGCACGCGACAGGTGGCGCAGGGCTAGGTTTCACGTGGCAGCAGCGCGGGCTTTTGCGTACGGCAGGGTCGGTGGCTTCTCGGAGGTTACAGAACCGGAGATCAGAGGCGCGGCGACCGGGACGGAGCTGGAAAGGACAGGTGAGCGGCAATTGGCGGGGTGGGTTTGGTGTCGCAGATGCACCTTGAGTTTGCAGATGAGACATTGCATACTGTGATGGCCGTGTTTCAGTTGTTCACACTTCAGGATTCTGGCTTGATCTGCTGCTGGTGTAAAAAAGGACGTCCCGATAAATACAAGCCTCGTGGGATAGCATGCCGTCGTTCGAGACGCCCAAAACAGAGGGTTTCGGGCAGTAGAATCATTTCTGCACCGTCAGCAAGAGGGAAGGTCAACACTAGGAGTTCAGTCATTCTATTAGTGTACCCTTCCTTCCCGTCAACTTTTCTCATGACAGGTTTTTTGCAGAGTTTTCCGTAGGTCCTATGAAGCATCCTTTGCTTCAGGGGTTTCGAACTTTCTATTATTCTCTTATCTGCTTCGAGTTGATGGCCCCGCGAAAAGACGGGCCGTTAAGCTGTCAAGGTCTCAGCGTAAGCTTTTACCGTGATTTATTCTTCTGTGACCTGGACGGCTCGTTGTCAGCTTCAGTTCAGGCTCCGTTCCTGGCCTTGTACAGGCCTGTACCAGCTCTTTTCCTGACTTTCAATTTTTTTGCCTCATGGAGTAACACGAAAGAGTCGGAAGTGACAAGAAGGAAGCGGCAGTCTCCGTTGCGAAGTAGTGACGATCAGCAACAGGAGCTCACAGCTTTTTGCGTCCCTTTTTGCTCCGGTTGCCAAATCATCCAAACGTGATCCGCAAACTTTGATACATGGGAGACTTTTCAGAGCTGATCAGACGGTCGAAGAACAGGAAGCATGATCCGACCGAACGCAACCAAAAGGTAAGTAGAACGCAAGGAGCTGACGTCATCGAAAGACGTTTGCTGACGTCATTCTTTCGTCGTGTTTGCAGAGGAGCCCCTCAATCCCGCCAGTCCCGACTCGATCGTCCGCTCGGCTTCCATAACTCAGCCGAAAGCGGGCGTTCCTGTGAGCGACGTTTCTCAAGACAGGGGCCGGCGCAGGTTCGAAGGGATACAAGTCATCGAAGATCGAAGCTGGCTGGTCGTCTTCTCGGACTTCTACATAGCTGTGCTCAAGGTGAGATTGCTTTCCGGGGACGTCCCTCTCAGATGGTGCATGGATTCTGAGGACGCTTCATGCCCATTCTGCCAAACTAGCCGGCCTACCCGTGTTCGTTTCGGGCCCGCTTTCAGATGACAAGTCGTCGGATAGCCACATTCTGAGCAAAGAACGGTCCACGTTCTGCATATTTGCCAGTAAAGGTCGGGCGACCGGAGTTGAGGAAATGTACAGTATTTCTAGGTTTCAGATCAATGGGCTCTCAAGTAGTGCGTTCACATATCGATTGACGTGCCTTCGATACGTCTGATGTTGTCACGGTTCCACTGAAGGTTTCTTTCTGGAGCGGGATAGATTTGGGTTTCCCAGTGCCTTACGTGGAAAGAATGGATAGAAGGGACCCTGCTATGCATTCGGCTTTGGTCAGCTTTAAATGGTCCTGTCACCAACTTGGTGTCGATGTCGTCTTACTCTCGCCTTTGACCTTCTGACTATGTGTTTACGAGAAACCTAGTGAACAATTGCCTTTCAACTTTCGCGCTGCACTATTGAATGCTGTGCGCTCTCCATGCCACCATTCTCTGCCTTCTAAAATGCGAAGAAAGAAACGCTTAAAACTTTGCCAGCTTTCCCGTCCGATTGCTGGGTGCTCCCTGCTACCACATACCGGCCAGCGATGCACGAAAGCCTCTTTCGTAGTGGTCATGGTTCCTTTTCGCCCTCCTATATACCTTCCTTCGGCCTCTTGTACGTTTCTAACGCTCTTCTCATTTTCAGGCCCCGGTGCTGCTCTTTGTGGCCGTCATTTTCCTCTTCCCCGCCCTCTTATGCCTCTTCTTCGTTCCCTTATACCTCCTCGACCTGGCTGGTCTTCAGTGCGACGATTGCCAACCCCCCCTCCCCTCAGCTCGCCTAGAAGCCCCCCCGGCGCCTACAGAAACTCATAGCCTATGCCACGTGCTACTGTATAGCCTATCGCTGTCGATGCTGTTCGGGGGCTCGCCGGTGCAGGCCCACAGCCGGTATACGCTATTGGTCGCAAACATTCAAACGCTGGCGGCAAACTTCACGTTTGTCTTCCTGAGCGGAGCAGGTCAGTGAGTCTCTCGTGTTCCCACCTTTCGTTTCGCAGGTTTTCCGTCCATTTGAAGCACATTCATAGGTCAAAAGCGAGCGTCTGCTCTCGTCCTGATGTGAAGGGATACTGTTTGCTTTTGGCTTCTTGTATGACGATGCTTTCTGACTAGGCGCTCGTCTGCACCCCATTGGAGTATTTGTCCGTTTCATTCGTCCACTTCAGCCCTGCTCCCTGTTTGTCACTCGCAAAAGTCTGTGGTACTTTTGAACACATGACATGTCTCAGTGGGACTCCAAGGCATAAGACCATGAAAGCTGTTGAGTACCCGTTTGGATTGGTTCGTCAGTCGTGTTAAGCTGAAGATATGATTTATTCAAATGTCAATAGTTATAGGCGACGGTATTGAGGACGAAGATATCTTCTCCTGTTGCGCATAGCAGTTTACCTTCTGCGCGGCCTCCACTCGGAGGAGCTATTCAGAATTCCAGCTTGACATTCGAGTAGCTTACGTCATGTCTCAGCACATTGACGCGTTCGGTATGACAACAGTCACCAGCATCTTTGAGCGTCTTTCGCGCAACCGGTTCTGGTGTCCAAAAAAAACATTTTTTGCGCTGACAATTTCCACTTCACAATGCAGTGTTCTCACGTATGTCCCAGCGATCGCAGCCGGTCCAGTGCGCGCGCAAGGCGGTGATTCGGCCGGATGACGTCACCACAGCGGGCGGCAGCGTCAGCGAGCGCTTCAGGTGGGCACTGTTTCAGAACTCGTCTTCTCAGGGAAATCAGAGTACTTTTTTCTGGCTGTTGAGACCGCTTTGTCTGTGTTCGCAACATAGTCCAGATACTGAGCACAGGACCTGCAGAAAACGTGCCTACTGAGAGACAAAAAGCGAATGGAAGGCTCGAAGGTACCTGCCCGAGCCGTTCACTGCGCAATCATGTGCAGATTCGACGTCGATTGGAGGGAACGAAACGACCTCTGACAATTTGCTTGGACGATTAATGAGTGCGCAAACGTAAGTTGTGCAAAGTTTTCGATACTGGTGTGAAAACCCAATGACCCGCGCATATTCACACCATACTCGGTCTGCATCACCAGATTACTGCCACAATATCATTGCTGACCGAGCGCATTCACACCGTGCAGGGTGTTCCTGACGAGGCTGGTGTTAAAGGGCCCGATGCCCGCAGTGATGGTGGACGTCCGCATCAAGCTCACGTTCCGGATCTTCGTCCAACAGCGGAACGGATCCGTCTTCTGTTCGACGGCGGCGCTGGATCTGGTCCGGCCAGAAGTGGCCTATCTGCAGTACGGAATAGCGGTGAGCATTTTCGCACTCGCGGAGTTTCGAGCGTTTTCTGCCTGGATCGGTTTTCGATTCTTAACAGGCCGCGTTCCGGTTCCCTTTTGTGGTCAACCGCAGCGCTGAATCTGGATCCGTTTAAGAAGTGGCGTATCCGCAGCACGGCACAGCGTTGAGGGCACTTACGTGTTTCGTTGTTCCTTGCCTTTTCCTATAAAGCTCTTCACGATGTCAGTGAGCGGAAATCAGCAGCGGAAACGGATCCGTCGTTTGCTCGAACACAGCGCTGACTTGAGTCTGCCTACAAGAGGCCTATCTTCAGTACGGGATAGCGGTGGGCATTTGGGCTTCTGAAGCGTTTTCTTGATTTTGAATGTCGACTACAAGAACCACGTCCATCAAGGGTATAGTCGAACCGCAGCACTGGACTTGGTTTCGCACACACCGTAAGCTTTCAAACCGCAAACCCAAAAGCTCTTGAGATGTACCAACAGCTTCCAAACCCGTGCTTTCCTCGCCTCAGGTGAAGCACGTGATCGACCGTAACAGTCCACTCTACGGCCACACGCGGGAGTCGCTTCTCGCGGGCGACGCCTCCTTCTCTTTCACGGTCCTCGGCACTGAGCGCGCCAGCCTCCAGAGCGTCTTCCATATGCAGGTGCGTCTTTTGATTCGTTTCGTCCTGCCCTATTTAGGCGTGTCTGAGACAGGTAAACCGTGGCTTCGATCAGGACGGCCGGAGCGCGCCAGCCTTCAGAGCCTCTTCCAAATGCAGGTGTCCGTCAGATCTTCAGGGCGCTGTTACTCTTTTAAAGGCGTGTCTGGGACCAGGTAGAGAGCCTGTCAACCCTGGCTTTAGCCGGAACGGCATGGAGCGCGTCAGCCTTCAGAGCCTCTTCCACATGCAGTTAAGCAGGTGGACCGCAGATTCTCGAAACGGGTGAGGGACGACCGAAGTTCGCAGCGCTTCCGTCCAGATTTGACGTTGGAAGGAGATGGAACGCTCCAGACGTCTTGTTCGTGGCTGGATGTGTCATGGTTTGCATAGACTCAGGTACCGGAAGCCCTTCTGCCAAGATGTGCCGCCAGTCTTTGCAGACTGGGGTTTTATCGAATTGGAAGGTAGCGTTGCGATATCGAGTATTGCCATGTTCTGTGGTCTGCATGTAAGTGTTTGATTCTCATTTCGCGATAGCGCTATTTATCGGTTACTTCGAAAGCAGGTCAACTACCTAGCCTTGCCTTTCCATGACCAGCATCGACGTGCCGTCGTCGAATATGGTTGTCAGTTGGCGGTCTACGCTCAACCTATATTCCCAGGGCTTTCGGAGGACTCCTATTCTGCAAGATCGAGTGCTGCGATCGGAGTACTACAAACCAGCTTTAGGCATGCTACCTGGTTTCAGACTCTTTTACATTTCCGCCCCAGGGTTTACAAAGCGGATTTTGCACATGATCAGAGACACTGTTTCCCTTAGGTATTTGTCTCCGTCCAACGGAAAGGCGTTCCTTCTTACTACTTCTGTCCTAAAGGCCTTACTTTCTTAGTAATCAATGTTGAATATAAGGAGCTTGACCAACGTTCTCTTTGCAGGAATACTTTATGTCGGATGGAGACATCGCCTGGGACAGCGATTTTTTCAACATCATCTCCATCGACTCTCGGGGCATCCGAGTGATCGACCACACCCAGCTGGATACGCTCAGCGTGTTCCGGAGCGCAGCCCAAGTCCCCCGGGCGATCACAAGAATGCAAAACCTCGTCAGAGCGACAAGAACAGGTGGGTTTGAGATCTTAGGGTATACACTTGATACCTTCCGTGGTTGGATGTATTAAAAGTCTCTTTTTCGTTGTGTGGGGGGTAAATAGTCGTGCGAACGGAAACGGATTCTAGACACCGAAGCCACCCGATTGTGATTGCGCTGATTACGGGGGCTCCTTTGCTTACAGGCTCCAAGAGTTCCCTCTCTGAGACAGAACAGTGCCAAGAGGGAGACCCAACCGACAACAGCGGTAAGAATCTGGACAGGACTCAAGGCAGTGATGTACCGGACGAAAGCTCGGCCGGCGTGACTCAGAAAGGGGTCAGATCAGACACTTCGGACGGCTCTCGGATGTCCGAAAGTGGTCAGGTCGGAGAAACCACTCGAAAGGGGGGTAACTTGGAAAAGCCGAGCACGGGAAAACTGAAAGGGTCAGTCGAGGGGACGAGTGATCGGGGCAAAGGGGAGGAGACTGGACAGAGTGCCCGGAGGAAAGCGGAGGAAGTTGGTGGGGCGAGTAAAGGAGAGGAAGAGATGGTGGGCGATGTGCTGGGAGGGTTCACTGGGCCCGCATCTGACTTTGGGAGGGGTCTCTCCCGGGAAGCGCTGCAAAGCCTGAGGCAGCGGAAGATCGATAGAGAAGGAAGGGCGAAGGAAGATGCGGGAGAGAACGCTCATGAAGGTAAGGGAGTGACGGCGCGTCGTTATAATGCAGGTTTTTGAGAGTGAGGGCCATCTAGCTGACATGGTGTGCTTAACAGTCACGTTGCCGTAAAGGAATTGTACTAGTCGAGTTCGACCCTTAAGCACGCTGAGAGAGGATGGTGAAATAGACGGAAACGGAGTTGTAAATTTCTGGAGGAGATTGAGTATAGGTTTTCTAAGTCGAGGCGAGCGCCTCCAGCCAAGTCGAAAGCCGGATCGATCAGAGTCCAGTTGAAACCTGCCTTATCTTAAGATGTGATCACATGCAAGCGTTTGGAACTGGATGGGTGCGGGCATTTGCAATCCCCGGCCAATAAGTCACCGACTTTACGTTGTATGGCCCGCTCGATCAGGCGTTGCTAATTACCGTACTAGGGTCGCCGTCTGTGTCGGGATACGGATCGTCGACTCGAGTGCTTTTGGTCGGATGCATTGTCGAAAGGCCTAGCTAGCTTATGACCGACACACAGACGCGTCGGCCCTGAGTCGAGCTAGTACTATAAACGGCGCGGCCACGGGCAGCAGCTCTATATATGATCGTATTGGACGAGGGATGATCACTCCAATCCATGCAAACAAACGTGTGAATTAACATCGTCGATCCGAGTCAGACGGCCGGGCCAGCTCGATCATGAGGCCGGGGATCATTTGGCTTGATTTTGCAAATTAATCCGCGGCTGGGCATGATGGCCGCCAACGGTACGTGCGTAGCTCTATTGATGATAATAACATTGAGGTTACAAATGCCATGCACCTGTCGGCAGCAATTCAATATTTATTTGGCCCCGGCCCCCCGGCCGGGACCATCATTATATGGCCCCGGCCGGCCGCTGGACCGGTCTCCGTTGTACGTTAAGTTCTAGGCACATTGGATTGCAGCATACAAAGCGTCTGCTCTGATGTAATTACCTACTCCAGATACAATTTTTTGGTCAACAATCACATATACCAAGTCGATCGACGACAGAGACATTTCGTAAGCAGAAGATCATCAACTTACGTTGGACATTCGACGGTTTATTGTATGATGTATGAGTCCGTATTGCATGAGTCACTGAGTCCGTTGCATCGAGTTGTTGTGTGGAGAAAACCTGTTAAGAGTTACAGTGACTATGTTGATGGTCCATGCTTATTACGAGCTCGTAATTAGTAAGCAGACATCCAACAGTGGTTGTCGGATCATGTGTATTGGATACTCTCACATCACGCGCAGCGTGTGACGGGGCTAGGGAGACGGCAGTCATCTTTGTCAGCTAAGGCAGCTTTATAGTGCCCAGCTCACGCTAAGTTCAGGTCACTACTAACTGATTACGTCCTGTACAGGGGATCATCCTGCGGAAGCCACTTGTTCACTGCGAAAGGTATGGACATCTCCATCCATGTACCACTTTGCAGAGTCATACAACATTCTGTCTGGCTCGGGGTCCGGACTCGGTCATTCCCAAAGATTTAGAGGTTCTCGTGCTCCGACGTAACTAGCCGACGGACCCACCTTACGGTTTACTAGGTTTGTACTGTCGGACTATTGACCAACCCCAAAATCAGCCGTACCCCGAGTCCCGGGTACTGTTGTAGTCGACATGGATATATAAAGTCGATCATTCAAATCGAACACTTCTTTTGCAATTTCGGTCACCATTTCTACAGGGATGTTTTTACAACGACACTAGAGGATTTGTGCAAGAGATTCATCTAATACATCCGATGTTTCAAGGCTGGACGCGTCAGAAGTATCCCGCACATCCGAGCCACTGCGCAACCTAGAAGGGTGGCAGGGCGCCCTATCTTAAAACCCGCACCTAGAAAGAGCTGCTCGACCGAGAGCATCTGAAAGCCTTCTATTCGCTAAACAAGCATACCAAACCCCACTATCCCACTACACTGTTCAATCAAGTGAACGTTCACTAAAGCCTCCCCACAGCTTTCCTCTGAGCATTGCAAACCTGCCAGCTCCGCTCGCGCCCGCGCGCATGCGCCTCAGTCACGATCCCATTTGTACAGCAGGAAATACTTCAGCACTTCGGCGGCTCCCGCGGCCGCGAAGAGCGCGATCGCCTGCTTGTAGTTGTCGTCGCGAACCGCGCGGAACGCTCCGAAGCACAGCGCTCCTTCTGCGGCGAGGCACAGCGATGACGTGTGCACCACCTGGGAGATGACGTAAGCGGAGCTGCGGGCCATGACGTCCTGGAAGTCAGCAGAAGGCTGGCGCGGAGAAGAGTCGGATGAGAAGAGTGTTCTCCAGAGCTCGTTGGAAGAAGACTCGGAAACGCTGATAGGAGAGTCAGAGACACGAAGACCGGGGAGGACGGGTCCGGAGCTGGACGTTGTTGAAGAGATAGGCTTGTGGGGGAAACGCTGAGAATATTGTTACGAGATCGTTACTGCAGGAAAGTGAGAGATGAGAGGGCACTGCTCAGAATGAGATTTGCTGGACGAGCAGGGTGATTTTAGTTAGGCGGCAAGAACTGGCCTGGGCCACAAAAGCGGGTGCTCGAACGATTTCGGAAAAGGAATCGCTACACTAGGCAGAGGATTTTGAGGAACGCAGCGAACATGGAATGTGCTAAATCCGTACCTGAGAACTCAGCTTCTTCATAATATCACGTATAAGAGGGACTCATATCTGTCAGCTAATTAGCTAGCGAAGGGGCTGCCAGCGTCGGCGCCATGCAAGGTTTCGACACCGTATGAACGAACGGCGGCGGATGCAGTGCGTGCCCACCGCGCGCGGCGGCCGCGCAGCTGTAAACAGGCGGGCGCGCTTGGTGGCCAGGGTTTGAGACAGGGTTCGCGGGTTGATTTGACGGAAGTTGACCGGGTGGGGGTGCCCACTTCCATATGCCAGCGCAGCGCCGTACGGTTTAATCTGCTTGACGCCGGAGTCCGGAGGGGTCAACGGAATCTCCGGCTTTGAAGCTGGGTTCCGTACCGCACGCTTTCGGCCCCCGAGTGCCGCATATGGGCCGGCTTGCCGGCCAGCACTGCATGAAAGTTTGATCAGATCGATGATGCTCAGCTCAGAGTGGAAGGAACCCATAATCCAACGGTTGTTCTGCAACAGCTTACAAGTTGCGGCTATGCGAGCGCGGCAGCCAGCGCTTAGGCTGAGCTGCCAGGCAAAGGCTTGCGATTGCCCACTGCATATGTTGGCCAGCTGGGCGCTGCGCTTATGCCGGAAGCAGCAGCGCTGCAAACATTCAGCAAAGCCTATATTTCCAGATGGCCAGTGCATGCGCTTATGCCGGAAGCAGTAGCGTTGTAAACATTCAGCAAAGCCTAAGCTGGCCAACATACCTATGTTGCAGTGGGCAGTGGCAAGTCTATGCTAGCTTGCAGGATATACCTAGTAGCCTGCATGATTGTCCGCATGATCATGTCAGGATACCCCTGTGATTCTAGGATCGAAGGGAGGAATGGCAGCTGCCAGCGACAGCTGCAGATCGACCACAGCTGATTATCACTGCGCAGGCAGCTGGCGGAGCTCGCACTGAGCAGCATTGGTGACACATGCTCCGACATATGCATATGCAGCTGAAATAACGGCAGCTGAAATAGCTTTGGCGTGCGTATGTGTACGTCGCTTTCGAGTCTCGACAACAGAATCGTACGGCAGCTTCCATACAGCAACATTTATTACTCGACGTACGGTGCAACTAAAGGAATTAATGTGCTTGCCCAAAATCAGCAATTCTGAAGACCGGTACGTACTGGCAATGGGCACTCTGAAGGCCGACGGCGAGCCTAGAACTGAAGGCAAAAGTGAAGATGGATTTCAAAAGGACTTAATAGCTTCTTGAATAATTGAAGCTGAGGCATATCCGTTGTCGAGTAGACAAATGTGAATCAAGATTCTCGTGAACCAAGCAGGATTTAGTATGTCGTTGTCAATTCTCGTCACAGGAAATGCTGATAATCAGCTTTGCACAGCTTCAAATTAGCAGCCTCAACCTGAGACGGCAGATTCAATGTGTGCAGCACTGAACTAGTATTCAAGTATTAAAGCAGGCTGCACCTAAGCCACGTCTCGTCTGACTGAATGATAGGGCCATCCGGACGACAGTCACATATACGACCGCTTCTCCTCTTTGCTTCTCCGTATAAAAGCCAACTGCAAGCTTTACCCTCATCACAACTCTGCGCTACCAAGACTCTTCTAATCTCCAACTGCAGCTACTAGCCCTCAAGTGACCACTTTCGCGTTCCAATCAAACCTCTTCCGAGCCGACTGCTGAACCTCTGCTCACAGGCCCCGTTAACGTGCTGACGTCATGGCAAAAGCAGCCTTCTTCCCTCTCGCCTTGGTGGTGGCGTTCCTCGGTTTCATGGCGGCTGGCGCTCAGGCTGCCGAGGCGAAACCAGAGGACTGCCCCTATTGGGTCGGCTACGGTCCTGTGGGTTTGTCGTCGGGAGATACCGTCTGCGCCTTGAACGGTGAGTGTCGCAGAATATGACCATTTTGGATCGATTGACTAATTTGGCATCTATATGGTGGAATGCCTGTGATCAGCAAAATGGTTTAGAGCTCTGTCCTTTCTTGGATTGATGCTCATGAGGAATTTCTGAAAGCCCTCAGCTGGTCGATTCCGAGCTGAAATACAGTTTTGGAGAGCGCACGCTGAGAGTGTTTGTCCACGCAACGAATGGACGTGACACTAATTTCGATACTGCCTTGCTCATGTGATGTTCTGGATCCTCGCCTGGGTTGTGTGTGATGATTTGGAGAACTGAGGCTGCCAGCAGATCTGCTTATGCTATACTACGGGAGAAGGGGCGCTGCTTATTTAAGGGGTTTTCCTATAGATTTTGACGTCCATTAAGTTGCTCTGGTCGCATCAAGGTTCTGGTATTGAATGTGGCAATAGATTTACTTAGGTGGCCCTTTGTGGGAGCCCGACTTTAAGCGGTCTGTTCAAGTTGGCCACACGGAGAATCATAGAAGTCCGTCCTTCATAATCCAGCTCAAGACTCCCTTGGTGACGCGCACGTGGGCGTTTGTAGGATAATTTTGACCAACATTATTGAGGTCATTGTATGTACATTGTAATCTAGCTGCGGCTGCTTTGGGAAGTCTGCGCGACATTGATGCATCATTAATCTAGGCGGAGGCAGGCAAGAGGTTCAGCCTTTGCATTTTCACCAGCCTCTAGTAGCTAGATCCAGCTTATGTACTTTAATTCATACTCTGCTTCTTTCGTCGCGGTTTCAGTTGCCTTCAATTTCAAAGGAGGCCTCTCAAAAAGTAGTACTCTTATGTGCTTTACACAATCAGCTATATCCGATATCCGAGGCTCGAGGACTCACGGTCGCGCAAACGGATGCAGGCAATCTGGGCGACAGTTTCGATGTGTCTGGCGGGCCCGCCGTCAGCTCCTGCGCGGACATTCTGTTTAAGATCATCGACGTCCTTTACAAGAAGCAAGGCAGCTACCAATGGGCTGACGTGATGGAATTCATGAGCAAGGAAGCGTTCTCAATGCTAGACCCTGCACTTAGGAAAATGCAGTTCAGGGAGAGCGTTGACCTTCGTGCGGTCGAGGCGAATGCAGTGAGTACTCCCTCTCACTCTACCGGTCATCAGGAGCGTCGGATTACGTTCATCAGACGGCGCAAATTGCGATCTCTCTGTCTATTTCAACCCACAAGCGTTCGTAGGTTAACAGAGCTTCAATATCATTGCCTGGTTCCTTCTCGGCTCGGAGTTTCCGCCGCACTCGCTTCTTCTTTACTGTGCGCTGCCATTTTGTCCGACGTTTTGTCCGAGTCTGCTTGCGTGGCACAGATCTTTACTGTCAAGTCCTCTGACGACGATTCAAAGCTCAGACAAACCGTAGCAGAAAGACTCCATCTCTTGATCCTGCAACTTTCCTTGGATCTACTTTGATAATTTGATCAATAGAAAAAGCGAAGTCACTAGTAGCTATAGGACAGTCGCCCGAGATTTCCTCTACTTTGTGTAACTGAAGCAAGTGATCTCCTGCTCTCCTATCTGATAGTACAGGTAATAATAACCCGTGAGAAACGTGTGTTTGGAGGGCTGTGTTCTTAGTGTTTACTGAGGACAAACAAAGAATTGCTCGCTTCTTGCCTGAAACAATCTTCGACATCAACCATTCCGAGCTCTTTATCCAATTTTGGTTTTCTGCCTGGAGCCGTCAGGAGGATACCGATCACTCAAGTCTGAAAACTAAGGTCAAGTCTACCGGTCCAAAGCAAACCCAAACATATTGCACCCGAATCCATGTCCTCAACTGCACCCGAACCCATGTCCTCAACCCCCAATAAACCTCAGGAGCCAAACGTCCGCCGTTGCTGACGTCATGACCCACATAACTAGCCTATTCCTTACAGTCCCGAAGCGCCCGCTGACGTCATTTTGCTGTTTCCGTCCCCTCGCAGCTGTCCATGGTGAAGGTCATGCCCGGCCAGTTCGTTCTGATGGACATCGTGCTTGACACTTGGGTTGGCCCCAAAGTGCGCTTCTCGAGTGGCTGGGCCCTCGACAGTGTCAGTACTATGCCCGGGGGCCGCAAGCTGGCAGCTGCTTCTGACGGCCGGAAGCTGGCGGCCGCGATGAAGTGGAAGCTGATGTCGGTTTCTAATATCTTCCTCTTTTGAGCAGATTGTTTTGGATAAGTTCAGCCCGGTATCATCATAAGCAGGAGTACCGTGAAGTAACCTTAGCGATTGTATCAGAGTCAGTAAAATTTAGCGGTATTGGATCAATGGCTTCACTGCTAGTGTTCTCTGGATTGTAGCAGCGCTATAGTTCTACTAGCCACCAAGCAGAACCATTTGTGCTGATTCCGATTGGTTCTTCATAGTCCGTAAGATTCACCGAGTCGTATATACGTAGTGGTTATGGAGAAGGCATTTTGACGATTTGAATTGAGGCAGATTATGGTAGCTTGATCTATCACAAGTTTTCAACAAACCTGGATTGTGTCTTCATTCTGACTGTCTAATATATTAGTGCGTTCTCCGTACGTAAGTTTCCAAATTAAAAGGACAGCAGCCCACCGAAATTTTTTGATATGATGCTTGTCTTTTAAGAGGAGAGTCACTGGCGCGCCCAGGATAAGCATTTGGATAAGCAGATACCCATAACCGAACGGAACGGCGCTTGCATGGGTTGCACTGATGCGAAGCAAAAAACGTCGTAACTCACGGTCGAGCTGACGGACCGGCTTAGGCTTGATGCCTTCATCATGTGGATTGTGTACTTTGTCTGCAAAAACGCCCTTGAATCATAAATGCGTGATTTAGCATGCCTACTTCTTCACTCAATCATCATCGCATCCAGCCAAATCTTGGTGCTGAAAGGTTCTTACACTCGACATGTCAGCTAGCGCACGCAAGCCTGCTGGTCGTAGTATTTGCGAGAAAGTTGCCAGCTCTCGGTCTGCGCCGGGTTCCGCGTGTCGCGACACTCGAAGCGCTAGCTGCAAAATGGCTTTGCTTTTGATGAAGCGACAATTCACCTGCTCATACGGGCCATATGCCGGCGTCGTACTAAGTACATAAGTTGCCAATTTTGATGCGACGAGCTGATCCGATCAGCTCGTCGTAGTGCCTGATGATCAGGCTGCTACTTTGCAACGAACCAAGATCTTTAACGTTCATGTGGACCATAAGCACAAAGCCGATTCAGGTCTTCTGCCCGTCGCGCTATTGGCCGGCAGGATCGATCATTCAAGTCGCCCACGAGTTACTTCGGATCGACTTGGAAGTGGGACCCCTGGGCCAAGGTATAGTTGCATGACATGATCTGATGAAGTTCGATTGCTGCATCGTGAGGCGTCATGTAGTATCTTATATAACTGGGCGCCACGTTAGTACGGAAAGAGCAATTGAGCGGAGTAACCGGGCCGTCCTCTTCAAGTTTGAATGCAACACCGATCCGATTTGTCAAACTTGATCAACGCAGATTTGCTACATGAAGTCAGATTATCGCGCACAATAGGCGCAGGCCTTCTTAGACAACGTCAAGGTTAAATATAGGAGTCGCACTGAAATTGAAAGGTGAGACGAATGATAATCCATGGTCCAGCCTTGAAGAAGTTGAACGCTAACCAAATCCAAATTAGGAGAATCGGGCAAGCGCCCAGACCCGTGGCTCCAGCCTGCTAACGAGAAGACGGGCTCGATTGAAGTTTGCATCGCAAACTCAAGTTCGATCTAAGCTGGTTGTACGTGGATAACCTGGCACTATCGTTGCAAAGCCAGGAGAATCTACGCGGCGTCGGTCCCGTTTAAATACTCTAATCCGCGACTTGTACTTTTGCCTCTTCCACAGACTCAGAGTTTTACTCTCTCTTTACAAATATTAACCGGCATCTACAAGTCTCACATCGGCGATTTAGTCTCACGTGACTTTCTCAATTGACAAGCTGCTCAGTTAGAAGAAAGCAAACCGACAACGTAACTTGTCGAAGGTTGTGGTTGGGTGCCAATCTACCGCGCGGGCATAGGTAGGGTTGGGTTACCATCTACTCGTGTCAACGAAGTTCTGTTTAGATAGAGGTACATCCACGCCTCAGCAAAAAGGATACTCAACGTCTCTTCTTCCTACCGGCGGCTCTGGTTCAAAGTACGCAGGTTCAAAATTGCCGTTCTTTCCAAGCAACAATTCAAACGGTTGGGGGCCACAACTCTTTCGGACCCTTTGAAGCGTCTCCTCAACCTTGAATCCTTGAAACGATAGAACCCTAAAGGTTGGGAGGCACGAATCCGTTGGACTTGCACCGGGGAAAGAAGTTCCCCGGGGGGTTGAAGCCGTCACAGCCGTCATTGTCGCAACAAACGTAGCGTCCCTGCGGATCGTTGTTGTACCAACAGCGGATCGGGAAGGCTGACGCGGCTCCTGAGCCGCACACTCCTGTGGACGAAAGCAGCGAGTCAGCATGACGTCTGCAAGCTTGTGTTACAGAATGTCGCAGCAATGCTTTCTTCACAGCTAGGGGTCCTATTGCACCAGCAGCGGTCCGCGAAGGCGGACCCGGCCCTTGAGCCGCATACTCCTAGCTGCATAGAATCTATCGACGTCAGCATGAAGTCAGCAATTTTATATTGAGCTGGTTCTTAAAGAGCGAAAGACTCCGAAGGATCGACGGAGGGTCAAATGGGCTCCCAAAGTTGAAGTCTCCACAAAGATCGAAAGATTTCCGAAATCCAGTCTCAAGCTCCGCTTTCATGAGGGTCCCTGCAGCCGACGGACTAAGACGAAGTGGGTTGTGCATGCTCAAACGAGTGCAAAAGGGCTCTCCGAGTTTCGACGTACACTCGGAGAAGCAGATCGAGTCCAGGGACTTCTTCGGTGTTACAGGTCTAGATTCCGAAATTTGAGGGCGGCGAATGGCCGCCTCCCTTCAATATATCTACGTGAGTTTCATCCTTATGAGAACGCGTTCTGAGCGAAATAGGAACCTATCACTCCGCTGACAAACCGGACGGAGCCCAATGTTTCATCCGGATCAACACACGGAAACAAGTTTGGCCATCGCCAAACCTCCTTACCCGCAGAGGTTTGCCCATCTTAACCCTGATTCGAAACATCTTCAGCTCACCTTGCGGTCCACCAGACGTAGGTGTGGGCCCGGGAGGCAAAACTTGGTTTGGGGGCACGTATCCAAAGTTCTTGCAGCGCGGGGTTAGGTTATCGGCGTTGAACCCGTCGCAACCCTGGTTATCGCAGCAGACGTATCGCCCCAAGGGGTCGTTGTTGAACCAGCAACGGGTAGGGAAAGGTTCGGCGCCCGTCTTTCCGCAAACCCCTGAAGAAATGGGATTTCAATTTAGACGGGTTAGGACACCACTGATCGAGGCGCCACGTCACTTAGCAACGACCTCAATTTTCAATGAACAGAGGTTGATTGTGCAAGATCGGCATCCTCCCGTAAGGATGTCGATGGATGTTTCTTCCAGAATTCGTAAGGAATCTGCGCGGCGATTGTATCCATATGGGATAATCACGGAATCCTGGGCGGCCAAGTCTTCAGCGGGCCATCATGTCTTAAGCACCAACGTGTTCAGAAGACCGTTATTCGTTTCAATCTAGACTAAGGACAGTCGACGAAGGTTGATGAAGGTTGATGGACAAAATAACAATCTGTGAAGCTGACAAGTTTCAGAAGGACCAGTCCCGAGGACTCAACCCTCCGAGCTTCTTCGCGAGAGGTAGTCCGCCCGAGTGAAGCTGACTGAATTGGATGCTCGGAAGTCAATGGAGTTCCAAACGGTATAGCTGCCTGACAAACGTTTCAGCACGAGTTGATGTTAACAGGGCGTAAAGTGGGCCTGTTGAAGATCGTTCATATACGCAGCCCTTGGACAACTTGTTACTCATCGGTCGCGAAAGTCAGGTTGTGGGTCAGAAACTAATGCGTCCAGCACTCTCGCAAAAAGAATGAATAAGCACTCCGGAAGACTGCCAGAGATAGAGAGACGGAGAAAAGGTTTTAAGTGGCTGCCCAGGTGGAGCTAGACCAAGACTAGAACGGTTACATCCGCAGAAAACGTTGCTTACGTTCGAAAGGATACCGTTCGGCGGCGCGGTTTTTTGAGTGCCGACAGGAACCTACTGAAGACTTTGATATGTGTACTGTCTGAGAGATGATGGAACAGCAGCTCGATCAAAGCATCACGGTCTACCCAGTCGGACGTAAGCCTTACCCTGGTCAGTTGTAGGAGGCGGGGGCGGCGCTCCATTCTCGCCGAAGTTCGGAGGCACGTATCCGAAGTTCCTGCAGTGGGGGGTGAGGTTGTCGGCGTTGAATCCATCGCAGCCTTGGGCGTCACAGCACACGTATCGGCCCTGCAGATAGGCAGATGGGGTCTTTTCTCATTCTTCGAACATCCCGCGCGCGATTGATTGAAACCCAGGCCACTAGGAAGAAGTAAAACGGCAGCATTCATTGTTAAAAGCGTAACGTTGACCTCTTAGATTGACGAGTACGCCCCTGAACTCGAAGCTCCCTGTCAATTGAAGCTAGAATGGACGCTACATCAGCAAAAAAAGCCCACCTGGGTCAACGGCTGGGTCATAGAAGATAACGTCAACCCAATGAGGTTAATCCTACCAAGTGGGCAACAAGGGTTAGCTGGTTCATGATTACATTTTTACAGAACACGTCCACCTAGGTTAAATTGGGTCAAGGTAAGGATAAACCGACGAAACAGCCCACTAACCCGGGGGTCGTTGTTGAACCAGCACCTCTGCGGGAAGGCAGCCGCGTCCCCCTGTTTGCCAGACAGGCCTTGGTCCCCTGTATACGACAGATCACCGGGTTTGCGCGTTGACATGCCAGAATCTGAGCATACGTCTGTAAGAGGGGCCCTAAGCTAACAAGTAAGGTTGGATGATAGAAGGTACTTCCGACGGGAAACTAGAAAGGTCTCTCCTCTAAGACGTTTCCGAGTTCGTTCTCTTTAAATACCAATCATGATGCCAAATCAAGAGCCCCTGGAAAGCACAATGTCAATCTGAACACGAGTCAATCGAACAAAAGCTGGCTCGAAACTGTTTCCATGAAGGTAGGATGGTATAAGGTGCCCATTGAAGGCGTTTTAGAGACTCTAGTCTAAACCGCGCTGAAGCAGCACGCGGCCCAGCATCTATACAGACAAGGTGCAGCCCTTACTTATAGCCATCGGAAGTACGGTCTGATCCGACAAATCCGGAGCAGTCTGCTCTGAACTCGCAAGATCACCGTAATCGGAGCAATTGAATTTGAAATCTTCGTACCAGTGATCGGCCCGATGGTAGGAGGGGGGGTGGGAGGCGGAGTAGGCGGTGGGGTTCCATTCTTGGGCGTAGGGTTAGGACCCGGATTTCTGCAAAGAAAAGCGGCGTCTCCATTAAACGTTAGAAGAAGGTTGAATATTTCTTTGATTGAAAGTTGGCTCAATGCAACGTTAAATGAAAGCGGAGCAAGATTTCGTCAGACTCTTGGAAACCTCGTTCAGTCGGTTCTGGTCAGCTTGAGCGGACACGCTTAGCTAGCGTCCCATGATAAGCTCTCAGGGCGATTCCTTCCATGGGAGTCTAGCTTGAGATTCACTGAGGCACATTCAAGTAATGCTTGATAGCAAGACGGTCCGCTGGAAGTAGCTGGGCACATGATTGATCGTTTCTAGTTTGATTGGTGGTAGGCGATCAGTTTGTATCCGGGGAGACTTGCGCAATTGGCGCATCCGCAGTCTCAAAGGCTGCAACTTGAACAACCCTCTTTTTCTAGTCTTCAAATTTCCACAATATGAGCAGATGACGAAAGAACGATGACCATCTCAGGCCCTACGTATTTCCAACAGACTTGGATTTAATCATTTGGCCCATGTCACGGACTCGTATGTCTCTTTGTGGTAATGGCGCCGAGTCGATCAGTCCGATGCGAGCAGCCAGCCGACTTATCCAAGATTCTGCTATGGCCAGCTTGCAGCAATGGCCATTTTCCCCCTGATATTTGAAGGATTCTCACACTCGCACAGCCCGTCAAACTTACGGAAGTTCGCACGTGCTCCCCTGGAAGTTGCTCGGGCAGACACATTCGAAGGCGCCGTTGACACCATTAAAGTCTGCGAGTGCATAGCATGTGCCTCCGTTCTTGCATGGGCTAGGATTGCACCGGTCGGTTCCTGCATGGTACGAAACTTGAAAGCATCGAGATCTGCTTGAGCGCTTTGTTCGAACAATGAAATCAACAAATATAGAAGCAGGCAAGTGGCAATTGAGAATTCAACCTATGAGGCAAGCAGATAGTTTCTTTACCCAAAGACCTATCTCATTCCCCATGCCCAAGTGCGCTTTGAAATTCACGGATCCCTCCTGATCGGACAGAAGGCCTCATGCGCAATTGGCAACCAACCTCGTGACACGGGGCAAAAGACCCCTCAATAAGCACGATTCGGAGAGTCCAGCGCTAGTAGATCCAGAATCCAAACAGCGCCTAGCGTGCAGCTGACACGCTGCCTAATTGCTCGAGTTTACCGTGCAAATTCAATGAGCCTGCAGCTGCCGGATTTGAGAGCGCCTGGTGTGCTTCTACTAGAATATAAGTTCTCCTCAGTCACTCGGACTTGGGGCAGGGCCTCTGCAGATGGTGTCTTTGAAGCATAACGACTTAGAGAGCAGATATTCGGGCTCGAGTCCTTTCAACAGAAGGCTTGCTCTGATCCACGTTTGAACGACAGGATGCAAGTCAGGCCTCAGACATGCTACACAGCTAAAGCGCACTGTCAACAAGCGCTCTGACGTTATGAAGCAAGAGCGTCGCTGCAGACCTTCAAAGATGCGTGCATGACATCATACCCACTTTTTGTTCCTGTGTGTGAGAACACCGAACACAAACCAGACTTGGAAGGAGGGGGTTGAAAAGAGACTTGTAGAGGCAGAAAGAAGTTCATTAAAAGTACCTGGCACGTAGCAGAAGTCTTCGTAGATTCTATGGCTGAGCACAGAAGGGGCATTGCAGGTACAGACGGTCTCGACTGTGGTGCGCCCCGAAATGGAATACACTTTGAGCTTACACTGGTTACCTGCAGGGGTAACACTAGCGAGATGAGCATGAGTAACAGCATCAAAAACGTGGCATCTGTGCAGCCTGTTTAGCAAAGGGGAAGGTTCAAGTCCGTTTTAAGGTGAGCGCGCGTTTCTCTAAGCTAGCGGGTTTTCTTTTTAGAACTCGCTTACAGACAAAACCGCCCAAGTCTTGGAAGCGCTTGGTGGGTTGGCCTCCCTGTTGGACAGAATGCAAGTCGGTTAGTTGCCCCTTTCTGTCTGTCATTGCTTAGAGCAAGTGTCTCTGTGAGTACTGATGTCTGGGACTCAGTGGTGGGGCGACATGGAGTCTGGGCCAGCAGCCTGATTCCCACTCATGCAGAAAAAGTAGCCCGTCCGATGTAGTCAACAGAAAGGCTAAGTACAAACTGGGAGGGGCATCCTATAAGGTCCATTCGGTCATGTCCAAACCAAGCCAGAACGGAGCCATTGACTAAATTTTGTCAACATCAGAGTTGAAAGTTTTGTAATTCAGCAACTACCAAATCCAATACAAAATGCACTGTTTCAAACAGCCTGGCAAAGTCTGACAAAGGGTTGAAGAACAGGGCTCAGCTGGCATTGACAATGTCACTGACTGAGTCAAGACCTTCCTCAATTGGAGGCAAGGCTTGCGCTCTCACTCTTGTTGTCATTGTCATAGGACTGCTAGCTTACTATATGGGAGATGTGCAATCACATCCTCATGGTAGGAAGTTAAACAGGGAACTCAGGCTTCTGACTCTGCTAGATTCTGAACAGAGTCGATTCTTTGTTAGAGTTTGGGAATTGCACTTTGACCATTCTGACGAGAGTTTCCTCAATGAGCGCCATTAGGAGCTGACATGTCAGTATTCCCAAGTGACTGATTCTGTCCTAACGGAGACAGAACCAAATAAATTTTCTGTCTCTGTTAGGGGGGCTAGGACTATCCGGACGAGGAAATCAAGCACACTTTTCATTGAGCTACCGTGCTCTGGAAGCAAGCACGTCGTAAGAACGTCCGTTCAGCCATTTCGAGCTTCCCCCTTTTAGATCGCTGAGTACTTCAGTCGCAATTCAACCCATGACCACCTATTACACAGGGCCCCTACTAGAATGGCCTCGGATTAAAGCCAGATATTCTGGTCCAAGCTGGTCCAAGCTCAGGGCTGGTCCAATCGGCAACTCTCTGTGTCTCAACTTCAGCTCCCCAAGGAAATCATAAATGCCGATCACCACATCCTGCAACAGGTAAGGACACATGCAAGAACAGCGCACCCAAAAAGCGCAGATTGATAAGGAAACACAGATTACCTGCACCGCAGGGCCCAGGATTCCCGTAGCACGGATCCGCACGGCATTCGGAGGGCTCGGTGGGCCCATATATAAAGTAGTTCCATACAAAGAACCCCGTGGGGCAGGAGAGTGAGTCGTCAAGACTCTGAGAAAAACTCGCTATAGGAAAAGAGAGCCAGCTTGCAATGATCAGGAGCAGAGCGCCGGTGTTGCGGAACGACATCGTGGGGAAGATTCTGCTAGCACCAGAACGATTGCTGAGTAAAGATGTCCAATCTACATGCTGCTTTCAACAAATATACGAGCTGCCGTCCTAGCTCTTTTCAGACCCCTGTCCGCCTGTGAACAAACTATGCCTCCAATGCTCATGAGTGGTGGAAGGACGTCGTGTGAAGGGCTTCAGAAGTGTCGGCGCAACTCTTCTCAATTTCTTGTGCGCAAAGCTAGTTGCACTGCATTCAAGCGATGCTCCCCTAGCAATGCAGGGAGTTGCTCACTGCGAATCACCGTCAATTCGAACTCTAGCTAATTGACCCGCCGCCAAAGCGCCCTGATTGGCAGAGCCTACCTAGGTACCTTAGCCATACTGTGGATGCATTATGCGACTTTACCTTCGTGTGTCAACATCTTCTTAGGAATGGCCCGGTGATCCCGTGATCCACACTGCAGTGTGCACAGCATCAGTGATCACGTAGGGTGATTCCGTCTCGGCAAATGACGCACTGCTGACGGATGAGTCAGAGCCAGCAGCTGCCACGTCCTGGCAGGCTGGCACATTTCCCTGAAACCTTCGACCCCTGTGACGGGCGCGCGGCCGCGGTCGCTTCAAAATTCAAGTTGAGTACGTCCCGGCGGCGCCGGCCGCGCGATCTCGGCCGGTCGATCACTGTTGACAGCCGTTCAGACGTTGAACGAATACCGAAGGCGGATGTCACCAGCTGATGTATCTTATATCTAGCTCACTGCATAGCTATCGATGAAAAATCAATTTCTCTGAATCATGACTGCAAGGCTCATCAGAAGGCATCATTCAAGTTACATATGTCGATCATGCAAGTACGCCACTCATGAAGCTTTGCAGTACTACAGCATAAATATACAAGCCCCATACAAGCTATAGTGCGGCCGGACATACTAACTCTGATTGCTGGCGGCTTGGACTGCCGTAATGATGCCGCGCTGAGCCACGCTACAGAGAATGCATAAGACCCTGCTTGTTGCAAACGTGCCATAAAGCAGCGCATACAGCCTCGTACCGTATAGTCACAGCAGAGTCGGCAGGCCCAGCTCCTTATAATTAGCTGTCATCATTGCACGGGAGTGGGAGACTGACTCATAGCTTTTAAGCCTGACTGCCTTAAAAGCACGACGCACGAGATGAATGAATGTGCGAAGCCGGATGAGCCAGAGTACAAGGACTCTAAACAATAAAAGAACGCTGATGGACTTGCATTTTCACTCAGAACGCAACCTGCAAGCGGTTCGTTCGTGAAAGATTAGTTATCCTGCATGAAGTTAGCAAGAAACTAGGCGGCGCTACTGTGACGTGATGATGTTTTGTTCCTTGAAAGAGTGGTGACTAATCGACTCTCTTCCTTTACAGACTATCTCTCGTACAGTAAATCAGCATCTAAAACTCGAAGTGCAGCGACTTCGAACCGATTCAAAGGGCGACAGTCTATTATCACGTCTCTACAAGCTGCCTAATCAGAATCGAGCTAAACGAGAAACAAGCGGTCCTTGAATGCCAGTCTATATAACCGTGTGGGCATAAATAAAAGGTGCGGCTATCTGTTCGACAACTAAGCAACGGTCAAAAAACAAACGTCTGTGTGCACGGGACGGCCAAAAGTGCATTCAGCAGCTGGTCTCTCTATCAGCGTCTCTATGTCAAAAGCTCCTTTGAATCCCACGAGGTTCCCAAGCAAAAATTGGGAAGTGGGGGGGCAAAAACTTGTTGGGACTGAGAAACCTAAAACCTCGAAACGTCTTAACACCCTAGAAGCCCTAAAGCCCTAGAGGCTAGGGGGCACGAATCCGTTGGTCTTGCAGCGGGGGAAAAGGTTGCCCGGCTGATTGAAGCCGTCACAGCCGTCATTGTCGCAGCAGACGTATCGGCCCTGGGGGTCGTTGTTATACCAGCAGCGGTTCGGAAAGGCTGACGCCGCTCCTAAGCCGCACACTCCTGCGAGGATACACTTGACGTCAGCATGACGTCAGCAAGCTCGGAATTGGAATTCAAATGACCCGGAGCGGGAGGTCACGGAGTCAGAAGGTAGACGGAGGGATGGAAGAGGATGCCGGAGCTTCGAAGTCCCTCGCAGAGGATTATCACACGTCCTGTCTAGAAGGTCCCTTCCGACGCAAACATCGAGAAACAGTACCAGCAAAAGCGGCGATCGAGGCGAGCTTTGCAGTACCGCAACGAATTCTGAAGGGCTTCTGCCTCTTCAAAAGAGAAAAGCCGGAGTCGGTAGCCTTATTTCGGGTGCACGGAATCAGGTTTGGGACTGGGAATCCTGAGCAGAATGGAGTAAGCAAGGGCCAACGCCCTTCCATGCTGATCCTGATCGGCTATTCTGGCACAGCGGCACAGCAAAGTGCTCGGCAAACTTACTGCTGATTTGCGTTTGGCACGGGGCAACTTAAGTTGTTCATACCCTCTTGTTAAAAAAAGCAAACCCATGTATAAACCACGTCGAGCATGAAACTTTCACCCCTTTGACCATATTTCAAACCAGCTTGTAGCCAATCCCTGTTCATTACTAGTGGATCCTGGGCACGGGAGGCGGAGGCGCGGATAAACAAAGGACGTGACCCGTATCTGCGCATGGTAACCATGAAGCAATTTAACCCCAATTTAACCCAGTTTTGAACTCACCTTGCGGTCCACCGGTGGGTCCGGGCCCGGGAGGCGGAGTGCGGGCGAACTTCAAGATGTCGGGCACCAAGCCAAAGTTCTTGCAGTGCGGGGTTAGGTTATCGGCGTTGAACCCGTCGCAACCCTGATTATCGCAGCAGACGTAGCGCCCCAGGGGGTCGTTGTTGAACCAGCACCGGGTGGGGAAAGGTTCGGCGCCCGCCTTGCCGCAAACCCCTGAGGAAAACGGGTACGTTTCAAGTATCAGTCGGGTCGGAGTCTTTCCCATACAGCTTTCAGCTTAGGACAGATATTCTGTTTCATCGAGTGGTCGATGAGCTGAACGGCTCAGGCCCAATTGTTTGCTCACCTAATCAGACTTTTATCCTCACTCAAACAAAAGGATTCTGCAAGAACGGGAACTCTTACCATGTTGCGTGGACAACAAAGGCGATGAGTCTGTTCGTCGACGGAAATCAGTCCTTGACAATCCTCATTGAGGACTGGTTACTCCTGCGCTGATAGGTTGCAAGTCCTTCAGCTAACCAGGTCACAAAAGCACTGGCGCGAGAAAGGAGTAACATACTCATCATGATCTGAGTTGTCGAGCTGGTTAGATCTTTGATCAGGTTAACAAGGTTCAGTGAACCTCATTCCGGATCCGTTCGTTTGGAGTTCTCCGCACGCACGTATTCAGTTCGTTTCGGGACGAGAGTACGATAGTGAAGAATCCAACATGAATCAGGGTTCGACGCGACTCCAAGACGCAAAGACGAGTCTCCGTGAAAGCAAAGCGGACCAGAAGGTCGTTCACATCGGCAATCCTTACACTCATTCGTTCCCCACTGAGGACGAACGACGGTCAGGATTGTAAGTTCGGAAGTGGTATCAAATTTGCTCGTCGAAAGGCCCGGCCTGAGACATCCAGCTTCTTTGCACAGATAAGTTCGCAGCACTCAAAGAGGAATCACAACCCAATGTCAGAAGCTACGCGCAATCTGCTGAAGCGGCTTCCGATATTAGCGGAGATTGTTCTCCGGTTATACACGCGAGGAGACACCGACGTCTGGTGGTGTGTCATTGGGGTGCTGAACGTTTGCTGTGTACACTGTCCGACAATAACCGGAATCAAGGAAACAAGTCATAGAGAGGTTGACCTGAACCTTACCCTGGTCAGTCGTTGGAGGCGGGGGCGGCCCTCCGATTTTGCCAAAGTTTGGAGGCACGTATCCAAAGTTTTTGCACTGTGGGGTCAGGTTGTCTGCGTTGAATCCTTCACACCCTTGGGCGTCACAGCACACGTATCGGCCCTGCAGGTAGTACCAATAAAATGCTAACACTCTTTAAGGTGTTCAATCGAGTCCTCGTTGAGATCGGGTACGCATCCAACTTCGGCAGCATCCGAATCCAGAAGTTCAAGCGTGAGCTTCAAGAGACAGTTCGGGACTTCACCCCTTGTTTCATCGAAATTCGTCTCATACTAGCTGAAACTTGGAGCTAGACCAAACAGAGACGAAAAGCCCCCGGCTCACATGAGTTTGGCTTCGTTGCAAACTTGGAAAACCCACATGGCTTAGCTACAGTGATTCTAAACCAACAGAAATACCCACATGGGTTAGCGAGGACACGATAGTCCTCAACCCACCGAAATGCTCACTTACCTCGGGGTCGCTGTTGAACCAGCACCTCTGCGGAAAGTCAGCCGCGTCGCCTCTGCCACAGATCGGGCCTTGTTCCACTGTATACAAGCATAGCCGGATTAGAACCATAACCATGCCTGGTCAAGTCTCTGAATCAGATTAGTGCCCAGGAAAAAGAGACCTTAACCGCAATTGGTAACCGCACATCGGGGCCGGCCGGATGATAGTAAATACTCCCTAAGCAATCTAGGAGGGTCTATTAGTTTTCCTGACTTCATGCATGTACTTTTTCTTTCCAGCCTAGATGCCAACGTGGGGGCGTCTAGCAAGCAAAGCTGGCCGCTGCTCGACTGATCAAAAGAGAGATCTGCACCAAACCGAGACGCAAAGGGTAACACGGTAATGAATGACGTTTCTCGGGCTCATTGTGATACATGGCTCCACGCTCCAGCAGCAAGCAGCATACCAGTGAAGGACGAGCTGAATCCTTTGCCAGCGATTTGTAAACAAATCTGTAAGAGAATCTGCAGCAAAAGCATGCCATCCGAAAGTAGATTGAGAAACGAGAAGCGTAGCACCTAATGAAGGCAGAGAAGATACAGCTTGTGCCAGCGACTCATACACGGATAGGACAGTTTGGGCAGATTGCATGCATCTTAAAGTGAAGTAAAGCGAAGCTCGACTGAAAGTGTCGTACCAGGCGGTTCAACGACAATGATAGGTGTGGGAGAGGGAGTCGGAGTGGGCGGCGGAGGTCCAGTCCTGGGCGCGGGGATGGGAGCTGGGTTTCTGCAAACAACGGAGCTACGGTTTCAGTGACTCATATTGGTTAAAAGATCTTGGTCGAGTGTCTTTCGACCAGAGGGAGAGCGCCCTTTTAGAGAGCCTGACTGGTCAACATATGGTCAACACGAGATGGACAGAACGGATAGGCGGTAAGCTGCTCACATGCTCGTTATGAAACCGGTCAAAAGAAGGCAATTCCCTTGACCTTTTAGAATGACAGATAGCTTGTTCAGTTGACCTGGTCTTGACCAAATTCGTTGGTGTCTCCGAGTGGGCTGCCATGCAAACCCCTTTGAATTGCTCCAACTTGATAAGGGGATTAGCAGGGGACATAAACCAAGACGGTGGGGCAGAACCTGAGCACGTAACCCGTTGAAAATAACAGTGACGTCTGTGGTGCCTGGACCTGACGGAATTCAGAACGGGATTCAGAACGGTATTCAGAGCGGTTTGTATCGAGGTTATGCAAACCATCGAAAACGAGAAAAGGAGCATGGGACTGATCTAAACCGTCTGTGACCTGAACCGTGACTCTTGCTGAAACGGAGACGAGTCAATTCCAGCGTCCAGTCGTCTTCTGGCGGGTGAGGCAATGCCGCCTTCCAAGTTGTTTGGGAAAATTTTGATTACTCGCAAACTCACACAGCTGTCAAACTTACGGGAGTTCGCAAGTGGTTCCCTGGAGGTTACTGGGGCAGGTACACCTGAAGGCGCCCTGGACACCGTTGAAGTCTGTGACTGCCTCACACGTGCCTCCGTTCTTGCACGGGTTTGGGTTGCACCGATCGGTTCCTGCTCGGTAAGAGGATTCTGTTTGGAAAATGTGAAAGCCCCCATGTAAGAGTCTTCTGGCATCGATTTTTGTTCGGATATCAGGGAAGAGACCATCTTATCAGAGCAGCAGGCCTCTTTATCGAGGTAGAAGATCGATCTTGACTTCGGACAAAAGTTAATAGGATTGGGAACGAGAGTTTCCACTTTTTTGGCCCATACAACGGCCGCCCAGCCTTTACCTCGCAACACTGCCTAGCATTCACTGTGTTTCCAGATTTATATATGACATGCAGCTACTGCCAAACTTGGTGCGGCTTGGTTATGAAGAGCTCTTTAATTAATAGAGACATTGGGTGAGGCCTAATGAAATGCCCTCAAAAGTGTAACAAGTAGAGAGCAAACTCGTTGTCTAAGACTCTCCTCATACGAGAAGCCTTGCTCTGAAAACTTTTAATCAACAGCTAGACAGTTATTAGCCAGGCCTTAGACGTTTTATGCAGCAAAAGGGCACCTGCCACCGTCAACTGAGCTCCATAAGGGACAAAGCCTTGCTGCATAGCACACAATGCATTCATGACTTCATACCCAGCTTTATCTTCCATATGAGTAGAAAGACCTGAAGAATCACTGCATGTAATAATAGAGGAGCCATCAAGAGAGAAGAGCTTCCAACCTGGGTACCCTGGCACATCGCAAAGAGGAAATAGTAGGAGACCTACTTACCTGGCACGTAGCAAAAGTCTGCGTAGACGATGTGGCTGAGTATAGAAGGGGCATTGCAGATACACACGGACTCAATTGCGGTGCGCCCCGAGATGGTAGTCGGCTTGTATGTACACTGGTTACCTGCAGGGTTACATCACTATGATGAGCTCAAGTGAAAGCTTGAAACATTGACACCTTTGCTGTGGGTCTAGCACAGAGGAGAATCCCATGTCAACCCTTGTCTTGTTACTGCTTTTGTGCCTGGCAGGTTTGAGTGTGGCTTTTGGCGCGTTTATTGCTAGGATTAGAATGAATGGTACTTGTGAAATTCGATGTCTCTGAAGAGGGAGAGGAGGTGCGTCAGATGAAGTTAATAGGAAGGCTCCGCCGAAAAGGCCTTGTACAGCCCGGGCTGGCTCACTGTGGCACTGTTGACTCTGGCTGACTTTGGCTGACTTGGATTGACTTGGGGAACATAAGCTTGAGGCCTTGGTAGATGAAGAGTACCTCAAAGACACAAAGACTCTGCTATTTGCCATTTTAGATTGTGGAGTAGAATTTCCGGAGCTATCAGGATCGTTCTTGTGCTGGGAGAGAAGGGCAACATCCCCAAGTAAAGGTGCAGCTGATGACTTTGTGAAAGTTGGACAAAGAGAGCAGTACAGTGTCAGCAATCTTAAACCGTGACTTCCTGGTCGAAGCGCCCTTGCATTTGGTCAGAGCACAATCTTGAGGCTGGTCTAAGCAGCACCTTGTTCTGTTTGAGCCAAAACAACAGTGCCTGCAAAATCAAGCTCACTACATACGGCAACATGTTTGTCACTTTCAACCGACTCGTTTCTGACCTTGACCTCAACAGGGTTTTCAAAATTGCTTTCAAAATTGAGCTCAGGCAACTACGCAATGTGACAAATTGATAGGAACGTCAACGACAATCTTACCTGCACCACAAGGACCAGGATTTCCAAAGCATTTATCAACGGCGCACACCGGGGGCAAGGCACCAACAAAATCGTTCAGGCCCGAATGAACCCAGCAGGGCAGGAAAAGTCCTTGTCGACAATCAGAGAAACAGTTGCTGTGGGAAGAGAGATGCAGCTTGCAATCATTAGCAAAGCAGCAGCGCGAAGCGCCATTGCGGCGACCATTTTGCTGGCACCAAATTAAAAGCTCTGAAAGTTCCCGAAAGTCTAAACCCTGGCGCTCATTAATGTGTCGTCCAACCTCTTTGAAAATGAGCACCTGTGATAAAGCTTAGCTACAGCAATGGGCCCGATAATTCATCTGAAGAAAGACCTTTCTGTGAAGTGCTTTCTGTAGAATGCTGCTCCTCTAATACCCAGGAGTCGGTCCATAATGCATGGGGATGCCGTAACGATTAATCCCAGCTAGTGGGCGCCCCCACTTTGATCCCAGCTCTAGCATTGCTTTTGGCAGCTGCCTGAGCAGCCTGCTAGCGCCACCCTGCTACCGGTTACCGGTACAACAGTCTAGGGCCGGTCTGACTACCGGTAGCTAGGTTACAGGTAGCTGGGGGAGAATCACATGCAGGAACAGTCGCACTCCTGTATCAAACGCAGGGATCAATCATCATAACCCAGTCTTCGGAGTAGCGGAAACTGGCCGCCACCCTGTAAACCTACTTGCGTAAACCTTTTGGTTACGAGAGCCAAGTGTCGCTGTGAAGTTTCTCTGAGGCCCGGGGATTTGACCAGTGGGACCCAGTACTGCTGACAAGCTGCCAGGTGGCAGCTGCTTGGCTGGGTAGCGCGCTGCGTCAGCGATGTCGTCATCCGGCGGTCTTCCTCCTCAGAGTCACTCTGAAGTACAATGATGCGTATGCGACATTCTCGCAAGGGTGACCCCAGCAGGGTCACCCTGCAGGCTGCCAGTGCGAGTCACCCAGGCGGCTCCAAAGTCCAGAGTACGGTACCGGTTAACAAATTTGAGGCAGTTCCCTATTTTGTCACGGACATCAGCACATGCATGGGTGCCCACTGCCTAGCGCTTGTGCATGTCTAGCTGCAGCTGCTGCTTCATACGGTATAGGTACCTCATATTTGGAGGGTCAATCTTTGCGCTGAATGGGCGATTCTCTGAGGTCTGCAGAAATTGTGGCAGCTAATTGAGCTGAGGTCCGGGGCTCTATATATTTTGCTCTGCAATTCTTCAAACACGCAGCAGGAGGGTCGGCATTTCTGGCACAATATCGCCAGGACTTTCCCGCACAGACGCAACGCTGTAGCGTCTTCCCTCCGGGGGCTGATTGGTTCTGCATCTCGAGCTAGATTCGGATTGAGCAGCCATCAAATTGCCAGGGACCGCCTTTGGCGCCAGCTAGCGCAATGGTGGTCACAATGGCGCTCCGCACAACAGCGCTCTTCCTGATCGCGAGCTGCCTCTCTCTTCCTGCGTCGGCGGCGGACGACTCTCAGAGTATTGTCGAAAGGGACTACTCCTGTCCCCCCGGCTTCATTCCCTTGCCCAATCAGGGCGCCAACTATAACCCCAGTTGCGCAGTCGATCGCTGCTACGGGACTCCTGGCCCTTGCGGCGAAGGTACGTTGCGCTGTATGCCGTTTGCATGATAGTGTCCTCTTTTATTTGATTCAGGGATGAATCAGGATTACTATTGAGGATGCCAAGAGCAGATTGTCAATTTGCAATCACAAGAATGCAGAATTCTTGTCGGATTCTGCAATGAATTACAAAACTTGTGATTGAATCAGGGTTGCAACAGCAGAATCTGATCCGCAGCGCCTTGTTCACTACTGGCACCTGCACCACGCCCTGGGAAAGAGTCGATAAAGAAATGCTGCTTAGACAGCTGGCAGCCTTAAGCGCTGATTGCTCTCCCCCCAGGCACGCAGTCATAAAGGTGCCATTGCATGGTAAACTCGAGCAGACTAGGAACTTAAACGTGCTAAATCGTGCTTGTTTCAGCTGCCCGTGCTGCTCTGCGCATCTCAATGTCTTTGGCCCCTCTGTCTTTGGATGACTGGCCCTACTCTCCCGAATCGGTAGAGTTCTGTCCCTTTATCAGTTACTTCGTTGTCCTTCCTAACCGAAACCTGTCCTTACTCCCTTCTCCGGCTGGTTTCCTGCCTCCCCATCTGACTCTTTCTCAGCTGTGCTCAGCTCTTCCTTAGGACTGTTTTCGCATTATCAACTTGGACGGAGAAGTTGCAGAGGAACTCACAGGAGATCTTGGTTGCTAACCAGGCTGACTACCAGACTGAGTCTCAGGTTACTAGCCAAATATCCCAGCTTTGACCTTCTTCCGGGGCTGGTTGAAGCCCAAGTCTGGTTGCTGGACATATAGCCAGTCTCTGACCGGCCATAAACAGCCCCTAACCATCCATGCTTAACAGCCAAAACCTGGTGTGATTGTGTATGGTACGTTGATCGCTTCTCATGGAGTAGATTCTCAAGGCAGGAGGACAGATAGCCCTGGTGGAGTGGATTGTATATGCTGACGTCTTCTCCTGCTCATCAAGGTGGTGACATGTCACATCTGCAGGTAACCAGTGTACATCCAAAAAGTCTACGGTCTCGGGGATATCTACATTCGAGTCTGTGTGTACCTGCTCGGCGCCTTCCGTGCTCGCCCACATTGTCTACACGGACTTCTGCTATGTGCCAGGTACTTATAACGAACGTCTCACTATGGCTATCTACTTCTCAAGAGTTTTCATAGTAACTTCTGGCTGCTAACCGTACTGATTTAAATATCAGAGTCGAGTCTCAGGTTATTGGACAGATAACCGGGCTCTAACCTTGTTTCAAGGCTGGTTACCGCCCAAGTCTGGCTACTCGACAGTTAACCACTTTGAAACGAGCCCATAGCCAGCCCCTAGGTGTCATCGTTACGAGCCAAAAATTCCTGTGAATTTCGCACAGGCCTAGCAAGGTCTTTTACTCCCCGACATGTTTCCCTACGTGCCAGGGTACTAGTTTCCGGGTTAAGTTCCTTCCTCTGTGTCTTCCCTGTCAGATCTTGTGCATTCCATCTCTTTCGCCGGTGTTTCGACTACTCACAGTGGACGAAGGACAGGGTAGTGTAATGAAGCTATGCATGCATTTGAAGGTCCTGCAGCAAGGCTTTGTCAAAAAAAAAGGGTGTTAACGGTGCCAGGCTTCTACCATGTAGCATGCCTGAGGCCTTGCTTGGCTGGGGTATGCTAACGTCTAACCAGCGTGGTTAAAACACAAGTTTTTTGGAGAAGGAAAGGTTGAACCCAAAGAGTTTCCCTCCGAGTGGACATGCTTTGGAGACACGTCATCAGACCTCCTCTCATGTCCCTGTGATGGAAGACTACTTATCCAAGCACCAACCAGATTTGAGGAGCTGAGACGATCCTGCAAGTGTAATCTAAAATATGTGGGGTGTGCAGCGCTTATAAGCTGCGGGCTAAGCTTCTCAGACTCGATTCTCAGATACGTGCTTCAATTCAGATGTTCCCTCTCCAAGTTGAAAGTTTGCTGCCCCGCTTAAGAGGCTTGTGCTCGGTTAAGGTGTTCTTTTTCCCCCACCGTCACCTAGGCGTGTGGAGCTGCTAAAAGTCCCATTACGGATACATCAGCTACTTTAGTTTGCCAAATTGAATCCTTCTTGCTGCGCAGGGACTGATCGCTGCAACCCCAACCCGTGCAAGAACGGAGGCACTTGCGAGGCAGTCGCGGACTTCATCAGCGGTGAAAAACGGGCCTTTGTTTGTACCTGCCCCCAGAACTTCCAGGGGGTCACTTGCGACCAGCCGTAAGTTTGATGGCTGCGTCTGTTTGCGAGTGATTAAAAGTTCCAAAACCACGTGAAAGTTGCAGGGCAGAGTTTGAAGGGTGGCCGCTTATATGGGCTCGTCCCCATCACGAAGTTCTAATGCAGATAGGTCTTTTGACGGGGTCGAGTTCAACACTTGTGAGGGTCTGACTTTGGAATGCGCTTGGTCACCTTTCGAAGAGTCTTTATACTAAACATTCTTGGAAGTCAAAAATAGGGAGAGGCGTCGCTCAATCATGCTCCTAGATCCTACTACTCCCAACCTTATACAGTGATCGGACACAAGCAGCTGGTATGCACCGTTATCCATCTCGAGTAAAGGGTAATCACGTGCCCTTCAAACGGACCCTCGATCTAGCTTGCTTAATGTACCCTTAACAATAGGTCTCCCCAGTACCCAAGCTCAACTCGGAACAAAGGATCCATCAGCTGACAAGGACGAGCTCAAGAAAGATTATTCCGTCTTGGAATAAGCAGAAAATGTTTGGGCCCGCTTTCGTTTGAAGGGTGTTTTTGTTGAAAGTAGAGGTCGGTTAGACGTCCAAATTGTTGAGTTAGGACGTGGTTACTAGCTAGTTTAGCTAGGCTAGTTTCGACCGTACGATCTAGAGTTCTTACTCAGTGTGAGCCGTCGATCAAGGAGTTTTTACATGAGGATACTAGAGGGCTAATTGTAGGCTCGACTAGTGTGACTTGGACGTTTGTATTGTGATGGGAAAATCATACTAAGAGATGCTTGTTGGGAGAAGAGCGCTTCCTTGTGTGAAGGCGCTTGTGTTGAGGGTGGTCAAAGCCCCGTTGGTTTCAAGCATGTACGTATGATTTCAACATTTCTGACCCAATTGACCATCTTTCAGCCTAGCACACTGACCGGGCAGACCGGGATGCATTAACCAAAAAGGGTTGTTGACAACTTCGCTCTGTTTGTGCAGAAGCGAGAATCCGGCACCCACTCGCAGGAACGGAACCTCGCCCCCAACCCTGCCTCCCACTCCCCCTCCTACCACTGGGCCGCCGATTATCATCGATGGTACGAGAACTTAGCTCCGGTTCACAATTCTCCACTTTACTTGACTTCATTTTACTCTACTTCACTCATTTTACTTTACTTCACTTCAAGGGAAAAATTGAAAATGATTCTGATTCTGCGAACTGAGAAACAGAATCCAAAGTCTGATGATTAGATTGAGTTACTAACTGTGAACGGACTTGCAAACTGCTTCCATTCAATTTGCAGGAAAACTTCAAAGTGCTGCGATCTTTGTTGAAACTTTCAAACGATTACTGATAGTGTCGTTCTGTCTTGGCTGCCGCTACGCTGGAGATGCTTGACCGGATGTTCCGACAGCCCAGGGAACGTTACTCCGTACCCTTTGCGACCTTCTTAAGAAGTCCTTCAGTTTGTATTTCCGATTTTCCGTCCCTTCCAGCGGTTTGCGGAGTTGCCAGCTTTGCATCGCAGATTAGTTCCTGATCTGCGCACGTGAATTGTATATTGAAATTGAACGGCCTCAGGAACGAGTGATCAAGCCGAGAGATGTTCCTCGATTCCACTCGAAGGCATTACTGCTGTTCAGTTCTACTTTGGACAAGTCAGAAACTCTGTTCCAAACAATTACTATGGTCAGAGTCTGCTTAGATGCCCTTCGAACGTGCATGGTTACATTCAAAGCCCACTTATTCTTGTTTCAGGAAATCAAGGCCTGTGTGGCCCGGGCGAATTGGCCGAGGCGGCTCCCTTCCCGCAGAGGTGCTGGTTCAACAACGACCCCCAGGTTAGTGGGCGGACTGCGTGGGTTAAGGACGTGTGTCCCTGCTAACCCATGTTGATTTCCTGGTGGGCTCAGATACATCGTGTGCCAGTTAGCCCTTGTGGGTTACTCAATTTCAAAGTCAGCCAACCGAAGTCACGTGGGCTCTTCGATTCCTGAAAGCAAGCCAACTCCTTTGGGCTTAATTGCGCTCATTAACCTAGCTGATTCGTACCCAACTTCATACCAGCTTCGAAACAAGACGTGAAGTCTGCGATGGTCGCTCGAGGTTTCAAACTGAAGCTTCTTCAATTAAGGTTCTGCAGAAAATTGTGGATATGCAGCCGATCTGATCAACCATGCGCTTGAAAGAATGATAGAAACATTCATTTCTTGCTTGCAGGGCCGATACGTGTGCTGTGACGCCCAAGGCTGTGACGGATTCAACGCCGACAACCTCACCCCCCACTGCAAGAACTTCGGATACGTGCCTCCGAACTTCGGCAAAAGTGGAGGGCCGTCCCCGCCTCCTGAAGGTGACCAGGGTAAGATTTGAGCGAACCTGGTCAGGCGTGACCTTTTGACAGTGCGCTGAAACTGTTCTAATAGCGTTTGCCAGGCAAGCTGTACCCCCGATTATTCATGCTTCTGTAATCTACGAAAGAGGCGCCACCCAACGATGCGTCGCCTCTCGGGCCCTTTGTAAGGCAGAAACGTTTCTTTAGATGAGCCTCTGCTTCTCGGTCTACTAATTTTGGTCGGAAACGCCGTTGAGGGCTATACTGCCTGGTCTTTGGGGATCAGCATTCAAAAGGGCAATTGTGACGGCTCGCGACAATTGTTCCTGCCGGTGCTTTTTAACCTGGGCCCTGCCCGCTCGAGTAGAGTCACGGTGCTGGTGACCCATACTAGCTATGATCGCCTACTAATCAGCTGTCCCTCAAACAGCATCGCGGCTCCGATCTTCAATGCAACACGAGGGGATTCGTCTCCTACACGATCCTCAGGCTCTGTTCGGGATGTCCTTGAATCGAGTACAGCGGTGCCCAGTACTGCACGTCAAGGAACAGAACATTTTGAGGAATCCTAAAGCTCGTGAAAGCCTCCAAACCCGTCTGAATCGAAACCCCTTTGCCTCAGGCGTTTGCGGCAAGACGGGCGCCGAGCCTTTCCCCAACCGGTGCTGGTTCAACAACGATCCTCTGGGGCGATACGTTTGTTGCGATAACCAGGGTTGCGACGGGTTCAACGCCGATAACCTAACCCCGCACTGCAAGAACTTTGGTTACGTGCCCGACAACTTCGGCCGCACTTCGCCTCCCGGCCCGGGTCCCACTGGCAACGGGGGGCCGCAAGGTAAGCTGCAAACCGGGTTTTCATATTGGGTTAGTGTATACTATAACGGGTGAAAGTCTCCGGTTTGAAGTGGGTTAGACGCCATGGATTTGTTTCCACCTATCAGACCATATGAGCATTTTGCCCCCGTGCGAATGTCGAAGCAGACGTATTTTGCAATGTCAATGTGCTGTGGCCACGCCAAAAGAGCTAGGCATCGAGGAGCCGTTGAAGCTTAGTCGACTCGCTAGCCTCACGAACCTGGCCCTGATTCTAATTACCGGAAAGTACGACCGATTCCGTAGTTGCTCGTTGTATTTCGACGCTGGAATTGAAAGCCCTTTTGCAGGCGTGTGCGGGACGGAAGAATTCACTCCGGCTTTGTCCGCTGGGAGCACGTACTGATCCTCTTGACCCTCACAGAGTAATATCTCGAGACAGCACTGTGTGAAAATGCGTTCTTAACTTGCGGAAAAGCTATTCAGGCATCCCATCTGCTCCTTCGTCAATCCTTCCATTTCGCGACCTCACGCGCGTTACCCGCTCAAATTGCAGCTTGCTGACTTCATGCTGACTTTGAGATTTGCTCGCAGGAGTGTGCGGCTTAGGGGCGGCGTCGGCCTTTCCGAACCGCTGCTGGTACAACAACGACCCCCAGGGAAGATACGTCTGCTGCGACAATGACGGCTGTAATGGCTTCTATCAGCCGGGCAACCTTTTCCCCCGCTGCAAGACCAACGGGTTTGTGCCCCCCAGTCTCTAGAGTGTTAGGATGTTGAGACCTCAGGTTCTTAGGGTTTTAGGGTCGAGGGGTAGGCGTCGAGGTAAACTCAGAGTTTTTGGGTTAGGGGCTACTAGTTTTAATTCAATGGGTTCGTGCCCTCCAGCTTCTAGAGGTTTAGCTTGGAGACCTGGTCATAACCGGGGGCGGATTTTGCTCGAGAGCCGCCGGTAGGAGAGCAGCCAATGAGTCCCTTTCTGCCGACTCGTATGCAGACTTTGTCTTCTAACCACGCCTGGTTGACGAGTAGTTAGCCGACCGGTCGAGTTAACGCAACCAGCCACAATCAACTGTCTCTTGTCTATCAATCACCCGGGAGCAGCTTGTACATAAAGAGGCCGTAGTTAGTTTAGACTGCGCGCCGCCCAGCTACTGGTCTGATTAGCGTAGTAATGCCGCTTTCGTTTGTAGACAAGAAGAGGCATAGTCACGCATTAGAGCCTAAGTGTCTGGAGTGGAACTTCGTCACGTTTAGCGCCGCGCAACTGAATGTTCGCATCGTGCAAAGATGCTGGTCGTCGTTTTGATCCGCTTGAGTTGTCAAGTGTGTGTTCTGGTATAGCTGTGAAGTTTGGATTTCGGTCCGTCAGCTTGATTGATCTTGGAATGATCTTAATTGTACGTCTGGCCCATCATCGAATCCAGCTTCGCTACAATATTTAAGATCGCCTTGAACGTACACCGCTAGGCTTTCGATGGATTGATCCGGCCTCAGGGCCTCTCCTCTTACTCGCACACCGCCATGCATGCCCACGATCATGTAGGTGCTGTGATTCCTGAAGTCTGAGGGCCTGGGTCACCTTCTCATCGTTACTATAAGGCATCATAGCAATGATCAGATACGGTGCACACCATGAATAAGCTTAGTAGGACACTGCAGTCACTCTCCTAACAATTTTTCTAAGCTACGGTACATAAACCATCGCCGGTCGTCACAGTGTCATGACAAAGATTGAACCGTCATGTACTCATGCATCAATACATGCAAGACGTAAAGCTGAATGGCGGCCGGAAAAGCGGGCCGTGGGGCGGCGACATATGCCAGGGATAACGTTCACAATGCACATGTATTTTTACATGAGAGTCGGTCCATTGAATGCAGGAGCAACAGATCGTGCAGATTTGGCGGCCGCAGTTCCGTTGGACGCATGCATATGAGCAGTCCAAAGTCGTTTCTAGCTGATCCATCGAAGCTTCAAATCATGTTCGATTTGATCAGTGAGAGGAAAACAAGGTTTGCAGCTTTGAGGGAGCTCGACAGTGACTGGCTTCGATATACTACGACGTTGCACATGAAGTGAACCTTCCCGACCACTCAAGTCTTGCTACTTGATTACCGAAAAGCGTGATTGCATGTCGAAACCTACTCGGAAGCACACACGGCCCGTGTTTTATTGGCTGAAATGCCTAGTACTGGTGCATAGATCCTGAGACCAGTCCAGCTTTCAACACCAATCTACGGTGATTGGCGAGTCAAATGGCAACGCTTTCACGGTGATCCGCCGCTTTTCCGCCAATCTGACCGGCGCTAAGTGAGAGCGCGGGCACACCGAAATTTCGTCCACCGTCAGCGGCATCATTCTGCGGACGTCACACCTCTCCCGGCCAGGCCAGAGGGCAACTCTGTCCCCGTCTACAGTTTTGGTATCACTTTCTTAATGTAGCTGTGTTCCGGATCCCATTCAGGGTACTGCCGATAGGGTCCCCCCTCTCAGGTCTTCATCCACGTGCACCATCCGAGAATGGCCCTGATTAGACTGTAGAAGCAGCCGGATATACGACATACGATAGACGATATACGATATACGATATACGATATACGAGCCTCATCGTGATTTTGCCCCGCTCTCGCCCTTTTCTTTCTTCTTCCCCTTCCGATTCCGGTCCGCTTCCGCGTGTTCCGCTTCCTGCCTCCAAACGCCGTCAAGATCCGCCCAATCGAGCGCCAAATCCGGGCAACGTTCTACGCCGTGTCTCCGTTCCGCTCCCCTTCAGCCGTTCCGTTCCGGCCCCTCAACCGTCTTGCTCTGGCTGCCCGCCGATTATGACGAATGTCAATTTCGCCACAAACTCGACGAATAAAGAACAGTCGCCAAATCTTACAGCGCTCGCGCCCACAAACTCCTTGCCCTCCACCGTTCCCTCACAGAACGCCCCGCTACGCGCGCGCGCCCGGTTGCCCGCGGCCGCGGCAACGGCCGCTCTGCTCTCCCCTCTTTGTTCAATAGCCTTTCCATCCTCCTCTTCGTCTCGACGTAGCAGGCTGAGAAATTCTGCGAAGCTCGCATGCGCAAAAACGACCACTCCCAAAAATCATCTCGCTTTGGGAAATGCTTTGGGAAATGCATTCTTTGGGAAATGAATTCTCTAGATCACACCCGGGCTTCTTCTCATTCTCGGATGCAAACGGGCAGCAACCACTCGGCCTCTGTCCGGACAAAGAAGTCAACAATATCGATGACAAGAGGCTATGGAGCGGGCGAGTTCCGCCCATTCTTCGCGCCCTCTAGATCTTGTCCGGCGCCGGAAGGCCTTTGGACGTCTCCGCCCTGTATACCCTGACCTCGATCTGCTTACCTGAAACTTTGGACAAAAGCTCCACCCCTACTAGTGGCCCGAAGAACGTTCTCAGTTCTTTGGTTCTCTGAAAGTAGAGCCCCTTCGCCGCTCTCCTCTTCAAGGAGCCCCCAGCCCCGCCTTTCAGTTCACTGCTGTCCGCCCGGTAAGTTCGGGATTCCGGTCTTGCAGATCATCATTTCCGCCGAGCTTCAGTACGTCAGGCGCCCCTCTGTCCTCACTTCCATTGGAAACTCCGCCTACCCGGGTGGGTTATCCCCCGACTTCGTAGCACCCAAACCCGCCTCATTCTCCCGCGAACCAAACTCCCCGCTGACGTCACGTATACCTCAGCGTTCTCCCCAGCCTTTTTATTACGGTACGAATGTAAGAACCGTTCCGGTCGCCTCCAAGCGTTGAGCCTCGGCGTCGCCCCCACTTTCCGCCGCTTCGATCCACGCCTGGGGTTCCGTTGCATCAACAAACACAGGAATCTTTTGCCGTTAACCACCGACGATTATGGGCTTGTTAAGGAGTGGTTATGTGTCCAACAGACTTGGGCGGTGACCAGCAGCTGTGGATCAAAGTTAAACACCGGCTATTTATCCAACAACCCGAAATTGAGACTGGTAAACAGCCTAATTAGCGGCCAGAATTTCTTCTGAAATCTGCGGTCAAAGCAAGCGCGGGCGGGCGAGTGCGGCCCCATCCCCACCGTCGCTTCCCCCTTCCGTTTCCGCTCCATCTTTCGTTCCGCTCTCAGCTCGCGGGACCGCACCGGACGAAGCCCGTCTTTTCGCAGATATACAGACGGCTCGAAACTTCTAGGTACTTCTGTTCCGATGATAGACTCAGCCCTCGTAAGCATCCACCTCGTCACCGTCCGCTTCCGGCTGACGTCACATGCAGCTTGAGGCCTCTGAGGGAGTTCAGCGCAACGAGGCCCCAACAGTTAGGAACTTAATGTTGGGGCCGAACCAAGTGTCAGTCGATAGGTCCATGTGGGCAATCTTGTGCGCACATTCGAAACCTGCGAGGGGACGGAAAGAATAAAGACAGAAAGTCGCGTTGTATCCTTCCAAGTGCCGGTTGATCAGCACGCGGCGACGTCGGAAGTAATCAAAGTACTCTGAGGTCGCCGGAAGGAAGGACGACTGCATGTTTCCCCGCGACCAAGAAGCAGGCGCCTCGCTCTTGGTTCAGAGATGCAGAGCGGATGCGTTAGGGGAAGCAAAAGCGTACAGAGGAACGGCTTCAAATCAGAGGTACTTCGACGGCCGGGCCTGCACCAGAAAGCACGACAATACGAAAAAGCATACAAGCGGAACAAGATCCGATGCTCGGGAAGGCGCGCGCGGGCACCGCGCTGAGGGATCCTGAGAGGGAGACTCGCGCTTGCCCAACAGCTATTCTGTGCGCGAGCGGCGCAACGTGCGTGCGCGCTGTCAAGATCAACGGCGGCCGGACAGGGGCAGCGTTAAAGTTCCATCTTTGTAGCTTTCAATAAAGACTCAGAACCGAGCTGGTCTCAAGGTCAGCTGAGTTGATTGTTTCATGCGATGGTCGACCGATCGGACTTAAGCAACATATCGGAGCAGGCGCGCGGTCATGCTAAGGAACAGCTCCAGATTTAGAGCGTAATCTGATGCGGTATGTACTTCAAGAACAATATAGGGGCGTTCAATTCAATCCTGGCAGTATACGAGGGGTACCCGTAATAAGCCAGCTTCTCTCAGGTACATGTCAGCCAAAAGGGGAAATAACTCCGCCCGTACTCCGAATCAGAGTTCCAAAAATTGATGAAATTGAATTCGAACACTAAAATTATTCGGGTGCATCGCTTTTTATAAGGGCGGCTCAGACTCGCCGCTGCGCCGATGGTCCGATCACCTTTCTGAAGCATCATAGTATGATCTTGTACTGCAGTGCATGTCCTTCCCAGACTACGGTTCATGCATGATAAGCTGTTCGAATGCTTGCGAGTATTCATATATCATGGCATCAGTGACATTCAGTTCAGAGCGCCATGCAATTTTGCCGCCTCTTGTGCAGTGTGTATCAGTCGGAAGACGGTGATTGCAATCGCCCACGCGGAACATATCATCAGTTTTCCACCGAGCCATATAAGAAGATGATATGCAAATGTTCTTCAGAACAAGGCCATTTGAACAACGTCAACAAATGCGCAGATAGCCGTAACGGATGCTTTACAACCTGACCATTTGTTTCAAATACCGTATGCATGCTGCATATAGCAGCATACTGCCCCGTACAAGTATACAGATTTCTAACTTGAAAATCAAGGCACACTGACACATTTTGTAAGTTTGTGCGAAGTGAGTTCGACGGGCGGGTAGGCCAGACAAGGACGCAAAACTACAAAGGTTGACGTACTCAAGTTCGATTGAAGAAGAACGCAAAGTACAATAAGCGGTGCGTTTGTGTGAAAGATCAGCTATCGCTGCAACAGAGTAGGCAAAAAGTCTACGCAACGCTACTCGCGACCATGACGTGCTAACGTTATGATCAATGACTATCCGACTCCCTTTCTTCAAAGGCTATCTCTCGTTACTACTCTCGTTAGTAAATCAGCATCGATCTGGACTGGGAAGTCACTAACTGCACGACCACTGACTGCACGACCACTAACTGCACGACTCTCACCCTAAACGGACAATTAGGGCAACAGTTTTGTGTCATGTAACTTTCTCAACAAGCTGTCTGATTAGAAGCCGACAAATTTCTAAAGGAGGGGTGCTTGGGCGCCAATCCACTGTGAGGCAATAAATCAACGGAGCCTAAGCAACGGCGGCGGCTAATCAACTAATCAACGGCGGCCAAGTACTCAACAACTAGGCAACGGTCGAAGAGTCGAACACAAATGTCTTTGTGTACGACAATGCACTCAGCGGCGCCGGCTGGTCACTCTACCGGCATCAGTATGCCAAAAGCTTCTCTGAATACAGTGGCCTCTTCGAGCAAAAACACTGGAGGTGGGGGGGCAAGAATCCGTTGGAGTCAAAAACCTAAAAACGTGAGAAGCGTAACACCCCAGAAACCCTAAACCCTTTAGAGGCTGGGGGGCACGAAACCGTTGGTCTTGCAGCGAGGGAAAAGGTTGTCCGGCTCGTAGAAGCCAGCACAGCCGTCATTGTCGCAGCAGACGTAACGTCCTTGGGGGTCGTTGTTGTACCAGCAGCGGTTCGGGAAGTCTGACGCTGCTCCTAGGCCGCACACTCCTGCGAGAAGACACTCGACGTCAGCATGACATCAGTAAGCTCAGGTTTGAAACGACCTGCAACGGAGGTCGTGAAGTCGGAAGGTCAAACGGGCTTCGGAATCCCTTGCGAAAAGCGGATTCACACGTTTTGTAGTCCCTTCGGGCGCAAGTATTGGGAAACTAACCGGACGCCAAAGCGGATGCGATTTTTTAGTACCGCAAACAAATATGCCGAAGGGCTCTTGCAGCTTCAAGACTGTAGAAGCAATTTCCGAGGGAGTCAAAACACGTTATTGGTGCCCTTAGAAGCGGGTTCGGTTTCGAGATTCGTGAATAGGCGCGATTAGGCAAGGGGCCAACGCACTTCTATGCTGAGCAGCTCTTTCGGCATAGCCAGCATCCTCGGCAGAGTTATTGCTGATTCACATTTGGGACGGGGCAGAGCGCTTCATACGCAAGAAACAAACCCATGCCTAACCCTCATCGAGCATGCATCATTCACCCGGCTTTAACCATGATCCAAACCAGCTACCCTTTTCTTTATTGATCACCTAGCTGGCACGGGAGGCCAAGCGGATAAAGAAAGGACGTGACCCATACCGGACTCGTTTTAACCCAAAGCTTCGTCTTTTTTAACCTTACACTACCCCAGTTTCCAACTTACCTTGCGGTCCACTGGCGGATGCGACGGGCGCGGGAGGCGGCATGCTACCGGACATGTTGGGCACATAACCAAAGTTCTTGCAGTGCGGGGTTAGGTTATCGGCGTTGAAACCGTCGCAGCCCTGGTTATCGCAGCAGACGTAGCGGCCCTGGGGGTCGTTGTTGAACCAACAACGGGTGGGGAAAGGCTCAGCGCCCGGCATTCCGCAAACGCCTGAGGAAATGGGGTTTCGATTAGACGGCCGAGTTCGAAGTTTCATACGGGCTTTGTGATTTCAAGACGTTCTTTGATCGTAGCTGTTAAAGGCACTGCCATACTCAAAAGAGACCCGCAAAATCTTTTCGAGTGCAAAAATAAAAGATTCTGGGGTTGAGAACACACCGTCTGGTGGAGCGCTATCTGGGTGAGGACATGAGATAATTCGAAGTTCGTTGAGCAGAGTGTCGGGCTATCAACGACATAACAAGTTAAAGAAAAACGTCATAACCAGGCCAACACAGGAAGGTTTGGCTGCTAACCAGGTTCGAAAACCACACTTCAGTCTGGTTCTTTGACCAAGAACCGCGTTGTAGCCATGTTAAAAGTTGGTACTGTTCGAGTTTGGTCATTGGACAGTTAACCAGCTTCGTTACCGAGTGTGGTTAACCGCCAAAAACCCTGTGCTATCAACGACATAACAAGTCAAAGAAAGCGTCATAACCAGGCTAACGTAAACCTTACCCTGGTCACCCGTAGGAGGCGGGGGTGTCGTAGGAGGCGAAGGCGCCCCTCCGCTTGCGCCGAAGTTTGGAGGATAGTATCCACGGTTCTTGCAGTTGGGGGTGAGGTTGTCGGCAATGAATCCGTTGCAGCCTAGGTAGTCACAGCAGACGTATCGGCCCTGGAGGTAAGAGGAAAAAGAAGTCTTCGAACACTCTTCGAAGCGCTTGATTGGGATCCGTACGGCTTGACGTGCTCTGTGTCATAAATTTTGAGCGGGGAGCCCCGCCTCTCCCAAGAGGGGCAGCATACGTATTCGCTCGACTTGAGCGTGAGAAGTTAAGCGCAGTGATTCACCCCTTGTTTAGAAGCTAACTAAAGCTACAGAGAATTTGAACTATGTAGTCCAACAAATGAGGCGAAAAGCCCCGGCCCACATAGGTTTGGCTTTGTTGCAAAAATGGAAAGCTCGCATGGTTTTGCTGGGTTACCTGGTTCTAAAGGACGAGAAAGCCTACATGGGTTGGCGGGACACGGTAAACCGTAACCCACTAAAAAGCCCACTTACCTGGGGGTCGTTATTAAAGTAGCACCTCTGAGGGAAAGGGAGCCGCGTCCCCTAGGCCACAGACGCCTTGGTCCAAGTAAGGGCCTTGTATACAAGCAAAGCCGGGTTAGAACCGTTATCATGGCTGGTTGAGGGTATCTCGATCAGATTGAGAACAGAGTCCGTCTGTTGAGAGGGCCCCTAGCTGACCACAAAGTCGTAGTTGGGGCCGGATAATAATAAGTACTTTCTAACAAATGTGATGGTCTTTCTCTTGACTCGTTCTTAAGATTGCTACGCCAGTCCAGATGTCAACGTGAAAATTCCCTCGGGCCAATCAAAGCTGGCAGCTCCACAACTGATCAAACTATTCCGGGCGCTCTGCGAGAGCTGCCGTCACACTCCGGCAACAATCAGCCGCATAGCATTCAAGGGCAGAGAAGATAGCTGTGCAGCGACTCATACAACATTGCGACCACAGCGGATTGCATGGAACATCAAAGTCAAAGAAATAAGGCGGATTGACTGAAAATCTTGTACCGGACGGCGGAAAGTTGCCGAAGGGAATGGGAGGGCGACTCGACGTCGATGTGGGCGGCGGGGTTGCCGTCCAGGGCGTCGGTTGGGGAGCTGGATTTCTGCAAAGAAACGGAGCTACAATTTCAGTAACCCATGTTGGTTAAACGATCTTGGTCTAGTATCTTTCGACCAGAGAAAAAGCGCTTTTCCGAATTTCGTCTTGATCGGTATATCTTGATCAAGACGAGGCTGAAAAGACGAACGGGTTGTAAGCTGCACAAGCTCCTTGAGTAAACCGGTCAAAGGATTGTTTTTTTTTGCGCAAAATGCGGCCCCTGACTCAGTTGGACCTGATTTTGACCGGATCCGCTGGTGTCTCCGAGTGGACTCTCACACCGATTGCTTTAATCTGGATTTTGTAAGGGGATTTTAAGAGAATGACACCATATAACCAAGACGGTGAAGTGAGGATGCCGAAGTAGCGACGTCTGTTTTGTGTCCGGTGACGGGGTCCAGGAGGGTTCTGTATCCCGGTTAAGCAAACAACCGAGGTTGGAAAAAAGGAGCATCGGATTCATCTTAAACGTGAGCGATCGAGAACCTAGTCTAGCCTCATCTTGCTGATACGAAAACAAGTCGATTAAAAGTTGCCAGTCGACTTAGAGGAAGGTTTTGCTGGCGCGTTGAGCAAATCTCATCCTTCATGTAGTCTAATTATTTTTGTACATAAAACTTTAAGCATTCACAGACTCAAACGGCTATCGAACTTACGGCAGCTCGCAAGTGGTCCCCTGGACGTTGCTGGGGCAGGTACATTTGAAGGCACCCAAGACACCGTTGAAGTCTGCGACCGCCTGACACGTGCCTCCGTTCTTGCAGGGGTTGGGGTTGCACCGATCGGTTCCTGCGCGCCAAGAAGAAATTCTGTTCGGAAAACTGTAAAAGCCCCCAAGTAAGAGTACTTCTTTTGGCATCAATCCATTTGTTTCAATGTCAGGGAAGAGACCGTCTTTTCAAGGCAGCAAACCTCTTCTCAAAATGAGAATACAATCTTGTCTTCGGTGAAAGACAATTTCCTTGGAATGGAGGTTTCACTTGGACTTGTACTTGCGCGCAGCCTTCACCTCGCAAAACCTGCCCATTGATTACTCTGTGGGAAGATGTACACTCTTGGCAACAGATGTGTCGAGGCCTGGTTAAGGGCTCTTGTAATCTATATGAACATTGGGTGAGACCTAGTGAATGCCATGCCCTCATAACCAGAATGACAAGAGAAGAAACTCAGTCTCCTTTCTCAGGAAGCCTTGCTTTGAACCCCGTTCGAGCATCAGGGCCTAATCACCAATTAGCCAAGCCTCAGCAAAAGGGCACCTTCATCTTTACTACTCATTGTGACTCAGCTCCATTATGGACAGAAGCCTTACAGCAGAGTCTGACGATGCATGCATGACTTCATACCCAGCCTTATGGTAATTCTGAACAGAAAGACTAACGAAGAAACTGCATTCTGGAGAAGATGGCAGATCAGCCAGAGACACAGAAAGACTTCAAACCTGGCAGCGAAAGACTGACGAAGAAACTGCATTCTGGAGAAGATGGCAGATCAGCCAGAGACACAGAAAGGCTTCAAACCTGCCATTGAGTACCTGACACGTAGGAAGGGTTCCTAGAGGGAAAGACTTCGGCCTACTTACCTGGCACGTAGCAGAAGTCTTCGTAGACGATGTGGCTGAGCACAGAAGGGGCGGCGCAGGTGCACACAGACTCGAGGAAGGTACGCCCTGAGACGCCGGTCGTCTTGTATGTACACTGGTTAGCTGCAGGGCTACACCCGGGTTAGACCAGGGTGAGTGAAAGCCTGAAAACATGTAACACCTTTGCAGCATTGTCCAGCACAGGGCGCGGGCTTTTTGTCGACCAAAGACTGCTACTTCTCTTTTGCCAGGCTGATTGAAGTTTGGCTCTTGGCGCGTTGTTTGTTAGCAGCATAGTGAATGTTTTGGTGAGGATCAATGTCTCTGAACAGGAGAGGCGGAGCGTCAAATGAAGTTCAAGGGACGCGAAAAGGCCTTGTACAGCAGGCCTGACTCACTGTGGCACATTGACTCTGGCTGACTTTGGCTGACCCTGGTTGACTCAGATTGATATGGACCAGATTCACAATCCACAGAAGTATCGAACACCTGAATCTACATTAGACATCACACAAGAAGCAATGCCTGCCAATAGCTCCCAGGCTCAAAACACGGTCTTCTCCAGAGAGCCTGGCTTTTTGACAAACAAGTACAGGGTTGAGATGTTCACAACCCTTTATATTGAGATGAAGCCCACAAAATGGAAGCGAGCAGGTCTTGAGGTCTAATTTCTGATAGGACAGCCAGCTTGCTACTTGATAAAAAAGGGCAAATGCATTGGGGGGCAGTTTTGACTGGGGACCATAAGCTTCAGGCCTTGCTAGATGAGAAGAACCTCAAAGGACCTGGTATTTGCCATTATGAATTGAGGAACATCTTTTTCAGGAGCAATCAGGAAAGGTTTTCAGCTGTTTGACCTTTGACAATTGGACAAGAGAGCAGAACAGCTTCAGCGAGCTTCCACCATGACCTCCTGGAGGAACTTGGTCCCTTGCATTTGGTTGAGAGACAAGTTCTGAAGCTGATCCAAGCAGCATCTTATTTTTGTTCAAGTCACAAAACAACAGGGCCTGCATTCTCAAGCTGACTGCACAATGCAGCAATATGTCTGTCTGTCTCAACCAACTCTTTCTTTCACAGAAGACAATACATGACATTGCATGACAACAGGAGCTTACATAAATGAGCTCAGGCTGACTATAACACAATGTGACACTCTGATACGTACGTCGGCGCAATTTCATAGGACATTTGGGCCCGTAATGTTGGATGGTTACGGGCTGGTTAGAAAGTGGGTGTATGTCCAATAGTGAGACTTGGGTGGTAACCAGCCTTGCAACAAGGTTGAAGCCGGGTTAATTGTCCAATAACCAGAGACTCAAGTGCAGTTATCAGCCTGGTTAGCGGCCAAAGCTTCCTGTGATACCTTACCTGCACCACAAGGACCAGGGTTCCCAAAGCACTTATCCACAGCGCACACCGGGGGCAAGCCAAGGACTTCGCTCAGGGGAATGAACCCTGGGGGGCAGGAGAAGTCCCTGTCGGCAATCTGAGAAACAGTCGCCGTGGGAAGAGAGAGGCAGGTCGCTAGGAGGAGCAGAGCTGCGGCGGGGAGCGCCATCGCGGCGGCCATTTGCTAGCACCAGGAGCTCTGAATGGGAAGGCAATCTAAATGCTGCTCAATGAGGTGTCGTCCTGAGACGTTCTAAAAACGAGCTGCACCTGGGAATGAGCTACCTACGACAATGCGAGCTGCAAATGTAGGGGAGGACAGGAAGGACCTTCTTGCGAATTGCTGTTTGATCTGCTCTGCAAATTATGCTGCCCCTAGTCTATCCATGCCACATGGATGATGGGCCATAATGCGTGGGAATGCCGGTGATAGGTAGTCTGGACTCTGGACTCTGGGCTCTGATTCTCAAGTCAGGATGTGTGCAGTGACTGTGCACTGTGAGTGGCAGAGCCTGAGAGACACCAATTTCACTGTGAGTGGCTACACTGTGGTCGCTGAAATTGGCTGGACGCGCCCTGCATTTCCAACGTCTCTATTTGGTACCGTAGCCAATCACAAACAGGATGTCGTGTAAAAGGTTTTAACCAGGACAGGTGGACCCAGTGCTGCTGACAACTACCGTACGTACCAATTGTCCGGTTGGGCAACAATAAAATATTCTTTGACTTGCCCAAAAATCTGAATTGAAAATAAATTCCAATTAAGGATTTGCAGATCATTTTGCCCCGTAAAAAACCAAAATAAATGCATAAATGAAGCTGCCCAAAATCCATGAGATACGAAATTAATTATTGGGCAAAAAATTGCTCAACCGGACAATTGGTACGGTACCCGGGTCCCGTACTGCCATTCCCATTCGCACCAAGCTGGTGCGAATACTAATTATTTTCGAAAGGTTTTTGTTTCGCTACCCGCTTCGACGAAGTTTCAAACTTTCGCAAAAGACCGTTTTTCTCCCAACCGAGATAGCCTGATTGCTGTCGTTTCTAAATGATTTCTTGTCTCCATTTTCGAACCTCGGTCGAAAGTTTCTTCATTGTTTTTTCGCTCGAAACCAATTTTAGTGCGCATGGGAATGGCAGTACGGTACGGTACTAGGTAGCTCTCAATTTCGCGACGTGTTGCCATGCTCGTTGCTGACTAAGGAGAGTGCCCGGAGGACGGGTAGGGTTGGTTTGGGGGTTAGGGTGGGTGCGGGTTCGGAGGATATCTCACTTCCTGGTCTAGGTTTCTAGTTTTGTTGGTTCCCCCGAGCACCATCCTTCCTACCTACTTTTTAGTACTTACTACTTAGTCAACATGCTCTTCAATAAGTCAACATGAAATTGAGAAGTACGGTATCTGCTGCCAGCTGGTAGGCTGGTAGCGCTGACTCCTGAGTCAGCGATGCCCGTCATTCGGCGATCTTTGCAGATTCACTCTGTTCAATGACGCTTATGTCGACATTGTGGCTAGGGTGTGACAGGCTATCTCGTCCTTCTGATGAAGCTACTAGGTAAGACTACTTCAGGCTTGCAATGGTCTTGACTCTTGACCAGTGTTAAGATTAACTTTTTCAATTGGGAGTCCCGGGACACCTTGGGGTGTGTCATTGGGCGTTTTTTGGACACCCCAGGGATTTCAGTTGGGTGTCCCGGGTGTCCAAGCTGAGGACACCTTTCAAGGCCCATTTGGGCGTCCAGATTGCCTCGGTAGTAGGTACATGCCTGTCATCGAGTGATCACACCGATCTTAGCCCAGGTGCTGTTTACAGTAGGTAGCTCAATTAAATAGCGCTGTACCGGCTACGGTGCGTAGCTAAAGCTGCCGGGCCGTCACCATAATACTACCGTCACTGGTTAGTGTTAAAAGCTTGATGAAGCGGAACAAGGAAATTCATCAGGCTATATCAGGAAAATACCAGATTATGAAGAGAAATCGGCCCCCTGCTCGGTAACAAGGGACTTACTTTGGAATCTCGGTCTGGCAATTGAGTGTCCTTGAGACCCCCTGACTGGGTCAAATGGGTGTCCTTCGGACACCCTGGCGACCCCCTTCGGGGGCTCATTTTGGCCATTGGGGGTCACTTTTACCTGAGAGGGGACACCCAATCTTAACACTGCTCTTGACATGTCACATACCGTACCTGATGTACCGGTATTAAAGTTAGGCTCTGCCAATCATACTGTACAGCCTGCGAGTTACCCCAGCCGCGAGTACCTACCTATATTAGCGCCGGTTAGTACCTAGCAGGTATGCATGTACTACCTATGTACTTTATGCAGAGACTTCGTGGTCGTCATCAGCCCGTCATCACGCACAGCGAGAGGGGTTCAAATGAGCTTAGAAGTTAGTAGGCCCTGCAGACGCGAAGTTTGCGCTTTTAACACTAGGACCGATAACTGTTCCCGAAAGGGAACACCGTTCCCTTTAGGGAACACTTAGCAAACGGGCGTTTTGACCGTCGATATTTTGGGCGGGTCGACGATATTTCTGCCACGTGGCACTTATGGGGCCTTTAGAGGTAAAACGGAACACAAATCCATGACCCACGCCAAATTTGGGTTAAGAAGCAAGGGTTAACTAGCAAAAGCATTAACCACGGCTAAAAACCCTAATTTTCAGAAAATTGCCGATATAACTATAGAGTTAGCAATGCTAACCATCAATGGTTACCCCGGGGGACTCAAAAAGGTGTTTCCACCCGACGACCCTCAAAAAATAGATCACCAAGGTCTTTTTATGCTTCTTCCTAACCAAATGTACCCCAGTTTCCTGCGCTGTCACGCCTAGAAGTAGGCTATGTTGTCAAACCATATGAACGAGTTGAAGGCCGCTCTTAGCTTTAAAAGGGGGGTTGTATGTATGCATTGCACCCATAAGATGCTTGGTGGTTCAAACAAAGTCCTTGTGCCCTACTTTGATCTTCAAAGCTTGGATTTTCAGCCATTTCGCTGGAAAACTGGTTTACCATAAGATATGGCTTGGTGATATTCATGCTTTTTTACCATGACTATCATGTAGATGCGTAAACTTTCTTATAAAGACCTAGTGGAAGCCCTATCATAAAGATTTTGCCATTTTTGGATGCGTAGATAGTAGTATATACACCATTTGATAAGTGTTCCCTAAAGGGAACACTGGGATTCTGGGCCCAGAATCTGCTGAAACCCCCATATCATTTAGGTGACGTAGGCAAGTCAAAACACCGATTCTATGAAAACCCAAGCTACTAGTATTTAGCAATCACCTATATAGGGATAACCTAAGAAGGGTTTGAAAAAAATCCGGCAATTTCTTCAAATTTTGGCTTATTTTCGAAGAATTTAGCTGTTCCCTTTAGGGAACGGTTAGGTATCGGTCCTAGTGTCCATTAATCCATTGAAATCTATAATACTGGTCAGTGGTAACTGTAGGGTAGGTAGTAAAGTTACTACCTAGCCTGATTAATACTAGGTGGACCGTGGTACCCGGGGCCATCGTTCTCTATAGTAGGTTTAGTGAGCTCAAGTCTAGTACTGGGACGGGTAGGGTTAGTATGGTGGTTGGTGTGGGTGCGGGTGCGGAGCGGAATTGGGTTCAGGTTTTTAGTGTTAGCTCGTTCTTTAATATACTAAACCTTGAGCTCGAGTCGGCCCTGTTCAACAAGATCTTAATTTGTGCCAGCCCTGAAAATCTGGGCATGAGTAACTCAGGCTGATATTCATCCAGCCATGTAGGACCTAGGTAGTAGCCTAGCCCCTTGCTGGCCCCTGGCCCCGGGGGCCGGGATACTTCTCTAGAACAAGTTCAGTTGGTTTGTCGAAATAGGTTTGTCGAAAGTTCGAAACTTTGCACTTCACTCCGAGTAGCCGGTTTGCTGTCCCGACTCCCCCCTCGCTCGCCTTGCTGCCGTAGTCCGGCATAACGTCAAGTCTCTTTCAAAGTTCAAAATGGGTTATAGAATACATTCCTTATTATGCTTGGCAACACATGCATCTGACATAATCAGGTTGAGAACAAAGACGAGAGGTGTCGAAGAAGTGGGCAGTAGAAGCAGAGACGACCGCCGCGTTGGATATCTATGGCTCGGAAAAAGTTGCAAACCTTAATAGTTCAGGAAGAGGGCGCGCGCGCGCGCTGTGGACGCGCATGTTGTGCAAATGGAAAACTCCCCGCCCAGCCTGAGAAGCTCCCGTGCACGATTGGCAAAAAGTGACGCGCGCGCTCGGGAGTCAGTGGCGACCAATTAGGGCTGAGATTTGGTCATATTTAGTGAATGGCGTGAGATTCAATCCAAGCAACCGACGTAACTACTCTCCGTAGACATGGGCAGCAAAAACAAAAGTTTTGTGTGTCCTTCTCACTTTGAGGCATCCAGTATCTTCTTGTTACTGGCACTTCGCAAACAGTGGCTTCGTGCTTCAGTACGGTCCTTGAAGCTGCAAACGTATGCTAACTCAATGATGCTCGACCGACCACAGAGGACCCCGGATCGGCGTTATTAAACCTTATAAGGACGGCTCAACCCTTCGGCCAGCGCCCGGCGCAGTCAGCTATGGCCGTTAAGGAACCTGGAAAGCTCTTATACTTTGATGCCCCCGTCCCCGTTCGACTAAAACGGGCCGGAGGCTTCGCACGAGTATTCCGCAAACCTCAGATCACAACACCGTACAGTCGGGTACGCGCTTCAGACTTGTCATCCAGCCGCTGAGGAGTGGCCCCTTGCTCCGCCAGCCGTCTTTTCGTCAGTGCCCGAAGGACCTTCATGTGAGCAGCTTCCGCTCTCGGCTTTCGTAAAGCTAGCGCCGCGTTTGAGTGCTCAGGCGCAAACACTTTGCAAGCCGGGTGCAGTTCGGAAATCAGGATACACAACACGTCGCCGTACAACTTGCATGGTTGCTGTTTTCCTGTTTCGTGTCCACGTACAGAAGTAGAACTAGACTAAGGAGATTCTTTCAAAAGTACAGCAGGTTTGAACTGCAGCTGGTCTTGACTATAGACTACGTACAAACGTGTACCATCAGTATTCGTAACCCTACGAGGAGGATAAAGAAGGTCTCGGTAACTGCAGCCGACAACAATTCTGGGGTGTAACGGTCGGCTTCAACCGCAGTCGGAAAAATGAATGAGCGACGTACTGCTCAGTTCCACGCAATCGT